ATGAAATCAGGCTTCTCGGGGATGTTTCGGAGAAGCCTTGAGGATTGGTTCACGGAGTCCAAACTAGATAAAAAAAGCTCTTTTTTTTTTGAAAAACATTCAGATCCGAGTTTTTCTCTACAAGGAGTGATTCACTTGTTCAAAGCTCAAAAAAATTGGGCTCAAAATTTGAAAAATTTTTTTAAAAAAACATTGAAAGTTTCGCTTGAGAGGCCACTTGGAGAGACTTTCACAAGCGAAATTTATTTCTTTATCTATTTTTTCTTTAAATAAAGCTTCTGGAACGCAGAAACTAGAATTGAAATTTGAAATTAGCCAAAAATAATTATTGGCGTTCAAAAAGTTGTTTTTTTGGAATTCACAAAATTGAAGTTCTGGAAAATTCCCCTAAAGTGGTCACTCAGAGGCTCCAAAGCGGCTCCTCAAGGAATTGAAGGATAAAAGAGCTACAAAAGCTCAAGTGGCCACTTAAGGGGCTATCAGGCTATCTTGTTGTTTAAAATGGATCATTATAGAGCTTCCTCTGTTCTTCACGGAAATATATTTTTGAAAAAAATCCCTAAAGTGGTCACTCAGAGGCTCCAAAGTGGCTCCTCAAGGAATTGAAGGATAAAAGAGCTACAAAAGCTCAAGTGGCAACTTAAGGGGATATCAGATTTTTTTGTTGTTTTAAAGTGGTCATTACAGAGCTTCTTTTGTTCTTCCCGGGAAAATATTTTCGAAAAAAAGTCCCTAGAGTGGTCACTCAGAGGCTTCAAAGTGGCTCCTGAAGAAGTTAACGGATCGATATGAAGTTTTGAAACCTCAAGTGGCCACTTAAGGGGCTATCAGACTATTTTTTTGTTTTAAAGTGGTCATTACAGAGCTTCTTTTGTTCTTCCCGGGAAATATTTCTGAAAAAAGTCCCTAAAGTGGTCACTCAGAGGCTTCAAAGTGGCTCCTGAAGCAGTTAACGGATCGATATGAAGTTTTGAAACCTCAAGTGGCCACTTAAGGGGCTATCAGACTATTTTTTTGTTTTAAAGTGGTCATTACAGAGCTTCTTTTGTTCTTCCCGGGAAATATTTCTGAAAAAAGTCCCTAAAGTGGTCACTCAGATGCTCCAAAGTGTCTCCTCAATGATCTGAAGGCTTCAAAAGCTCAAGGGGTCACTTAAGGAGTTTTTTTTTGTTTTTAATTGGAGATCATTACAAAGATTTTTCTGTTCTTCACGGAAATATATTTTTGAAAAAATGTCCCTAAAGTGGTCACTCGGAGGCTCCAAAGCGGCTCCTGAAGAAATTAACGGATCGATATAGAGCTCAAGTGGCCACTTAGGGGCCTATCAGACATTTTTTGCTGTTTTAAAGTGATCATTACAGACCGTTCTCTGTTCTTCACGCGAACATGTTGTCCAAAAAATTCCCTAAAGTGGTCACTCAGAGGCTCCAAAGCTGCTCCTGAAGAAGTTAACAGATCGGTATAGAGCTAGAAAGGTTCAAGTGGCCACTTAAGGGGATATCAGATATTTTTTGTTGTTTTAAAGTGATCAGAGCTTCTTCTGTCCTTCACAAAAATATTTTTTTTCAAAAAAGTCCCTAAAGTGGCCACTCAGAGGTTCTGAAGTGGTTCCTCAAGGAGCCGAAGAAGGCTTCAAAAGCTCAAGTGGCCTCTTAAGGAGTTTTTTTTAAAATTTTAAATGGTGATCATTTCAAAGCCGTTCTTCAAAAAAATATGTTTTTCAAAAAAAGGGCTCAAAAAGCAAGACAAATCCCAACTACACACACATCCACAGCTAAGAAGCTTACGTAAGCAATTTAAGACACCCTAATCTAGACTTCAGAACAACACCCACTCGAGTCCAATTTATCCCAAAAGCTTGGAGAAAATCCAGACCGAGTAGGTCGGATGTCTGGAAAATAGGAACCCGGACATTTCAGTTTTAGTGTTTCCAATTGAAGTGCGAGGGCTGTAAAAAAGCTGAAAAAGAAAAAAAAAACTTTTCAATCCAACTAGTCAGTTTTTAGAGTTCAAAAAGAAGTCATACTGATGAAAATTCCTCTTGGAAATAAGGTTGACCAGGTTTCGTCAATGGAGCGCACTAGCCACGAGAAAAGTGGCTATTTATTCCAAACTTAAAAACTCCAATTTTCTCATGTTGCAGGTCCAGAAATCTAACTGGGTGATTTTCAAGTACCCTTTGAGGATAAAAAATGTTTTTAATTATTCCGGTTGGAAAAATATATTCCTTTATGGCTTTGAAGCCCAAGATTTGGAGGTTTCCGAGTTTTATCGGTAGAGCGCAATAGCCAAAGAAGCGGCTATTTCTTCTCAAACTTTTTTTCAACTGAATAGCGGTCTTTCTTTCACAAAAATCGTATAAGGAAACTATGAAAAAACTTCTCAATACAAAAAAAAATGTTCTTTTTTATTTTCACGCTATGAAGTTCGATTAATTGAAGCGCACTAGCTCTAAAAAAAGACAATTTTCTTTAAAATTTCTTCAAAAAAAGTCGGAACTGCGGAAAACGGGTGCAGAATAGCCGCTAAAAGGGTTCCGTTTTGCGGCCTTTATTGAACCTTTTTCTTGCTGAGCCAAAAAGGGTGAGAAAAAAGAGTGCAAAAAGGGTGCAAAAAGGGGGCAAAAAGGGCGCTGAAAGGGTGCAAAAAAAGCGCTGAAAGGGTGCAAAAAGGGCGCTGAAAGACTGGGAAAATGATGATTTTCGATTTTATTACTGTAGCGAATTTTGGTTCATACACAGTCGCAAGTTTTTTTTCTCAAAAGGGTCCAAAAAGGCCGATGAAAGGACGGAAAAGGGCAGTAAAGAGGTAACGGGAACCTTTTGGACCCAAGGGGCCCGTAAAGGGTCCTTCCGACTTTACCTATGAACCTCAAAACCAGGAATAAACGTCTCCCATCCAAAAAAAGGCGAGATTATATAGCCACGCCCCCCAGAATTTGTCCGGAAATATCCGTTCCGAGCGTAATTCAACCCATGACATTGAGACGTTTGTTGAAAATTCGAACGTTGGTGGTATTTTCAAGGAGGGTGAACTTTGAGAGGCCACCTATTGTTTTGGAATGTCAATGGTTTCTCATTTTACAACCTTTTCGGCGTAAAATTACTCGGACAACAAGTTCGCTCCAATGAGACCTTAAAAAAAATCTCAAATTTCAAATGTTTTCCAGAAAAATCTTGGTAGTATTTGTAATGGGAAGTGAACTTTGAGAGACCAGCTTTTTGGCAAAATGCCAATGGTTTCTCATTTTACAACCTTTCTGTAGGAAAATAACTCAAACATCAAGTGCGCGCCATTGAGAAACGGCTTAAATAACCTTTTTCGAAAAATGGTATTTATTAAAAACTTTTTGATGGTATTCATAACAGCAAATGGGCTCTCAAATAGCAACTTTTTGACAAAATGTCACTGGTTTCTCAATTCACAACCTTTATAAAGCAAAAAAAAAATTAAGCATCAAGTGCGCTCCAATGAGAAATTCCAGGAATCATCTGAATTCTTCGAAAAAAGGTTCTTATCGAAAACCATTTATTGGTATTCATAACAGAAAGGGAACTTTGAGAGACCACCTTTTTGGCAAAGAGTCTACGGTTTCTCAATATACAGCCTTTCTGAAGCAAAATAATTCAAACATCAAGTGCGCTCCAATGATAAAATCCAGAAATATCCCTAAAAAAACCGGGTCTTCGAAAAAACGTTTGGTGGTATTTTTAAACGGGAAATGGGTTCTGAGACACCACCTTTTTGGCAGAATGCCAATGGTTTCTCATTTTACAACCTTTCTGTGGGAAAACAACTCAAACGTCAAGTGCGCTCCATTGAGAGAAACCAGAAATCATCCAGACTCTTTGGGAAAAAAACCTGGTTCTCCTCAAAAACTTGCGGTGGTATCACCTTTTTGACAAAATGGCAATTATTTCTCATTTTATAACCTTTTCGGAAAAAAACAGAAACACCAAGTACGCTCTAATGAGAAAATCCAGAAATCAAGCGGATCCTTCGAAAAAAAAACGGTTTTTTTCCAAAAACGTTTGTTGGTATTTATAACAGGAAGTGGACTTCGAGATATCATTTTTCGGTTCAAAATCACTCAGTTCCTGATTTACAGCCTCTTCGGTGGATATAACTAACACCAAGTATTTTTTTCAAACGATAATAACAAAATAAACTGAAACCATAGAATTTCCCCTCTGGGAGATTTCTTGGCGTTATCGAAAAACTGATCCCAAAATTGAATTGATTATAAGCGTTTGATTTTTTATTATATTGAGTAACATTTGAAAAAAATTATCAGCACCCCGAAAATCAAGAATGATAGCGCTACTATCACAAAAAAAAATTTAAAAAGTAGGTCCATATATTTTCGATCCCAGCTTCATCCTCAATCCTGAGCTAATGTCTCGAATAATCTCAAGAAGTTTGATGTCAAAAAAATCTTTCTAATTTTTCTTGGAACCAAAAAAAGGATTTTTTTAAAACTAAACTATAAGATCAAAAAAAATTAAAAAAATGACTCACAACTTGAGTTTTGAACGGCTCAAGGAACTTTCCGGAGAAAAATATCATAAGGATAGGCTATAGGGGATAACCGGCTTTTGATTGGCTTTGGAGTCGCGAGGATTTTTCATAAAGATGATCCTTTTCGCTGGAAATGACAGGAACGTCTAGACATCGGAAAAACAAGCTAAAAATTTTTTTCTGACTTTTTCCCATAAATAAATTAAATAAACTATACATCAAATTATATACTATACAAATAATTATCGGTTTCAAATCTTTTTCAGTCATTCAAACAAAAAAATTAAAATACTTACCAAAAAATGCCGCCTTTTTCCCCTTTTTCGTCCGTTTCTCGTCTTTTTCACGTCTTCTCATTGAACAACCAAAAAAATTATTTCAACACAAAAGTTAACAATCAAGCGGCAGTTAATACCAATAATATATAATAAAAACAAGCGCATAACTTAAAATTATAAAAGACTAAAAAAATTGCTCAAGATTTAGAGCGTGATGACCCGGTCCGTGTGTGATCGTGAGGCGGTGAAAACTGGAAAAAAAAATACGATTAAAAGTTGAAACTTTCAAATATTGTTGTGAATATTTTTACCCAGGCATGATATAAATCTATAAAATAAACCTAAAAACATTCCACTTCTTAAAAAAAACTGACTGAAAGTATTAAATGAAAAAAAATAAAAAAATAATAAACCTAAATCGATCGTTTAAAGTTAGCAATAGAGCGCACTTTTCACAACTTTTTCTTCTCGCAAATTTCATCAAAAGCTTTCTTATTCCAAAATATAAAGAACTTCTTGGAAAAAAACTCAAGGAAATGTTTTTTTAATCACTTGAAAATGATATATAAATGCATAAATTTTTTTTGGTGACTTTTTTTGAATTTGGTATTTTTTTTTATCTGCGACAATAACGATGGAGCAACCTCTTACGGTAATTATTCTAGCCTTCTTACTTGGAAAAATAATTATTTCCATTCAAAAACCAGAGATCTACAAGGAAAGGCTTTTCAAAACCAATTAAGAAGCATTATTTTTTCCACTGTCTTTTTTTGGAACTTGAACTTTTTTGGGTCATTTTCACTGTAAAATTAACCTTGGAGCGGTCAAAAACTAATGGAAAACATGAGAAAGTCTTTTGAAAATTTTTTTGATAAGGGTAAAAACTATCCATTCGCATTCCAAAACCGAAAAAACTACAAAAGAAAGTCACAAAAAGCGCTAAAAATAGAGAATCATTCAGTTAGCAAGAAAAAGTTAGCATGTTACGAACTATGGCTGCCAACAAGAGGTGTCATCTTACGGTAGAATATGGCGACGTAGATCCGCCTCAGTTCTTTGTGGTAGGCCATGAATAGAACGAAATTGAAGGTGATCTAAAGTAATAATTATTTCCTAATAAAATCAAGGGATTTGTCACTTTATTGAGCATAATTGAGGTGGTGATGAGGAAAACTGGGATATTTCCATAGCCCGTGTAGTTGCTGACGACGTCTGGCACCAGAAGGAAGAGCAAAGAATTCAGAGTTGTCAGGCCTGGAAAAGAAATGATGAATTATTCTTTGACTAGCGTTTTACGTGGACAAGTGTCTAACCTGAAGGTTTATTTAATAATAATCAATATAAATTTAGTTCAGAAGAAAAAAAATTAAAAGATGAAATAGCCTCGAAAGCTTGAACTAATGCGCTCTATCGATAATCTACTGACCTTCTTCAAAAAAATTAACTCTTGACGTTTATAAAATGACAGAGGAAGATCCAAACTGGTTGTGCAAAAATAGCCTCAATAATTAAGTCTTCTGCGCTCTATTGATAAAATAAGATTATGGATGATTTTCTTCGAAAAATTCGACTTTTGACGCTTAAAAATGAGACAGACAGGCCAAAACTAGTTGTGAAAAAATAGCCTCGATATTCGTGGCTTTTGCGCTCCATTGATAAAAAGGCTATAAATAAGCTGATTATTTTTTTTTTTTGAAATCAAAAGTATAATGGGGCTCAAAAAAATTCAACATGAAAAAAAAATCAACTTATGAAAATGACCCAGACACTCTCAAAACAGCTGTGAAAAAATAGCCTCGATATTCAAGACATCTGTGCTCCAATGATAAATAAAATCTTATTGATCATTTGATAGTTTTTCTACGCAAAAATCAACTTATGAAGCTCAAAAAATGACCCGGACAGTCTTAAATTAGCTGTGAAAAAAATGGCCTCGGTATTCAAGGCTTCTGCGCTCCATCGATAAAAATAAGAAGATTATTGTTGAAAAAAATGATTTGCTTCGAAAAATTTGACCTTTTCAGGTTAAAAATGACCCAGACGGTCTTAACTTAGCTGTGAAAAAATAGTCTCGATATTCAAGACTTCTGCGCTCCATTGATAAAGGTACAAAAATCCGTTTTCGTGGCTGTTTTTTCACTTCAAGAAGTATACCAGTGATTTCGGCACCTTTTTCAGTAAAGATTCGTCAATTTTTAATAGAACTACCTTGACAAAAAAAAGTTACCCAGGTTAATTAAAAACACAATTTTCGGGCTACTTTATCCAAACAGGAAGTAATTGCAAATCGGCTATCAAAAAAACAAATTTACGGCTTTTTGACTGCAAATAAAAAGTTTTGCAGAAGTTCCTGCTTCATTATGAAAAAAAGTCGATTTCTATGAATACTTTAATAAATTCCAAAAAAACCACTTTTACCAGTTTTTTTCTATCGGTTCCTAACATAAAAAAATCACTTTTTAATGGTAGGATTCTTCAAAAAAATCGAAACGAACCCATAATTTTTATTGGCCTTGTTGAAACGCCGTTTTTTTCCGCGTCGCTGACCAGATTCCTCTGTGTTCTCGTCTTCAATTGACACTGAGTAAGGGTAAATTAATATAAATAATAAGTTTAAAAAAATTCTGAAGCCCTTAAAATAGTAAAAAAATTCGTGCGAATCCACCTCCCCATGAAAGGTGAAGAGAAATAGTTAAAACTAGGATTTTAGGAAGTCAATGAGTTTTTGGACCCCAAAAATGAACATAAAAAAAAAAAAATCACGATATCAGAAATGAAATTTACCAAGTGAAGATATAAAGCGATTGTAGCGTATAACAAGGCGGCGATGGCGATACAGGCCCATTTGTGGAAATTGAAAACCGTTCGGATTCCCGGGTAGGTGGCCACTGAAAAATCAATATATTTTTATATATTTTTCACCGATTTTTCAAAGGTAAAGGCCATATTTACCTGAAAAAAACTTGAGTTATCCAAAAAAAGGCGACTGTTGGGAAAAACTTGAAAAAAAATCCAAATTTTTGACGCTTCTAAAGGCTCAGAAAACTGATTCGATGTAATTTTTGAAAATATTTTTTTCAGGTTAAATTGAAGCTTTTTCCTATAGAGGATATGCTGAAAAAAATGCCTAGAGGTTCATTTTTCGAAAATAAAGGCTCTTATTCGATTTCAATTGCGCTCTATTGATAAAATAACTCAAAATGTTCAAAATTCTAAAAAAAAAATTCAAGAAGGAAAAATATTAGGGCTTTAGGGACTGCAGAGTGGTCCCTACAGGGGCCTGAGGGGCCCTTGGAGCACTTTACCAACCCCTATAGGGGCCACTTAGGGGCAAAGGGGCCAGAACCTCATCCCCTCTAGGGACCACCTTGTTTACAACCCTATAGGGACCGCTTTTTTTCGGCTCCTATAAGGGATGTTTTTTCCTCCTAACCCCTAAAGGGACCACTTTAAATCCCCTAAGTTTTGCTTCTAACGCTGAAAGTGGCCCAAAAAACCTACCTTGAAAATTTTTTTTTCATTTATTAAGGTTAATTTGAAGTTTATCTGATGAAACAGATGTTCTAGAATATTTTACAAGTACTTTCTAGCAAATAAAAAATTTACTAAGACTCTGAAATCTTTCCAAACTTCCCCTGTGAGCCCAAAGATCCGTTTTGAGTACAATCCAAGCACTCAAATCGCAAAATTTAATCATCCCAACTCGATTCCCGCGCCAATTACCCTCCTCTGGCATGATATCAGATACGTGGGACCTTATTTAAAGGCGCATAGCCCTGAGATTTCTTCTCAAGACCCGAAAACTCACTGAAGGAGAAGCACATGACGGTGACTTCCTGGTCTTTGGCGTCGCTGGTTTGGACCAGGATGTAGTTGACGATCGCCGTACAGGTGCACAGTACCAGGGGTACTGTAGATTTCATAATATTGAGAAAATTACAGTAAGCTACAGTACCTAAGCACAGTAGGACTGAATAGCGGGGAGTTCTGGCGTAGTGCCAAAATGGTCGGCAAGTGGCAATGACTCGATCTACGGCCGTTATGAGGGTCATTTCACCTGGAAAATTGATTTCTACAGTAATCATGGGGTACGGTAAGTGGCTTACAGTATTTAAAGCGAGGGATTCTAGGTAAAACTTTAGTTGTCGCTTTCAAAATTTGTTCATTCAGACGATCGTTAAAAGTTAAGTTTGATAAAATGGATTACTGTAAAGAGGATACTGTACTCTACCGTACCTTTTAATATCCCCCTTTTCAGCTTTTTAAACACTGAAGAACTACTGTTTTCTCAATTTCAAACTATAAAATTGTTACGAAAGTTGTAAAAAAACGGTCTCTGGGTTACTGTACCTTTCGCTTACAGTAATCATCCCTTTGAGACCCATTTTAAGCTCAACTTTTTTCAAATCCAAGTTTCGAAACGTTTCCTTTTTCAACATGAGATTCTAACTCATAAGTAGATTTACCTTGAAAAAATTGCTTCGATAATAAATCTCACGCGATTTCGAGAAAATCAAAGACCTCTCGAGTTCAAGTAGACCAAGTATGCTTCGAAAAATAGAATCGGTCTTTTTGAATTTTTATAATATTCAAAAAATGGTAAAAACTCACCAACTAACTGGGCCGCAATGATATTGACCCACGCAATCACTCTTCCAGAACAATCGCCTCGAGTTGTGACTAAATTATATTAAATAAATATTTTTCCAGTGCCTCAAAACTCTCAAAAAAACCCCTATAGGGACCGATAAAGTGGTCCATATAGGGGTATAATCAATATATTTGTTTAGGACCTGGCCACTAAAGCTTGTGGCGCCTATAGGAACCACTTTAATTACCCCTACGCTGGAAAAAGTGGTCCCTGTAGGGGTCTCTAGAGGCATTCTTCACGGGGTTTTGGTCCAAACTTAAAAATTTTAGAGTGGTCCCTATAGGGGTATAATCAAGGTGTTTAGGGTGTGCACTGAAGCTTGAGTGACCGCTCTAGGGACCCCTAACGCTTGAAAAAGTGGTCCCTGTAGGGGTCCCAAGAGGGGTCATTTTCGAGGCATTCTTCAGGGGGTTTATGTCCATATTTGGGGATTTCAGAGTGGTCCCTATAGGGGTATAATCAAGGTGGTCGCTATAGGTGTTTAGGACCTGGCCTCTAAAGCTTGTGGTGCCTATAGGAACCACTTAACCAACCCCTATAGGGACCCCTAAAGCTTGAAAAGGTGGTCTCTGTAGGGGTCTCGAAAGGGGTCATTTTCGAGCCATTCTTCACGGGGTTTTGGTCCAAACTTAAGAATTTTAGAGTGGTCCCTATAGGGGTTTAGGGTGTGCACTGAAGCTTGAGTGGTGCCTATAGGAACCACTTTAATAACCCCTATAGGGACCCCTAAAGCTTGAAAAAGTGGTCCCTGTAGGGGTCTCTAGAGGAGGCCATTTTCGAGCCATTCTTCACGGGGTTTTGGTGGTCCCTACAGAGGTTAAGGCCGAAAAAGTGGTCCTTATAGGGGTTGAGGCCGAAAAAGTAAGGGTTTAGATTTTGACCCCCCCTTACCCCCTAAAGCTTAAGTGGTCCCCTTAGGGGTCTCTCAATTTTATCCAAAAAAAGGGTTGTTGTTTTTAGTTTTTCGCATGGAAAGGCTTCGTCATGAAAACTATCGACTAGCATGTCCCCTATAGAGGCCACTTTTACAATCTACAGTGTTCCCTAGAGGGGAAAAGCCCTAAAATTGCTTCTAAAGGGATCACTCCGGTGTTCTGAGCTTGTCATTTGGTTTAATAATTCCGTCATATTAAAGGCGCATAGGCAGAGACAGGCTCCGCGCATCGAAGGGAAATATCGGAAGAAGATAAAATTGTGACAGAGTGCCGAACGGGATGCATGAAGCAAAAAATTCAAAAACCTTGGAAAAAAGCCAAAAAACTTTCTGCGTCATTTGGAGCATCGTACTTCAAAATAACCCAATTTTCTTATAGCATCAACCTTCATCACGGAATTTGATAATATCATCAATTTTATATCAATATTCTTCACTCACCACCAATCTCATAGCCGTAACTCAAAATAAAGCGAATATTCGACCAGTTATAGCCGAGGATATAGAAAAGATCGGACATGCATAATCCAACTGAAACCTTCTTTTTTTTCGATTAAATGATTTTTGAACGAACCAATGAGAATAAATTCTTTCCTATCCCGATATTGAGGCTTTGTGATGAGAACTATAACGAGGGGAAGGTTCAGGAGAGCCGTGAAAATTCCTGGAAATTGTTATTCATTATTTTTAAATTCGGGTATCCTATCTCTGTACCTAGTTACTCAAAAAAATCAAAAATTAAAGTTTGATTTTTTTCCACGTCTTTTGAAAGTTTCGACCAAGTTTAGGGTTCACTTAAGCGGTCTAAAGTACCCTAGAGTGAACCCTTAACGTCCCTTCTTGAAAAATTCAGTTCAATAATTTCTTCTTCTTACCTTGAACTGTGAATATAGAGCAACAGGTGTGATAAATTGTCCAGGCCATGAAAATCTTCTTCTAGCGGATCTGGAAAAAATCAAATATTAAAAAAAAAATTCAGAAATCGGAAAATATCCTGGGAAAGATTTTAGTGGCCACTATAGGGTTTTGACGTTTTAGTGGCCACTATAGTAGTCAAATTAGTGGCCACTTAAGGGGTTTAAAATTAGTGGTCCCTATAGAGGTCTGAGTGCTACTACTGGACCACTAAAAATTTTAGTGGCCACTTTAGGGGTCAATGGATCAACATAACTGGTCCAATCTGTTTGTTTTAAAATTATCAGAGTTACTGGAAGGAATACTGGATGAAAAACTACTAAAGTGGCCACTAAAACGGAAAATAGTGGCCACTTTAGTGTCCTCTCCAAGTTGTCCTTGGCGAGCCTCTATAGTGGCCACTAAAAATTTTCGTCGTTTCAACTCTGAATTTTTTTGCTGTCACCAAAGTTCTTCTCGATAGAGAGACTTTCTATTCATGTATAAATCGCAAAATTGTATTTTGAAAATTTGACTATAATTCCATAGTTTCAGCTAAAAGTTACAGTAATAAAAATCTCAAATAAAGCCTTCCCTTTAAAAATAAAGTCCAAAAAAAATCACTCTTGCAAAAAACCCAAATCTGCGACAGACAGAGAACGCGGAAATGAAAAAACGAGGCAAAAAATGATTTTCTTATATCTCAAATAAATGAGAAAGGAAAATAAATGATTTTTGCGGCCGCCCCCCACAGGGCAATCAAGCCCTTCCGCGGGCCATTTACGGGGCTTCAACTCGGTTTAATTTATGTCCAATTACCTTTTAACCCAGGTGTCATTCCCAATTCTTTTTTTGGTCATATAACTTTTTTTTTTCGCCCGCCACGATTAAATTACCGATTTTCTGAGAATGAAAAGGGAAAAACGGTTCCACAACCACGCGAAAATTCCATTCGAGTGGTTTGAGCTTGTAAATTAATATTTCTATGTGGAAAAATCTTTTTGCAGGAAAATCATAAAGTCAACGTTGGACTTGCAGAAAATACGGGTATATTTGAAAGAGATGCAAAAAAATTTCAAAAATCTAAAAAAATTATCAATGGAGCGCACTTTTATGCTCACATAATAATGATTAGCGAGTAGAACTCTTGGATTATTTTTCAGTAGATTAAAGTATAAAAAAATAATATTTATTATTTGAAAAAAATAAAGGGTATGGCATAGTCAAGAAAAAAATCCAAAAACAAAAATCAAAATGTCTTCAAAAGAAATTATCAATGGAGCGCACTTTCAAGATATCTACATAACAATGATTGAACTCTATGTTCAGTAGATTACAATATGAATAATATTTATTATTTTTTTGAAAAAAATAAGCTTTCAAACTGAACAGAACAAAAAAACGGCACTAGGAAGTGACCAACTTTCTACAAAAAAAATAATTTTTTTGATGAAAAAAAGTAAACTTGTGCAAATTCGATACATGCTTCGGTGCTTTGAAAATATTTTTTTACCTCAAATTTTCATCATTTTTCAAGGCTCAACGGACTATTTTTAAGGAACTGACGAGATTATTATGCGACAAATTTAAACTGGGATAAATAACCCATTCATTTTTTTGAAGTTTATAGAAGATATTCCAAAGAAAAAGACAAAAAGCTTCCGAAAAAAAACAGAATAATTGACCAACTTTACATGGAAAAACCTGGGCCTTTTTCTTGTTAACAATTAGATTTGAATTGAAAAAAACAACTGGACGAAGGAATTTCATCGAAAAGTAATAATTAACCGGAGTTTATTTCATTGGAACCATTTAATTAATAATTTTTTCATGAAAATGATAGTTTTTAAAAAAAGTCTTCGATTAAAATTTTTCGATGACGCTGATGGAAACTTAATCGTCGAAAGACCAATGAAAAAAATCTGGTGGTATGAAAAAAAGACCAGCGAAAATTCGAACGGCGACTTTTTCCGATTTTTTTCATATCGCTAGGGGACTTTCCGACGGCCACCTTTCCGACGAAACTTTTTCCGACTTTTTTTCCCTTATGCTTTTTCGGTTTATAAAACATCTATAAACATTTTTGTTTTTCTATTTCTTTGTGTTTTTAATCATGAACCAACTACCTATTTTATATAGGAAGTTTTAAAACGAAGATTTTATCGAGAAAAAAAGTCGGAAAAGTTTCGTCGGAAAAGTCGCCGTTTGAATTTTCGCCGGTGTTTTTTTCATACCACCAAAAATCTTAAAACTAGAAAACGAAGAAGTATAAAATATCCCGAAACGAAATTCCCAAGCTCCCCCCTGCGCCTTTAAATAAGTTTGCTCAGAAGCACAAGGGAAGACTTTAGAGGTTCACCATAGAAAAAATCGTGACGAGACCCACTGAAATTTCGAAATCCAACTCTATCAAGTAGCCCTTTTCTCAGAAATACAAGGAAAGACTTGCATGGGTTCAGCACAGAAAAAATCGCTGCGAGACCCAAAAAAAAAAAAACAAAAAGCCAACTTTTCAAGCAACGTCCTGCGCCTTTAAACAATTTTTTCAAAAATACAGGAACAGACTTGCATGAGTTTAGCACAGAAAGAATCGCTGCAAGACCAAAAAAAAACCAAAAGCCAAATTTTTAAGCAGCGTCCTGCGCCTTTAAAGAAGTTTCTGAGGATTCCAATAGCAGTTTTTAAGAAGGAACAAGTCGGAAATAAATGTTTCGAGACCCACTAAAAATTCAATAATCAACTTTCTAGACAGCCCCTGTGCCTTTAACTACGTTTCTCGGAAATACAATAGCAGGATTTTGAAGGCACAACGGAGAAATAATCGTGGCGAGACCCGCTAAAAACAGGAATCGATTCTGTTGAGCAGCGGACTGCGCCTTTAAACAAGTTTTCTCAGGAATACAACAAAGACTTGCACAGGTTTAGCCTAGAAAGAATCGTTTCGATATCCTTTATCATTTCAAAAGCCAACTTTTTAAGCAGCGCTATGCGCCTTCAAAGAAGTTTCTCAGGATCCCAAAAGCAGTCTTTTAGAAAAAAAAAATCGGAGATAATCGTTTCGAGACCCACTGAAAATTCAATAATCAGGCAGCCTTCTGTGCCTTTAACTACGTTCTCAGAAATACGATAGCAGGATTTTGGAGGCACAACGGAGAAGTGATCGTGGCGAGACCCGCTTAAAACAGGAATCAATTCTGTTGAGCAGCGGCCTGCGCCTTTAAACAAGTTTTCTTAGAAATACAAAAAAAAGACTTGCATAGGTTTAGCACAGTAAAAATCGCTGCGAGACCCAAAAACAAAAACCAAATACTAACTTTCAAGCAGCGCCCTGCGCCTTTAATAAATTATACGCAGACTCTCTGAAAAATTATTCCAAAAAAGCGAACTTTCCGCCATTAACCTGTAAAAAATCCAATTTCATAAGCAACAAACATCGGAAAAGGCTCAAAAAACACTGGCGCGACTCTGAAATTGAACAAATGATCTCTTTAATTTCACTTTTGGTTTCAAAGTGATTGGATGGCTGGGAAACTCAACAAAACCTATTCCAATAAAAGCTTTCTGGGAAGATTAAATTTCGCTTCAGATTGATCAATTCGGCAACATTTCCTCATAGTTTTGCGAACCTAATTTGGTAAATTAATTAATTCCTATTCAAACTACAGTATCTCCTTCGTTCCAAGACCCAATACTTTTAAAAATGAACTTTGAAACAGGAAATATAGAAAATATATCCTTTTCGTTTGATTCAGACTGGTTCCCGATTTAATAGTTTTTTTAGCACTGTCATTCCTCTTTGGAATAGACTCTGCTCAAGATTCAACCCTAACACGTCTACCACCCGTTTCAGAAAGTTTCTCGACTCGCTAAGAAACGAAGAACTCTTTTTCCAACATTCCCTTACGTCTACTGTGATCAAAAATCCTTCTACGTGTTCTATTCCCTATACCGGTAAATTCGCTCGTGAGGGCGTATTAAAACCGGTGCTCATTTCACTCCCATACAATTCTTGCCCAACTTTGCCTCTTTCTTTATAGCTCATGTTATTTTATGTATTGGAGTGAAATAAATATTCAAATATTCAAAATACGTCTTTAAACGTGCCGTGATTCTAGAATGACTCCGTCAATTTCTTTACAACGCCAGCTATGGGTAAGTCGTCTTCTTTTATGTTCTCTGGCCTGTCTGCGCCCTCTAATCTCTCGTTATACAAGGGATAGGAGGGCGAAGGTAGGTCAGAGGGTTCCGAATTTTGGATTTTCGCTTCAAGATCCATTTTTCCTAAGGTTAAAATATACAATAACCATCCAATTTCAGCGTGTCTACGTGCTGGGATCAAGCCAGAAGACATTCCCTATGCAGAAAACGAAGTGCAAAATGAAAAGTGAGGGAATTTCATTGTCCTGGAGCATAAAAACATGTAAATCTTAAATTTCCACTCAAGACCCAGCCTTGCGCCTTTAATAACTAAAAGAAATTCAAATATGAATGGACTGATTTCTAGTAAAAAAAAAACTTTTCAGTTAGACTTCTAGAAGACAAAAATGTCAAAACCGGAAAAATGATAAGAAATTCAAAAAATTCCACTCAATACCCCGCCCTGCGCCTTTAATAACTCAAAGCCGTTATGAATGGACTATCTCCAACTATAACCCGAAAACGTTCCAGATTCGAGGGTTTCGTGAAAAACACGCTAGTTGGAGACCTGAGCACCGATACCTGCTTGGTAAGCTCTCAAAAGGAAAAATCTCAAAAAAGCAAATGAATTCCAGAAAATGGGGGCGTTTTTCCGGGGCGAGAAGAAAGTCTTCTTCATCTTTTCTTTTGTGAGTTCTTGTTTATCCCAAAAAAAGGGGTTTAATTAGAAAAGAAGGATTGCAGCTGACGGCCGTTCTTCTCTTTTTGCTGCTTTTCGTCATCGGCTGTGGAAAGTTGCTTTCGTTCAGTTGTTCGCCGAAGAGGAGATCCCTGACCGACGAAACGGTGAGGCTTTCGAGAAAATTGAGAATAAGTGAAAAAAAAAAAAAAACTCGATTTGATATCCTGAACTTGACTGTACACTTGAATCTCAAAACGAACCCCTAAATCTCAAAATAAACCCTTGAATCCCAAAATGAACCCCTTAACCTCAAAATGAACCCCTAGATTTCAAAACGAACCCCAAAATCTCGAAATGAACCCTTGAATCTCAAAATGAAACCCTTAAAGGCATAGGGGCAGTAAAAACGGTGTTTCAGTTCAAAGCAATACTTTGTAGAGCTTTTCATTGAGAATCGAACGGTTTATTTGAAAGCGTATCAAACTTCCTAGTTTTGGAGAAAAAATAATTCAAAGTCGGAGAAAGGACAGCTTGAATTCCCGCCAGAAGGGCGCTTTGGAGTAAAGTTGCTCTATGGATAACACCTATCGCCATTTTTCGGATTTTCGCTTTTTTCTTCGTTTCTTTCAAATTTCAATTTTTTTCTGTTGGCGTCAAAGTTCTTTTCGTTACAAAAGCTTTCTATTCATGTATAATTTGCAAACTTTGATAGCAAAAAAGCGTTTTTCGTGAAAAATGATGATTTTACACAGGTTTCGATTGGGATAGCGATTATTTATGTTTTTTTTATTAACGGCGTGTGTTTTTTGTTTGACTAAATGTTTTTTTCAGATGAGAAACCCTTTATTTGAAGCAGTCATTACTCACAAAATGCGAGTCTAACGAGTAGTTCGCAACATCGCGTGCACGGCTACTGTAAACATTTGTCCGTATACCGATCCAAAGCTTTTTTCAAAATTAAAGGCGGGAAAGTAAAATCGCGTTTTTCTTCAAAATTAGTCATTTCTGTAATGTTTTTGAGTACACCATTCGATTCGCAAAGAAAAACTGTACAAGATACTGATTTCACCTGAAACCCCGTTTTTTATTGCCCCTATGCCGAGGAAGATATGAAAGGAAAATCGTATACAGGCCCCAAATTTATCAAAAATCGAGATACGAATTTCAGCAAATAGTGCACAAAAAGAAGGTTTACATTGGAGTGGCCCTTCTAGTGGTCAGCTTCGCCTTGATCACCATGGGCACGGTCGACTATTTCGACGGCAAGAGCATGGTCGAGGAGCGGGCCGACAACGCCGACGAAATGATTCAAGTCCTGGCCAAAGGTTGCTTCTTCACTAGCCCATTTTCTCGTCTTCTTTTTGTCATGTACCCAATTTTCAGAAATGGGCAACTTCACCGTGCAACTTCAAACCGGGATCGACTGCATCCTGCAAAAGTACAGCCAAGAGTTGCCGAAAATCATCGAGAAGGAGTCGAAGAACATTTCGCAAATAATTTACGACAAGGAGCTGGAGCCGCTGAACAAGATTGCCGACGAGGTTCGCAAGAACGAGAAGAAGCTCGGGAAATATGAGGCGATTCTGAAGTTGGAGACGGCAAAGCTGAACGGAGCTGCGACGCAACCGCTTCAAAATGAGGTACGTTTCACGTGGAATGGCTCGACGCGTTGCGGTCGCGCTGCGGTTTTTGGCGGTTTCTAGGCTTCTGATGAAGGCTGGGTCTTTGAGACGAAACGGCCCGGTACTTGGGAATCCCAGAGTGGCCCCTTTAGGGGTTAGGAGACGAAAAAATGGTCCCTACAACGGTAAAACCAAAGTGGAACCCCTATAGATGTCAGGGGGAAAACGGTCCCTATAGGGGCGGGAAAAAAGTGGTCTCTATAGGAGTGAAAACAAAGTGTTCCCTATAGGGATCAGGGGGAAAACGGTCCGGGGGCGAATATAGAGGCTGAAAAAAATGGTCCTCATAGCGGTAAAGCTAAAGCGGTCTCCCTCGGGGTAAGGCGGGAAAAAAACCCCTATAGGGGTCAGGAGAAACAGTCCTTCTAGGGGCGGAAAAAGAGGTCCCTATAGGGATTTAGGGTCTGACCCCTTAGCCCCTAAGTAGACCCATAAGGGGTCTTCAATTTTCATTCAAAAAACGCTACTTTTCCAGTTTTTTCCCATGAAAATGCTTCTTTGCTTAATCACCAACCATTTCCCCTATAGGGACCACTTTTGCAAGCTTTGGTGATCCCTATAGGGGTTGTTGAAGTGGTCCCTTAATGGGTAAAATCAAGGTGGCCCCTGTGAGGATTTAGAGTCTGAACCCTCCGTTCCTAAAACTCAACTGGACCCTAGAGGGGCTGTTGAAGTGGTCACTAGAGGGGTCGCTCCAATGGCCCTTAAGGTTGCCCCTATAGAGACCACTCTGGTGTTTTTGAGCAGATTATATTTTAAGAGCGCTGGAACATTTTTTCAGGCGAGCCGCTTCGCGACCGCGTCGCGTTGAGCCATTCTCACAGTTCCCAGAAAAGTGTATACCAATTCTTTTTTTCCAGCTCCAATCCAAAGTGCTCAAGCCGCTCAGCGATTTCACGTCTTCTCTCAAAAAAGTCACGAAAAAAATAGACGAAATTACAAAGAACATGAAAACGGTTGATCTACTCTCAAAGTTTTTGAAAAATGGTATTAATTTAGAACAATACCAAAACCAAGCCTGGCGACTATGACAAGGTGTTGCGGGAAGCCCGGGACGACCTCAGAAAAGTCCTTTTGTTCTCTTCAAAAAATTTCAGGATAGAAAAATTACAGAAACTCCGCCTCATTTCGAACTCGATGCAAAACATGGGGAAAAGCACGGGAGCAAAGATTAAAAACTCGGTGAGCTTTGAGAAAAAAGAAACTGAGCCTTTGGAAGGCTTGAAAGATCGTTTTGAGATTGGGCTTGGGTTAATTCTTCCGATGACAGTTCGCGCAAACCGCTGTAGGTCTGTCGCGCCTATACTTGTTCCGCTTCGATTTTAAAAGCCACTCGTGTCAGATTTGCTGTGGAACGGGGTTGACTAAGCAAATTCTATGCGATCCAGCGCAAGTCGTTTTCCGTCGGTTGCATTTTCAACGATTATTAAAATCCTTGGCCGACGATGGGAAATCTCAAAGCGTCACGGCAGTTCTACTATGGAACCGGATTGCAAATTTCATGCGATCCCGCGCAAGTCGTTTTCAGTCGGTTGCAGTTTTAATAGACCAAAGCATTCTTCCGCGTCAGAGAATTTCGTACAGCTTTTTCCAAAAATTGTCTTAAAATGGTTAATTTTGTGACAAGATATGCTGGAATTGCTTTGGTCACAATGCACAGCACTTTAGACTTTTTTGCAACCGACTTGAAACGACTTTGAACCAGCCGTTGAAAAGCCTCAAAGTCTCACGTTCGATCGACTTGAAATAGATTTTAGGCGATCGCGCGCAAGTCGTTTTCAGTCGGTTGCAGCTATAATGAACCAAGCCATTCCACTTGTAGAAAACGTAAACGACTGAAAACTACTTGCGCGAGCTGGCATCGAAATAATTCCAAGAGATTTTTCGTCTTGTTTTGTGTGCTGGATTTGCTCTAGACACATGATACAAAAGACCACGCTTGGGACTTCTTTGCGACCGACTTGGAACCAGCCATTGAAAAGCCTCTAAACCTCAGGGTCGATAACTTCGTTCTGTTACAAGACATGCTTTGGTCACATGATACAAAAGACAGCGCTTGGGACTTCTTTGCAACCGACTTGAAACGACTTGGAACCAGGCAGTTATTTGTGGACTTCCTCATTCCAGATGACGACCACAATGAAGTCCGTCTTCACCTGGATGATAATTCCGTTCATCTTGGCCTGGATCATTCTTCTTTTCGCCGTCTTGGCAGCGATTCGCCTGATAGTCGCCTTTGTCAAGCCCCAGCTCCCGGCCGATATCAGCTGTTCTGTCATTTGTGAGTCGCTTAACGGGAGAGTGGTCCCTAGAGTGGAACCTTCAAGGACCCCTATAGGGACCACTGTGGGGTTTTTCAAGCCTTTCAGACGTATTGGAGACGAATATCCCAAGATTTTCAGCATTCGGCGGCTTCTTCTCCTGGCTCGGCAGCGCTCCGATGTACATTTCGGCGTCGTTGGTCTTCATGACGGTTGTCATTGCGACGGCGTTCATCCTCGCCATGTTCCGCCATCAGACCATTTTCTACGCCTTGCCCGAGGAGGACACGACTATCAAGCTCGACGTTGGCGGTGTGCCAGTCTCCATCGTTGGAATGTTGGTCGTTTGAAAATGCTCCCCCTGTCCCTATAGGGATCACTCGGGATATACCAAAAAGGCGTACCACTTGAGTGGTCACTTGGACGGCCTCCACTGGAGTTCATAGAAGAATCCCATCTATAGATAGAGACCGCAGACGAATTTTCAAAAATTTTTTTTCAGCATTGAGCTTTGTATGGTTTGATAGCTGTTTCGATTCAAAACTCAGAACCGTTTAGTTTTTCAAAAAAGATTGCAAATGAAAAAAGTTATGACGAAAAATGTGGCGCGCCGCGCACCATTTTTTTAGTACTGAAATTTTGGTATTATCCATTTTTGACATTTTTCTCGATTTTTCTTCTAGAAAAAGTTTTGATAATGGTCTATTATGATGTAACAAATCATAATAGAGTGCTAAAATGATAAAAATTTGCTAGTTTGCCGAAAAAGTCGGTATTTTCCAGAAAACAAAAAACTGACGCTTGCGGGTATCGAACTCGCGACCTCAAAATGCAAAATCGCAGCGCACGCGCTGCGCCAAGCTGTTAGGTCTAGCGAGGGGAGCTTCCATCCGCCATACCCTTAACCCATTTGGATAGCACAGATTGCCTATTTCAAAAAGAAAAACTTGAAGTAATTAAGCTATTTTTATCAGAATATGCTCGCAAATCTTTACTCAAACTTTCGGTGGAAATTCATCGAAAAAAATTGTTTTTTTAGTGCTTTTTTTGGCTCGTTTAACGATCGCTGCATTAAAACGGCCCCGTAAATTTTTTTGGCAAAGACGAATTTTTTTATTTTTATTCTTTTAATTGAAAGATTTTTTTACTAATAAATGTATATAACCGTTTAAAAAACTTGCGTTCGACCGCTTTTTGTGTTATAAACGCCGCTAATTTTATTCTCTAGTTTCAAGAACATTTTTTTGCGTATTAAAAAAACTATTTCAAGCACATATTCTGTGGAGAAAAAAATTTAAGTAAGCTCACGGTCTAAATTTTTGAAAAAAACAAAAAAACTCGATTATATTCGCTTATTAACGATATTTTGAATTATGACTTTCGGCGCTCCTTGAAATTTTTGGCAAAGACGAGTTTTTTATTTTATTGTTTTAAAATTACCGTTACTTGAATCAAAATCATTATTTAAAAAAAAAAAGAGTGCGTTCGACCTGAAAACACATGAAAAGGCAAAAAATGACAAAAAATTTTAGTTCCATTCAGGTTTTTGTACGACATTCCGCGAGAACGCATCAAAAAAGCGTGAAACATTTTTTAAACGAAAGAGGAAGCTTTTCTGTACATGTATGTCAAAATTTATTATCCAGTTCCACATATTTTGCAACTACAACAAAATGGAGGTTGAAAACCAAAAAAAAGCCACTTTTTCTATCACGAAAAGGGGCGTGGCTTTGCGGTCCCTATCTATAGATTAACTCGGACTGTGGTAGAACGTTTCTGATCACTTAAGAATTTTCTGAGCAGTTCTAGGGACCACTTGAGGGTTCAGAAGTCGCTAAAGTGGTCCCTAGAAATGCTCAGAGACCTCCGGTTTTCTGGGCGATTCAAGGGATCACTTAAGAGCACTGAGGCTACTAAAGTGGTCCCTAGAGACGTCCAGAAATGAACAAACCTCTCCGTTGGAGCGCGATTGCCTTTCAGGGAGGTCCTGTCTGCGGCAAAAGCCGGCAAGAATTGGTTCGAGCCCCTTCATTTCGACATCATTCTGGACGCCGTCTTTGACAAGGTGACTTTTTATGGAGTTAATTTTTCAAACTTTTCTCAGGTATCGGTCGAAAAGGTGATCGAAGACGAGATGGTGGATGGTTTGGACCCGAGCAAGTGGGACAAGGATCTGAAGGCCTATGATAAGGATATGGTAAGTATATGGACGCGTTAAAATTGATCTAATGGGAAAATTTTTAGTAGCCACTGTAGGGTTTTGACGTTTTAGTGGCCACTATAGTAGTCAAATTAGTGGCCACTTAAGGGGTTAAAAGTTATTTTCCACTATAGAGGTCTAAATGCTACTACTAGACCACAAAAACTGTTAGTGGCCACTATAGGGTTTTGGCGTTTTAGTGGCCACCATAGTAGTCGAATTAGTGGCCGCTATAGGGTTTTGACGTTTTAGTAGCCACTATAGGGTTTTGACGTTTTAGAGGCCACTTTAGTAGTAAAATTAGTGGCCACTATAGACTTTTAAACTTTGAGTAACCACTGTAGTAGTCAAATTAGTGGCCACTATAGGGTTTTGATGTTTTAGACGCCACTATAGTCGTCAAATTAGTGGCCACTAAGGGGGTTAAATATAAGTGAACACTATGGAGGTCTAAGTGCTACTACTAGACCAGTAAAAATTTTAGTGGCCCCTTTAAGGGTCAATGGATCAACATAACTGGTCCAATAAGTTCGTTTTAAAATTATCAGAGTTACTGGAAGGAATACTGGATGAAAAACTACTGAAGTGGCCACTGTAAAGGTGGGTTTAGTGGCCACTTTAGTGTTCTCTCCAAGTAGTCCTTGGCGAGTCTCTACAGTGGCCCTATAGTGGCCAAAAATGAAACTCTCATGAACTGGACGCAAGCTTCTAAATTTCTCAGGGCCAAAGCAACAAGAATTTGACGGCCTTTGAGAACTCGAGTCAACAAGTTTTGACAATGTTCAAACAGTACTCGGGGAAGGTGCCGGCAGATACGGAGAAAACGATCGAAGATTCGATCAAAAACAGCCTCAAACTCGGAAAGACACTGACGGACGACTTGACCAAGGGAAAGCAGTTGGTGAGTCGAAATTCTCGTGGAAAATGATTTTTGGTACATGGACTAGTACTTGGGACATTGAAAGGAGACTTGGTACCATTAGATACAATTTTTTTCATCTGATTTCGGGTTTTTTTCATAGCCAATTTACCGAGGTCCTGAAAAGTCAAAATCGAAAAAAAAAAAAATCCATACTTCTAGGAATTGATAGTGAAAGCTTTGGTGAACACGAAAAACTAGTTTTCCTTCTTAGGAACTTCATAGTGCTCTCTATAGGGGCCTTTGGAGGGTTCCCTCTAGAGAACACTTTACCAGCCCTATAGGGTTCACTGAATCTTGCAAAAGTGATCCTTAGAGGGGACATAAGTGTAATGAACTCGAAGCGAAGAAGCATTTCCATGCAAAAAAAACTAAAAAAAAACCTTTTATAATTAAATTGAAAGACCCCTATGGGGACCACTTGAGCGTTAGGGGCTAAGGGGTCAGACTCTAAACCCCTATAGGGACTACCTCAATTTCACCCTTATAGGGACCAGTTTTTCGGCCCCTATAGGGACTGTTTTTGCCTCATTTTTGAGCTTATTTTTGGAATCCTCGTAAAAAGTATTCACTTGAGAAGCGAAAATTGAGTTTTTTGAGAATCTCAATGCATTTTATCAAAAATTTCAGTTGGATGACAAGAAAACGGACCTTGCCAACAGTGATCGGAGACGTTCCTCTGCTCAGAATCTCATACAGAAGTACGACATCAATGATAATGTGGAAAATGAGAAGCAGAAAATTGCCGTGAGTGAATTTGACTTGTCTTCAAGGCACCGAGGCAAAAGAACCTGAAAAAAAAAAAAATTAAATGTAGTCCGTTTTTCGCCGCGACTTCTCTGCGCCCTCCATATCTCTCGATGTCTCTCTTATGTTCACATGCTATTTTTTGATTCTCTGACCTCGCCGCACGGCGTTATTGTAAGTGGAAGAAAATGTGGAACCAAAAACACGATGGGCGGAGCCAAAATATCCGCCGTTCCTACGTGACGTCATGAGAACGGCAGAGCGTAAACAACAGGGCATATTAAAGGCGCAGGCAGCCGTATTGCCAGAGGTCTTTAAGACGAATCGAAGTTTCTCTACATCAACGCAATTTTCTGCGCGAAAGCGGCGCTGTGCATGCACACGACACACGATACTTTACGGAGAAAAAGTCGAAAAAACGCCGTGGCCGGTGAGGGAACAGAGAGACGCAGAGAGACTATAGATCCAAGGTATCGCCGCGTTTTGGCGGATTTTCAAAAACCGCATGTCCGATCTCCCCTTGTGGTTATAAAACTAATTCTATTCAAGGTTGACCTCAAGGAAGTCCTGCCGGAGGGCACCGGATTCTACATTTTCATTTCGCGTCTGGGCGAGAGAGTTGGCAGCGAGATTTTCCGACCATTGCACTACCTCTTCCTGGGCCTCTGTGAGACTTTTGACAATTTAAATAGGAAACATTAAATATTTCTAGTCGAAATTGCGTTGGCTGCAACTTTAATGATCTTCCCAATGTTCACCACAACGCGATACTTGTACATGAAAAAAGGTTCAACGATGGAAAAGACTGGTCAATCCAAGGAGAAGGACGAGGATGAGGACGGGGAGAACTCGAAGAAGACGGCCAAAAAAGATGGTCAGAAGTTTGAGAAACCAATAATAATTTTCTGAAAGTCGTTTTACTACACGGAAAGTGCGAAAGGTCGAGATATTGGAATTTGATGAAACTTTGTATATAGACACTTTCGAACACCCTGAATCCAAATAAGTTGAAAAGACGGGCGCTTTTGGTTTTAGTCGAGTTCAACATGTTCAACTTGCTCAAAACGACATAAAAGGGTGAATTTCAACATTTTGAGCGCTTTTTTTTATTCCATCTTCAAAATTTCTTCATTTTTTCGAAGAGATAAAATGGCAAAAAAAAATGCACCAAAAGGGATTGGAACCTGCGTTAAAGGCTCCACAGCACAAGGCCGCTAGCCACTACACCACGCGCCCTGCTGGCAGTTTAGAAAATCTATAGCTCCTGTCCCAGATCTCTTCAATCAAGCATTAATGGTATCCTTGAATGGTCTCATGTTTGGTCTCTCCCACTCGCCTGATAAAACGTTTTCTGTTCATTTTGGCCCAAATAATCCTCGCACCCTTCACTATGTTGACCTCCTAGAAGTTCCTCAAAGCTCCATAGTACGTGACCTTGGTTTATTTATCGACGATAAGCTTTCCTTTAAACAACATATCAGTCGTATTGCTGCTTTTGCCACCTTACGTTCTAATCAAATACTGAATACCTTCAAGTTCTCTTCACCTCTCAACTACTTCCGAATGTTTCAAACTTACGTGGTTCCAGTCCTTGAATATTGCTCCGAGCTTTTCTCACCCGCCATTTCCTCTGATGAATCTCACAAACTCGAATCTTCACTCCGTCTCTTTAGTCGCAAAGTTTTCATTCGTTGTAATATTAGTTTCACTTCTTACTCAGATCGTCTTAGTCAATTTAACATCAAACCGTTATTCATTCGTCGTGAAATTTGTGACATTATCACCTTGCATAAAATCATCTGTGGCTCTGATCATTTTCTCGACCGTAATAAATTCTTCTCTTTATCCCTTTTACAGAGGAATCCACTTCGACTACGGACTACTGGTCAGTTTTCTAATGACTTTTTTACTAGAACTATTCCCCTTTGGAATAAACTAACTTCTTTTATTTTTTTTTTTAACTTCGTAAAAAGTTGAACGCTCTTCCTATCGAAGCTTTTCATGAAAATATCCCCTTTCGTCTCCTATGAAATCGTCATATTTCCGGGTACCTGTCAACTCGTTGGGGTTGACTCTTTCCCGTGTATTGTTATTTCTCTGCCTATCCCTCACCTATATATATATATATATATATATATAATGAGAGCGATCAAGTCCAAAAAGATTTTTTTTTTGTCATAGCTTTGCAAACTCCTTTCAGCTTCTCTTATGAACCCCGGTCAAGCCAGCATCTTTCGAGTTTCAGGCGAGGGCGACTCGAACAAGCTGCTCAAGGAGAAGCCAAACCAGAATGACCCCGCCGCCGAGCCGCTTCTCGAATCCCAACAACTGAAGGGAGGAGCCGGTGCAGCGGCGGCGGCTGCCGAGAAAGCCAAGACTCAGGTCAACGAGTTGAACCCGATGCAGTCGCAGAAGAAACAGTCGAAGGAGAAACCGACGCCGTCTCCCGCCGAGCCGGCGAAAATGAAGCCCGTCGAGCCGGGCGCCGAGAAAAGCGACGCGAATCCGTCCAAAAGCCTTGTTTTCCAGTGACCCTTCTCTTACCTACTGGATATTTGCTTCGCTTCGATTTTGACTTTCAATAAAGATTTGGGATCCGAATGAGGCAGGGTACAGGAAAAAGAAGACTTTCTGCAGTCCATCATGCCAAAAAGGTCCAAAGTGAAGGGAATTAGATATTTTTCTTGGAAAGACGAAACGCCAGAGTGGTCCCTACAAGGTTTTGGGGAAAAAAGTTCCTAAAAGGAACCCTTAAGGTTGCCTCAATAGGATGAGTTATAACTGGAAAATTTGGAAAAGGTAGAAGTTCTTCTAGAAATTCTTCAGTTATGACTTTTCCTGAGGCAACTCTAATGGTCCTCCTTTAGTGACCACTTAAACCCCCCTCCCCCCTCGAATAATCCAGCTAATTTTGAAGTGTAAGTTGGCCTGAAATGACCTGAAATGAATGATTTTGCGAAAAAACACACCAATCATTTTCGAGTTATTGAAGATTTTTCCTCCTCCTGGAATTATCAATTTTATCAACTTTATCTTTTCTTTCTTGAAACTTTTCAGCTCACAGATCTAGAGAAGACAAAAATTTCGAGCAAGCGGACAATCAATCAAAACTGATAAAGAGATTAGCCGAACCCGTGCGTTCGCCGTGATTCTCGCGTGATTTCTTAAAATACTCGGGGCAGTTGATATCGATAAGAAAAGAAACAATTTGACAAATAAAAGTTTTTCAAGCTTCATGATGCAAGTATTGATCCGAAACTTGAATCCACTTTATTGAAACTGATTATTGATCTTTGGCTCAATTTTTATGCTTCAAGAAGAAATTTTCATGACTTACTCGTTTTTTTTCATCCATTTAATGATCAGCGGGAAAAATCAGGCTTCTTTTTCTATTTATTTTTTTCAAAAATTAAAAAAATTCTTGGGACAAGAATAAAATTGTTTCGAATCGCACTTAAAAAGTTTTTTTCAGTTTCCAGAATATCTACTGGAAAAAAACTTGGAGTTTTAATAGGGGTGTCTAGTTTATTGGTCTAAAGATACATAATTTTTTTATTTTTTTATTTTTTTCGAGAAACTTTCTTTTGGATCGCATTTCTTCAAATTTTTCGACCCTTTATTAAAAAAATCGTTTCCTGACTTTCTTCAGTTTCCAATAAAATTACTGCGTAAATTCAGGATAGTTTGATATTCTTTGGATGCAAATTTTTTTCAGAACTTTTCAGAAATCCTTCAAGGAGCTTCAAAAACCCCTCTCGCCCCTTTCTTTTTTTATTGGGGGCAAAAAAAGTTGGGAAGGGGCAAGATTGCGATCGAACTGTGTGCGGAAGCAAAATGTGGGATGATCGAGTACGTGTGTGTCTCCGTCTGTCCAAGAGAGAAAGAAAAAAGAAGGAAAATTTCGGCGGCGGCCGCGACAGAGAGACACACGGACCGTCCATTTTTGCGTGTGCTGGCCTCCCGGAGCCTCTTTTCTTCCCTCCCTCTTTTTCCACAGCCATTCAGTGAACGTTCTTCCCTTTCTTTCCCAGTTCGATTAGTTCCCAGAATCCTATTAGGATTGAAAATCTCTGAAAATGGCTTCAAAATCGTCTTCAAATGATGCAAATTTGAACTTTTTTCTGAGTCAATCTTTAGTTTCAAGTCTCAGAAAACGCTCTGAAAATCCTCGAATCTATTTCTTTATTAGGCGTCTTTGGAAATTTGTTAAAAATTTTGCCTAAAATTTTGAACCCTTTGGTCACTTGTTACACTCTTCCGCGGCATTTGACGCGTCAGAGAGCGATCTTTTTTTTCGTTCATTTTCCAGCTTTTTAGTTTTTTGTTTTTCAGAATATTATCACTATTATTAAATTTTTGTGTTTCAGAATATTATTATTGACAGACACTTTAAGAAAAAAATCTTCAAAACGAGAAATATTTGGGAAAAAAATGAATAAAACTGCATATGATGCAAATTCCTTTTTTTCAGGTTCAGAAATGGTTAAATTACAATGGAAACTAGACTTTTTTTACTCAATTTAAGCCTCTATTTGTTCGAAACTATACTTAAAATGTTTAAAACTGTTTTTCAACTACTTTTCGAACTCATTAACAAGAAAAAAAAATTTTTAAAAAAATTTTTAAAAAAAATTTAAAAAAATTCAAGACTTTATTTGTTCAAAACTACACTTAGAATGTTTTTAAACTATGTTTTTAACACTTTTTTTCAAACTTATTAGCAAGAAAAAAATAAAGCACAAGAAATTACAAAATCCTTAAACTTCAAAAATTTTTTTATTCCATGTAGAAAAGAACACCTCAAAAAAAAAATTCTACTCAAAAATGCGAATCTTTTTTGAAGATCCCCTCGACGCCGGACAACTGTTACCTTCTGACGTTTCAAATAACCGAAAAAAATGTTCCATTCCTCATTTTTTTGGAAAAGTCTAGCAATTTCCCTACTTGAAAACGTTCCATTACTTAACTGGGAGCATTGGGAATTCACGTCATTTCCAACAAATGGAAAAGAAAAACTTCAATGCATTCGCTTTTCCTGCCAAAAGAGTGCCCCTTTCCAAAATGGACCGGATAGCCACTTCCGCCTTCCAATTCCTCTTTTCTCTTCAAATCTTTTAGCTTCAGAAATTTTCTTTTTAAGTCAATCATTGCGTGATAAAGATTTGTATCAAAAAAAAAAAATTTAAAATTCGCACCTTCATTGTCCTTTCATGGCATTGAACGGATACCTCTTCTCTTCTTCTAAAACAAAGTTGCTTTAAAAAAATCTTTAATTTTTTTGAACAATCGTTAAATAGTTTAAAAAAATAAGCCTGAATAAATATAAAAAAAATTCTAAAAATTTTTAAAAATTTTTTCCGTAAATGCGTTTTTGGTTTTCACACTTCGACGTAGTGGCACACAAGCGCCAAATTCAAAAACTTCTCGGTAGAATTTACGAGTTTTTCTCGTCTTTCACTTCTTTTTGCATCACTTTCAAGCTTTCCAATTCTCATAAACGTTCAAAAAAGCTCCCGGACATCAATTTTATCGCGGTGGCCCAAAACTGACATTGATAAAGCGGTCGGGTTGCGTCGTACACGTCGAATTGATAATTTTTCCTCTTTTCGGCGCCACGGACTTTGTTTTTCGGACTATGTCCCTTTTGCAAAAACGTTCAGCGATGACACTTCGCAAAAGATTTTTAAAAACGCCGTTATTTTTCACTCAGAGCTTTGTTTGTAGGCTGAAAAGACGATTATGCCGCCCGAGGGATTACTTTGCAAAGATTCTCTAGCGATTTTTGTTTTTGAAAAGAAACAGGCGAAAAGAGCGTTCGATGCGGAAGGAGGAACCAAAGGGAAAAAAACTGGCCCCAGGGGTTTCATTTTTCTTCTTCTTCTTTTTGGTTCCTCATACATTTGCTTCAAATTGTGTTCATTTTTGATCATCTTTCCATTATTTTGCTCGTTTTCAAGAAAGAAACCGTTCTGATCAAAGTATCATAACACTCGGTTTTATCAGAACAGTCTCATTTTTGGTCTGGAACGGACTGTTGACGAAACTCCCTGATGGTCGGTTTAAAAGACCGAGAGGACGATCCTCAAAAATTTGTTACTCTTATCAGTAACTTGATTTGTTGATTTGCCGGACATTTTTGACTTCATAGACAAGAAATATTAGTTTTACGTAGAGTATATCATATAAAAAAGCTTTGTCGAAAAAATTGGTTCAAATGCGTTTTTTTATTTTTTTGATTTTTTTCATTGCAAGTTGAGTTTAAATGGCTTTGCTTTCCAGAAAAATTATACTTTTTTTATTCAAGTCTTCGTAATAAATTTTTGAAGCAAAAAAACTTTTTCTCAGTTTTGTGTTTTTTGAAACGATGAGAAGTGAAGTTGAAAAAAAGGAATCGAAAACATTTTTTTCGAAGCTCATTTTTAACTTTTTTTCAATTGAAAATAACGCAGTTTTAGTTGAAATTTTTCCAAAATTCAAGAACTTATTGCGAATTTTTCTGATCTTCATCCCACTTTATTTTTCACGAAATCAATTTTCAGACATTTTTTTCTTCTCATTTTTTTCTCGTTTTTCTTTAAGGTTTTTTTAACCTAGAAAAATTCAGGAAATGGTCGCTCATTCCTCCGAAGGGTTACCCGCCACCGAGCTGGCGACGTCCGCAACCGTCCCGGAGGTCGTCGCCCAACTCAAAGGCGGCGTCGAGAAAAAGGCCCAAGCGCCGGCGGCCGACCTCAAGACCAAGCTCCCGACTGTCGACGAGCTCCGTCGAGGCATCCCGGCGCATTGCTTCGAGCGCAAGCTCAGCAAGTCCTTCTACTATCTTTTCCAGGTTTGAAAATGGGGAAATTCTTGAAAATTTTCTGTCAATCCACGTAGAAAAGATTAGAAACGCAGTACGTCTAATCGTAATTTTTATTCTGAATTTTTTTACCTTATGACACGGTGGCGTAATATAAAATGTTTTGTACGCAATGCACACAATGCACAAAACGCGACGCGCAAAAAGACGAAATTTATTTTTTTATTATGAAAAAAACATTTTTCTAGCTGTTTTTCAAGGGAGAAAATTTCATATATGTCTTGAGTGTGATTTTTAAAAAAACATAAAAATCATGAAAAAAAGGAAATTTCGAGACATGTGTGAACCAAGTTCGATACTCACAATATATTTCTTTTTTGCTCCTTATTTTCAAAATTAAAGCAATTTTTCAAGGTTTTGATTATTTTTCATCCCATATTAACAGTTTCTAATGATATTGAACTATTCTTTTATTAAAATACTTTTTTTTTTCTTCGCAGTGTTCACGGATTTTTGTAGCCCTGCGGCAGGAAATACAGAATTCCTCCTATAAATCAAATCAAAACTCTCATAATTCCAGGACTTTGCCGCCCTGGGCCTGCTCTACCTGGCGGTCCCCTACTTCGAGCAGTACGGAGGCCTCCTCGGCTACCTGTTCTGGAACTGTCTGATGGGCGTGTTCGGGTTCGCGTTGTTCGTCGTCGGCCACGACTGCTTGCACGGCTCGTTCAGCGACAACCAGACGCTCAACGACATCGTCGGCCACGTCGCCTTCGCTCCCCTCTTCTCGCCCTACTTCCCCTGGCAGAAGAGCCACAAGCTCCACCATGCGGTGATTATTTCCCCCCAAAATCGAGGAAAAGACAATTTTTCAGTCAAAATAAGTAGATAACTGCTTAGGAATTTTAGAGTGGTCCCTATAGGTAAAAAATTAAAGTGGTTCCTGTAGGGGTTTAGGGTCTGACCTGAAGCTTAAGTGACCCTTCTAGGGACCACTTTACCGACCCCTATAGGGACCCCTAACGATTAAAGGGTGGTCACTGTAGGGTTTTCAGTTAGTGGCCTCTATAGAGGACATGATAGTAGTAATGTTTAATGAACTCTATGCGAAAAACTGATTAAATAGCCATTTTTTGAATAAATTGAACGATCCCTATAGGGAACACTCAAGCTTTAGGGGCTAAGAGAATAGATCTTGAAGCCCTATAGGGAACACCTAGATTTAACCCTATAGGGACCACTTTTTTCGGCTTTTCGGCTCTAGGCGCTCTTCATCCTTCTAATTTCTATAGGGATCACTCTGAAATTCCTCAATACCAGGCTGAAAATCAAAAAAATGCCATTTCCTTTTTTTCTGATTCCTCTGAACTATAATAGCCTAATTTAAACCTTTTTTTAAAATTTTTTTATATTCCAAATAATCATCGTTTCGCAGTTATCTATTTTTTTCTCTGATTTTTTTAAAAAAATTTTTCTATCCCTGATTTTTTTCTTGCGAAAGTATTTGGAAACTCAAAAAATCCCGTATTTCAGTTCACCAACCATCTCGAAAAAGACCACGGAATCCCCTGGACCCAGGACAAGGATTATTTGACCTGGCCCCTTTGGAAGCGAATTTTCAACCCGTTGCCGTTCTCCGGATGGATCAAGTTCGTTTTAAAAATATTCACCGAAATTACGATCGAAAATCAAGAAGTTTCCGTGTTTTTTGTTCTTTTATTGCACAAATTGGTGTAGTTTTTTATCTCGGTTCCGTCTGGTTTGACGTCGTAACCCGTCTTTTGGTTCTCCTTATCTAATTTCCCGTTTTCTTGCGATTTGAGCTTCTTTTGGTGATAAGATCATTGGAGAAAGTGAAAGAAGTAGAACGACTTTCTTGAGACTACGGAGTGGAGCTAGGACAGGGTCCTTTTTTATGAAAAGGGAATATAGGATAGAAATGGTCTTGAATAGGGGTATTTAGGGACCTTGGGAACTCCAGAGAGGTCCCTAGAGGGGCAATCTTAGGGGTACTTTGAGAATCCCCTCTAGGGGCCACTTTACCAACCCCTAATCAAACGAAATTGGATGACCCCTATAGTGACCACTTAAGCTCCGGGGGTGAGGGGTCAGACCCTGAAGCCCTATAGGAACGACCTTGATTTAACCCCTATACGGACCACTTTTTTCAGACCATAGGGACTTTTTAACTTTCTATTCCTCTAGGGACCACTTCACGAACCCCTATAGGGGTTTTAGTTAGTAGTCCCTATAGGGGACATGCTAGTCGTTAACTGTTATGAACTCTAAGCGAAGAAGCATTCCGATGGGAAAAAATAAAGAAAGAAACAGTTTTTGAATGAAATAGAAAGACCCCTATAGGGCCCACTTGAGCTTGAGGGTCTGAGGGCTGAGACCTTTGAACTAGAGTTCACCAAACCGATCATTCAACCATTTCAATTGATCAAACTATTGACATGTCACTGTTCAACCAAATTTTAACATGTCATTTTTTGAGAGATCGTTTATTAAATCAGTTTTTGATCTCTTACATTAATGATCAGTCATTGGATTTTTAACGTTTTTGATATATCGATATTTTTGACCAATATATTCAATACAACATTTCGATCTTTCATTTTTCGACCAATATTTTCAATACAACATTTCGATCAATCATTTTTTTGACCAATATTTTTGAGCATAAAATTTCGATCGATCGAAATTCCGAGCGATCGATTTTCGAAACAGATCGCTCACACGGGGCAGGTTTTCGGAGTACTAGTAAACAGGTGAAAATATTTAATTTTTTTCCGACAAATTAAAGTTTTTGCATTTTTTTCTTGAACTTATTTGTTATAGTCTATATGGCATTGTAAAAAAATTTTTTTGCTTTTTAGTACCAGTGAACACAGAGAAACAGAAAAAAACGATGATGATATTTCGTTACGAAAAAAATCAAAAAAAGAAATTATGATGAACATTTGAAAGAGAAGCGGTTTTTTTAAACAGTAGTTTTTAAACATACTTTTTTTAACCAAAATGCATTCCGATCAATCATTTTTTTGACAAAAATTTTTCAATACAAAAATTTTTGATCTATCATTTTTTTCGACCAATATTTTAGGCATAAAAATTTTTGATCAGTCATTATTTCGACCAACATTTTCAAAACAACATTTCGATCAATCATTTTTTCGACCAATATATTCAATACAACATTTCGATCAATCATTTTTTCGACCAATATATTCAATACAAAATTTCGATCAATCGAAAACTGAACGATCGATTCAAAATGATCTCTCATTTAAATGAAATGTTGACATTTCGAAAAAACGAGAGATCATAATCATGAGACATGTTAATCGTTCGGTAGCAAGAAATGTTAATCAATCATATTTTTGGTAACATGTCATGAAAATATTGGTTGAACGTTTGGTCGAACGATCGGTTTGGTGAACTCTACTTTGAACCCCTCTAGGGACCACCTTATTTCTACCTCAATAGGGACCACTTTTTCAGCTTCTATAGGTGTTTTTAGGCTTGAAAAATGACAAAAATCATGAATTTAGATGGTTCCCCACCTACACGCTGTTCGGTTACTGCGACGGCTCCCATTTCTGGCCATATTCTTCGCTTTTCGTCCGGAATTCGGAACGGGTCCAGTGCGTCATTTCTACCGCCACCTGTGTCACGGCCGCCTATGTACTATTTCTTGAATTTTGGTTTCTCGTTGCTCTTTCTTGCTCTGTGTTGCTCATATTAGCTTTTTGGCAATTTTAATTTTGAAAATTCTCTTCCTAATAGGAATCCACGGATTTTGGTCATCATTTGCTTTTTTTCAAAAAAGCGAAAATCTCTTGAGTTTTGGCGCCTTTCCAACAAATTTTCAATTTTCTTGTATAAGTTACTGAAGCAATTTTGACGGTTTTTATGATTTTCATACTTTTTTTATTTTCAAAAATGCCAAAATCGGGACCAAATGTTGAATTTTCCCCATTAAGATCGCCTTCTTGCTGAGCGGCTCCTCGTTCTTCACCTGGTTCAAGTACTACTGGGTGCCTCTCTCGTTCTTCAGCTGCATGCTGGTCATGGTCACCTACCTGCAACACAACGAGGAGGATACTGAGGTGAACAAAAGCGGGAAAAATCAGCTGAAAACCAATGAAAATTCGAGAAGTTTGTGTAAAACTGCTCAATTTTTCTACAACTTTTCTGAAAAAATGCTCATTTTCTTTATCTGGGACATTTTTTCATGACAGAACCAGAAAAAAAACGACTTTTTCCAGGTCTACGAAGCCGACGAATGGTCGTTTGTCCGTGGCCAGACTCAGACCGTCGATCGGTATTATGGCCTGGGTCTCGACTCGACTATGCACCATATCACTGATGGTACTGTAGTTTTGTTGGATTTCTCGAAAATGCGACCATTTTAGGACACGTCGCTCACCACTTCTTCAACAAAATCCCGCATTACAATCTGATCGAGGCGACGGATGGCATCAGAAAGGTATGCAAAGGGTTTTGGGAGAAGTTATAGCCAATCCACGACCAAAAATGGTCCCGACACGATATCTGCCTTGACCAAAAGGGTCCTGACACGATATGTGCCTTAGCCAGACCAAAATGGGTTCCGACACGATATCTTCCTTAGCCAGACCAAATAAGGTCCTGGCACGATATCTGCCTTGGACAGACCAAAATGGGTCCTGAAACGATATCTGCCTTAGCCAGACCAAAATGGGACACGATATCTTCCTTAGCCAGACCCAAATGGGTCCTGAAAAGATATCTCTCTTAGCCAGACCATAATGGGTCCTGACACGATATCTGCCTCAGGCAGACCAAAAAGGGTCCCGACACGATATCTGCCTTGGACAGACCAAAATGGGTCCCGACAAGATATGTCCCTTAGCCAGACCAAAATGGGTCCTGAAACGATATCTGCCTTAGCCAGACCATAATGGGTCCTGACACGATATCTGTCTTAGCCAGACCAAAAAGATATAAGAAAAAATAGTGTCTATATGATGGAGAGCCCAGACAGTTCACCACTTCTTAGCATTCCAAGCTAGCCGTGAGTCTGATATACTGAGGATCCTCTGAGTGATCCCTATAGGGGCATCTAGGGACCACTAAAGCTTGCAAAAGTGGCCCCCATAGGAGAAATTCTAGTCGATAATTGTTATGAACTCCTAGCGAAGAAGCAATTCCATGGGAAAAACTGAATAAATAACCTTTTTTGAATAAAATTGAAAGACCCCTATGGGGACCACTTAAGCTTTAGGGGCGAAGGGGTCAGACTCTTAACCCTCATAGGGATCACCTTGATTTTACCTCTATAGGGATCACTTTTTCGGGCCCTTTTCAGGGGCTAAGGAGTCCGACTCTAAACCCCTATAGAGACCACCTTAATTTGACCCTATAGGGACCACTTTTTCGGCCCCTGAAAGCTGTTTTAAGGCATCTTTGTCCATGAAAAACGGCCTTCGAACCTTTTTTCAGGCTTGAAATAGTTCTTTTTCTATACTAATTCCATATATTCACATTAAAATTTCCATTTCAAGGTGCTGGAACCACTGAAGGGCACCCAATACGCCTACAAATACCAGGTCAACTACGACTTCTTCGCGAGATTCCTCTGGTACAACGTCAAACTCGACTATCTGGTGCACAAGAGCAAAGGCGTCCTCCAATTCCGGTCCCATTCAGAAGCTCAAGCCAAAAAATCGCTTTAATTTCGAAGCAAAACGGCCCTTTTTTCTCTGACCTTCACATTTTTTTGTCACATTTTTCCCCCAAAAAACGTGTTTTCTCGTAATGAATAATATGGGCTTCTGTATTCATCCAAAAACTTCGGGTGATCTTTTTTTTCAGAACTTTTGTCGCATGTTGCGAATTTCCTAGGCCCCTTTTTTCAGTATCCATGTAGTGATTTTTTTGTTTTTTTTTTACGGAGAATGACAATAAATGATTGTGGATTTGGTCGATTTTGATGTTTGACGTAAAAAAAATGTTTCGTTTGGAGTATTTCTGAAGAAAGAAATTTACAGGGTTCGGAATAGTTGGAAGTTCTGTTTTTCATGGATTTTTATTGGAAAACGTATGTTTTTCCATAATTTTTTTGTTTTTTTGTTTTTTTGTTTTTTTAAAAGTAGTGAGTGCTTTTTTTATATTTCCTTGATTATATTCAGAAAATTTTTTTATGTGAAAAAGAGTTTTTTTCAAAAAAATATTTCAATAGCCAAAAAAATCCAAACAAATGAGGATAGGAAGCTTCTTTCAATATAAATTGAAGTTCAAAAAAACCTTGAAATCTGAATTTTTAAGAAAAAAACAAGGAAAAAAATAGGATTTTTTTACACGGCCAATGATCACACGAGTGTAAATTTTCGCAAGAACAGTTAAATTTTTTTCGAATTTTTTTGCGATTTCAGTTTTATGAATTCTAAGATTTTTGTTCAAATTCAATAAAATTTAAGCTGGAAAAAGTCAAAAGTCATGCATTTTTTTCGAAAAGTCTGAGAAAAAAATAGGCCTACCATTTTTTTCAAGTTCGAATCCTCTCCAATTATTTTTGAACTTGAAATTTATATAATTGAATCAGTTTCAAAAATGCTTATTTTTTTGTTCTACTTACCAATATTTTTCAAGATTTCATAGACTTTTTAAAATTTTATTTTGAGTTTTGATTATCAATATTCGCCTGTCATCAAGAAAAAGGAAACGTTCAAATTTTATTGGATTTTCCCGACTATAATACACTTCATAAACCTCAGAAATAGAAAGTTTAAAGTGCAACCGCTCAAGAAAAATCTCACCTGTCCCAACGGGAAAAAAACTCAAAGAACGACCAAGTTGGACAGCAGTTTTTGAAAAATGGCGCCACGTGCGACTAACTTCTCGTCTCTTTTCGAACTCTTTCGACTTTTTCTTTTGAATAAATGTATAGGGTCGATTTCACATGATTCATTTTGACATGGGAAAGGACTAATGCGAAAAAGTGATCAAATTTTGAATTTCAATCGATTTTCGGCCAGTGGTGGTGTGTTTCCCCATGTTTATTTCGAAAGGAACTTCAAACTGGCTACCAAATCTTTATCGGAAGTTCGCGAATATTTTTGTGAGCTCGAAATCAATCCCTTAAATGTTCTTTTTTCCACCTTCTCTCACTTTTTTCATTTTTTTCGTGATAAAAAAATCTTCAAAATAAGCAGAAAATGACTCATATCGAAGTATTAGAAAATTTATTTCATCAATTTGGATCACTTGATTGTTATTTATCAATTGTCCGGTCAGCTTCGCCGTAGCCAAGGATTTTTTTATCATTCACAGATTTTTTTCAAATTTCGTAGTGTAGTGAGTCTATTTTTTTCACAAACATCTTGATATCATAAATGATGCAGTTTTTTAAAAAAACTCATGAAAAATGAGAGAAAAGGATGTTTTTTTAAATTGTCGGTTTCAGATCTGAAAAAAATTCATGAACATTTTTTTCAAGAAGTACATTTTTTTGAAGGCTTGCGGAGCCCTTGATTACCTTAAAAAAATCGGCTTCTTCTTGTAAAGAACTGCCAGAATATTTAAATACTTTCGAATTAAACCTTGAAACTTTGTAATTCCGATATTGATTTTTTTGAAAATTCCAAATATCAACTTTCTCTAATCCACTTTCCTGCATTTATTTTTTAACAAGGTATCCAAAACTTCGACTTTTTGTTTTCAAACCTTCGCGCTCTGAAAATCGTCATCTTTCAAGAATTTCATCAATTTTATCAATAACTGTCTAATAAGCTTGACCATCCTTCTCGAATCAAAAAGAAAAAAGTGCGGGACAACGGTGTGTGGCGTGAGTAGAGCAGAGGACAAAAGACATACACCAATCACGCCACAATTTCGTCTCGGCTGCTGTCCGTTTTTTTCCACCTCTATCACTATCGCCATGGTTATCTCGGTGATATTACCTCCTTCGTTTCCCTCAGTTCTTTCAAATTTTCACGCCCGGTGTTTCCAGCCGGCTTTCTGATTTTTTGGGCTTGATATTTTTTTTTTTTGAAAAATTTGACCTTTTGATGAAGACATTTTTTGATTCACGGCGTTTATCCTGTTCTTGTGCTCTCTTTTTTTAAAATTATTTTAAGTTTAATCAGATAGTTTGTTCAGGTAATCACCACAAACGTCAAAACCATGACCATCCCCACACAGATCCAGACAAAGAAGACCGAGCTCAAGCGGACGGTTCGTTTTTTTTTTAGAGAAAGTTGAAAAGCAATTCGAGGGGTTTCTTAAACTAGGCCTTTTTTTCTTTGATTTTTCTTTCGAATATATTTAAAATTTTTCAAAAATTTCCTCATGGCGAAAGGGAAATTTCGAAATTTATTTATTATTTTTTTCTTCAGAAGATCCATTTATTTCAAGTGTCAAGAATCTATACCAACTCAAAAGGAAAATCAAAAATTTTTGAGCAGGGAGTAATGAATATCCGAAAAACGAGCGGTGCAGCTCCCAAAAGTTTCATTAAGCAGACCAAAATTTGAATCCAAGAAGCTAAGCAGACCAAAATGCAGCTCTCAAAAATTTTAAGCAGACCAAAACTTATATCCAAAAAAGTTAAGCAGACCAAATTGCAGCTCTCAAAAATTTTAAGCAGACCAAAACTTATTTCTAAAAAAGTTAAGCAGACCAAATTGCAGCCCTCAAAAATTTTAAGCAGACCAAAATTAATTCCAATAAGGCTAGGAAGACCAAAATGCAGCTCCCAAAATTTAAAGCAGAATTCAATTCCATTAAGCTACGCAGACCAGGGCTTTCAAAAAAAGCCGACCGAATTAGAGCTTTCGATATTTTTCTGAAGACTGAGGATATTTAAAAAATGTTTTCATAATTAATTGTGTTTATGCAAGTTATATCTAACCTTTTTTCAGCCTGTCCCAACCCTGCCGACAATGACGGCAATCAAGGCGGCCGTTCCGGAGCACTGTTTCGTCAAAGATCCGATCAGATCGATCAGATATTTGATCCAGGACTTGCTTCTTCTGGTTGGACTATACGCGGTTCTTCCCTACGTTGAGGGCTACTTCGGCTGGATAGGTCTTCTCGCATGGTTAGTTCTCTTAAAAATACATATATCAATTTGAAATCTTTTATTTTCAAGGTATTGGGCGATTGGCTTCGTGGGCTGCTCACTTTTCGTTGTGGGACACGACTGCGGCCATGGCTCATTTTCCGATTATGAATGGCTCAATGACCTCTGTGGCCATTTGGCTCATGCTCCGATTTTGGCGCCATTCTGGCCCTGGCAGAAGTCTCACCGACAACATCATCAAGTAAGATTTTCTGGAGGAGATAAATTATAACGAGAATTGATTTCAGTACACAGCTCATTTGGAGAAAGACAGAGGGCATCCTTGGGTCACTGAGCAAGATTTCAACAGCCGGAATCTTATCGAGAAGTATTTCTCAGTCTTGCCCATTTCTGGATGGCTGAGGTTGGTTTCTGGGGAAAACCGTGAAGGGGAATCATGTAAATTCCAACTGATAAGAGCGAATATCGATTGATTTTAAAATAGAAAAATCGGATGTTGAAAAGAGGCGCGCCGTAGCGCAACAGGTTGTGTGCCTGCCTACGGTCCACAGGGTCACAAGTTCGATCCCCGCCCCGACCCAACCAAGGGGTTTAAGAAATGTTTGTTGTGGGAAACCACGGCTTCATAGTCCCCAGCTGTCACACACAAGGACGGATATGTCACTGGAGACAGTCCACTGATATCAGGATAGGACTTCGGCTAATCGACTTGGGGCGCCGACGCCGCTCAAACGGTACAAAGGCATAAGAAGAAGAAGAGGATGTTGAAAAGTGCTTTCTGGAAGCTGCATTTTGGTCTGCTTAGATTACTAGATTTTGATTTTTGTGATCTTAAAAATGTTGAGAGCTGCAATTTAGTACGTCTGCTTTTTTTAAACTTTGAACCAAAAATTTTATTCGGTATTCAAAGAAGGTTGTCTGCTGATTAATTGAAGAGTTGTTGTTGGTTTGCAAAACTTTAGTTGATCACAGCGCAAGGTCTTTCTTATTGAAATAAAAGCAATCAAGGTTGATTTTTTTCGATGATCACTGTTTCTCTATGTTGGAACAGTACGGCGCGCAGTTTGTTCAGGGTTGACGGGTGTATTTGGGAGGTAGAAATGAAATAATACTGGCTATTATTTAAAACCAAAGTTCACGTTTTCAAAGTTTATAGTTTCACCTCCAAAACTGTCTCGCTGATAATCCAGAAACTAATTTAATTTTTGTCGCAAAAATTTAGAAAAGTATACTGGAATACTTGAATACTAGAATACTAGAATACTTGAAAGGGCTTCCATTTATATTTTGATCTGTTTTCAAAAAAGGAGAAATGTTGGACTTCTTGGCTTCTTGAGAGCTGCAAATTGGTCTACTTAACTTTTTTGGAAATAAGTTTTGGTCTGCTTAAAATTTTTGAGAGCTGCAACTTGGTCTGCTTAACTTTTTTTTGAAAATAAGTTTTGGTCTGCTTAAAATTTTTGAGAGCTGCATTTTTTTTTTTGCTACGGTTTTTGTGCTTCTCAGTTTTCCTAAAGTAGCGTCTTGCTCTGCCCAAACTTTCAATCGGAAACTCTTCTATGGTCCCTGACCTCTAAAAATATAAATGCTTTGCCTATTCTTGTCCTTCTGAAAAAAAAGAAAACTTGGCAAGAAATAACCTGACGGCCGCACCTTTAGCTTAACCCTCTTTAGGACGGATTAGGCGCTAAGAACAGCGCCAAATCGGGTCCCTCATGTTTGTTGGCCAGCTGTCCTTTTTGCACTTTGAACTAGAACGACATAGACAAATAGATACCGTAATCACCGTAATCCATTGCAGATGGAACCCAATTTATACGGTAGTTGGCCTTCCCGATGGATCCCACTTCTGGCCATGGAGCAAGTTGTTCGACAACAACACTGATCGCGTCAAATGTGTCGTTTCTGGCGTGGCTTGCTTCATCTGCGGATATGTTAGTCACAGTAGTCTTCATACAGTAATTGATAGAGTGTTACTGTAGATTGCCTTCGTCTGGAGCGGTTATTCAGTCTACAACTGGGTCAAATACTACTACGTTCCTCTGCTCTTCCAAGGACTTATTCTGGTCATGATCACTTATCTTCAACATCAGAACGAAGAAGTCGAGGTGAGATGAGTTACTGTGAGACTTTTTCAGAAGCTTTCGAAAAATTCATGCTTTAGTTGTAAAGGACAAAGTTAAAGGGAAAATCAAATTGTATTTTCAAAACTAGGAGGATTTATCAAAAGTAGCACCTTTTTTTGAAATCCAAGATTTTTAGGAAGCAGCCGTCCAGAAAGAGTTTGAGGGCTGCATTTTGGCCTGTTTAACTTTTGTTATAGGCTGATTTTGGTCTGCTTAGTTTGTTGGTTTTTGATTTTGGTCTGCTTAACTTTTTTGAGAGCTGCATTTTGGTCTGCTTAGTCTCTTCGATTTTGATTTTGGTCTGCTTAACTTTTTTGAGAGCTGCGTTTTGGTCTGCTTAGTCTCTTCGATTTTGATTTTGGTCTGCTTAACTTTTTTGAGAGCTGCATTTTGGTCTGCTTAGTCTCTTCGATTTTGATTTTGGTCTGCTTAACTTTTTTGAGAGCTGCATTTTGGTCTGCTTAGTCTCTTCGATTTTGATTTTGGTCTGCTTAACTTTTTTGAGAGCTGCGTTTTGGTCTGCTTAGCTTCTTGATATTTTATTCGTAACCAGTGCACAGAGTAATTATTTCTACAGTAATCTTAAACTTCACAGATCTACGAACCGGAAGAATGGCAGTTTGTCCGCGGCCAGACTCAGACGATCGACAGAAAATGGGGCTTCGGATTGGACACCCTCATGCACAATATCACTGATGGTAAGTCTTGAATAGTTCGGGATATGAAATGACGTCATCCGTTTCAGGCCACGTCGCTCATCACTTCTTTTTCACCAAGATCCCTCACTACAACTTGCTCGACGCTACTGAAGGAATCAAGAAGGTGAGAAATTTTTGAAGAGGTGATTGTAGGAGAAAAGAACTTTCCGAGCTTCTGAAAAAAATTCATCGAGGTTCTCAATAATAAAAGAGTTATAATTGGCCGCGCATCAACTAACTAGTGACGTCATTATAGCCAATTCATGGTTTTTGAGCCCTTTTTTCTAACGTCATCGGGTTCATTTTTCGGAGAGTTTAATCGATTGAAAGTTTTGGCTGCGCACCAACTGGTATACATTTTAATGAAGCCATCAAACTATAAAATCAGTTCTCGACTTCATTAGGCCTACATAAAGGCTTTCCAAGGCAGTTTCGTTTCATTCCAAAAAGAAGTCTCCTAATTTGACTGCGCATCATCTGAGACTTTTGCAGGTCCTGAAACCCCTGGACGGAACGCCGTACGGCTACAAGAGCGAGACGAACATGGACTTTTTCTTCAAATACATGCGCTACAACATGAAACTCGACTATTTGATCCACAAGAGCAAGGGCGTACTCCAGTACCGTGTCGGCGTCGAAGCCAACCGAAAATCCCAATAATAAAATTGCCCTCTTTTGTCCATATTTGCTCCAGATTAACAAGGTACCGTTGCGGGTTAGCCAATAGTTTTTTTTCTTTATATTTTTTTTTGATTTTTCTTCAATAAAATTGAAGCTTTTACGTGTTGCGACAAGGCAGAAGGATCATGAGATCAACGGAAATCGTCCTGTGCAAACATGAGCTTTTGCTCTTTTTTTAAAGTGAATTCGAGAATATTTCTAATTTTTTGAGACTATTCAGGATGATTCGGATGTTAAAAAATCAGAAGAGATTTCACGGTGTTCCGCGCAATGAAAAAAAATGCGAAATTTTGGGTCCCAGCGGCATATTATCCGTGGCGCATTATTGCGCCCTTCTCATCGTTTCTGATGCAAAAATTGAATTTCTTCACTTTTTTCATTGGTTTTTTACTTTTTTCTATTTCTTGCATTTATGTGATCCGCCTCTCTATGGGTACATCTTGTGGAGCTTTAAATTGCGCATTTTTCTAAACCGGTTTCAGATCTTTAACTTTTTTTCTCAAAAAGAGCTGAAGATTTTTTTCTAAAAAGTCCTAATTTTTTTCAAAAATTTCGAAATCTGTTTCGCGACATGAAAATAATCACTCTAATTCGGAAACTATAGTTTTTTTAATTTAATCAGTTAATAATAAAAAAAGTTATTATCTAGTTCCTTTGACGTAGTTTAAAAACCGGTTTCGCGTAAATTAGAGCCAAATTGAATTTGCTGATGCAGTTTAATGATTTTTGATATATGCATCATCTAAATTATATATTTTTTTCTAGTTTTTTTGATGGTTTTTTTCGGATTTAAACAAAAAAATTTCGCCATACGAGGTTTTCTTTCTAAAATTTCTGCTTTCTATCCATTATATGTTTTTTTCTGAAACTAGGTTTTTCGAGGTATATAAAATGTTTTTTTCATTTGCTCCTCGAATTTTTCCTCATTTCAATATTTTTTTCGTATTTATAAATGCTTATTCAATGGGAGCTGATTCATTTTTCATAATATTTTTTTGTTTTTTTATTTTTGTAATCAGTAATTTAGAGTTTTTCCCTTTTTCGAAATCGTTCCTAAATGTTTTTTTAACGTAAGTGAATGTTTTTTTCACATCATATTCTTCAAAATGACAAATTTCGAACATTTCAGGAGCTATTATCCTGAAATCGCAAATTCTAAAATTGAAAAAAAGTATTTTTGAGTATGCGATAGGGCGTCTCGGTGTGCTTACACTCTAAGCATCATTATTTACGAAAAGTCTTGACCTAGCGTAATAAAAAAAACACCGTGATTTACAAATTTCTCGAGGCATAAATTCCTTTCCTCCTGAATTTCTGCGCTTTAAAAATTCACAGAGAGGGGATTTCATCAGAATTTGTCTTTAATGTGAAAGTGAACCTTATAATAAATTTTTTCAAACGAAAATTCGATACAGAAAAAGATAAGACTGTTTTTGTTAATTTGCGCGTCTCCGAGTACGTGGTGCAGGTTTGCGTCGATCCGCTATGAATTTTTTTATCGATCGACGGTGCTTAACAAAAATTCTTTTTTTTTTTGTTTTTCATTTTTTCAAATTCATTTTAACACCCGTTTGATTTGCTTTTCCTCTTTCAAATTGTGATAAGTTTGAAGTAAAACACATTTCCGTTGATTTTTTTAGGAGAAATAATCGTTTTTAAAAATAATTTTTTTCGGCTTCATTTCTCAAATTTCACAGTTATAATTCGCACGGCTGTTTGCTCTCTTTTTGAGGTAATTTTTTTATGGAATGGTCATTTAAATATGTTTATTGATGATTCTGAAAAAAATTTAAGAAATTTTGATGATTTCTAGTCCCTCCAAAGTTTTTTTCCGGCACAGTTTTCATTTTTCTGAAAAGTTCGTTTTTTTCTTTGAATTTTTGTTATATTTTTGTCATTTTTTTCTTGAAATGATCAGATATTTCGAGACGAGCACCACAACGATGATAGACGTCCAACATATTGATAAAAAAATCGTCGGGAGAATATTAATCTAGGAAAATATGCTTTTAGAAGGTTTATTTTTTTTTCTTATTCTGTCAAGATCATTTTTTGATTATTTTCTCTGATGAATGTTTCAAAATATGCTTATTGGTGTTGAATATAGAATTTTTAGCAATTTATTATTTTGGTAGCAGCTCGAAAACCGTGCTTTGAGAACACGCTCTAGACAAGGAGTTCAAGAAATCGAATTGTTGTCAATTTTTTTTTTTTGAGAAACGCTGAAATTAGTCTCATGTAAAGCATTTCGAAAGTTTCAAATTTTTTTTTCTCCGTCCAGCTGAGAAGTTCCAAGCTCTTTTCAACATTTTTTTCCTCCAGAAGCTCAAAAACCGTTCTTGCAGGATACTTCGGCCATACAAGGGGAAAAGATGTCTCCGTCGTTGACCAGAAATCGGCGGAGCCTCTCCGTCGTCTCGAAGAAGGTGGAAACAGTCGGACTGTGTGCTCTTTCGCGGCCGTGTTTGCGCTTTTTCGTGCCATCCCAAGGCGGCTCGAGTGGCTCGTCGTTTCGCTCGGAAACATTGCTTCTTCAGAGGTGATATATCTCGCGACTGGTTTCGAGGATCCATCTGTCGAACCTCTTGAAACTTATCTCTTGTTTTTTTTTTGTTGGAAAAAAAATGGGAAGTAGAGTTTATCACTGGAGCAAGTATGACCTTAGGAAAGTCCTATAACTGAAGTGGAAAAATCTGGATGTATGATGGAAATAATCACAGAAATCGCTGATTTTAATAATTAGTTGATTTTTATCATTGGAGCGCACTTGGTGATAAATTTTAGATTTTTGGAATTTCGCGTGTTTTGAGACCTGTAGGAATTCTTGCAACTTACTTCTTGTCTTTTTTCGAAATAGGAAGTAGAATTTGGCGCTGGAGCAAACATGACCTCACAGAAAATTTTGCAGCAAAAACAAAGAAGAGGACGCCAAAGTGGCCACTGAAACCCCACTAAAACGTCAAAACCCTATAGTGGCCACGGAAAATTTGTCCAGTATTGTTGTAGTTTACTCTTTACTCACCCACAGAATTGTGCGAGGGCCTGCCCGTCAACCTATCGGGCTCCCCTACCCTTTTCTAAGCCCGACTCGGCCCGTCCTTAGGGGTGCCTAGAGCAGAATCGGCCGGCCGGACCCAAAAAGCGCAAGTTTTCACCAAGTCAGTGGCTACTTTAGTAGCCTCAGCACTCTTAAGTGGTCCCTAGAAATGCCCAGAAACGTCCGGAGCACGTCCGTTTCGCGTTGCGAGTTGATTTGAACAATACAAGCCTCATCATTGGAGCGTACTTGATAAGTTTTGGATCCTTTGGAATTTTGCTTGTTTTCAGGAGCGATCTGTAAAACCGCTTAAAATTAACCAGTACTTTTCTGAATAAAAAATTTGCCTACAAAATAGCAAAAAAGAGAGGTTATCGTTGGAGCGAACAAGACCTCACAGAAGCCTTGTAATATAAAACAAAAATCCTTGTAGCTTTTTTTCTGAAAAACAGTTGAGTGAACTTTGGGTGAAAAATACTATTTTCAATTGGAAAGTACTCAATAAATTCTATAGCTTGAAGTTTGGAAAATTTGGGGTATTTTAGAATATCGCAACTGTTTTTTGAAGAGCCACCTTTTTCTTGAAACAGTATTTTTTTCTAGTTGACAATAAATTATTTAAAAAATTAAGAAGTGAAAAAAAAGAGTAGAAGACGTGTTATTACTAGCTACAGAGAAGGAAAATCCATTGAAATACGTTTCTAAGATAACTTAAATTACGGAGAGCAATGTGAGAACTTAATGGAATCAGCGCTCTTGGCCGTAATGATTTTTTTGAAAAACGCATCTTTTTATTTTTCAGTGAAAGTTTATTAAGAATTGAAAGTTCCGTAGTTGTTAGGAACATAATTTTTTTCGTAAGTATAAAGAAATTTTTCTTTTTAAAGCGTTTGAATGGATGGCAACTTGAATATTTTCAAGCTTGATTAAGATTTTATTAACAGTTATGGCAGAGTAAAAAAAGATTTATGAAGAAACAAAATCAGTTTTTGAAGTTTGTTAATGAATTAATGAAAAAAATCTGAAATCTGTTAAAAAAATCTGTTTGAAATCTGTTAATGAATTGATGAAAAAAATCTTGTAAAAAAACAGAAAAAAATTCTTAATTTTGATTTGTAATGGTTCTACCCTTCTTAAAACTCAAATATTTGTAATCTTTAAGTTTTAAGAAGGGTAGAACCATTTTCCGAAACTCATCATCCATTTTTAAAAGTTTTTTCAGACATCTAAAAACTATACGACATCTTTAACTTCCACGCTCAATAATTCAAGTCCCGCTCTTCCAAAACCCCCATCGCCGATCAGATAATCAAATAATCAGTTTTTCGCCACGGAGTGATGAGTTTTTTGGCAATCGGCCAGACCGGAAGAAAAACGATATTTCAATACGAAAAAGTTGACTCGCCGACGCGGCGCCCGTTTTTTTCCCCCACTGCTTTTTGCCGTTCTCTCTGTCTCTCCCTTCACGCAGAAAGTTTGCCGGAATTTCTGGAATTTCGGAAAACTTATGAATCCACTGCGCAAAAATGTGACATCTTGACTTTTTGCCCAGTTTTTTTCTTGTGTTCTGATCTCGTTGTTTGAGCTTGATCTTCAGGTTTTTGAGTAGGATTTTGGAGGGAAAGAAGCTGGAAAAGTTGGGAATATGATTCTTGTTTGTAATAGTACGTAATCTGCTGTCAAGGCTGTTTTTTTGAAAAATATAATAAGAATACAAAAATCCATCTTCAGGTTAGAATTTTTTTTGACACTTTACCAACTTGAGAAGTTTAAGCTAGTACGGAAAGTTCTGGACAAGAAAACTTAAATGCCGAAAAATCTTTCGAGTTACTTGAGGCCAGGAGGGTGAAACTTTGAATTTGAATTAATGATTCTGAAAAATTGAGGGCCAGAAAAACTTTATGATGAAAAAAAAAGCGGTTGAAACAGAATTCAACATTTTTTGACTGATTTGAGTCTTTTTCCCTACTGGGATAAGTCTTAGAAAATACTCTTAAAACATTAAAATTTGAAGATAGATTATTCTTAATTTTTCAAGCTACCTTGTTCAAGAAAAAGCGTTTGAACTTTAAATTTGGATAAAAATGTCATTTTTGTCTCTGATTTTTTTTTAAAGTGGCCCTTATAGTGGTTTCAGTAAGTGGCCCCTTCAGGGTCATGCTAGTCGAAAAATTTTTTTATGAACTATATGTAAAGCGTAAAACTGAATAAATACGCTTTTTTTAAAAAAATTAAATTGAAAGACCCCTATACAGACCACTTTTTTGTCCCTTATTGGGGCTGTTTTCCCCCTAAGCCCTATAGGGACCACTCTGAAACTCCCAAGTGGCGATCTTCGCACTCTAAAACGATACCTGCGAGTCAATATTTGCATAGAAATAACCTGTGAAGACCCGAGTTTTTGAAAAAAAAAACATTATCAAGTAAAATCTAAGAATAAGATCGAATTAAAGCTCTTTGAAAGGTCAGATATGATTATTTTATTGATGGAGGCTATAATGGAAAAGTTTGGAGTTTGAATTTCATTCAGTAAGTTTCATTTTTGAGTCAAAAAGTGTGCTACAAGATTAAAAAAAGAAGTTTAAAAAAATAGGCTTTAATATTAATTTCAGAGTTTTTCAAGATTTTTTGAAGTTTTCTGATGAATAATTCAGTTGACGATGATTCATCCAGACCCCCCGAAAAAATTGTAGTTTGGCTGCATTCCACACGTGCTTCTTCTTCACGTGAATCTTGATGGGAACGGCTAAGCCGCTGAGGAAAAAAAAAATTGGCGCGAAAAAAGCGCGGCTCTATTTGCACTTGTGTCCTCTGCCCCAGCGCCAATGAGCCGAGAAAAAAATGGGCAATCTTTTGGAAATTAATCTTTGAAACATGTTATTAAGAACTAGGAGGGATCTTTTTTTCAAAAAGGAAATTTTTGTCAGAAGGAATTTTTTATTTGAAATAAAAATTATGATTTTTTGGTTAGGCAGGCTTTATAGAGACTCGAAATAGCTGAAAAAAATTGAAAGTTTGAAAAAAATGATGAATTTTCTGTTTGAACAGACAAATCTAGTGAAAATATTATTTTGAAATCGTAAAAAAATCATGGATTTTTCAAGTCTCCAAGGTTCAGAACCTCTATCAATTCAGAATATTAGAGAAAAATACCTGAAAACCTTCATTCATTTGAATAAGTTTCCGTATAGTTCTACTGCCAAAATTTGAGATAGTTCTAAAAATTTTGAGCCCATTAATAATGAAACTATGATTCAAAGTACAGGTCTGAGTCATACTGAAAATAATAAAAAATGAAGAAACCAGTCTTTAAAGCTTTCAAAAAAGTTTGACATGCCCCCAAGAAAAAAAAAAACTCCTCGCACTCATTAACTAGGGATGACGTCACTTGAGAGGTGCTGCTCAAACAGAAAGAAAGACTCAGGGGCTCTCGCCCCGTGTGAATCACACTTTCCGGACAAGTGGCGGACGAACACTTTTCTTTGCCTTTTGTTCGCCTTTTTTATCGCCTGGAATGTCGAACGAATCTTTCGACGTTCTCACAGAGGCGATTCCAGAAATATAGTCTAGTTTGGGTGTCTGGGACTTTGAGAAATGTGAAAAAAAGGTAAGAATCGGGACAACAGAGAAGCTTGAACTTCTGACTGGAGAACGCCCCCGTTGAACTTTTTGATGAAACTTCGCTGAAAGGTACTTTAGGACCTCCTGATTGCAGAGCAAGAACAAAATTTTACGCAATAGACCTTGTTTTCGAGTTATGAAGCTTCCAAGGTCTGCAAATAGGCCTAAAAAATTTCAAGCTTGTGAAGCTTCAAAATAAGATCTTTTGGGAGAAATATTTTTCTTGTTTTGCAATCCGGAGGTCCTAAAGTACACTTCAGCAAAGTTTCGTCAGAAGTTCAACCGGGGAAGAGGGGGATGAAAAAAAAACGTTTCCTAGTGAGGGGCTTCAATGAATAAGTTCTGTTTTCTGAAGGTTTTTTGACATTTCTGAGGGAAATTTGAGTAATTTTAAATTTCGATTGTTCTTGTCTGACCCTAGTGATAGTTAAGAAGTTGGCATTATCTTTGATTTTTGAGATTCAAAGTCTGAAAAAAATAGAGCTTTTTTTGAAAAAAATTAGATGCTTGAATAAAGTCACTTAGAATTTATATACTACTAAAGTACTATTTTTTTGAGTACTTCAGAAGTTTATTCAAATGATTTTTTTAATCCAGATGAATTGATTTATACTAATTTCAAGTCTTTGAAATCTTTGATAACCTTACAAAATAAAAAAACTATGAGCCGTGAACTTTTTCTTTCACAATGGGGCGTAGCTGTAGGACTTGATTTTTCAAAATTTTTAGTTTTTTTAGTGGTTTTTTAATATCTTTTTTTGAAACCTTATTTTTATTATAAATTTTTCTGAAAAAAAGTTTTTTTATTTTTTTGGCTTTTGAAAGGAAAAAAAATAGCCCAAAGGAAAAAGTGCTCATTTTTTTATAATTTATAAAACCAAGTAACATTTATTTAAAATAATATCGAGAAGCTTCTCTGGAGACCAAAAAAAGATGCGGAAGTTCAAAAATAGACAAAAAATGAATCGGAAGACCACCAGGCCGGTTTTAGTTTGAAAACAGAGGTTTGAATTTCAAGGTTTCCAGACGGCGGTGGCCTTTTTAAGCTTTGATTTTTTTCTGAATTTTTCTAGGAGACATTTTTTTAATAGTAATTATAGTTTGAAACATTAGGGAGTATAGAAAAAAACATTAGGTAGTATAGTTTTTTTAATTTAAAGGATAAGAATTTATTTAGTTCAAAGCTGATCTCATTTATCTCTTTATTTAGTTCAAAGCTGATCTCATTTCTCTTTCGGCTCTAAAAAGAAAATTTCTGAAGGTTTTTTTGAAACTTGTTTAATTTTTATTGAGAAGTTTAAGTTCGGTAGTACTGTAGTGGTCACTGGAGGGGCAAGGAATTGAAGTTTAATTTTACGGAAGAGCAATTTTTCAACAGAAAGACCTCAAATGGCTACTTAATTTTGAAATTTTGAGGATAATATTAAAAAAACAATTGGATTGCTTTGCAATATACTGTTTTGATGAGAATTCTCGAAAAATGACGCCTTTTTTGGAAGAATTACTAGAAAAACCATGTTATAAAAAATAAAAAGTTCACGTTGTTCTAAGTTATTTCGCTCAATCTCATCCTCAAGCTTCTTCAAATTTTTGATCATATTTGATTGAAAAAAAATTACCAAATAACCCCTTTTACGAGAACAGACAATGAAAAATGATAAGCAACACGGTGAGAATTTTGGTTTCTTGATGACCAAAGTGAGGTCTCTCTATATTTGGTGGCCTTCTTCGCAAACCCTTGAACCGCTTCGCGAACTCTTCTTTTTTCTTCCATGCGCATATTTTCCCACAGTTTCGAGATCGCCGTTCAGCTGCACACTTGCTTTTTTTCTCCTGCAAAAAGAGGTGTTCGCGAAATTCCTTGCTGTCTGTGGTTTTTGAGGCTTTTGTTGCGAATTTTTGAAGAGTCTTTGTTTAATATTGTTAGAATCTAAGGATAGTTAAATTTTAAAACTGGGAAAAGACTTTCTCCAGAAGGTTTGAAGGTTCAGAGACTTTTGAGAGAAATCAAAAAAAAGAAAAAAATTTCAAGGGGGTGCTAGGAAATTTCTTAGCGGCCTCTATAGGATTTTGACGTCTTAGTGACCACTATAGTAGTCAAATTGGTGGCCACTATAGAGTTCTAAGTGGTTCTACTAGACTACTGAAAATTTTAGTGGCCACTTTAGGGGTCAATGGATCAACATAACTGGTCCAATCTGTCTGTTTTAAACTTATCAACTGGAAGGAACACTGGATGAAAAACTACTGAAGTGGTCACTAAATAGAGAACCCTATAGTGGCCACTAAAACGGAAAGTAGTGACCACTATAGCGGTGGTTTTAGTGGCCACTTGAGTGTCCTCTTCAAGTAGTCCTTGGGGAGCCTCTAAAGTGGGTACTAAACATTTTCCCAGATCATAAAAGAATTTTTGTAATTTACTACCTTGAGATTTTTTTTTCAATGACTTTATTTTGAACCTTGAAAAATTTTCAGACTTTCAGAAACATGGAAGGAGCTTCATTGTATTTTTGTAATTTTATAAACATTTTTTTCAAAAAAATTAGGTTTTATCTTCTGGCCCATAAAGTGGAAAAAAATGAAGCTTTCTATTAAATTTTTGACGGATAATTATATATATAGGGACCGCAGAGCCACGCCCACTTCGCTGTTCAAAAAAAACTTCGTCATTTTCGTTGCATTTTTGGTTCTTTTTTTATATTTTTAAAACAGTTTTCTTGTACCGATTTGGGAAAAAAATTGGGGAAACATACAATCGGCTATGCTTAACAATCCTACATAAAAAGAAAATACTGAAAAAAATAAGAAATAAGAATGTACGACGACAGTTTTTAAAACGCATTTGTGGCCGAAAACGGATAAAAATCCCGTTTTTTCTTGAAAGTTTCTGGGCAACTTTTTTTATTCTTGAATATCATAAAGCAACTAAAAACGCATATTCTAGCAAAAAAAATAAAAAAATTCTATGGTTGGCCTCAAAAAATAACGCAATTTGAACATCATGATTTTCGAAATTCCTTATTTTCGAAAAACGCAATCGATAATTACTGATTATATTTTTTTAAACGGTTGTTTGCAGTTGTTTGCAAATTTTTAAAAAAATAGAAAACTAAGTTTTTTTCATCGATTATATAGTTTATATGAAAGCTTAAAATTTCCGTTTTTTTGTAACGCTTTGTAAACGGCCCAAAGCGTTCTGGGCAAGTTTTTTTATTTCATAATATCAAACATTACACATTTCTCTACAACATATCAAAAAATAAAAAAATTCCTAGGATGGCCCGAAAAGTATGGTTAATTTAAACGCTCGAAAGCTATTTTTTTAAAACTGCGCGTCGTTGGAAATCTGCAGACACCGCGAAGGCCACGAAATTTTTCGAAAGCGTGAAGAAGGTTTTTTAAAACTATTTATGTATTCTATTCAAATTTTCTCGTTTTATTGTGGCTTTATAGTTGCTTTTCACTCATTTCATAATTGGAATCTTTTTCCTATATCATTATATCCATTATAGCAGCGAGAAAAGTATTAAATTTCGCTTTTACTCAAACTTTTTTGAATTTGTTCAGAATGTCAAGTAAAGAATTCTAAAAAATTGTTTAAGTACATTCCATGTAGACGCACAAACTTCAGAGAAAAATAAAAGAAGTAGAAAATCAAAATTAAAACGCTTTCGCCCTTTTTTTTTATAAAAAAACTCTCTGAAAAAGGACTTGGCGATTATTTACATATTTTTCAGTAAATTTCTTAGTAGACTGTTACATTTTCAATTCGGTTTAATGCTGTTCGTCCTTCGCAGAGGTCTATTTTGTCGGTTATTTTCTTTTTTTACGAAATGCATTGAAACCTTGTTCAAAACTCGCTTTTCAGCAGCGTGAGTGCTTGAAGAGTAGGCTGATATTGAAAAAGAGCAATATTCAATATGAAAACTCTAATATTTCATTTAAAACTTCTAAAAACTCAAATAAATATGTTTTCGAAACGTCTCCTGCGTGAATTAACGCACAGCAAGGAGCGCGCGGCATCTATAAACCCGCCCCTTTTCCTGCGACCCTGACGAAAGTTTCTACACAAAAGTGGTTCCCCCGATTTCGCCACTTTTTTGCTTATAACTTTTTTCATTTTTCATATTTTTCTTTTCTGTTTTTGCAGTTAGCTCTCGATCGCCACCAGCTTTCTTTTCATATAGGTTTCAACATTATATCACTGACTTTGGAAATTGGCCTGCGGTCCCTATATATATAATTAGCAGTAATAGAAGGCATTTTAGAAGCTTAATAGGAAATCTTGGGGTTGTTATGAGTTTATAACTTAGTTATGCCCTTCAGTGTCTGACATTTTTGAACTTGGGACTTGGGCTTGGACATGAATTTTTACCCGACTTGGACATGAATTTCTACCCGACTTGGACATGATTTGGACATGAATTTAAACCCGATTTGAACTTGAACTTCCGCTCTATCGCACAAAAGAACAATCCCAAAGAAATGCAACACAAGAAATATGAAACCAGAACGAAATCCCGTCAGAAAACATTAATATTTGCGATCTCAATTGTCGGGTCTATTTAATAAAGGCATGTACATTGAAATGGAATCGGATGAGCCGACCAAGGGGGGCAAGAGATTCCGGAAGCACATGTACAGGGGGCGCCAAGTGGCTCCTCGAGAGCAGAGATTTCTGTTGCTGGATACTCGACTCGTCGGACATTCCCCAGACGGATTGCATGTCCATCCACTCGGCTGGACAACCCTCACTCTAGAGAAACAGAGATGTGAAGAGAGTGAGAGAAGAGATACTCCACGGGTGGACACTTGATTTCCGGATAGTCCACGGTCAAAGAACGGCAAGGACGTCGAAATCCGAGATCATCTGCAAGTGGAGGCTTTGAGCGGAGATTGATCCCGGTGGCAACAAGGGTTTTTTTTTTCGAAGTTCTTGGAATTTTTTCAGTATCTGAGTGTGATTCCGATTTTTTTAAATGTAGGATCAAGTACTTCCGGGAGCAAAACACAAACTTGAGACCTCTTCTCATTTTACGTGTCTTTTGAAAGACCTTTGGAGAAAGTTAAGACGGTTTTTAAGCTTGAAATTTATTCTTCTTGGAGTTTTTTTTTTTGCAGACCTTTGGCTAGGATTTGAGAGCCTTCCTAAGGAATTTTAGCCATAAATTCAGTTCTTCGGAACTTTTAAAGGAACAGAGGATGATTCCCAAAAGTGGCTCGGATTTATAAACCGTGGAATGAAGTTTCTTAGTTATTCCACGTGCTTCGAAGCGATTCTGGAACACGAAAACAAGAAATAAGTCTTTGAAGTTAATCTTGTTTCTTCTTTAAACTTTTTTCTACAATCTCTTAGAGGCTGGAGTGGCCCGAGCCTTTGATTAGAGTTTCTGGAAACGTTTTTTTGGATTTTTGGTTTCATTTTGAACTCTTGACGGTACTCGCAAATAAACAAATGTCTTTCAAGTTCATCCGGAGCGTCTTGGGAATCTCGAACCGACTTTTGATTAGTTTCAGAAGGAACGTCATCTTACTTTGCAGTTGGGAATTTTTGGAAAGTCGGCCAGAACACTCCTTGATGTACAGTTCAAAGATTCTGAGACGATTAACCTGCACAACTTCCTAGTTTTCAAAAATTGACATTTCAAAGTCCAAGGGTCTTTGAGGTGTCTTTTCTTGAAAACTAGTAATTTGTGCAGGTTGAGACTTTCAGGACCTTCATCTGGTATATCAAGGAATGTTGTGGTCAATTCTCGGGGAATTCCGAACCGTAAAGGAAAATGACCTCCCCTGTCAGCCGAACAACAAAAAGCTTTGAAAATAATCACGAAATGCTGAAATAACTTCTTCTCGATCAAGTAGGTTCAAAGAACTCCCTGGTATATTGAAAATCATTTAAAAACTGCTGACAGGGCTGGTGGAGCACCTCCGTCGATGGCAATGGTGAAAATCGGATTTTTCAAGAACTTTGAAGGGAATATCAGCAAGAAAAGGTTGATTGAAGCTCTAATAATTCTACGGGGCTTTCTAGAAGCTGTAGAAGATACTGCTAAAACTAAATTTTAGAAAATATTATAAAGAAACTCTCCAGAAGTTCAGCACCAGAAGCCTTTTCATGAAGTTTCCTTGAAGTTTGGGAAAAAGAAAGCGAAGAACGTTATTATTTTCAACCCTGCCTTGAAGAAAAAAAGGCCTGGAAGTTCAAGAACCATGGAATTCCGAGCTTCAGGTCCTTTATGGAAGTCAAACGCTTCAGAATCCCTGAACCTTGGCTTTTCAAAAATTTTTCACAAAAGTGAGTGAATACGTTTTTCAAAACAACTCTGCTAAGCAAAAAAGGACGCCTGGAACACCATATTCTGAACTCCTAAGCCGAGGTCTTCAATTTGAAGCAAAGGAAAACGCTCCAGAAGCCACGGACGTGTGCGCACATCCAAGACGTCCTGCGACGCAGTGGCGTTCCGGTTGGCATCGGCTAGGGGGGCGAGCGCGAGAAACGGCGCGTCTCCGGCGGCGCCGCCCACCGGAGCAGCGACTCTCCTCCTAGTTGAGCCACGACCGCCGAGGCCTTGGTATTTAAGTGCCACTCCTGGAGCCGATTCTCCATCAAGCAACAGACACTCGGTCTTCTTCTTCTTCCAAGGCTCCCATTTGATTCGCAACTGTCTTTGACTGACTTTCACCTGTCACCTGACTTTATCTTTTCAAATGGCTCGACTCTTTGTCGTTGGTTGCGCTTTGGCAGGTTCGGGTTTTCGACATTTTCTTGTTTTTTTCTTGTTTTTCGCTTTATTGTTGTACTAGGGTACTGTAGAGAGGATATCGTTTTCACATTATTTTAAGGACCAGACTTTTAGGGCTTCATCGAGGTTCAGGCTGAGGACAGTTTTTTTTTTGGCTTAATCCGAACATCTTCCGCATTTTTTGGCTAGATATTCACTCTAGAATTTTCTGAAAATGTGCTCATTTGTCATTTTTTTCAAAAATATGCCCTTTTTAGGAAGTTTTCATTAGCATAGCCTAGAAAAATCGATCTGAACTAAAATTTAAAATTCCTCCGTTTTTCGATGGATTCACCGCTAGCTTGTCTGAAGGTTACTGTAGCTGTCTCTTTACTGTCTCGAAAAAAGGTTACTGTAGCTGTCTCTTTACTGTCTCGAAAAAAGGTTACTGTAGCTGTCTCTTTACTGTCTCGTCTTCTAGATTTTTAACTGATTTTGAAGTCTTACACAGTAGTGAATCGACTATAGCGAAAATCAGGAGAATCGCATTTTTTCCGGTCTTCAAACCATATTTTCATAGCACCTGAACTTTCATATTTTACCTGTACCTCGTCTTCAGCGGTGGCGCTCTGCGAATCCAAGTCCGGCGATGAGACGCCCCAATACTGGCGCGCCATCCTCGGCGACATCTGCCAGCTTCCGTCGTTCCCCCGCGCCACCGGCGACCCGAACCGATACGTCGAGTGTGTCCGACAGAGCTCATTTGCTGCTGATCGGTTCGTTTCTTTTTCCTGATTTTTCTTTTTGAGTTAGTTTTAAGGTATTTGGTATCCTTCAGATAGTCTTCAGGTCGTTCTAGAAATTTTAGTTGGTCTTTGATGGCTTCTGAGGCTTTTTTAGTGAGTCTAGAAGTGCTCAATTTTGGCTTCATTCGATTCTTCAAGTTTCTAATGTAATTATTTTTAGTCTAGAACACATTTTTCTATACCTTTTTACTCAAGAAATCGGAGTTTTTAGGGTGTTTTATGAATATTTCGAGGTCAGATACATTCAGAATTCAATTTGAAGCTTATTGAAAAATATTCGATTTTTCTGAGTGTTTCTGAGGCTTCTTGTAGATCAAACCATATTTTCTGATTCAACCGAAAAGTTGCATTTTCCAAGCCCAACCTAAGCCTCTCCCTCATCAGCAAATATGACAACGCGAGAAAAAACATTTGTCACAAATAGAGTGAGGCAATCGGCTTAGGAACATTAGCCGCGAAGAAGCCGACCGGTCCCCGGAAACATTTTTTTTTTCCCCGGTGGCCGCCGCTGGACCGTTTCAAGCTGATTAGCTTCTCTCTCTCTCTCTCTCTCTCTCACTTTTCGGCGACTCACGCTTTTTGGGCTTGAAGGAGCGGCGTGAAGACGGTCCACTCGAAGGAGTCTATCAATATTTATCCCAGAAGATATTTTGGCTTATTTTTGGATTTGATAGGAATTTTGGAGCTTTCTGCTGATCTGAGCTGAGTCTCAGTATGACTGAGCTTCAAAGTTCTCCCTGAGGCAGGCTTTTAGTAACCCTAGACTCTTAAGATGAGCCGTCTGAGGTAGTTCAAGCTCTCCATTTTCGATATTTTCGATTCGAAAAAAGTAGATTTTAGCTTCTCAAATTGAGCAAAATGCAAGTCTCAGCCTCAAAATGTTTCCTAGAACTTCGAGCTGTTCATTTTTTGAACCTTCAAGGTTTTTCGAGCTTTAGATCAGTTCCCAGTTAAGATTCACTTCCCGAAACCCAAAAACAATCAGCCCAGTTTAAAACTGCCTAAACTTGTCCCAGACAGGCTTTTCTTGTCATTTCCAAAAGCGGAAGAAACGGCCTTTTTTGAGACGACGGATCGAGTAACAGCCGTCTTTTGTCCAGCCATTTTTCAAAGCAAACCGTCGGTCTTTTCAACCGTTTTTCGCTTTCTGGATCTTTTGGTTTCCGGAGAGCAATGTCTGTCTCGAGAATTTTGAAGCAATAGTTCATTCTGATGGCCTAAGTGACGTCATCGTCTTGAAAAATATCAAAAAATGACGTCATTTACCATCAAATAAGTTTCCCTTTGATTTTTGAGAATTTTGTTCATTCTGATGGCCTAAGTGACGTCACCGACTTGAAAAATATCAATAAAACGACGTCATTTACCACCTAATAGTTTTCCACAAAGATTATTTATCAAGCTTCTCAAAATTGATATGAAGTTTCATTTCCACTTCAGACTTCAATCTGACGTCATCTTACCTGAAAAGCTTATAATGACGTCATTTTTCTAAGAATCTCACCTGAAAATCCAAGTGACATCACTATCTTCTTTCTCAAGCCAAAAACAATAAAACGCGCAAAAAAAAAGTCTGCCGCCGACAACAGAGTTCACAAACCATGAGCGGGACGGCCTCCTTGACCAAATATTTGTGTGTTTGGCGATTGAAACGGTGTGCATTCGCGCCTAGCCGCTTCCGCCCCTCTTTTTTCCTCTAAGAACACCTAGGCAGATTCTAGTTCTCAGATGAATGGAGTATCCGGAAATCGCCGACACGAGAAGAATGTATCGAGCACTTGAAGAAAAAAAAAGTCTTTTTTTGAAAATTTCCTTGAGCAGGGCTTAAAATTCATTCTCAAAGAGATTACACTTAAGTGACCACTAGAATTTGCAGCAAGGACCTCGGAATCTGGCTTCTCCGCGAGTGTCTCCCCGGCTACGAGTTCGTCGCCTCGGCCCGCCGCTGCAAGACCGTCCGATCGGTGAAACGGCAGCAGGAGCTCTGCGAGTCCTCCAACGCCACCGACTACAACTTCTGCCCACAGCAGTCGGCCACCCAGTTCCTCGTCGAAGAGATCCGCGAGGCTCCCCGTCAGTGCGCCTGCCCCAACGGCGAGCTCAACTGCGTCTGCCCAAGCCCCGAAATCCTCGAGCCGGTCAGCGCCCCGGTCAACTCGCCAAAGGTCCGCCGCTCGCCTCAGTCCACCATCGCTGTGAGTTTCTCTTCGATGCGTAATGTGAGCAATACTGAGATGTTATGAGCCTTGAAATGTATCATTAGCATCTATCGAAAAAAGGGGTTATCACTAGCAGCGCCCAAAAAAGCTGGAAGTCATTAGCTCCCAAAAACATTAAATTTTTCAGCGCGTCCAATTCTCGCAGTACCCAGCTTGCCCATGCCCCCAGCAGCAGCCAGCCTGCACCTGCGTCACCAACAACCAGCAGAACGAACCCGTCAGTCCTCGATTCCAAGCTCCTCCAGCTCATTTTCCGACTTTAGGTGCTTGTCTCCCTCCAGTGCTGCCCACAGCAGCAACAGCAGCAGCCAGCCGCCACTCAGCCACCACAGCAGCAACAGCCGTGCCAGTGCACCCAGCAGCAGGCTCAGGCTGTTAGTTCCCAAAAAAAAGAGCTGGGCCAACTTTCATGAGCTTCCAGAACTGCCAGACGACCACCACCCAGCAGCAGTACTGCCCCCAGCAGCAGGACGCCGTCGTTCAGCCACAGGCCTGCCCACTCGGTAGCTTTTCGATTTCTGGACTAGATCAGAGAGAAGCTCGAATTGAATAAGACACCTCTCTTTGCAGTCCAAGGAAGCGGCGTCCAGAATGCTCAGTACCAAGGCATCTGCTCGTGGATGGTCGACCCGCTCGCCGTTGATCCCCAGTCCAAGACCCACTACCTCCAGTGCCAGCCAGCCCCCAACAACCTCTTCTGCGGCCGATGGCAACGAATGCCGTGCGCTCCAGCCACCGTCTTCGACGTCAACGCTCAGGTCTGCAAAGCTCTTGCTCATCCTGGATGAGCTCTCGGACTTCAGGTCTGCGTCTGGGACACCACCGGAACCCCCGGCTCCCTCCCAACCCCGGCCCCATACGTCGCCACTCAGGCTCCACAGAACACCCAGTGCGGCTGCACCGGCGGAGTTCAGATCGGTTCCTGCAACCAGAACTACCAGTGCCCCGGACAGTCGGTCTGCCAGGTCGGCCAGACCAATGGACAGCAGGTAAAAGATATGGTCTACAGTATGACCTCTCTGGTCTCTCTCTGTCTCTCATCGTTTGAAAATCCGCAAGATACTTTTAGTCATATTAGGGGTGACGTCATCGAGCCATTCCAAGTGCGGTCATCATTCTAGAAAGATGACTCCTATAAATTCAGAGAAAAGTTTCAAAAGATTCAAGAAGTCACTCAAGGGTTCGGGGGTTTTTCGCCTGCCTAGAATACATTGGAACGACCTTCTATCAATTTTTGAGACAGTTCTAGCCGTTCCTGAGCACTGAAGGGACCACTTGAACCTTCCTCAATACTCTATATCCTCATTTTCCGAAAGAAACCCCTAAAATCAAATTTTTCAGTGCATGGTCTGCTGCTACTTCCGCAAGAAGGCCCACCGCGCCTAAGAACCCTCTAGGACCTACTTGGCCCCACCCCGATCCATTTTCTGTACATATCTGAGCCAGCCCAGTGATTTCTTTCCCCTATTAATAAATATTGTTCGTAACCGAATAAATAAATTAGATCACCCACCCACCAAACACAATTGCCATGATGGACCCACCTGAAAACAGAAACCAACGCAAATCGCAAAATAGGGTATTTTTTCCTTTTCGTCTGTATGTGATTTTCTATTGGTTCACACCCCCCAAAACAGTACGTTCTTTTAGAAGGCTCTGCCGCATACGGCACACTTTTCCCCCCTAATTTTTGTGCCCGTTTTTGCGCGACCTTCTATCCTTTTGAACGATATAAATTATGTGATACCATGCGACAAATAAACATGTCTTTCACAAGGTTTTTTGCTCGTTTTTGTTTGAAATCGATTCGAATCTCTAGAAGATACTTTAAAACATGAGCTCTTTGGCTTCAGCACTAGCTGAAGATTTTGCGCCTTTGACACGCTTTTTTTCTCAAAATTATTTTAAACAAGTGATTTACGTATTCAGTGAGCTCGGAAAATTTCCAAAATAAATAGGAAACTTCAAACCAATATTGAAAAAATAAACAAAATCCTACTGAAAAAAATAATTTTTTTAAAGTTTGCGCGTGACGGTGCAACTTTGCGTCGGTGCGTTACACAGGAGCCAAAGTTTTTTACGAAAATTTTTTGGGAAATTCCCCATTTTTTCTTTTTTTTTCGCTTATTTCTTTGCTTTACTTTGTTCTATTTTTGTTTATGTTCTGTGAGAATACAAAGTAAAACATAGAAGATAGAAAAAACGAAAAAAGCTTAGGAATTTAAAAAAAGGGGGTTTTTTTGGTTATTTCTCCGGATTTTTCCTGAGTTTTTTATCATTTTTTTGTTCGAAGTTCGATTGTTACATCTGGTTTTTGTTAAATAACATTTCAAATTGAATAGTAGAAACCATGAAGATATTCAAAAAAATGATGCTGAAAGAACACAAAAACCTTCAAAATTGGTTCCAAAAATCGTTTACATATTCGTTTTTCTCCCATTTTTTCTTGGCTTTTTTTTTTTTTTTTTGTGTTTTTCTTGGGTTTCTATTCACTATCGCTGCATTCAGAAAGCGGGGGAAACAGAAAAAAAGAAATATTCATTTAAAGCAAACTTTGATTTTATCGTTAAAACAATTTTTTCTGTTTTTTTGATGATTTCTAGTCGATTTTTTCGATTTTCGCGATGCTTCCGTTCAAGCTAGGTCCTGAAACGAAAAGCCAACAAAAGCATAAATGAAATTGTATTCAATGAATATCTCGATATGATGATGGTATTATTGAAAAATAAAGTTTGCGGGAAGGATCGATGGGCGGATCTGAAGGCTTTTTTTCAACAATTTTTTCAAAAAATCAAAACCTAGGCCCTGGTTTTCTCCTTTTCCCTCTCCTTCTCCTGAGCCTCCTTCATTTTGGCGAGGATATTTTTTGAAATTCCCGCGTATTTATTCCGGAATTCCTTCACCTTACCGTCTCGACTGAGGACACCTTCCTAAATATTTTTTTTTGAAGGGAATGGATTTTTTCGTGAGAACCTGACAAAAGAGCTCGAAAACGCAGACGTAAAGGAAGGCGTATTGGAGTTGGCTTTGGATCGCGCGATGTCTGGAAAAAAATTGGTTAGTTTCGGCTCTAAAAGCGTAAATAACAAGGTATATTAAAGGCTCAGGCCGCCGTATTGGCAGAGGTTTTTAAGAAGAATCGAAATTTCTCTTAATGAACGCAATTTTCTGCGCGAAAGCGGCGCAGTGCATGCACACGACACACGACACTTTACGGAGAAAAAGTGGGCGTGGCGTCGTCGAAAAATTCTTTTTACGTAAGTTAGAAAATGCATCATTTACGCGTTTTTGGTGATATTTTCATCAAGAATCAGACAATTTGAGCATTTCTCACCTCATTTTTCGCAAGCCCCTCAGAATATCGACCATTTTCAAGTCGGGATCTTCTTGGATTCGTTGTGAGGCGTAGTTGATCCCTTAGAGGAATCATTTTGAATACAAAAAAAAAATAAATTTGACTCCTAACCGTCCAAAAAGCCCAAACATAAATTATTTTCCAAGCAAAAAAAACTTTTTTTCATAGTTTCCTTACAAAAAAATGAAATTTGAACCCGTCAACTAGGAAAAAAGTTAGAAAATTTTTCTAAAAGTCCTACCGTAACCCAGTGAGGGGGCGGAGCCTTACAGTAACTAGCCGAAAAACTTACACACTATGTCAAGTAACTGTGACAGTAATTTTGAGCTTTTAAAGTTCCTGTACCAATTGGCTCTCCCAGAGAACGTTTGTTAAATCAAAAGTTGAAAATTAAATTATTACCGACAAACGTCGCTGTTCTGCCAATGCCAGCAGAACAATGTACCACGATTGGATTTCCTTCGGCCTGAAAATTTGAAACTTTATTTTGTGATATTGAAAAAAATTAGGAATCTTTCGAAACGGCTAAAGTTCCCTAGCACCTGTGCTCCAAGAAAATTTCAAAATTCTTCTCAAAAAGTGTGATTTCCTGGATCACAGTGGCATCTAACCCAAGGCCCCATTTTGCCAAAAACTTGCAGTTTCTCGTATTTCCTGCTTGAATCAGTAAATTCGAAAAAAACTATTCGCTGGTTACGAAAATGAAGCTTTTTACAGCCAATTAAAATCCAAAAAACAATTTTTTTTTCCAATCTGTAGACAAGTCTTTTTTTTTCGTTCTAGTCTCACCTTTTCCAAAGACATCTTGTGCATGCTCACGACTGGGCCAGCGTCCAGTGGACCCGCGTGATCTTCCCATTCATAACACCAAAAATGATAGACCGTTCGCCACTCTTTCGAGCCTCTGAAATTGATTTTTTTTTTTCATATTACACCACGGCGTTTTTGTAAGTGGAAGAAAATGCAAATCCAAAAATTAAAAAGGGATGGTCAAAATTTTCGCCGTTTCCATGTGACGTCATGGGAAACAAGCGTGAACAACAGGGAATATTAAAGGCGCATCAATCGGTCATGAGACGAATCTATTTCTTTTTAAAAAAACGCATTTTTTTCTAAGTAATTCCGCAAAATTCAAAATAGCCACCAAAAAGTCAAAAATGTAACTGAATTTCAGAAATTCAGATATTATTTTGAATTTCGTCAAAATTGCTTTGAACACGGCATGCGCGTGAGCGCCGCGGTGCATGCACACGAGACACTAAATTTTACGGAAAAAAATATGGGCGGGGCGTCGCGGAAAAAAACGCCGTGACACGGGAAGTAAAAAAGATATTAGGAATTTCAATATGAATTGTCTTTTTTTAAAGAAAACTTCAAACAGTAGTACTTGGATTACGGACAATTTTTTTGACCCGGACAAAAAAAGCTGAAATTTTTCAATTTTTGTGAAAAAAAAAGTCAAATTTAATTCATTTTACACGGAAAGTGTATCGAAATTCAATGAAACTTTCTAGAGAATATTTTAAAAATAATCGAAAACTGCATTTTTCGTTTTTCAGTAGAGTTATGTAGTTTCAAAGACTCCAAAATCATATTTTTCCCCACCGCTTGGAGAATTTTAAGACACCCTAATTTGACTAGAACTCAAAGTTCGCATTTTTCCGATTATTTCTGACTCAAAGGACCTCTGTACAAAGTTTCACTGTATTCGGATCGCTCTGCCGCATCTCTCGTTATTAAAGGAGCATATGTATAAATTGACCAAGGGTTTCGAGACGAAGAGCCTTTTTCACTAAAATTATTAAGTAGACAAGGCTTTTGCCCTTTTAATCGGCTCCCAAATATTTTTAGAGCACAGGCAGCTCAAGAAACACGCCTTAAAGCATATTTCTGTAAATTTACACGAAAATAACTTTAGACTGACTTTCTCTGGCATTCCAGTAGGGTTAAACGTATCGTTTTGAAAGGTTCCTCTTGGTCTTTCTTCACCCGAACTTTGTAATCGCCGTAATTTTCGACCCGATCTCTTTGATAGTACCTCCGACACTTTTCGTGGGCTCCTGAATCTCTTTTTAACTGTACCTATTCAAGACTTTTATAAAGGGACGGAGAAAAAATAGCCGCAATAGTACTTGAATCATGCAGAATTTCATTGAAAATCACTTTTTAAGTTCAAAAAGCCATTTATTACGGTAATTTTCCTATAGTCCGACAATTTCCGCGTGTCTGCGTCTCTCTGTTCCCTCGAGATCAGAGAAAAATGGAAAAAGCACGTAAACGTGAGAGAGTCCTCTAAAGATAAGGAGAGCGGAGAGAAGTCCCGCCATGGAAACAGTACGTAAACGTGAGAGGGTCCTCGAGAGACGAGGAAGGCGCAGAGATGCCCCGCCATGGAAATAGCACCTAAACATGAGAGAGGCGTCGAGAGATGCCCCGAGATGGAAATAGTACGTAAACAAGAGAGAGAGACGTCGAGAGATAAGGAGGGCGCAGAGATGCCCCGACATGGAAACAGCACGTAAACATGAGAGAGTCCTCTAGAGATAAGGAGAGCGGAGAGAAAATGGACTGTACGCGGCCATTTCTCTCCAACAAAAAACGTAAATCCGAACCCTCGTCCCATTGGCAGAGCATAACGATGACGCTGCACTTCTCCGTGTAGATCATGTGCCAAAAGTCGTCGAGTGTCTCCTTAAGTGGTCCCTGGGTGGATATGTACCGGAACCCGTCGGGCATGACCATCCAGGAAGCGTGAATGTAATCTTTTCCGCTTGGTCGCTCTTTCAAAACGACTCGGGTGTGGTCCAAGCAGTGGATGTCATCGTATCTTAATTGGGCTTTTTTTAATTAGGAAAAGTTAGGTTCAAAAAATGAAATCAGAGAGCTGCTTGATTTCCTCTAATATTAAAAAAGCTTAAATTCATGATTCAGCGTCATTTTTTGACCTTATTTGGTGTCATTTTGAAGCTGGGCTTTGAGAGTTTTTCAATAAATTTTCAGTTAACCTATTCTTTTCCGAGTTCTTCTTGCTCAGGTTGATCAAGAACGGATCCGGCTTCCAGTCTTTCATGTCGCGAAACTCTTTCAAAACCACTCTCATCGCCTGAAAAATTCATTTTCGTCATGCATTCTGATTGGAACGTTGTTAATTGAAAAAATAGGGTTTTGAATTTTTTTTTAAGCCTACTACAATTTTTCAGGTTCTTTTGCTATAGATTAGAACTGCTCAAAATTGAAAAAAAAAATCGCTGGAACTTATATTTTGGTTGCAGCTAATGATGACCTCGCTATTAGATAAAATCGAATTAAAAAAATTTTCAAGATCCTCACAAATTTCTCGCATGCTTAAGACGATCAAGTGCTGATTTTTTGACAACTTTTTGAGCCAATAAATTTTTTGATAGGTTATCTTTAAGCAAAAGTTATGAGTGTTCCCGATAACCCCTTTACCCACCCCTATAGGGACCACTAAGGCTCGCAAAAGTGTATTTTATGCGAAAAACAAATGAATAAGCGTTTTTGAATGAAGTTGGAAGATCCCTAAAGGAACCACTTGAACTTCAGGGACTAAGGGGTCAGACATTGAAACTCAATAGGGACCATCTTGATTTTACCTCTATAGGTAGGGACCGCAGACGAATTTTCAAAAAATTTTTTTCAGCATCGAGCTTTGTATGGTTTGATAGCTGTTTCGATTCAAAACTCAGAACCGTTTAGTTTTTTTCGAAAAAAAGATTGAGGATGAAAAAGTTATGACGAAAAAAATGTGGCGCGCCGCGCACCATTTTTTTAGTACTGAAATTTTTAGTATTATTCATTTTTTTGACATTTTTTTCTCGATTTTTTTCTTCTAGAAAAAGTTTTTGATACTGGTCTATTATGATGTAACAAATCATAATAGAGTGCTAAAATGATGCTAATCAGCTATTTTTGCCGAAAAAAAGTCGGTATTTTTCCAGAAAACAAAAAAACTGATGCTTGCGGGTATCGAACTCGCGACCTAAAAATGAAAAAAATCGCAGCGCACGCACTGCGCCAAGCTGTCAGGTCTAGCGCAGGGGAGCTTCCATCCGCCTTACCCTTTGAGCCGTTTAAATAGCACAGATTGTCTATTTCAAAAAGAAAAAAACTTGAAGTAATTTAGCTATTTTTTTATCAGAATATGTTCGCAAAATCTTTACTCAAACGTTTCGTGGAAATTCACTTCGAAAAAAACTGTTTTTTTCAGTGCTTTTTTTGCCTCTTTTAACGATCGCTGCCTTAAAAACGGCCCCGTAAATTTTTTTGGCAAAAGACGAATTTTTTTATTTTATTCTTTTTAATTGAAAGATTTTTTTACTAATAAATGTATATAATCGTTTGAAAAAAACCTGCGTTCGACCGCTTTCGGTGTGATAAACGCCGCTAATTTTATTCTCTAGTTTCAAGAGCATTTTTTTGCGTATCACAAAACTTTTTTTCAAGTACATATGCTGTGGAGAAAAAAATTTAAGTAAGCCCATGGTCTAAATTTTGAAAAAAACAAAAAAACTCGATTATATTCGCTTGTTAACGATATTTTTGAATTATGACTTTCGGCACTCCCTAAAAATTTTTTGGCAAAGACGAATTTTTTTATTTTTATTGTTTCAAAATTACCGTTACTTGAATCAAAAATCATTATATAAAAAAAGAAAGAGTGCGTTCGACCTGAAAAACACATGAAAAAAAGCAAAAAAATTACAAAAATTTTTTTAGTTCCATTCACGTTTTTTTGTACGACATTCCGCGAGAACGCATCAAGAAAGCGTGAAATATTTTTTTCAAACGAAAGAGGAAGCTTTTTCTGTACATGTGTGTCAAATTTTATTCGCCAGTTCCACATATTTTACAACTACAACAAAATGAAAGTTGAAAACCAAAAAAAAGCCACTTTTTCTATCGCGAAAAGGGGCGTGGCTTTGCGGTCCCTATCTATAGGGACCACTTTTCGGCCCCTCTAAGGGCTGTTGTTCCCTGTAACCCCTATAGGGATCACTTGAGCTTCAGGGGCTAAGGAGGTCAGACATTAAAACCCTATAGGGACCCCCTAGATATTACCTGTACACGGAGCATTTTTCCGTCCTCTATAGGGACCACTCAAAAATTACGAAAAGTTCAGATTCAGCGTGAAACGGAGTCTTATTTAGGACTTTATTCGGTCCCCCTAAGTGGTCCCTATAGGGATCTATTTAAACAGAGACTTTTGTGAGCAAACTACATACTTTCCATCAGTTTTGGAACCATGGAAATCGAAAATATAGAAGCATGTTTCAAAAATGCCAAACCGTTTTCTCGAGAACCTTCGTGGCCCACTTGTGGCGCGGATCTTCGATATTATATCGACTTTTTTCCTTACAAGTCGGTAACTCCATTTTCGACGTCAAATCTTGTCTCCCGGTCGCCGTCAAACTGCTTTTTCTTGCTAACGCGTTCTGGAATTTCTCCTCGTAAGCAAGATCAGCTTATAATCCACCAGTGCCAAAGTGCAAAATGGCCGCTAAGAGGGTTCCGTTTTGCGGCTTTTATTGAGCCTTTCTTTCTTAAATAGCCTCAACAAAGGGTGCTCAAAGTCTCGGCCATGATAATTTTTCTTATTACTGTAGCACATTTTGGTTCATACACAGTCACTGGTGAAGATTATCCTCAATTTCAGAAATTCGTGATCCTCAAAAGGGTCCGAAAATGAGTGGATAAAGGCAGTAAACTGGGAAAATTTTTAGTGGCCACTATAGGGGCTTGCCAAGGACTACTTGGAGAGGACACTAAAGTGGTCATTGAACCCATCTCTATAGTGGCCACTATTTTCCGTTTTAGTGACCACTTCAGCAGTTTTTCATCCAGTATTCCTTCCAGTAACTCTGATAATTTTAAAACAAACAGATTGGACTAGTTATGTTGATCCATTGACCCCTAAAGTGGCCACTAAAATGTTTTGTGGTTTGGTAAGAGCGCTTAGACCTTTATAGTGGCCACTAATTTTTAACCCCTTAAGTGGCCACTAATTTGACTACTATAGTGGCCACTAAAACGTCAAAACACTATAGTGGCCACCAAAATTTGTAGGGATCTAAAAGTATCACTTAGACCTCTACGTGGCCACTAACTTTTAACCCCTTAAGTGGCCACTAATTTGACTACTATAGTGGCCACTAAAACGTCAAAACACTATAGTGGCCACTAAAATGTTTGGTGTTCTGAAAGTAGCGCTTAGACCTCTATAGTGGCCACTAATTTATAATCCCTAAGTGGCCACTAATTTGACTACTATAGTGGCCAATAAAACGTCAAAACCCTACAGTGGCCACTAAAGATTGTCCCAGAAAGGAAATCTATAAAAAAAATAATTTGCCAAACTCACCGAGCCTCCAGATTCTTCGGACTTTTTCTGAAACAAGATCATCCAATTCACTTATAAAATAAAATAAAAACATTTTTCTCACTCCGGACCGTCGGAGTCCTCGACCGCATAGCTCTACCGGCATTGTTATAGCTACTTTTTTGTTCGGCCATTCAACACATTCGAATCAGGGCTGCAAAAAGCTCTTTTTGACACTTTCCCTACAAGGGAGGTCATTTTACTTCTCTCTCGGGAATTCTAAGAAGTTTTTTTGAAATCCTTGATGTACTAGAAAACCATTCTGAAAGCCTCCACCTGCACGATTTCCTAGTTTTTGACAAATAAGAGCCTGAAGTCTCAAAATAGTCTATTTTTGAGGATTTTGAGGTTTCTTTTCTGGAAAATAGACATTTTTTGCAGATTGTGACTTTCAGGATCTTCTTATGGTACATCAGACAAGCTCTGTTTTAAGAAAAAAAAAATCCACCCAAAAATCGTGCAAACTGGATCATCGTTTAAAAAAATTTGTAGGAGCTTTTTTGACAAGAAAAAAGCGCTGTAACATTTTTCACAGACTTCTACAAACTTTTGCCAGTATTTTTAAAACTTGTAGATGAATTAGGACGTCAACCGGAATGTCGTTCGGAAAAATTCGAAAAAGCAGCTTTTAGTATTTTTTCCTTGGTTAGCACATTCTAGATTTACAGTTTGAAAATCCAGAATTTCGACGATTATTTCTGACAGACACTTCTTGGAAGGTCCTTCTGGAAAAAAGCTGTGCCCAAAATTATTTTTTTTTAGAATGTCTGAGAGATCTTTTTAACCTTAACTCAGTGATAAAAACTCACGACGAGCCACTGAAAGGTTGGTGAAATAAAATAATAGGCATTCGATTCCTCACGTCTACGGAAAAGTTCACCTTTTTTCTTATTGTTGAACTCGTTGGAATTCTTCAAGCTTTAGATTCATAATTTTCACTTTTTAATGAGCTAGGGAAATTGTCATTGGCCACTATAGAGGCTCCACAAGGACTAGTTGAAAAAGACACTAAAGTGGCCACTAAAACCACCTCTATAGAGGCCACTATTTTGTTCAGTGGCAACTGTAGTAGTACCATCTAGAACCCTATAGAGGCCACTACTTTTAAACCCCTAAAGTGACCACTATTTGGACTACTATAGTGTAAGCGTCAAAACCCTATAGACGCCACTAATTTGAAACCCCTAAAGTGACCATTATTTGGACTGCCATAGTGGCCACTAAAACGTCAAAACCCTATAGAGGCCACTAATTTGTTCAGTGGCAACTGTAGTAGTTTTAGTCATCTAGGAGTATCACAAAACTCTATAGTGGCCACTAATTTTAAATCCCTAAAGTGACCACTATTTGGACTACTATATTGGCCACTAAAGCGTCAAAACCCTATAAAGGCCACTAATTTAAAACCACTAAAATGGCCACTATTTGGACTACTATAGTGGCCACTAAAACGTCAAAACCCTATAGAGGCTTCTAGAAATTTTCCTGTAGTGACGCTATTTCCACTAATTTATTTATTATAATTATTTCTTCACTGTTTTTTTCTCTCCTTCTAAAAATCAACCCAGCTTTCGCAAAAAAGACAAGTTCAAATGAAAAGGAAAGGGAAGTGCTTCTTGAAATTGGAGATAAAAATCTGGATCGATGCGGATCGCTACACTCCGTCCGCACTTGGAGAATTCCAAAGTCCCGAAATTTCCCCCATCCTTTTCACTATTGTTTGAAAAATGTACGGTAGACCGAAAGCCAGGAATCGGCTCGTGATTATATTCATTATCACCTGCTGTCTGACCTCTCTATACGTCCTGATCCTCAAAATCAACCGGATGATCCATTTGGATCAGTTGGAGAGGAATTCCGACCATTTGGCCGTTTTTTCCGCCGCTGTTTATTATAATTCCACGTTTTCTACGAAATTTGGAGTGCCCGAAGTGAGTTTTGTCGGAAAGGTGGTCGCACTGGGAATGGGTCATTTGCGCCACGCGTAAGTCGTTTTAGGTCGGGCGACCATGATGGATTAAAGTAACAGTTTATGTAACGGTTTCTATTGTTTATCGAAAATGTGGCCGCACTAGGAATGGCTCATTTCCGCCCCGCGTAAGTCGTTTTAGGTCGGGCGACCATGACGATTTAAAATAGGACTATATGTAACGGTTTCTATTGTTTATCGAAAAAGGGTCGCACTGGGAATGGTTCATTCTTGCTCCGCGTAAGTCGTTTTAGGTCGGGCGACAATAATGATCCAAAGTACAGTTTATAAAAAAAATTAGTCGCACTGGGAATGGCTGATTTGAAGTCGGAGACCATCAAGGTCCAAACTAGAGTGTAGTTTGTTCGGATTTTCAATTTTAAGAACAATGACGTCATTCGAAAACGATCCATGAATGTGAATGGCTTATCGCGTAATTAGGGGCGGAGCTTGAGCAACGGCTTGAATTGTAAATCAGAATAGAGTATATGTGTAATGGAAGCTTCAACTTGTCAATAGAATATGGAAGTGTGTAGAAACTAGTAGAGGGATCAGAGAAGCAGATTTTTCTCTCTTTCTCTGGTCTCTCAGGTCTAATTTGTCAATAAAATGTGGAGGCGAGAGTGTAGGAGCTCGAAGAGGGATCAGAGAAGCAGATTTTTCTCTCTTTCTCTGGTCTCTTAGGTCCAACTTGTCAATAAAATATAGAAGCTAGAGAGTGTAAGAGCTTGAAGAGGGACCAGAGAAGCAGATTTTTCTCTCTTTCTCTGGCGTCTCTCAGGTCTTCATTGTTCCTAGTTTCCAGTGAAAATAGTGATCTTTTCCATTTTTCAAACCTTTTCCAGGCTTTCAAAGCACTTTTTGAAAATTTTCCAGGTCCATTTCATCGTGACAAGTCGACTGAATCAAGTGGCAGTAAATATGAACTGTCAATCGAATAATGGCTCAAGTTTCGCCATTTCTGAACTCGAGTTTGTTTTTTTTTTCTATTTTTTGACTTTTCAAGACAAATGTATGTGTTCGAGCAGACATTATGAAAATGATTTTCAGTGGTTTTTTTTTGAAATTCACTCAAAATAACCTTTCTGTCCTGATTTCACGCTTTTGAACCATTCTGAATGACTTTTTTTAATAATATTTCTATTTTTTTCTCGCATAACTGAAAAACCAAGAATCTTCTAGGGCTTTTTTTAAGGTCTATAAGAAATTTTTGGGACTTTTTTTGATAATTTTTTTAAAAGTTGTATCTGTTATGAATCTACACTTTTGAATGATTAGAAAATGAAAAAAATTATTTTTCGAAACTTTTTTTATTTTTTTCTGCTGAACCCAAAAATTCCCTAGGGACTTTCTCAACTCTACGGGGAATTTTCGAATTTTTCTGATTTCTGATTTTTTTGAAATATTCGGAAGGCTCATGAATTTTTGAAAAAGTTTTCAAACTCCTACTTTTTCAAGACAAATGTATATGTTTGAGCAGGCATTGTGAAAATTATTTTCACATTATTTTAGTGATTTTTCCTGGAGTTAACTCAAAAAAACCTATCTCTCTTGATTTTACGTTTTTGAACCATTCTGAAGGACCATTTTTCAAAACATGTCCTATTTTTCTCGCATAACTAAAAACCAAGAACCTTCTAGGGCCTTTTTTTTAAACTCTACGTGGAATTTTTGGATTTTTTAAAGTGCATGATAATTTTTTTTAGTTGGATGTGCTATGGCTTTAAACTTTTGAATTATTAGGAATGACCTTTTTCAAAATTATTTTCGAAACTTTATTTTTTTTCACTGAACCTAAAAATCCTTTGAGGACTTTCTTAACTTTACGGGGAATTTTCGAATTTTCTGATTTCTGATTTTTGAACTATTCGGAAGGCTCATGAATTTTTTTTTTTTTTGAAAAGTTTTCAAACTCCTACTTTTCAAGACAAATGTATGTGTTCGAGCAGACATTGTGAAAATGATTTTTAGTGGTTTTTTTTTTGAAATTCACTCAAAATAACCTTTCTGTCCTGATTTTACGCTTTTGAACCGTTCTGAATAATATGTCCTATTTTTTTTTCATGATTAACCCAGGACCAAAAATCTTCTAGCCCTTCTTTCAACTCGACGTGGAAATTTTGGATTTTGGTCCTGATTTTTAATTTTTAAACTATTCGGAAGAAAAAATCTTCTAGAGGCTTTACTAAACTGTACCGGGAATTTTTGAATTTTTGTCCTGCTGAGGAATTTTTGAGGGGTCCCTATAAGGTTTTGTTGTTTTAGGGACCCCATATAAGGATGAAAATCTTAGGGGTCCCTATAGGGGTTTAGGGTCGGACTCCTAAGCCCCCAAAGCTTTAGGGGTCCCTATAGGGTTCTCCAATTTTTAATTTTCAAAATTACATAATAGTAGCGTCAATCGGTTTATCTCGTCAAGATAGCTGATTCACGGCTGGCTTGAGCCATCGAAAAAATGGTCCTGACACGATAATGCACGAGATAGCGCCTGCCTTGTGGAGAGCGCAGACAGGACACGCCCCCTTAGCGTCCCAAGGTGGCCGTGAATCAGCTAGACGTTTACAGATAATCGCTGGTTTCAGAATTTTAGATTTCTGAAGGCTCACGAATTTTTTTTCGCACTCAAAAATCTTTTAGTGGAAATTTTAGAATGATTTGCAGAATAAAACCATTGGCGAACTCCCTCCTCCTCGGCTCTTGTTCAGTTGTAGATGACCCCGTTTTTGTCTCCCTGGTTCTTGACGATTTCGTCGTTCAGGTTCGGAATATCTTCATAGAAGCTTCTACAAAAAGGTGTTCAGATCGACGAACCAGACGTTCCACTTCCCCCCAAGATAGCCGAGCAGTCCTACGGGTACCGGCCGGATTCCGAAGGCAGCGTCGTCTGCATGGCTCATCTGTTGCTCTTCGAAGATGGGGCGACCCTTCTGGCCCTTCTGGATCATTTCGAACGGACCGCCAGCCAGATCTTCATCTACGCCGCCAGTTTGAGCGATGAACTCTATCATTCGATCCAGAAAAGGTCCGAGAAGGTGATGATCGTCCCCTGGAAGCTGCCGGTGAATGGGTGAGCCTAAGGATGGCTTTTTGAGCAATTTTGGAGGTTCAGGAAGGTCGGGGAGCACAATCAACTGAACTTGGATCCCAGCGCGGTTTATGTGAGTTTTCTTAGGATTCACGGCTAGCTTGGGACGCAAAGGGGGCCTGTCTATTATTTTTTTTTCAATCCTATCTGCGATTGCTGGGACCTTGAAAACCGGACGCGCCCTGGACGTTTCTGAGCATTTGTAGTGACCACTTTAGCGGCGTCAGCACACTTAAGGGACCCCTAGAGTTGCTCAGAAGCATTATCACGGTCCGAGGGATCAATAGACTGATTTATTGACTTCGGTTCTCAAAAAACTGCTTTCAAGGAAGTTTAAACAATCGTAGGCGGAATTCGCAGTGTTTTTGTCACCTCTGCTTCTTGGAATATTTTCGAAAAGCATTTATGAATGGACTATTTGAATCCCAATACTTTAAAAACCACAAGATCAAAGTAAAAAGGCTACTTGGCCGGCATAAGGATGGGAAAGTTTTAAAAATCAAGAAGGCTGCTATGAACTAACTTATCTCATTTATGATCCTCAAAAAGCTTGGATTAGGGCTGAAAATGGATCCTAGAAGGTCCTCCTAAGACCGTAGAATTCCATTAATTTTTGGATTTTTGATGATAATTTCCATGAAAAAGTTCGCTAATTTGCTTAAATGACCACTTCTCCTCCTCAGGCAGCCACGGAAGCCAGCCTGACCGACTGTTTCCTCCGAGCTGCTCCCACCAACAAGAAAATCGAGCTGGTCGACCTGGCCGCCATTCGCTTCGAAGCAGCGCCTCTCGATGAGGAGCTCGACCTGAATCCGGCCGTCGTCGGCATGATCAACGCCGATTGGAGCCTCGAACAGCTCCTCACCTACAGAGTCTCCCAAAACTCGCGTCGGTTTTAATTTTGTGTCTTGGAAAACTTCGAAAGTTGAAATGGGCAAGTACAGTTCGGAACAATGTTAAGAAATGAGATTTTAAAAAAGTCAAGTTGTAACCCCAAGGAATAAAAGTGAGACAATACTTACTTAAATTTATAAATCCTTGGAAGGAGGGATTTGCGGTATTAAAAAAAGCCTATGTATTCTATTCAGTAATATTTAAAATACAAAATATTCTACAAAAGTTTTGAATGGACATTGTACTTTCACAGCTGTTTTTTTTTTGCGACGCCCCGCCCATATTTTTTCCGTAAAGTGTAGTGTGTCGTGTGCATACACTGCGGCGCTCCGGCACACGCCGCGTTCATCGTAATTTTCGCGAATTGTAATTCAGTCTTTTTTTTTCACTCTCTGGTGGTTATTTTGAATTCTGCGAAATTACTTTCAACACGGCATGTGTTTTAAAACAAAAGACAGGAAAATCGCGGTTTTTTTTTTCAAATGAGAAATAGATTCGTCTCATGACCCATTGAATGCGCCTTTAATTTTTCCTGTTTCTTACGCGTTTTTCTCATAACGTCACATGGGAACGGCGGAGGTTTTGACCACGCCTCTTTGATTTTTTGTTTTGCATTTTCTTCCACTAACAAAAACGCCATGCTTTATTCGTCGTTAACTGATAGGGAAAACACTTTACAAGGAGGTTCATTTAACCTAGTATTTGGAAGTGTTCTAGTAATTGGCCAGAATGGTTATCAGTGTGCTTGAAGAAGTATCTTGACCTACACAATCTCTTAGTTTTCGAGGAAAATTCCCGTCAAAATAGGCGATTTTGTGACATTCGAGCAGGCTTTCAGAGTCTTCACCCGGTACATCAACAAGTGTTTCGGCCAAGTTTTCCGGGATTCTTAACCCTGTAGTGAAATGATCATTCTCGGGAGAAAGTTGGATGGCTTTACGCGATTAAAAAGGTCCCCCGACTTGAAACGACTTTCGCTTAGAAGCATTGGAATGTTTTGGGGAAAGCGGCTGGGTTCAATAGAAATTGAGCCATTCCAAACGCGGTCATGGCAAATGAAGTTCATAGTTCATTCACTGCTAGCTTGAGAAAGTATTTGATATGAAATATGAAAAATAATAGCGAGACAGTGTGGGAAATAGAGAGGGTCAGACATCACTCTGGTATTTTTCTGGCACCTGAAAGGCCTGAATATGGTTCAAACAGGACCAAAACTACCAATTTTAGACGACCACGACGTTTTGAAAAAAAGTGTAGTTTATTCACTGCTAGCTTGGAAGAGTACTTGAAGAAAATCTGAGAAATGCGAGACAGTGTGGGAAATAGAGAGGGTCAGACATCACTCTGGTATTTTTCTGGCACCTGAAAGGCCTGAATATGGTTCAAACAGGACCAAAACTACCAATTTTAGACGACCACGACGTTTTGAAAAAAAGTGTAGTTTATTCACTGCTAGCTTGGAAGAGTACTTGAAGAAAATCTGAGAAATGCGAGACAGTGTGGGAAATAGAGAGGTCAGACATCACTCTGGTATTTTTCTGGCACCTGAAAGGCCTGAATATGGTTCAAACAGGACCAAAACTACCAATTTTAGACGACCACGACGTTTTGAAAAAAAGTGTAGTTTATTCACTGCTAGCTTGGAAGAGTACTTGAAGAAAATCTGAGAAATGCGAGACAGTGTGGGAAATAGAGAGGGTCAGACATCACTCTGGTATTTTTCTGGCACCTGAAAGGCCTGAATATGGTTCAAACAGGACCAAAACTACCAATTTTAGACGACCACGACGTTTTGAAAAAAAGTGTAGTTTATTCACTGCTAGCTTGGAAGAGTACTTGAAGAAAAATCTGAGAAATGCGAGACAGTGTGGGAAATAGAGAGGGTCAGACATCACTCTGGTATTTTTCTGGCACCTGAAAGGCCTGAATATGGTTCAAACAGGACCAAAACTACCAATTTTAGACGACCACGACGTTTTGAAAAAAAGTGTAGTTTATTCACTGCTAGCTTGGAAGAGTACTTGAAGAAAATCTGAGAAATGCGAGACAGTGTGGGAAATAGAGAGGGTCAGACATCACTCTGGTATTTTTATCTTAAGGTAGTCCTGAAAGGCCTGAAAATGGTTCAAACAGGACCAAAACTACCAATTTTAGACGACCACGACGTTTTGAAAAAAAGTGTAGTTTATTCACTGCTAGCTTGGAAGAGTACTTGAAGAAAATCTGAGAAATGCGAGACAGTGTGGGAAATAGAGAGGGTCAGACATCACTCTGGTATTTTTCTGGCACCTGAAAGGCCTGAATATGGTTCAAACAGGACCAAAACTACCAATTTTAGACGACCACGACGTTTTGAAAAAAAGTGTAGTTTATTCACTGCTAGCTTGGAAGAGTACTTGAAGAAAATCTGAGAAATGCGAGACAGTGTGGGAAATAGAGAGGGTCAGACATCACTCTGGTATTTTTATCTTAAGGTAGTCCTGAAAGGCCTGAAAATGGTTCAAACAGGACCAAAACTACCAATTTCAGACTCGGAACTGGTCCTCAACCAAAAATGCTACACGAGGAACCGAAACTCGAGCAGTTCTCAACTTTTAAGGGAGTGCTACCAGGTTTTCCTTTTTTTCTGAGTTTTAATTGTCCCAATCTGAAGACCCAAACGCCGCCGCCGAAAAAGTTATCGGTGAAGAAGACGGAGGAATTCGACAACAAAAGCATGTACGCTGACGCACTTTCCAGGTTTCGTTTCATTTTTTAAATAAAATGGAGAATTATTTATAGATGCGCCTCCTACAAGGCTCCAATCGACGAGAAACGGCAACTGATGAAACTGGAGTTTGAGCTGAAACAGCCTCAAACGGAGCCCTGTGAGCTGCAGCTCTACAGGGACGGCTTCAGATGCCGGGTCGCCGTCGAGTACAACAAAAAGATGTATAGGTACTTGTTCAAATCGGTTTTTTAGATCAATGTGATTTCAGTAAGCCTGCTAGAATCATTTCGAACGTAAAAATTTCCCAAAATGCAGATTCTCATCAAAATCCTTAAAAATAAAAATGGCAAAAAAAAAGTTGGCGGCAAAAGGACTCGAACATGAATCATAGGCTCTGTTGGCTGACGCGCTATCCACTGCACCACGCTCCTACGAGCCATGCAATGGGTCGTGGCGCGGCCAGATTACTTCCAAACGGCGTCACATGGTCAACGATAAAAAGTTTAAAAAAATCATATTTCCAAAACTAGAATTTTTGCGCAGATAGGTTCCTAAGGATTTTTTTAGGAAAATTGAATATTATCATCAAAAAAATTTTTTTAATCAAAAAAAGTCTTATAGAGAAACGTCATTTCACAGAGAGGTTGTGAACGTCATTTTTGGATTATCCATGGAGCGCACAATCCCAAGCTTTTCGTGTCTTCTTTCATCATAATACTTTATCACCATATTATTTTTTTGAAAAAAAAAACCAAAAATTACAGAGAACGACTGAAAATCAGCGTGACGAACAAGCGAGCCTTGCTCCATTTCCGCGACGGTTGCAATTTATGATGAAAACTTTATTTTCATCGATTTTTGTATATATATTTCTATCCCTCAAGTCTTTCAATAAATTATTAAATTTGACTCATTTTTTGAATATTGGCTCTACTCCAATTTTAAGTTCTTCAAGCTTGTTTGAAATTTACATTATATTTTTATTGTTGGATTTTTTTGATGTATTGTTTTTTTAGTGGCTCCCATGGATACTTAAAAGTAATGAAGCCTAAATTTTTTGTTCATTATTTTCCATTTTGAACCATTTCTGAAGTTTGTAACCCCTCCTCACGTCGAAATTCGCACGTAGGTGACGGCGACGAAAAAAAAAACGCAGAGAGAAAAAGTGGGCGGAGCCGAAATGTTCTGCTTCCCGCCTCGAGGCGTCTCCGTCTCTCTTTCTCTCTCTCTATTGTCAACGGCCGCCTGGGGGCAGTGGCATCGCACGCACGGCCCACAGCAAGTCTGCTCCGACGCACACTTCCTTCTTCTTTTCTTTTGCAAAATTTTGGGGTTTTAGGACTTTTTTCCCAGCTTTTCGTGGTTGATCTTTGCTTTTTCAGCTTGAAATTGTGTTTTTAGAAAGTTCAAACCTTTTTGGAAGCTCTAAGAGACATTAAAAGTTAGTAAATATCACAGAACCTTTCAAATAAGATTTTTGAGAAATGAAAATAAAAATTCCTATTATAAGGAAATTTTTGAAGATTTCTGTGAATTGAAACTTGAGCAAAAGCCCACAAAAAAATAGACACAGAAGCAAATAAAAGTTGAAAAAGATAAGAAATAAATTTTATATAAAAATTATTTGATCAAAAAAAAAATTCACCACCGTCACGTTAATCTCATTTCTCATCCTCACCTTTTTCTCTGCCGGTCTGTTATTTTCCTCAACCTTTTTTTTCTATCTCTAGTTTAAACCACGTGGGAGCCGAGCAACTGTTCGAAATATTTTATATTGCTCAAGAGCTCATTTTTCTTTCAGACACGCCACATTTTCCGCGTAGGAAGCTTGAGTTAAATAATTTAATAAGAGACCATTAATTTAAACTTCAAACACTGAAGCGAAAATGAAAAAGCGTAAAAAATAAAGAAGGAAAAATGGAAACGATGAAAAATTAACGAAAAAAAAATTAAATCTCAGCAAGAGCTCTTCGCTATGAAGTGTATTTTCGAATCCACACTTGCGCCTTTAATAAAGCTCGCCAATAAAATTACCTAATTATATTTTTTTTGTTTTGTTCTTGGTTTCTTATTTATTATTATTGTGTGAAACAATTTCAAAGTGTTTTGAGATCCTTTCTTTACATTTAAGTTGCTCAACGCTGTCTTAAATATATTCGATTGCCTTTTTTCGTGTTCGAAATTTTTTAATTTGTCCTTTTTCAATTTTAAAATTTTCTAGGGGATGTTGAGCACTTTGGCTCGCGCTTCGAATCTTGGCCGCGCCACCATGGCGCGTCGTGGCTATTCGGCTGCCACGCTCGATGCCCATTCTCAGGTTCTTTGAAACAATTTATTTTACAGAAAAATATTTTTTTGCGTTCAGATCAAGGATGAGCAAAAGCCGATGGACGAGCAAATCAACCCCTCGTTCTACAAGATGGTCGACTACTATTTCGACAAGGGAGCGACGGTTATTGAGCCGAAACTCGTTGAAGAGATGAAGTCCAACTCGATGAGCCAACATGAGAAGAAGAACTTGGTCACTGGCATCTTGAAGTCCATCAAGCCAGTCAACAAGGTTAGAAAACGCGAAAATGAAAATGATATAAGACAGAGAAGTATAACGTTCGAAGGAAATTTAATGAAATTTAATAGTAGTTTTCAATTTTCGCCAAGCATTATATCGTTTTCTAATTGAATTATGCATATCTTTTTTGTGAAACAAGACACTTTTTAGACATTTTTGTACCTTGTATATGTTTTTTTGTCATCAACTATACTTTCCTTATTCCATCAAATTTGGGATCATGTTACTCTAAAGCTTTATGTATTTGAGTCTGATAAATCGACGATAAATTTTGATCCCCTTCTGAGGCCAAAAACCACTGTCTGACCTTGGCGCGGCCTAAGTTTATTTTCGTCGTTTTCTCTCTCGCTTGCAAGCGGATGATTGATACCAGACATTTTACGCTGTTTTTTAACGATCCGATGTTTTATGATAACGAAAACTGGCTTTTCATGTAGTTTCTAGTTTGTTTTTGGAAAGAATTTGAATGGAAAATTTGAAAACATTGCGTTTTTTGTTGATTTTTGACTTTTTCGCATAGATTTGGGTTTCAGAGCGGATATTTCCAATTTAACAGAGACTATTCGGAAAATTTCAAATTTCAATCCCTCAAATACTGGGCTATTTTCAAGGCTCAAAATAGTTAAGGGGTACAAGAATATTACAGTCAACATTGCTTCGCCTTGAATGCTTCTTTTAAAATCATGACATGCGCCTTTAAAATTTTGAAAGCTTCTAATTTTGGACAGACAAGAACTAAGTGATTTTTTTCACTTCAAAAAATGTTCGAATAGGGTTTTTTCGTTGTAATAAATAATAATTTGATGTGGATTCTCGTAAAACGATTTTACACAGTAATTTTCGAAGTTTCGTTTTTTTTTTTTAGAATTCCAAGGAGATTTTCCAAATTATTCAACTTGCAGGTCCTCTACATCACCTTCCCGATCCGCCGTGAAAATGGCGAATTCGAGGTGATCGAAGCCTGGCGGTCCCAGCACTCGGAACACCGTACCCCGACCAAGGGAGGTATCCGATATTCGCTCGACGTTTGCGAGGATGAGGTTTGAATAAAAATAGGTGTTTTAATATAAAAATGTTCAGGTGAAAGCTCTGTCCGCCCTGATGACGTACAAGTGCGCCGTCGTCGACGTTCCCTTCGGAGGAGCCAAGGGTGGCGTCAAGATCGACCCCAAGAAGTACACCGACTACGAAATCGAGAAGATCACCCGAAGAATCGCCATCGAGTTCGCCAAGAAGGTCAATAATGGAGCCAAAAAGGCGGAAAATTGCTTTATTGGGAGCTTTTCAAGGGTCTGAGACTCCGAAAAATTGATTTTGCGAGAAAAGATCAGTTTGATTGAAAGGGGAACTTTCAAAAATAGCTTTCAGATTTGTTGAAATTGCGGTTCTTTCAGTTGGAAAATTATAGAATAAGCCTTCTTATTCAAATTTCTATTGATACCCGGTGTTTTTTTGAGTAAAGAATCAAAATGAGAAAAAAATTTTTTTAAAGAGGAATCAAATGATTCATGGGCTATATGACGTCATATCGGGATTTTTTTGTGGTTATAGATTGGAAAAAAAACCATTTTTGATTTCGAAAACGTCTCAAGGAAAAATACAGCAAAAAGGCGGAAATTTGCTTTATTAGGAGCTTTTCAAGGGTCTGAAATTCCGAAAAGTTGATTTTTTTTGCTTAATTTTGGTCAGTATTGCGAGAAAAAGTTAATTTGAATGGAAAAATAAAGTGGCAGATGTGGTGTAATTGCGGTTCTTTCAATCAAAAAATTATAAAGAAAGATTTTTTCAAATTTTATTCGAGTCAGGTTTTTCTTAAGTACGGAGAGACAAAGCGCCATATTCCCCTTCAAGAATTATTTTTAAAACGCTAAAAATAGGAAGTTTTGGGTTCTATGACTTTTTATCTGTCAATAATTTGTTCATAAAATGAAAAAAAAAGATTTTTAACTTGAAAAAAATGTTATTGAGAGCATCCAAGGATGAATAATTCATTCAAAGATTTTTTTCTGAAACGTTCATTTTTCAGGGCTTCCTCGGACCCGGAGTCGATGTGCCCGCCCCTGACATGGGAACTGGCGAGCGTGAAATGGGCTGGATCGCCGACACTTACGCTCAGACCGTCGGACATCTTGATCGTGTACGTTTTTATTTTCGTCTCGTTCAAAAATTGAGTTTTTGGGGTTTTATTCTGTATTTTTATTTTTGCCTTTCATCTAGATTTATTAGACCATTAGGCTTAGGTCTGCTGAAATTTTTGCAAACTGAGGAAATTTTAGAGTTTCTGGCGCTTAAGTGCCCACTATAGTAGTCGAATTAGCGGCCACTCAAGTGGAAATACATTAGTGGTACTACTAGACTACTAAAACTACTATAGGGGCCACTTGGATGTAAAATAGTGGCCTCTATAGAGGGGCGGCATAAACTCGAAGACTCAAAAAGCAAAAAAACGAAAGATCAACGCGTTCTGAAGAGACACCAGAGAAATTAGAGTTTCTCTTTTTTTTTTGTAGAGTCTGACCTTTTTTTTTGATCTTCTTGTAGTTTTGAGAAAGGAAAAGCCCCTGGGTTAAGAACACTTTATTCAGTCAGACCGCAAGATCATGTTTTTTACACCTAGAAGATTTTGATCTCAAATTTCCTTGGTTTCATAATTTTTTCGAGTTGAAATATTCATTTTTCAAGGACGCCTCGGCCTGCATCACCGGCAAGCCGATCGTCGCCGGCGGAATCCACGGCCGTGTCTCGGCCACCGGCCGCGGAGTCTGGAAGGGCCTGGAAGTTTTCGCCAACGACAAGGAGTACATGGACAAGATTGGCCTCCCCGTCGGCCTCGCCGGCAAATCCGTCATCATCCAGGGCTTCGGTAACGTCGGCCTCCACACCCACAGATACCTTCATCGGTTCGGACTTTCACCTCGATTTTTATCATTTTCAGGTTCAAAATGTAGTGATTTAGGGCTTTTCCTAGAGTTTTCATTTCAAAATGCCGTGTTTTCAAGCTTCTCCTAGAGTTTTCAGGTTCAAAATCCAGTAATTTGGAGCTTTTCGTAGAGTTTTCAGGTTCAAAATGCCGTTTTTCAAGTTTTTGTGACATTTCTGGTTTTCAAAATGAAAAAAAATTGTTTACAAAGATATATTCAAAACTGTACAAAAATTTGTATTTTTTGAGAAGATAATCAGTTTCAACTCCGCCAGATCGGTGTGCACAAAGTTGCTTACCGTAATCTCATTTTTAATTTTTTTTTTTCCATTTCAAATATCATTTTTTTTTTTCTAGTCCATAAAGATGATTTTTAGCCAGATAACTTTGAAAGTTATCCAGAATTTCCTCATGATTTTTTTTTTTCAGTGCTGGCGCCAAGGTCATCGGCATCCAGGAGTACAACTGCTCGGTCTACAACGAGAACGGCCTCCACCCGAAGGAGCTGGAAGATTGGCGCGACGCCAACGGAACCATCAAGGGCTTCCCCAACGGCAAGAACTTCGAGCCGTTCACCGACCTCATCTACGAACAGTGCGATATCCTCGTCCCGGCCGCCTGCGAAAAGGCCATCCACAAGGACAACGCCCACAAGATCAAGGCCAAGGTGTGGATTGGCCAGATTCAGGAGTGATGAAAAAAATCGGGAGGAACAGTAGTAGGAATATCGACCTTGAATGTTGTAGTTTTGCGCGTTTTTGAGGAGTTTGAAGCTATTCGCGAGGATGGCTACTGAAAAACAAGGCCAAGGTGTTGATTGACGAGGTTTTTGGGTTCCTATGATCCTAATTTCAATGATTCTGAGTTGGCCAGATTTCGGAGTTTTTAGGCTGATAAAATAATCAGGAGAAGCAGTAGTGGAATATCGACTTTGAAAGTTGTAGTTTGTCCCGTTTTTGAGAAATTTGAAGCTAGTCGTTAGGATGGCGCCTAAAGGTGCTGATTTTACTGGAAGAATTTTTTAAAAAAAAGCGCCGAAAAATGGGTTTTAAGCCTGTCCTCTTTAATTTTCAATGTTGTTTTCCTCGCTTTTTCAGTACCTTTTTTCATTCCTAAATAAATTGACTTTCAAAAATAGCCTAGGACGGACTCAATTTAGCCAGAAGCCTTGATTTCCCGTGAACTTTGTAAAAATTTGTCAAAAATTGACTTTTCCGGCAAAAATAGGAAACATTTTTGATATGATCAGGTATCGGAAAAATTATTTATTGATATTTGAATTTTTCTCCGGCGCCTTTTGACTCGATTTTTGCTGCTTTTTTTCATGGTTTCCTTACAATTTTTTCATTTTTTTTATCCAGAAGTTGGATGTTTCAGATCATCGCCGAAGCCGCCAACGGACCGACGACCCCCGCCGCCGAGAAGATTCTCTTGGCCCGTGGCGACTGCCTGATCATCCCTGATATGTCCGTTTTTTTTTCTTTGGAATCGAGAGTGTACAAAGGATTTATCATTGATTCGGTTGATTTTTGAGGTCTTTTTGAAGGAAAAAATTTACATTTTCCGAAAATACAATCAGAAAAACTTGATTTTAAACTTTAATAATAGGTTTATTTACGACATACGGTATAAAAATGCAGTAGAAAGTTAAGGAGCAGGATTGCTTTAATAGAAGTTTTTAAACTTTAACCCTTCAGGTACGTCAACTCTGGTGGTGTGACCGTCTCGTACTTTGAGTGGCTCAAGAACCTGAACCACGTCTCGTACGGACGTCTCACCTTCAAGTACGAGACTGAGGCCAACTACATGCTTTTGGGTGAGTTTGGGGGAGTCTCAGTGATAATTAGAAGAGATAATCAAGTTTTAAAAGGGAAAATAAAGGATAGATAAGGAAAAATTGATCTTGAGCCCGAAAAACTGTTCAAATCGTAAAATCGGGGAGAAAATGAAGTTTTAGAAGAGGAAATAAAGAATAAAACTTCATTTTGAGAGCGAAAATAAACTGCTTTCAAATCGTAAGATATGGATTATTTTTCAAGTTATCACCCATTTTAAGAAATCCACAGAAAATTGATATTTAACGGTAGAAAAAGGTTGAATGATTGATTCTTTTTAGAGAGTTAAAATAAATAATTTTCCGAAAGATTTCTCTTTTTTGCTACTTCTGCGGCTAATCACCCGTTATGAAAAAGAAAATTTTCAAAAAAACGTGCTTATTTCTCGAATTATCCATAGAGCGCATTTCAACGTGGACGTCAATAATTTAGAGTACGTTTTTTTATGAATATTCAAAAATACCGGGCTCTCAACCTCTGCTTTGGAACAGCTTTTCTAAAAAATCGAAAGTAGACTTCAATTTCGGCGATAGTCGTTTCTGGGAACCTTTTTAGAACCTTTCAAGCCACGTTTTGAAGAAAAATCAAGAGAATATTCATAAGTTCTGAATGTTAAAATTGAATTTTTGCAATAGTCGTTTCTAGGAACCTTTTAGAACCTTTCAAGCCACCTTCTCTTTCTTTTTTTTTACCTGACGAAAAAGTTTCTTGAGTGTGCAAGCTGGGCGAGAATCGTTTACGATTGTTTTATGTGTTTTTGTGTCTCCCTCTCTCCCCCCTCTCTCTCACAGTTTGTTTGGTTGAAGTTTGTGACCGTCTGACGGTCTTTCCCCGCTTTTTCTCTGATTTCTCACTCTCTCTCTCTCTCGCTTTTCAATGACGCGTGCCTTTGTAACCACGTGGTCGTGGTGGACTGACATTGGAGAAGCGTCTAAAAACTTTCTTTTTCTCTGAAAAAGAGTTTGAGGGAGAGATGTGAGGGTGGCTTTTTGATTGAAAAGAGGAAAGATGGGGTTTTGGCGGGATTTCATTGAGAGGATTGTGTTTTAAAAAAAAAGAGGACGAAAATTTGGAAAATTTGGAGTTTTCGGAGGGATTCTCCTTGGAGCGCAAGTTGGAAGTTGGAAATTTTGAATAAGGACGGACGTTTCTGGCCATTTCTAGGGACCACTTAAGAGAACTGACCATAACGGACCTCGGTAACGAAAACCGGACGTTTCTGAGAAGTTTTAGGATCACTTGAGGGCGCTGACGGTGCTACTAAAGTGGTCACTAGAAATGCTCCGGCACGTCCTTTTCCTCAATGTCCGAGAACTTTTAGCCAATTTTCCTAAATCTCCCCCAGTTTCTGAATTTTTGCTGACTTTTATAGGCCTCCAACTGAAGTTCTAATGAAACGATTGTAGAAATCAACATTTCCTTTAATTTTAATGATTTTCGTAGTAAACCTTCTGAATAATTGTTCAAAAGAACCTTTTAAGACTCATTGGAGCGTTTCAGTTGAGTCAAGCTTTATAATTTGCACAAATTCACGCCAAAAATCTTTTCAGCCTCGGTCCAAGACGCCCTCGAGAGCGCCATCGGCAAGAAGAGCCCCGTCAAGCCGAACGAAGCCTTCGCCAAGAGAATCGCCGGAGCCAGCGAGAAGGTTTCAAAAGAATGATCCAGAATATCTGTACCTTTATGATTGCAGGACATTGTCCACTCTGGCCTCGAATACACAATGCAGCGATCCGGCGAAGCCATCATCCGCACGGCCCACAAGTACAACCTCGGCCTGGACATCCGCACGGCCGCCTACGTCAACTCGATCGAGAAAGTCTACAACACCTACCGCACCGCCGGATTCACCTTCACCTAAGCAATAAATGACTTCGTTTTCGTCCCTTTTCCTTGTCTGTCTCCCCATCTTCCAAAACCTCAACTTCTTGACCCTTCTGCTGCCCTTGCGGACAGCCCCGATTACGGCTCCGATTTCTCGTCTAGGAGATTCTTTGACACGCTAGTGTATCTTCCTCTCTCTTTAGCCACTTTTTTGATTGATTGACGTAAGATTCTCAGGATTTTCTAATTATCCTTTATTGCAACGGTTTTTTTCTTTGCTTGAAAATCTCTTGATTTAATGAAAAAATTCCAAAATTATTTGGCTTTGCCGAGCTTTCAACAGTGAAAGAAGAATGATTTATCACTTTAAAATTCAGCTTTTTTTTCGAACTGAACCAATAGATCTTCTTGAGACGAACCCAATGGTACAGTTCGATCCCTGATAACTTATCAGAAAAATTGAGTGTGAGCTTAGGCTAGTCCGAAGCTTCTAGCTGAAGCTTAGTCACTTGAATGTCTATATCATTAGAAAGCTGACGACACGAAAAATCGAATGATATAATTAGATAAGCTGTAGCTGCTCTGTGAGCCGAGATATGAGCGTTTGAAGTTCGCCATTAAATTTTCAATAGGCGTCAGATAAAATGCATTTGGTGGGCTGCACCACGGTGTACTTTTCTGGCGAAAAAGGAAAAGCTCAAAAAAAAGTCGGCCTTTTTCAAGTTTTTTCTAGTGTAATCGATAGAGCAGCTTTCATATAGCACTGTTATCATATCAGATTTGAGAAAGAAGCTCAAAAAATGGGTGAAAAATAGGTCCGAACAGCAGTGCTTTTTAGATTTAGAAGCTTCATAACTTTGTTCATTTTGTAGATACAGGGGAACTGATTATATCAATCGATTTGTCTCACTATCAGCTTTCCACTGATATGAGTTATGAACAGATTGAGCTTCATTCAGAAGCTTTAGACTTGCCAGAGCTTAGAACTCATGTTATGATAAGCTATCAGGGATTGAATCATATCCTTGGATTTGTCTTGAAACGATCTATCGATTGATTATCATTTCAATCAGTTCGAAGAAAAAGCTTAATTGTAAGCTTCAAAAATATATGACGTCAACCCGGTTTACAGAAACTCTTGATGTCCTATATCATTAGAAAGCTGATAACAAGACGAATCGATTGATGTAATCAGTTTTTCAGAAACTTCACTATGAACAAAGTTGTGAAGTTTGAAACTCTGAAAAGTGCACTTTTTGAGACCCATTTTTCAGCAAATTTTTGAGCTTTTCCCTCAAAAGTGTTATGATAGCAGTACTATATGGAAGCTTCTCTATCGATTGATCTAGAAAAAGTTTGAAAAAAACGAACTTTTTTTTGTGCTTTTCCTTTTTCGCCAGAAAAGTACACCACGGTGCAGCCCACCAAATGCATTTTATCTGACGCCTATTGAAATTTTAATTCTGAACTTTAAACCCTTATATCTCAGCTCTCAGAGCAGCTACAGCTTATCTGATTATATCAATCGATTCGTCTTATTGTCAGCTTTCCACTGATAAAGGTTATCAAGAGGTTGAGCTCCATCCTAAAGCTTCAGACTCGCCAGAGCTTACAACTCGATGTTTTGATAAGCTTTCAAGAAATAAGTTATATCATTGGATTCGTCTCAGAAAGATCTATCGATTGGTTGTCATTTCGAGAAAAAACTGAGTTTTCAGCTAAAAAACAATTTGGAAAAAAGCCGCCCTTTGAAAATTCATAACTCGACTTCTAGGAGGTTAGGAACTTAGAGACCTAGTTTTTTCTGACCTCCTTGATCTGCTCTATCGATTGATACCAAATTTGACCTATTTTCCGATTTTTGACCTGTAAGTTTGATCGCCTATAACTGAGTTCCTAGTTGACCTACGAGGGTCAAACCTGGCCTCAGGTTATTTTCTCGACGAGATCTATCGATTGATGTGAGTTTCGTCCAGATTGGCTACCATGACCTCAGAAGCTCAAAAAAAAAACGTAAGGGGTTGACTGTACTTTTTTCAATTTTCCCAAAAACCAAAACTTCCGAGATTTCTACATCAATCGATAGGGAATGACGTCAGAAGCCTGAAAATCAAGGTCGAAAAGTTCTTGGGCGCCTACAAAAAAAGTTATGATTTTTTGAAGTTTATTATTATTCATAACTCGACTTCTATGAGGTTAGGGACTTAGAGACCTAGTTTTTCTTAATCACCTTGATCTCCTCTATCGATTGATACCAAATTTGACCTATTTCCCAATTTTTGACCTCTAAGTTCGATTGTCCTTAACATAGTGATGATGCTTGAAAATCCGAAAATCGCTATTGTCCGGACCATTTTTGCTTCAATTTTGAGCTTCTCCTTACAAAATTAATCGATAACAGTACTAAATAAAAGTAGTTTCATCGTTTACACTGAAGAAACCCTGAAAAAAATGAAAATTTGAATTTCTCCTTATTCGCGAGGAAATCACCCGGTGGTGCAATGCACCAAATGCATTTTAATTGACGCCTATTGAAATTTTAATAACGAGTTTCAGGAGCTTCTCGGAAATGTCCTATTCCTTCCGATAAAAGCAAAAAAATTGAAAATATAACGGTTTTATTGAAAATAGCAAGTGCGCTCCGTGGAGAAATTCAACAAATTTAACAATCAATGTGAAAAAAAAATCGAAAATCAATGAAAAGGTTGGAGGAAAACTCTTAAATGATCACTTGGAAGTCAAACTTTGTGGTTATTTCCTATGATAAACAGATATGAAAGGGTGAAGTGACCACTTGAGGGTGCTGTTCGAAGAAGTCCCTCAAGGGCTCGAAGAATGACCGCTTGATGGCTCCTTAAGTGGGCACTTCAAGGGAACTCCTCCAACCTTTTATATAACAATAAATTCGATGAAGTGGCCCCTGGAGAGATTATTTTTCAAAATGATCTCTCAAGGGTCGAACTCAAGACTTCTTACAAGACCACTCCAAAAAGAGGGCCCTTAAGTGAGCACTTCATAACAACCGATTCAAAAAATAATTTTGAGTGGTCACTTAAAGGCATAGGGGCAGTAAAAAACGGTGTTTCAGTTCAAAGCAGTACTTTGTAGAGCTTTTCATTGCGAATCGAACGGTAAACTTGGGAACGTACTGAAATTCCTAGTTTTGAAGAAAAAATAATTCAAAATCGGAGAAAGAAAAGCTTGAGTTCCCGCGAAAAGGCGCTTTGCAGTAAAGTTGCTCTATGGACAACAGGCTTCCCCGTTTTTCGGATTTTCGCTCTTTTCTTCGTTTCTTTCAATTTTAAATTTTTTCTGTTGTCATCAAAGTTCTTTCCGTCACAAAAGCTTTCTATTCATGTATAATTTGCAAACTTTGATTGCAAAAATGATGATTTTACGCAGGTTTCAATTGGGATAGCGTTGTTTTGTGTTTTCTTTATTATCATTGTGTTTTTTCTGTTTTCTTAATCGATTTTTCAGAAACGAAACCCTTAATTTGAAGCAGAAAGCCGGTTATTTCTCACAAAATGCGAGTCTAATGAAACGTCCGCAACATCGCGTGCACAGCTACTGTAATCAGTTGTCTGCATACCGATCCAAAGCTTTTTTCAAAATAAAAGGCGGGAAAGTGAAATCGCGTTTTTCTTCTAGAGTTGTCACATCTGTAATTTTTTTGAGTACACTGTTGGATTCGCAAAGAAAAACAGTACAAGATACTGCTTTCACCTGAAACCCCATTTTTTACTGCCCCTATGCCTTTAAGGATTCTATTTAAAATGGCCTTTCGAAGAGTCACACTTTGATGGGAACAAGACTCATAAAGCGGCCACTTCCAAGTGAAGTCCCTTAAGTGATCACTTGAAAGAAGCTCCAAATAACAATCAATTCAAAAAATGCATTTAAGGGATCTCTTGAGACTTCCATTCAAAAACGACTTTGCAAAAAGTCAAATTCTGGCTCAACCACTTAAGAGACCACTTCAAAGATCCCTAAAGTGATCACTTCAACACGACAATCACTTCAAACAACAAGCTTATAACCCATGTGACCAACAGCGTCTCGGACCCACTGCGGCACTTCTCCGCCGCTGAACTGCTCGCCGAGGAAGCTGTTGAGGAACTCCCCGACCTTCTCCTCGTCGATGGCGCGTCGAACGTCCCGCATCAGGTCCAGCTGGTGCTGGATGTTGTGAACGGAGACCAGATGGCAACCGACCGTTTCCTGGAAGTTTTCGGCCTTGAAAAACTGTATATATTCACCTTAAAGTAATCATAAAAAGTTTCAAAGCAAATGCGCTCCAAGGATAAAATTGCTGAGAATTTTTGAAAAGTGCTGAAAAACTACAGACTTTGTCCCTTATAAGATTCCGAGCTTTTAAAAATCATAGAATTTTATAAAAATTGAAAGAATCTTTAGGGAAGGCTCTAAAAAATGAGGAAAACTGACCGAAAATTAGCTTGTTAGCGACGCCACGTTTCTAAGCATTTCTAGGGATCACTTAAGAGTCTGACGCTACTAAAGTGGCCACTAGAAAGGCTCAGAAACGTCCGGAGCGCGTCCTCGAACCTTGGTAAGGCAAACCGGACGGTTCTGAGCATGTCTAGGGGCCACTTTAGTGGCGTCAGACTCTTAATGGATCCCTGGAAATGTCAAGAGATTGCCTCAGGTTTCTTTTCAAAAATTTATCAATAGAGCATAATTGCGTTTTTTTACCCATTTTTTTTTGATTTTTTTGCCTTTTCCCGTTAATTTTCATTGTAATACCTCCACTGAAATTTTGCACAAAGCATCATTTTTCAATGAACCGACTATGATTCACTTCATAGATTGATTTCAAACAGTAATTATCTTCATTTCGCTCCGAATATCGCAACAATCTGGCCACTTTTTACGAGGAAGCCACGGTTCTGATAAAAATAGCACGATAACGAAAAATGATCGCGTGGGACTTTTTTTTCTGATAAAAAATCTGATGATCAAATAACGACGTTTTCGACAGCGATTTCTCACGTTTTGTACGATTTGTCTGGGGTCGGAAAATATTGAAGATTTTAAAGGGGCTGAAAAAAACTAACACTTTTTTTAATATTTTTATCAGACCTTAAAAATATATTGAAAAAGCTTTTATAATGAAAAAAACTCAAAAATTATTTGAAAATATATAAATCAGCCTTTGACTTCTTACAATTATTGTCCTATAAACTCCAGAGCTTATCAAAAAAACGTTTCTTTTTCAAGGGTTCGTTGCGAAAAAATTCTTCTACAACCTTTAAACCTCAAAATATCTATCAATAAGCTCCAAATCAGTTCTAAGAAACTTCTAAACTCGTGAACCAAAAAGGAAACTTTAGAAGAAACAGCAAAATAATTTGATTTCGCTCTCCAATTTTCCAAAAAATGTGCTTGAAAATTATCCAACAGTTAAACTTTTTTCAAAGCTTTCAGTAGTAACCTATTTTCAACTTGAACGAAAATTTTTCAAATTTTAAATTTTTCTCAGGTACTCTCCAAAGATTTTCTTTCAACTTTTAGCCATTAAGGAGGTGAACATTTTCTTTCCTACCTATTATCTTTCTTCGATTTCTAATTTTCAAGTTTTTGTTTGAAAAGGTAAAAAAATCTCAAGGTCGACTGCAAAAAGAAGCTCATTTTGTCAGCTTTTTCTTAAATTATAATTTAAAGTCGCCGCTTTTGAACATGAAAAGGGTGAACATTTTTCTTCCTGCTTCTCTTTCTGTGATTTCTAACCTCTGAATCGATCCTTGACCCAAGAAGGTGTCTTCAAAGACATTTTCTAAAAGGGGGCTATCATTTCGTCAGTTTTTGATCTTTTCTATAATCTTCAAATCAGTCTTTGAACGAGAAAGACAAAATTTCAAATTCCCCTGCAAAAAGGGGCTATCATTTCGTCAGCCTGTCGTAACTTGCACGCACGTACAATCTCTCCGTTGGGGGAATACCTTTGTCGCCGAAAAACTTAAAGAATCACCCGACCGATTACACACTATCGAGACGGAAAAGAGACACTCGAAGCGGAAAAAAAAGAAGAAAATAATCTCTCCGAGTTCAAACCGCCACGCGGGCCCCCGTCGGTTTGGTTACACACTTTTGCTGGAGATCGGGAACACTTGAGCCCATCTTTTTTCTGTCTTTATTCCATGGATCCTTGGAAAATCAGAGAGGAAAAGAAAGCCTGACAAAAAATGGACTGTAAACAATCTTTCGACTCAAGTTTAAAGACTAAAAATTCTGAAAAGCGATTCGATTTGAGAAGAATTTTCAAAATTGATATTTTTCAATTGACCCAAATCCTTCATAAAACACTGATTTGCGCTCAGAAAATGAGAAAATCCGAAGTTAAAGAAAAACTCAAGAGGCCACTTAAGAGGTTCCTCAAGGACTACTTGAAAAGGACCCTAAAGTGCCCACTATTTTGCGTCTTAATGATTCAAATCCAAGCCACTCAAGTAGCCACTATAGTAGACACGAAAAGCTCAAAACCCTAAAATGACCACTAGAAATTTCCCAATAAGTTCCTAAAAAATCTCTATCTCTATCTCTATTTTTTGTATCATTATGGATCCTCAAAAAATCGAGAAAAAACATTCTTTCTACAAAAAACTGCCAGAAAATGAACTAAATGATCTTCTGGGTCAGATTTACAGACTGAAAACCATGAATTTGAAAAATGGATTCGATTTGAGAAGAATTTACAAAATTGATATTTTTCAATTGACCCAAATCCTTCTTATAAACATTGATTTGAGCTCAGAAAATGAGAAAATCCAAAATTAAAAAAAAACACTCAAATGGCCACTTTCTCCTCAAGAACTACTTGAAGAGAACACTTAAGTGGCCACTTATTATACCAACCATATAGAAGCCATTATTCCGGGTCTTAGTGGCCACTATAGTAGTTTTTAGTCGTATAGACTTCTAAAAAAAGTCACTAAATTTGAGCCCCTTAAGTGGTCACTACAGTGAACACGAAAACCTCAAGACTTCAAGTGACCACTCAAAACTTTCCCTAAAAACCGCCAAAAAAGGCCAATTTTTTCTCTTCGAAATCTCTCAGTTTTACCTAAAACTTGCCAACTTTTCGCCAAATTCGTGCCTTCTTTTTACAACTCGACCCGAAAGTTTAACGATTTCGTCGACAAACTGGTCGATAAGCTCAACGACCGAAGTCGGAAAAAAGCGATAAAAGATGGCGTTTCGATGAAAAACCGAAAATCGACGACGCCGGGAGGCCGAAAAACGTCACAAGAATAGATGGAGTTGGGTGAAAAATATGGCAAAGGGGTTAGAAAAGCAGGTTTTTCGTTTGAAAATATCGAACTTTTGACACGGCATACATCAAAATACACCCTGAAAACGGACTTTTCCAGTTTTCCAGTCTTCTAAAATTTACTCGGACCACTTATACTTTTTTTTAGACTTGAAATGAGAAAAATGCAACTTAAACGCCTTCTTTGAGTTCTAAAAGTTACTTCAAAACCTCAAAATCTTTGAAATATTATCTTACAAACTTCATAACATTTTCGATAGCTTCAGTATTTTTCCAATGATAGCCGGACAGTTGGCGATTCAAAATAAGCCTTTTAAGACTTGAAATGAAGAGAATTACAGCTTGGGAACGGATTTTGAAAATTCTAGTCTTTCAAAATTCACTTGGACCTACTTATTCCCCTTCTTTGAGCTCTAAAAGTTATTTCAAAGTTTCAAAATCTCTAAATTTTAACCTAAAAAATGTTGAATTAAACTTATTCGATCACAAAAAAGCGCAGAACATTCCAAATTTTTCATCATATATGAATATTAAAAATTTTTCTTCTTGAAAATTTCGATAATTTCAGTGTTTTTTTCCAGTGATAGCCTGGCAGTTGGCGATTCAAAATAAACGTTTTTAGACTTGAAATGATGAAAATGCAGCTTGAAAACGGATTTTGGAGCTTCCAGGCTTAAAAAACAGTTGAACCAACTTATGCCCATTTTTTGAGTTCTCAAAGTTATTTCAAAGCTTTAAAATTTCTGAAATTTCATCCTAAAAACGTTGAATTCGACTTATTCGATTACAAAGAAACTCAAACTCGGTTTTTCGTAAATAAGTATTTTCATTAAATTCTCAATAGCTTCAGTATTTTTCCAATGATAGCTTTACACTTAGTGATTCAAAATGAGCGTTTTCAGACTTGAAGTGAATTTGAAAACGGATTTTCAAACTTCCAGCCATTCAAAGTTTGTTCATACCAACTTTCTCTTAAAAATCCCAAAAATAGAAGTTCATAATCTTCTGAAAATGAGCTAATACACTTAAAATTCCAGTTTCAAAGAAGAAGAACTCAATTTTTCGTTTTATCCATAATTTTTTTTTAGCTGTTTTGTTAGATAAATTGACGATTTTTCCATGAAATCAAAGTCTTTCCAAGGGTTTTACCTTGCCGATGACGCCGTGGATATAAGCCCTGGTGTAGGTTCTACAGGTGTGACAGGTACATCGGTCATCGATCGGCTCGAAGTCCGTCTTATACCGATTTTGGTTGAGTTGCATCAGACCGCCGCGTCGGACCAACGCTGTTCCGAATCTGGGAATTCGAAGAATATGTTTGAATCTGTCTGGAATCTGAAACTGGCTCTACTTGGGAACGACAGAGTGACCCCTGAAGGGATTTTTAAGCCTTTTTCGGCTTCTATGATTCAAAATATCTATTCTTCTTATAAAACAGCCTCTTAAGGGGACAAAAAGATGTCCCTGCAGGGGTGAATCTCAAGTGGTCTCTATAGGGGTTTTACAGTCGGACCCCTAAGCCACAAAAGCTCAAGTGGTCTCTTTGGGTCTTTAATTTTTTTTTCAATATTCGATCAAAATGTTCCGTATATACTTTTGCAAGCTTTGATGGCCCCATTTGGGAGAAGGCGGAGTGTTCCCTAGTGAGGTACCTTCAAAGACCCTTAAGAGACCACTCTGGAATTATGAAGAAGAGTCAGCGCACTGATTATCCCTCTTATCAGAAGACGACCTTTTCTTGGGTCGTTTTCGGCGATGGTGAAGTGGTCCCTAGAAAAAAAAAACCTTCAAGGGCCCTAAGATAGCCCCTTAAGAGACCACTCTGGGGTTACTAAGTAGAGCTATTCCATTGACTTTTTTTTTTGCCTTTTTCGAACCTTATCAAAGCCACTTTTTGCAAGCTTCAGTGACCCCTTTAGGCGGTGGTGAAGTGGTCCCTAGAGGGAAATCTTCAAAGGCCTAAGGTTGTCCCTTAAGAGACCACTCTGGACAGAGCCTCCTTCTAAAGGGGCCAATTTTTGCAAGCTTCAGTGACCCCTTCAGGCGGAAGTGTTCCCTAGAAAGGAACTTTCAAGAGCCCTTAAGTTTGCCCATAAAGAGACCACTCTGGAGCTACAAAGCCTCCTTCTAAAGGGGCCACTTTTTGCAACCTTCAGTAGCCCCTTTAGGCGGTGGTGAAGTGGTCACTAGAGGGAAAACTTCAAAGGCCTAAGGTTGCCCCTAAAGAGACCACTCTGAAGATACTTAGAGCCAGTCCACTGATTATTTTTCTGCTTTTTACGGACTCCCTCTAAAGGTGCCCCTTTTCGGAAACTTCCAAGGCCCCTTTACGGGGGGTGGGGAAGTGGTCTGTAGAGAGGTACCTTTAAGGAGCCCTAGGGTGGCCCCTTAAGAGGCCACTCTGGAGTTACTAAGTAGAGCTAGCGCACTGATTAGCCCTGATACCAGGAGAGGACCTTTTTTTCTTGGATTATTTTACCCTTTGCCTCCCTCCAAAGAATCCACTTTTTGCAAGCTTCAGTAGCCCCTTTAGGCAAAGGAGTAGTGGTCCCTAGAGTGAAATCTTCAAGAGACCCTATAGCGACCACTCTCGAGTAACTGACTAGACTAAAGACCGCTATTCACCTAGCCGTCCTGGTGGGATAGACGCAGTCGAACATGTCGGCGCCGAGCAAGGAGCAGATCACCAGGTCGACGGGGAACCCGACGCCCATCACGTAGCGGGGCAGATGCGGTGGCAGTACGGCACAGCAGGTCGCCACGACACGCCAGAAGCTGCTCTTCTCCTCGCCTCCGGAAAGGCCGCCGATGGCGATTCCGACCTATGAAAAAGACATTTTTGATCTATTTTTTTTCTGAGATTCCGTAAGACGGGGCAGTATCTAGCGGTTATACCGTAACCTTGAATCATACAGTGGCCTCCAGTAAACCTACAGTAACCCTCTAAACTAGCCGATCTACAAGATTGGTTAATATTGGACTTACATTATCCCAAATTTTTCCACAGAAAGGAATTATTTGCAGCTACCGTAATCAATAGAGTATACTGTATACTTGATAAAAACTACAGTAACTTTCTAAAGCAACTACAGTAACTTTCTCAGCAACTACAGTGACCTTACAGAAGCACTTCAAGAGGCTATACTCAATTTTCCTATGTAACAAGGTAATAAAAAAGCATTTTTTCCTCTTCAAACTACAGTAACCCCCAAAAAACCACCGTAACCCCTTTACCTTTGCTCTTTTCGCCATCTCCTCCACACATTTTTTCCTCAGGTCCAAATTCAAGCCGCCCTAAAATTAAAATTTCGAAAAGTAATCAATTTGAAGTGCTCCAAAAACCTGAACAATTGGAAAAAGTGTCTGATCCGTTCTCGTATGTGCTTTGGTACACCGATCTAGCCATCTGAAAATCACTCCGTACTCGGAAAACCCTAAGAAAAAATCAGAAATTGAGAAAAACCTTAATTTTCAAGTATTTAGAGAACCTTAAAAAAAACCTGAAGTTTAAGACTTTCGAGAGCTTTGTAAAATCATAACTTGAGTTGGAGGTCACCTAAATTCGAGTGATTTGTATCAAAATAACAGAATGAAGCGCTTGATTCAACTAAAAAAGGCGTTCCCGAAAAAAACCTTAAGAAAAAAATCGAAAAATTGTGAAAAAAACCTTAATTTTAAGTCTTTTTCAAAACTTAGAAGAATCATAACTTTGGTTGTAGGTCACTTAAATTCGAGATATTTATACCATTTCATCAAAAAAATGAAGCGCTCGCTCCAACTAAGAACCAGGCGTACTTGGAAAACCTTAGGAAAAAAAAAAAAAATTGAGAAAAACCTGGTTCCAAAAAAAAGTTCCAAGACTCTTGAAAACTTTAAAAAGCCATAAATTTGGTTGTAGGTCACGTAAATTAGAGATATTCATACTACAATATTCGGAATAAAGCGCTTGATCTAACTAAAAACTGGGCGTTCCCAAAGAACCTTGAAAAAAAAATCAAAAAATTGAGAAAAACCTTGATTTTCAAACTTCTTGAGAACTTTAAAAAATCATAACTTCGGTTGTAGGTCATCTAAATTCGAGCTATTCATCTTTAAAGATTCAGAATTAGCGTTCGGTTTAACTAAAAACTGGGCGTTCCCGAAAAACCTTTTTTTTTCAAGTCTTTTGAAAACCTTAAAAATCCTAACTTTGATTCTAGGTCACGTAAATTCGAGATATTCATACCATTTTATTCAAAATGAAGCGCTAAGAACCAGGCGTACTTGGAAAACCTTAGGAAAAAAAAAATTGAAAATTGAGAAAAACCTGGTTCCAAAAAAAAGTTCCAAGACTCTTGAAAAAAATTTTAGAGAAAAGATCTTCGAGAAGTATAGGTTTTTTTTTTCATGACGTTTCTACGTTTCTCCTACCCCTCTCTGATCAAAAAACTGTGGTTTTTTTCAAAGATTCAGCAGACCTGATGCTCCGATGCATGGCTTCTTCTACAATGTCTCCAGTCGTTAAAACGTGAATAACATGGTCCAATTGCATCATTATATCCGCTCCGAGGGCCTGGAACGAAAAAGTTGAAATGATTACTTTTTGAAATCAGTGTATGAAGAACATATCCCGGGTGCGACAAAAGGGAGTTTTCTCCCTTTGCGAAGGGTACGGTATGAGAAAGTCCGCATTCTGAGATGTTCACGTCATGTGAAGAAAATAAAAAACAGGCCAGACAGTGTGTAAAGCGAGGAGAGTACGAGTTAGGAGTCTGGTCTCTCCAAGCTTACCATGCTCTCTAAACTGATGCATGCCAAACAGGGCGGGCCTCGCATGCATCTCTTCAGAGAGCACGGTAAAATTGGAGAGACCAGACTCCTAACTCGTACTCTCCTCGTTTTACACACTGTCTAGTGACCTGCCCGTTGGTCTGCCAATTCCCTCAGACAGTGTGTAAAGCGAGGAGAGTCTGGTCTCTCCAAGCTTACCATGCTCTCTAAACTGTTGCATCCCAGCCACGCAACAAAAGTGCATACACACCAAGTGCACGCCTCAGACAGCGGTATTTCGCCTACAGTACTCTCCGTGGCACCGGTAATTCCCACGTTACCTGTTGGATCTCAATCGACTTTTCTGGAGGTAAAGCCATCATTTCTCCCGTATGAGGGCTTTCAAAATTGACGCCATTCTCGTCAACCGTCATCAGTTTGCTCAGGGATACCATCTGAAATTTTTGAATTTTTTTTTTTTGATTACATTTTTCAGAAAATACATCATCTATCTCATGAGTAGGCTAGGCTAATTTTTCTAAAATCGTTCTTTCTTTAATTACAAACGTTTTCTCCAATTTCTCCGATTCGTTCTTCCAACCTTTATGCCGCGTTCAATTTGAATCCGCGAAATGCAAAATGATCCCTGACTCTCCAAAAATTAGTAATCTTTTCCTTTCTTTAACGGGTATTTTGCATTTCGCAGAATCAAATTGAACACGGCATTAAAAAGCTATTGACTATAAAGTTTGAAGAAAATTTAACCAAAAATTCTCAAGCTTTTTGTGGTTTTACTTAAAGCTCATTCCGCGCCAGCTTGTTTTTGTTTCATTCCGAGTTACAGAACCCTTCTATGAAGCTTTGGTTCGACTCATTTGGCCTCAAACTTCCGTCATATAAAAGGCGCATGCACAAGAGTTGGCAACGCGCATCGAAGAGATGGGTACTGTAGCTCGGAGGATCATTCAAACCGTGAAAAGCTGTCGTAGAGTGGGCTATGTTCACAAGTTCCCGTTGAGGAATATTTTGAAAAAATGACTTTTTTTGAAAACAGTTGGAGATTTTACAAATCTCAGAGCCTTAACGTTATAATTTATATATTTTTACCCGCAAGATTCCTTTTTTCAAACTTGAAAAACCATAATTTCTACAATAAAGCGCTTCGAATCAATTTTTCAAAAAAGCTTGAAGGAAACCCAATAAACACCGTAACGCTTTAGAATCCGAATATTACTTGAAGTTTAATCAATTTTTATTGAGCGCTTTATTTTCATGTTCTAAATTCCTTACGGCGATTTTTTGCCGACGGCCCGCCTACATTTTTTCGTAAAGTGTAGTGTGTCGTGTGCATACACTGCGGCGCTCTGGCACACGTTCTTGAACGTAATTTTCATTTTTTTTATATTTTTCACTCTCTGGTGGCTATTTTGGATTTCGCGGAACACTTTCAACACGGCATCAGAAAAATCGCGTTTTTAAAAAAAATGAGAAATAGATTCGTCTCATGACGCATTGATGCGCCTTTAACATTTCCTGTTGTTTACGCGTTTTTTCCATGACGTCACTTGGGAACGGCGGACATTTTGACCACGCCCCTTAATTTTTAGTTTTGCATTTTCTTCGCCGTTTTCTGTGAACCGCAGCCTTACCCAAGAAAAAGGCGAAAGAAATAGATAATCATCATTTTTTCCCTTGATTCCCACCTGGAACCCTCCAGAATCGGTGAGGATGGACCTCGGCCAGTTCATCATCTTGTGAAGGCCTCCGGCGGCCCGGACTCGTTCATGACCGGGTCGATGGCCCAAATGGTAGGTATTGCAGAGGAGGATCCGGCAATCCATGTCGATCAGCTGTTCCGGAAGAACTCCCTGCATGTTTTTCTTAGTTGATAACAATCATTTCTTGATATTTTTTTATTAATTCGATAACAGTGGGTCTCTGAAAGTTCCGGTTCCGAGGAAAAAAACTAAAAACTCTTTATCCCAATAAAGTAAGTGTCTCTGAAACATCGGTTTTTTTCGAAAATTGTAGTTTATTTAAATAAGCGCGGAGATTTAAATTTTTTTGAAAAAAATACAAAATATTATTTTTCCATCAATTTTACTGCGTGAAAATCAAATTTCATGAAACCAACAGTCAGAAATTCACAATTCAACAAAAATTGTCTCGAAATGACACGAAAATTTTTCGATTTTCAAAAAAAAACGTCACTAAAAATCTTTTTTGTGAAATTTCATCTTCAATAAGTTACATGAGAGCCAAATTTGATGTTCCCGAAACAAAAATCCACGAGAAATGCCTCGAAATTACGCAAAAATGAATCAAAATTGGAAAAAGGCTCAAAATTGAGCTGGTGGCTAGGAAAAAAACGTTTTTTTCTACAAATTTTCATTTTTTCGAAAAACTCTTTTTGAAATCTTTTCCAAGGCAACGGTTAAAGTGTAAAAAGATTTTCGAAAATCCAAAACTTTTATTTCGATCCATTTTGGGCTTCTCAATCAATCATCAATATATTTATTTCGCTTAGTGACATATTTACTTTTTATTCTCCATCAAAAACGCTAAAAATTCGCAACAGATACGCAAAAGCCAACCTTCATAGTTCCCTGAGTCCCGACGGGCATAAAAACGGGCGTTTCAACGACAGAATGGGGCAATCTTAGTCTCCCATGTCGGGCCAGGCCAACCCTGCCGATCACGTCGAATTTCATTTCGGAAGTCTCCGCTTCTGAAGTCGTCGACGACGTCGCCACGTTCGGCGCCATCCGATTTACCCTGGTAAACTCAATTTTTGAAGGAACATACATTTTTATAACCCTAGTACAATTATATTTTGAGAAAAAAAGTAAAAAAAATTTTTTTCGAGACGTTCAAAATGTTCAATTAACCATTCCAGCTTTCTGAAATCTGTTAATATCAATTTTTAATTCTTTAAATGATCACTTGGATTCAATAAAGTCCTGAAATCATTTGCAAAAAAATACAAAAAAATCTCTTTTTTAAAAAAACTTCAGAACAAAAAAATATGAACAAATATAGAAAGGAAAAAAAGACGAAAATATTTAAAAAAATTCGAATCCTTCTGAAAAAAAAAACGATAAATCTTCTAAAGAAACCTTGGAAATATCATAATTATCACTAAATTCCAAGAAAACTCAAATTTTCCAAACAAAAACACGAAAACCATTCAAAAAATGAACCAAAAAGTTGTTTCGGAACCGTTTTTAGCTCGAAAATTCAACTTTCCTTCAATTTTCAAAAAGGCAGATGTTCCTAAGAAACCTTGAAAATATCATATTTATCCCTAGATTTCAAGAAAAACACAAAATTTTCGAACAAAACCTGAGAAGCATTCAAAAAATGAACTAAAAGTTGTCTTGTAACCGATTTCCTAGCTCAAAAAATCAATATTCAAAATAATCGCAAATATCTTGGCAGCAATCCAAACGAAAATTTCCATCAAATTCCAATAAAATCTCATTTATTTATACAATAATACGTCGATCATAACATGCAAATGAAAAACGATACGAAAATAAAATCTAATTTACACAATATTAAATGCGCCAGGAAAAGCCTAGAAAAATAAAAATCACACACGCTTCTACGCTCTAATAACACACACACTTTATACATTTTCTTAGGTACCTTTTTTACGGAATAACGGAGGAAAAAACCATACTGACGGCAATGGCACGACTACCAAGGAAAATGATTGATCCATAGCCAATTCCTGTGGATTTTAAAGGCGCATGCTCCTTGAAAAGCCCATTTCTTTAAAATTTAAAGGCGCATGTTCCTTTAAAACGTCAAGAACAGTTACGGAACGCGAAATAAGGAATAAATACATGTGGATAGAAATAGAATCTCGAATAATTTTCATCGAAGGGCCCGGGGGAACTGGAAAATGACATTTGGATTGGTTATTCGGAGCCATTTTTCGGCGGGATGTCGATAGCGCCGACGACGGGCTTATCGAGGGCATCCGCAGGGTTACAGACTTCCAGGATCGCCCGGCCTTCCACTTCCGACATCGATAGTTGCTTCAGGACCTTTAAAAATATGATAAAACTTAGAATCAAGAGAAAATGAGAATTAATGAAAGGTCTCAAGACGAAAACCGTTTTTTTAAGTCACGCAAGACTTCTGCGCCTTTAAATAGCCTAGAATTTGAATTTTTAGAAAACCCTAAGTATCAAAATTGAATGTAAAAAATACAAAAAGTCATATTTCTCATCGATTTTTCGATTATAAACTATTTCTTCACTAGATTACGAACTGAAAAATGGAATTTTCAAAAGGAAAACTTTAAAAAATGTCAAAATCTGATTAATTTATGTTCAATTTGTCCATTAAAAGTAAGCTCATCATTCTAAATTTTTGAAAAATTCTAAAATTGTATGTCAAAAGCTTCAAAAAATTGAAACTTTATAGTAACCAACAAATAAATAACTTAGGAACCCCAGAGTGGTCACTATAGGGGCAACCTTGGAGCCCTTGGGGTCACCTCTAGGGACCACTAAATCTTGCAAAAGTGATAACTTCTATCAGCTCCAGGCAAAAAAATAAGGAAAAAACTTTTTTGTATAAAACTGTACGACCCCCTGTAGGGACCACTTTAGGGGCTGAGGGGCCAAACCCTGAACCCCTATAGGGCCACCTTGATTTGACCCCTATAGGGACAGCTTTTTTGACCCTATAGGGGTTGTTTCCCCCCTGACCCCTATAGGGACCACTCTAAAACTCCTTCTAACAAATATTGATCGAAAAACTCACACTCGACGCCTGATCAACGGGATAAACTCGGTAGTCCGGGGCGTCAATTTGGCCGCCGGCGATCAAATGAACCAAGTTTTTCAGTTGTTCAATACTTCCGCTGCAACAAAAAACCGATCAAAACTTCGAAAAATTATCAGAATAATAAAATTTCGAAGCAAACAGGGACATTTCCACAGAAAATTACTCAAAATTTCTGAAAATTTTAAAAAATTCGTCAGAAAAGGCCCCAAAAACTACCACGTCAATAAAAATTTTTCAAATTTGGGAATCTCGAAAATAAATTTCACATCCCAATTCAATCAACAGGATTCCTCAAAAAACAAGAAAAATCAAGTTTTTTCTGAGCTTTCAAATGCAAAAAAACTTTTTCTAAATTCCAGAATATTTTCCTGATAGGATCCTAGGACCAACCGAGTAACGCCCATGATCGCCAGACGGTTCTTGGCGACCTGCTTGATCGGTAGCTGAACATCGAGACCGGACAGTCCACCAACGAACAGGACGCCTCCCTGGACAAATAAATATTCAAAATTTCACAAAAATCTATATCCCATCAACTTTTTTTTCATTCTGACTGTGAAAAATATTATTATAATCATATCAATTAACGGCTTAAAAAAAACCTAAAAAAATTTGATTTTCTCTTTTTTTTGGCTCAAAATCCTTCAGCTCATGATTTTCTTAATGTCAACCTATCATGTTGAGTTCATCGGAATCAAGAAAAAAAAAAGCTTCAAATCAGGAAAAATTGGATCATTCTGTAGCAAATCGCGTTCAAAGTGCTTTAAGCAAAACAAAAATAATCGTCAGGGAAAGAGAGAGAGAGATAATGGAGATTAAGGAGGGCCAGAGATGCTTTCTAGCTCATCACTTTGAACGCCGCATAATGTACAATAAAAAGGAGTCAGAAAGGGTGGAAAATGGTCGAGAAAATGTTCTTTTTTTGGTGCCTTTTTGCGCCATTTTTTCGACTGTTATGCACCATTTTTGCTGCCTCTCCCTTGTTTCACCATTTTTTGATCCCAGAAAAAATGGAAGGCTCGATAATGGGACTCTTTTTGATGCCTTTTTGCTACCATTTTGCGGCCTTTCTGCTGCCTTTTTACGGCCCTTGTAAGCATTTTTGCTACCTTTTTGCTACCTTTTAGCGGCCTTTCTGTTACCTTTTTGATGCCTTTTTGATGTCCTTTTGATGTCCTTTTGCTACCTTTTTGTTACCTTTTCGCTACCTCTTTGCAGCCTTTTTACTACCTTTTTTCTACCTTTTTTCTACCTTTTTTCTACCTTTTTGCTGCCTTTTTTGAGCCTCTCCTTTTCAGCGGCCAATATCCACTATACCGACTTTGCCCGAGTTGAAAAAAAAGTTATCTACTACATAAAAATCTTATAGAACATATATTCTACCCACAATAATCCCATAAAAAGCAACTTTTCCATAAAAATCCCTAAAATAATCACTTCAGCGAGGCATTTCAAGGAGCGAGTGACGGTCCTTGGTGACGTCACGAAGTCGAAAACGACGTTGACTCCGGTTCTGGCGACGTCTTTCGTTCGCATGATCAGGTACTCCTCGAATTCTTGAAAAATCAAATTTCAATAATCAGCTCGTTTCCATGCGGAAACCAGAATCGTCCCAATGGACGACGAAATCGGCTCCGTTCCTTTCGGCAAGGCAGAGACGTTCTTCCTTGGCGTCGGCCACCATCAGGCGGATCTTTCTGAAAATCATATTCCTTTGAAAATATTCAAAGGTCTTGGGTTAAACACCAGGACAGTCACACAAATTATGAGAAAGAACTTAGGAACTTCGGAGTGGTTCCTATAGGGGCAAGGTAAGGGGGCTCTTGGAGGGTTCCCTTTAGAGATAGGGGCACGGTAAAGGGGCTCTTAAAGGGTCCCCTTTAGAGATAGGGGCAAGGCAAGGGGGCTCTTGGAGGGCTAGCATTTTTGAATGAAATTGAAAGACCCCTATGGGGACCACTTGAGCTTTAGGGGCCAAGGAGTCAGACAATAAACCCCTATAGGGACCACTTTTTCGAAAGATTTTCATTATTCTTGTTAAAATTTCCCACAGGAAGCCACTTCTCATGAAAAAATGCCCGTTGATTTTATTTTCATGGAATTTATTCCTTCTTCTGTTGTTCTATAAACCGCACCGATCATTATTGATTGCCAAGAAGTGCTTGGCGAGCTTCAGAAGCCACAATCCGAGGCCGCCGGCGCCGACGATCAAAATGTTGCAGAAGCCTTTGGACTGCGAGAAAGCCTCGACGATGGGTCTCGCCTGGAAAATCATACAGTATTTCCTAAATTGGAGCAAGTCCTAGGAAGTTGATTCTTGAAGGAAAATTCGGTATTTAACAGCTTCATTTTGAACAAAATCTATAATTTTTCTAGTAAAATTTTGCAAATTCGGAATTTTCATCGGAAAAATGACAGTAAAATCCTGATTTCGACACTTTATTGATTTATTTTTCATCACAGCAGGGCCTTTCACAAAAACCCTTGAGAAAATCTGATTTTTTTAATGCAAATTTAGGTATTTCGATCCAAAAATAATGCCTCAAAATTGACATTTCACGACTAATTCCAGTGATATGAAGTTACTGAATAGTTTAAACTACGGACTTTGATTCAATCAAAAAAATCCAATTTTTCTGAATTTCTTCAGCCTTTTTAATATAGTGAATTTGCACTGATAAACACGGGAAATTATCGAATTCTGGCCTAGTTTTTTCAGCCCTCGCTTCAAAGAAAATGATTTACAAAGCTCATTTTCGATTCTTGTAAATCGAATCAAAGTTGCGAAATGGACATTTCACGACTAATTTTGGTGGTATGCAGTTACCGAATCGTTCAAACTACGGACATTGATTTAATGGAAAATTCCGATTTTTCTGAATTTTTCCGGCCTTCTCAATATAGTGGATTTGTACTGAAAATCCGGAAAATTTTCAAGTTTTGGCCAATTGTTTTCAGCCCCGGCTTCACAGAAAATAATTCACAAAGCTTAATTTTGATTGAAAGTTGCGAAATGGACATTTCACGTAAAAATTTCTGTTTTAACATCAATTTGAGCCATGCCCCTCGAACCTGAAGAACGGCGCTGAGAGCCCAAGTGGCGCCAGCGGGAAGGATCGAGGCGACGTGCATCGACAGGGAATCCGGAATCTTAACCAGGAAGTGCAACGTCGGCACGGCGACGTAGTCCGCGTAGCCGTGGCTGCACATCTCGTCCGTTGGCCATACGATGACCTGAAACCGTTCAGTTCAAGAATATTAATCGAAAAATTATTGAAACAGTAAACTAGTCTCTATTCCTCTGCAGTTTGTCCTCTTCCGAGCTTTATTCTGTTCAGGTTTTGAATTTCATGTATAGCTGATTCACGGGTGGCTTGAGCCATCAAAAAAAATGGTCTTGACACGATAATGCACGAGACGGCGCCTAGCTCGTGGAGGGCGCAGACAGGACACGCCCCCTTAACGTTCCAAGCTAGCCGTGAATCAGCGATACATCGACGTCATTCAAAAAAGCTCTGTGGATGGCTAGCTCTCTGATTGGTTTATCACGCCGCTAGGGGCGGAGCTTGAGCGACTTGAAATTCAAAATCTGACCCTTTTTTCGTTACACGCAGCCTGTCTCATTGCATGCGCCTTTAATATAACGGAAATTTTCATGTTCAATTGAAGGCGCATGCACAGAAACAAGTCGCGCACATCAAAGGAAAAGGTTATGTAGCTCAGAGGGAAAAAAACGTGACAATCTGACGCGGAATGGGCTATAAAAACTTCGTTTTCTCGTCCTTTCAATGGTAAAAAACCACTGGCTAATTAAAGGCGCATGCATAGAAAAAAGCTCGCGCGAAATTTTTCGGAAGCTTTCTGTAGATGGGAATTCGTAACAATCAAGGGCTGAAAAATTGGTTTTAAGTCGCGCGGGCTGTCTCTATGCATGCGCCTTTAATATAACCGGAATTTCAAGGTGGAATTAAAGGCGCATGCGTGGAAAAAGGCCGCGCGACTCGAATGGAAAATCTTAAGGATCAGGCTCATAATAGGCTTATAACATCCGTTCCAAGGCACACGGCCTGTTTTTTTTTTTTACTTGCGCCTTTAATATAACCGCTAAATTAAAGGCGCATGCACAGAAACAGGTCGCGCGTATCGCAAAAAAGGGTTCTGTAGCTTGGGAGAAAAATAATAACAATCTGACGCTGAATATTCTATAAAAAGGAAGACAAAAAAAGAGCAAAAAGTGCCATTTTTTCTCAAAATTCACGTTGAAAAATCGATACTTCGCTTCAAAAAAAAAATACCTTGTCTCCAATCTTCAAATCGTAATCTCCGGGCTGGGCGTCGTCGCCGAAGCATTCGACAATGCCGGACACTTCATATCCTGAAAGAAATCCTTTTAAAATGAATCGATAGGAGGGAAAAGGGACCAGGGAAAAGGCTGGTGTCTTTGATTCCATTAGTGATTCGGGCCTGTTTCGTGTTGGCCACTTCGCGGTCCGTCAGGCACACGCCCGCGTAACAGACCTTCAAAATTGTTGCATAAATGTATGAAACTTTGAAGAAAGCGCTTCTGAGTGTTCCCTATAGGGTTCAGGGCGAAAAACGGTCCCTTCAAGGGAAAATAAAATCAACGGGCATTTTTTCATGATAATTTCTAATGCAGAGTGGCTTCCTGTGGGAAATTACAACAAGAAATATGTAAATCGTTCGAAAAAGTGGTCCCTACAGGGTTTCAGGGTCTTTTTAGTTTTTCGCATAGAGTTCATAAAAAATTATCGATTAGCATGACCCCTATAGGGACCCCTCTTACAAGATTTAGTGGACCCTATAGGGGTCCGTAAAGTAGTTCCTAGAGGGGATCTTTTAAGGACCCTTGCCCCTATAGGGGCCACTCTGAAGTCGCACTGATCCTTGAAAAAAGGTACAAAAATTTCCCTTAAGGACCATCAGAAGCACCTAAAAAGGTTCCGCTGAAAGCTCCTAAAAAAAATTGGAAAAAAATGTTTTGAGCACTTTTTCATAGCCTCAGAGCAACTTTTTTCGATTCCCCTGTGATTTTTTTAGTTTCTTTCCTGCATATTGTTATTAAAATATATGAAAAAGAGCCAATAAAGATTTTTAAAGCAGTTAGAGACCTTTAAAAAAATCTTCCTCTAAAAGAACCTTCTGAGCATCTTTTTCAAGTGCATTCCGCGCAAAAAGGTCACGTTTTAAAAGCAAAACAGTAAAAAACTACCGTAAACGCAACATTTTTGCCTTGTTTTATTCTAAAAAACCACAAGGATGGCTGAAAAAAAGGTCTCGAAGCGAAGCTTGGTCAAAATTCGTAAAGTGAAGATTTTTTTTTGGAGAAAAAAGGGGCAAGACGCGTAATAACACATAACTTATCATTGCAAATTAAAAAAAAACAATAAATTCACAGTTTTTTTCATGTAATAAGTTTAGATAGCATATAGTTCACATTTGAAGAATTTCAACGTTAAAATGAGAATTTTTCCCATTTAGAAGCACCTTGACACGAGCGCCCTTCGGCGGGACATCTGGGACGGGTTCTTCGTCGAAAAATTTGACTTCGCGAAGATCTTTTGGTGATCCCAGGGAAATCCTTCGGTTTGTGGTTGGCATTTTCTTAAATTAACATTTGAACAAATGAAAAAAAAAAACTGATGAAAATGAGGAAATCGAAAAAAGGGAAGGAAAAGGTGAAAAAAATGATGCAAATGGACGGTAGACTGTTGGGGCGAAGAAGCGTGGGAAAACTTAAAATTCAAAAAGTTACAAGCAAAAAAAAATTTATTTTTCAGATAGCTATAACCGATCCACGGTTAACTTGGGAAGCTCAGGGGCGTGGCCTGTCTGCGCTCTCCACCAACCAAACACTATCTCTTTTCTTATCGTGTCAGGACCCTTTTTTCGATGGCTCAAGCCAGCAGTGAATCAGCTATACAGTTTTCTAAAAAGTTAAAGAGTTTTTAAAAACCGAACTTTAAATATTCTTCTCGACTTTTCTATGTCATTGAAAAAAAATTTTAAAAAGTTTGTGTCGGCCATTTTTTTAATACTAAAGAAGACTGCGCAACGAGCTCAATTTTTGAAGTTTCTTTTTTGGGAAAAAATAATAAAAAAATTATTTTCACAATTCAAAACTATACAAGATTTCAAAATTCCCGCGCTTATTAATTAACTTAATAATCTTTAAATGAACTGTTGGAAGCTCCAATAATTTTTTTTTAAAATGCAAAAACTATTCGTTCTTCAATATTACACTAAAAAAAGCTTCGTTTATTCAGAAAAAAACCACCAATTTTTCTCGAAAAAAATCTACTTGAACCGTTCTATAATGACCATTAAACCATTGGAAAACAACCATTCTCTCTAAAAATTAAAAAATTCTTCTGAAAAACCCTCGTCGAAGGAAGTGGCTGATCATATCGTTTGGCAATCAAATCTCTGAGTAATCTCAACGGCTGCATCTTCGAAACAGAAATGAAAGGAAAGGCGGACGTGAAAAAAGTTAAGAAGAAATCGATAAAAGGTTGCTAAAACGCCATTTCTTTTCTTTTCAATTTCAACCGGGCAAACAACGGTGAAGAACCCGTCCTCTACCGCCCACAAAATGTTATTATTGAAGTGAATTTGTCGTCTTTCCCTTTTTTGGGCAGGTTAATTTTTTAATTCGAGTGCCAAGGGGGAGAAAAAAACCGGTTGTAACGGTTGAAAACTGCAAGAAGTGCTAGAAAATATTATAATAATGACGAAATTTGTGATAAAAATGGGAGAAAAGCTTCTTCTGAAGTCTTGAAAGTAACTGGGAAAATTTTTAGTGGCCACTATAGTAGTCAAATTAGTGGCCAATTAAGGGCTTGAAAACTAGTGACCCCTATAGCGGTCTAAGTGCTACTACTAGACCACTAAATATTTTAGTGGCCACTTTAGGGGTCAATGGATCAACATAACTGGTCCAATCTGTTTGTTTTAAAATTATCAGAGTTACTGGATGAAAAACTACTGAAGTGGCCACTAAAACGGAAAATAGTGGCCACTATAGAGGTGGGTTTAGTGGCCACTTTAGTGTCCTCTCCAAGTAGTCCTTGGCACGCATCTATAATGGCCACTAAAAATTTTCCCAGTATGTATGAAAATCAATACGAAACTGAATAAATTTCAGATTGAATCGCCAAAATTTTTCTCTCGCTTTTAAAAGTGCAAAATTACGTTAAACGACATATAGTCTGTTCAAGAACTCTTACTAGAAAAGCATAAATTATTTTTATAGAACCGTTTTCAGCTTTGTTTCCCGTCACTAACGGCTTCCGTGCCATTAAAAAAAAATTCAGCAAGGAATTTTAGATAAATTAAAACCATATAAAAATCACAGAACCTGGAAAATGCATCCATTATCATTATCAAGAAAAATAACAAAAAAAGACGGAACTTGGTGAGGTTCATCACGAGCTGAAAGCCGACGAACAGAAAAGCGGAAAAAGAAGAAGAAGGCGGTCGATTTCCCAGCAAATGCACGTGCTCCTCACATGTGCCAACAACAAAAAAACATATACTAGAGTGAAATGGCGCGTCAACCTTTTAGAAAAGAAGAAGGAAAGCAGCCGGCATTACAAAAACGTCTTGAGTGACCAAACCCATCAGGTTTCGAAAGTTTTCAATTTCGCCGACTTTCAAGCGAAAAACGCTTCAAAATTAATATGAAAAAGAGTTTCAACGACAAAAATATCGCAAATTCCTCGATAATTATGGAGTTCACTGATGCTTTAAACCGACGACATCGCAAACGACCAATCGATATTGTTTGTGTTCACAATCAACGCCGTAAAATCTGATTATAAAGTTTCGTGGGTGCATCACGTAAACATTGAAACCGAACAAACAGGTTGAAGTAGACAAAATAATGAAAAATTCCGACGAAAACCATGAAAAAGCTCAATTACTTCTTACTTTAATAATTGAAAGTATTCCAATTTTTTCCTCATTTCTATTCCCTTTTCGCATTCGTCCCGCAATACGTTCATAAGGAAAAGGTGAAAATTTACATTGGAACAAACTATTCTGTTAAAAAACCTTTTCTGTTGAAAAAAGAAAAGATTTTTCATAAATTTATCGCGAAAGAAGCCACTTTCAGTGTTATTCCGAGCTATTCAAGACTTTTACATTTAAAAACATCCCAGAAATCGTTTTTGAACAGTTTAAACGAGAAAATTAGCAAAAACAGAAAAAAATTCCCACTATGACCTTATGTCGTAAGGTCAAACGTCAATAGTGCAATGAACTTGCTGAACCTACAGTAAATTTGAAAAAAATTGAAAGCGCTTTTTTTGCTTAAATTTTTATTTTTATAAAGTTATATTGACATTAGTTAAAAATAAAATAATTTTTTTAAAAAAAGAGGAGAATAAGAACTTCGAAAAAACCAGAATTTCCTTGATTCACGATTGGTTCAAACGCCGTTCTAAAGCTCGTTTTTTGAAAGCTCATTTCCTTATCAACGTTTCGAATCAAAAAATCAAACAAAGTCCAACTTTATAAACAACGAAAAGAGCTATCCGCCAAGAAACAACTGAAGGAAAAGGTTGGGGATGGCGGTGATGTCCAGGACGCCGCGACGGATGACGTCATCAAGGGCGATGCGATGAGCATCGACGGCGTCTTGGAGGGCCTTCCGGAGCTCCAGGACGTCGTGGACGCTGACCGTCGTCATCTTCTGCACCTTGTTGCTCCAGGAGATGCTGAAGCGGCCGACGGCTTCGAAGATGACGTGCAGGGGGAGGTTTCTTGAGGCCCACTGATGGGTCGAGGCCATGGCCAGTACTCTGTTTAGGGCGTGGGTCAGCGTCCTCTGAATATTTGGTATTCAATGGACAGGATGAAACCTTGGGAAGCAAATCCTCTTCGCCACAAAAATGTCTAGCCTGTCTGCGCTCTCTTCTCTCTCTCTCTCATCACATAGGTCATACACACTCAAAAACGAGAGGGTCGCAGAAAATAAGACGGTTGGAATTTTTCATCCTAGTCATGATTTTTCTCTGACCTCATCAGTTAGAGAGAAGAGAGCGCAGAGACGTCAGACATTTTCGAATGAAGTACAAACGTTTTCATTCAGGTTGCTGAGTAGGGAGACGTCAAAGACGTTCGAATTGGCGGCGATTAACGTGGCGATCGAGTCGTGCCGAATCGACGCCACTAGAAGGAGCACTTGGAAAGACGAGTCTGAGAAAATGATCACTTAAGGGAAAATACAGTCAATCTGCTTAGACCTTTTTTTTGTGAAAAACGCGCCCCGGACCCTTCTGAGAGCTTCAAGGGACCGCTTTAGTGGCGAGAGCACTTAAGTGATCCCTAGAAACGCTCAGAATCGTCCGGGGATCGTCTGGTTTGCGTAACCAATGTCTAATAACACTAAAAACAGCTATTCGTCTCAAGACCTGCGCAAAAAATAAATTGCCCATGCTCCTTTAAATTTCGCAAGAAAAAACGTCCCAAAGGCCGTGGTAAAAATCAAGTTAGTTGCTTTTTCAAATCAAATAAAAAAATCTTCAAATCGTTGAAATTATTTTTTTAATTGGTAATAGTCAAGGAATAACAAAAACCAACTGAAAAAAATTATGAAAATTAAAAAAATTTTAAGACTTTTTTTGTTAAAATTTCAACGCTTTCACTCTTCCTACAATAAAAAAATTTTTTCAAAAAAAACTAAGATTTGAAAAAAACCATTGAAATTATTTTTAGAACCATTATTGAAAAAAATATCAAGCACGGATTTCCACAAAAATCATATCACGGCGTTTTTTCTCCGTAAAGTGTCGTGTGTCGTGTGCATGCACCGCGCCGCTTCCGCGCAGAAAATTGCGTTTATGTAGAGGAATTTCGATTCGTTTTAAAGACCTCTGGCGATACGGCGGCCTGCGCCTTTAATATGCCTGCCGTTCCCATGACGTCACGTGGGAACGGTGGATATTTTGGCTCCGCCCATTGTTTTTTTGGTTCCCCTACTAACAAAAACGCCGTGATATCTCAATAAAGACTACCAAAAAAGACCCGTTTTCTCCCAAAATACCTTTCAAGCTTTTGATCTTCAAATCCCTTTTGAGCTCACAAAAAGGCCTCAAAGTTTTGTAGAAACGGACGACTTCTTGAACGCCCTGCGTGTAGAGATCAATGTAGGAGAGCCAGGCTTTCGCTTCGTTCTAAACATGATTTTTCTTTCTATTTCGTCAAATTCGCTCCAACGCACACATAGGAACTCCCTTGAGGGATCATAGGGAGGTAATTGAGGACGGAAACTGATGAAAATCTCATTGAAACTGGCTATGGCGGAGGAGATCTCACGGAACAGGGTTTCTTGACATTCTGAACAAAAAAAGCGTTGTGAAAAAATAGCCACTGAAAGAAAATCTTTTGCGCTCCATGGAGAAAAAAACTTCAATGCTTTTCCTGACATTTTCTTTCATATACGTTCTTTTTGAGCTTTTGCAGGGCCAGAGTGGTCCCTGTAGTGATTAGGGAAATCAACACCTTCTACAGGAAACAAAGTAGTTCCTATAGGGGTTCAGGGACCAACTCTAAAGTCCATAAAGCTTGAGTGGCCCCTAGAGTGGTATTTCAACTTTTTGTTATAGTCGATGTGCCACAAGTTGAAATTACATGGAACGGCACTCCGCTGTTTCGATTTTGTGCGGTAGCGCGCATCTGGCGAATTTGCCAACTTCGGCCACGCTAATTTTTTTTTTGGTTTTCATTCTAATTTCGATCGTTTTTTTTATTGTTTTTATTTCTTTAAAATGTAATTTTTATCGTTGAAAAGGATTGCGTTGTACAAATGTAAAAGAAAGAACACAGTAAATTTCATGATCTTTCTCGAAAAAAGCGATTAAAAAAAAGTTTGAAAAACTTCATGTATTCTTCAATCGCTTTGATATTGTTTTTCTCGTTTCTCAAAAAAAGTTTTCAAAGACTTACCAAAAGGATTTGCGGGTGAAATAGGCCGTAAACGCCACAATATTCTACAATAGTTTCTGTGTTTTTTTTAAAGCCATGTTTTAATGTTTTCATCGTTTTTTCTTCTGTCGTTTTTTCATCGTTTTTTTTTCTGTCGTTAATTGTTTTTTTTCAGAAAGTGAGCGCCTTATAAAATGAAGATGTGTACTTCCATGAGCACATGCACCATAATTTGAAGAAAGGTTTTCGTTCCTTTTTTTTAAATGGAGCTTTAGATAAATCGTATTGCTGAACTATGCGTCAGAAATGGGGCGTGAACAGTGGGCACATGGAATAGTGGAAACGATGTGCTGAACGAAACGTCCAGCAAACTAATAATTTTTCCTTTGAACTTATGTATCTGTTTTTTTTTTAATAAAAATTCGTCAATGTAGAAACATTCAATTTTTTTAAAATCATTCACTGTGTATTTTATTTCTGATTGGGATATTTTTTTACATGATTTGAAATGAAAAAAAGAAATGTCGATAAAGGCTCAATGAAGGTAAAATAACGAAATATATTGAACAAAAACCAAAGACCATCTCATGAAAAAAACTTTCAAATATTATAAACGCATTTTTTTCGCTTAAAATTCGAAAAATTACTCTACTTTATTTTTTTATCAATGAAACAGTCTATCCTCTAGAAAAAGATAATTATGAGTTTTGGCGCGAAGAAAACTATTAAGACATAATTAAAATAATGAAAAATTTCGAATAAAACAAAAAAATGGAAAGCGCGACCGAAATTCGCAAAGGCAAGGCGCTTTCACGGCCACGGCCACCCAACGGAGTGTCGTTCCATGAAATTTCAAGTCGCGGCACATCGACTATATGATTTGGGAGTTCAAAAATCGTATTTGATAAAAAATGATCGATTAATTGATTTTATAACACGACAAGTGCGCTCCATCGCACCAATCCCATTTTTGGACCACTCCCCTAGAACGACCACTTTTTCAAGCTTCCGTGCCCCTTATAAGGTGGTCCCTCAAGGAAAACCTTCAAGAGTCCCTCTAGGGACCACTCTGGAGTCCCTAAATTTTCCGGGCCCCGGCCATTTTTGGAGCTAATCACGGCTAGTTTTTTTTTTCAATGAATCACGCCTTTTTTCTCCATAGAGCGTAAAAGACTCGCAAATTTTAGTTTTTTTTCGCATCTAGAATAACTTCCTTGCTTTTTCTCCATGGAGCGCACATTCTTCCCCCCAAATTTTCGCGGCTATTTCTTCTCACCCTCGGCGACTAAATCGACGATCGGCTCCTGGGGACAATAAATAATTGGAGGCGAGGGGATTATTTCCTTTTCCTCCGTTGGTTTCTTCTTCAATGGTAGATTTTTCGGTTCAACCTTGAAAAATCTTTTTTATCGGAATTTGACTAGAAGGATACTTTTTCGGCCTTTCTCTTGCCTTTCCGAGTTTGCTCGGGCGGTTGCAAGGCCATGCCGACGTCCAGGCATTTCTGATAGCGGCAAGATTGACAATTCGTTCTTTGAAGCCTTCAAAAGTCGATTTTTAGCGCGATTTTTTAAAATTTTGCTCTACTCACAAGTAAACTTCGCAATCCTTCGAACCGGGACAAACCATTTCTTTTTTCGTCGCGATACAACGACGGAAAAATCCCTGGTAGTTCAGACTTTAATCAATAAAAATTGTGGGATTTTATGTGACATCTTTGAAAAAAATCAATAAAATAAATTTACAGAGTTCTGGCCCTTCAAGTGATCCCTAAAAGTGGCTCTGAGCCCTCAAAAGTGGTCCAAAAAAATCTTCCTGGACTAAAATAGAACATTAAAAAACTGTTTAGGTCACTTTTCTTGAATCTTAAGTCAAATAACCTAAATTTAGTTATAAATATTTTTCTGAGAGGTCCTGGCTCTTCGAGTAGTCCCTAAAGTGGTTTTGAGACCTCTTAAGGGATCACTCGAAAGTACATGGTAGTCTTAGCACTGAAAAATCGGATTTTGAGTGATTTTTCTCAGATTTTTTTGAAAATCTCTACAGTAACCTAACTAAATCCTACGGTACCTTGCAGCCCTCGCAAGCGTGGACTCCGAAATGACGTCCCGAAGAGAAATCGCCACAGACGGCACAAGGTTTCCTCGTCATAGCGTTAAATGACAAGAAATCACGTCCATTTCAGCTTTTCCTATTACTTTTTTCATATTATCATTTTAAAGGTGAAGCTTAACTTTCACGGTATTTTTTTATCGTAACTTTCAAAAAGCTAGAAATCAAAAAAACTTCCATTAACTTTATTATTTGATTAGAGACTAATTTCTTCTTCAACTTATAATTATTTCGATAGGTTAATGAATCTATTAGAGATAACGAATTGACAAATAAGTTAAGTAGGTAACCGGTATGAGGTATGATATATGTAGAAAAAACGTGAGTGTGGCTAGAAATAAAAGGAATCAGAGAACAAGATTGCGAGATACGTCAAAATTCAAAAACTCGTTGCGATGAGAGAAGGGGAAAGCTAACGGTTAAACAAAAACGAAAAATTGCAAAAATATACAAATAAATTGATAAAACATAGGTCTATGGGAATAAAGCCGGAGAGAAAGCTCAAAAAAGAACAATTATCAGTGTTTCCTGGAATCATATCAGGTAGCCGAAAAATTAACACCTACTTTGGGAAAAAAATATTTTTAAAAATCAAATTTTAAACTATGTCCGTGGAGCGTAAATGATCATGCCTGATGTGGCCTAAACTTCCAGAATGAATTTTTCAAATTCAATTTCAACTTTCATTAAAATCAAAAATTCCAGAAAATACTCGAACCTAATATCCCGACATTTTATCCTTGGAGCGCACATTCACGTCAATAAATGGCTCATTTTTTCCGAACTATTTTCTGCGGCTCAAAACCCACAGACCCACAAAACAATCACAAAAATTTGAATAAAAATCTAAAAATAATCGGATTGGCACGAAAGGAGCCGAAAGACAATTCGGTTTCTATTTGGCATAAAATGACATTTACAATGAAAAAACTAGAATAAAAAGACGGAGAAAAGCCTAAAGCTGGGTGGAAGTCAGCTCGGTTTCATCACTTTTCCGCTTCAACGATTTTCGGGATTTCAAGTAGGCGTAGGCCTGTGCGGTCAGTTCTTGTTGGGCCGTCGTACCGCCTGTCGCGATTTGCATCCAACGATGGGAGTACTGAAAAAATGAACCTTGATTGACAAAACCTATATTACATCGAGGTTAAAAGAAATCTACTAAATCCGAATTTAAAACTCGATTTTTTTTTTCTTCAAAAACTGATTCTCAAAACAACCGAAACTAAACCAAAATTTCAAAAAAAATTTTTTAAAAGGTCTCACCTGGATAATGTTATCAAGAAAAACTACGTGTTCTTTTTTATCGATTCCAGTCAAACTTATCAATCACAACATCAAAACTTTGAAAATATAGAAAAATGACATTTCAAGAAAATCTTTCGACATTCAGAGACTACCATAGGAAAAAAACCAGGAAATTCCACTATCATAGGAAAATAATTATTCAGCCTCAAATTGATGACTGAAAAAGACAAAAAAAAAACCGATTATTGTTAACTTTTTGAAGTCAACCCAACTATAAAAAGATTCAAAAATAAGTTAAAAAAATTTGAATTTGCTGTATTTTTTTCAAGTTCACATTTCGGATTACGCGTTATTTTCCTTTACAAATTGGAAATTTAACATCAAAATTTTCCAGTCTTCACATACTTTTTTTCTATTGGCTCATAAGAAAATGCTAGTTAAAAGAACTCAATTTTTCTTGACTTCAAGTGCACCCGACTTAAAACGAGTTGCGCTCGAATCCTCAAAAAGCAACTCATAATTCGTCATCCGGAGCATCTTTAAGACCAAAAACCTACCAATCTCGGCAGCTTCCTCGGCGTCCTGAAAGGTCCTTCAAGCTTTGCCGGCCTCAAAATCTCTTCCTCTTTCTTCTTGACCTTCACAGTGGGTTCCTTCTAAACCGCAACGGACAAATTAAGTCAATTCAACTCGATTCAAACTTCGATAGGCTGGTTAGAGAGGGAAAAATCGTAGGTTGAAGGGATCGGGCTGTTGGATTTCTCCTCCGGAGATCGAACTCCACCGCAAAACATCAAATCTCCGACCGACCGTCGGTTTCTTTTCGTCGATGGCGTCAGCGTCGGCGTTTCTCTGGAAGTTCAACTTTGAATAGGGTAGAGGAAAAAAATCAATAAAATTCTCTCGTCATGATTTCTCTTTTTCTTTTCGGTTAAAGTTAACATCTTAAATTCGATCAGTTGAAATTCCTACTGAAAATTTAAAACTACACAACTCTCACATATGTTTTTTTTCTCTCTCCATTTTTAAGCTACTTTTCAACCTGGCATCCAAAAAATTCGCAGTGTTATTAATTTTTTTCAGTTACAGCTCAATAATCTATTTACACCCCATCTTAAATTCAGTAAGTTGAAATTCCTATTGAAAATTTGAAACTACACAACTCTCACATATGTTTTTTTTTTTTGCTCTCTCCATTTTTAAGCTACTTTTCAACCTGACATCCAAAAAACTCGTAGTAGTCTTCATTTTTCCTTAGTTACGACTAAAATTTCCATTTTCAACTCAGCCATTGAATCTTCTTATTGAAAACTGGACAAAATCGTTTTTTGAGTTTTCTCAATTTTTTTAATTTTTTAGAAAGCTATTTTATAACTCTAGAAGCCCTATTTCAAGCCGCCAAGGACACCTTTCCCTACTTCTCTTCGATGATCAATAAAAAAAAATGATACCTTTCACTCCTGAAACGTTCATTTTCGTAAGATTTGACGTCTTCAAGGCTGAAACCTGCGGCGTCGAGCTCAACCGAAGGCTCAAACGATTTCGACGGCGATCCGTTTGGCAAGCATTCGAACCCCTCGAAAGCTCCATCTCCGGACTTTAAAATAGAAAAATAAGCATTGTGAAAAAGTTCAAGATCATTTTTTAAAAGAAACAGAGGGGAATTTTTGATACTAGTAGGAGGATTCAATAGGGAGTGCAGTATGAAGGAAAAAAATGAAAAAAAAATCCAAAAAAGTCTTTTTTTAAAGCCACGAGATCCCAAAGAAACTAGATAAAGGAATCTTTCCAGAATTTTTACGATTTCTATAAAAAAATTCGAGGCTATTATTTAACATGAATTTCTCCCAAGTAAAATGAGTAATATAGGCTGAAAGTTAGCCACATGTGTGCTCTACTGATAAAAAGCAGTCAAAATTTAAGAATTATCCTTAAAATTATCAGAAAAATTTTTTTCGCTCAAATTTTTGAAATTTCTCCGTAGAGCATGAAAGCCTAAAAACTTCAAGGCTATTTTTTTCTTTCCTTTTTTTAAAATTTTTTTACTCACCAAAATGGATCTGCTCGGCGTCTGGGGGCATTCCTTTTTCGGCGAACTTTTGTTGACATTTTCAGAAAGTCGTCGAATGGGCCTGAATCCGAATAAACAATAATTTATTAGAAATTATCAAAAAAACCTGAAATCCAATAAATTGTTAGTAGAGGTCGAGTCGATCGAATCAGAAATCCTACCTCCAGATATCCGGAATTCTGGAAATTATAAAATGAATAAAAAGCCTCAATAGTTCGAAAAGGGGTTCGATGAAACTTGGCGACAAAATATCCGAAAATAAATTGGAGCCATTATTTTTATACCAAATAAAGCTTACTTCGGATTCAAAGTGATTTGGCAAAACTCAAAACCGCCGTCAAAGAGTGAAACAAGATACATTTTTTTACTATAGTAAATTTTTTCTCAAATTTTTCTTAAAAACTAAAAGCAAATTAATTTTTGAACTTCGCAGAAATTACTTGAACACGACACTACTTTTTTTCCCAGAGCGTATTTTTGCAAAAAAAAATTCGAATTTTCTTGATCCGTTTCATTTTACATTAAAACTGTTATGAATAGATATTACCGTTGGCGAAAAAGTAATGAAGTTTAATCTTTTGATACTTATGGCGTGTTCATCGGACAATACAAAAATTGTTCCGAAGCGCAAGTAAATTGCTCCAAACCAAAAATTGTTACTGTTTTGGAGCAACTTTGGTGCGCCAATGAACACGTTTTTTTGGTTTTGAAACATGTTCCGTTTCTCCAATTAAACCGCTGTCTCTGTAACTGTCAGAAATAACGGGTACAAAAAAAAATTTTATTTTTTGATTCTGATGAAACTTCATCCAGTGTGACAACCCATCATCAGAAATGCGGACGCAACTTTTTGAGCCATTCCCTCTTACTGTAGCCGGGTTACGGTAGGCAGGTGGGCACCTGCGTATCTAAGTAGTGAAGAGTTTTTACTAGGCAACTGGTATATCAATCGATAGGTAATCCAATTTTAGGAACTTCTATAGCACATACCATCTTTGGTTACTGTAGGAATTTTCGAGTTACGGTAGTTTTTGTGTTTGGAAAGTCGGTTTTTCGGTCACCCTGGTCGTGGGCATAGAATCACATCGTAATTACTTTCATGGAATATGTCCTGTAGTATGTTCTAAACAATTCCACAAAAAAAGTTAGAATTTCTAAACCCGTCATTTCGAGATTTCACTCCGAACGCGCGCAACTTGGCACCTTGCGGCCAGGGTTGGTCGTGGTTGACGATTTTTCACATTTTTCTTTCTGTGAAAAATCTTTTTTAAAACTTTTTTAGATTATAACTACAGTATGTTTTGTGACATTCGAAGGGGTTTGGAGAGACCTATACGCTCCCTGTTCGACCGAAACGTCGTTTTGAACTCTGTTTTGGCTTGAAAAAACGCGACTCGCTCTGAAAAGACCGGTTTTTAAAAATTTCCGACAACCCCGCAGTTTCCAAAGCTATCAAATATGTAACAAAAATATTCTAAGTAGCAATAGATATGAGTTTGTTCACCAATATCTAACGAAAAAAAAATGTGAAAAATCGTCAACCACGACCAACCCTGGTCGCAAGGTGCCAAGTTGCGCGCGTTCGGAGTGAAATCTCGAGATGACGGGTTTAGAAATTCGAACTTTTTTTGTGGCATTGTTTAGAACATACTACAGGACATATTCCATGTGAGTAATTACGATGCGATTCTATGCCCACGACCAGGGTGACCGAAAAACCGACTTTCCCAACAGAAAAACTACCGTAACTCGAAAATTCCTACAGTAACCAAAGATGGTATGTACTATAGAAGTTCCAAAAATTGGATTACCTATCGATTGATATATCACTTGCCTAGTAAAAACTCTTCAATACTTAGATACGCAGGTGCCCACCTGCCTACCGTAACCCGGCTACAGTAAGAGGAAATGGCTCAAAAAGTTGCGTCCGCATTTCTGATGATGGGTTGTCACACTGGATGAAGTTTCATCAGAATCAAAAAATAAAATTTTGAAACTTTTTGAAAACTACAGAGACAGCGTGTTAACACGCCATTACAGTTTCCCATCTCTTACTTTGAGCGAATTCATGAAAAAATTTATTCCGAAGCATGTTAGAAACGAAAAACTTTTACATTATCTATTCTAAAAATCGTTCTAAAACCAATTATCTCTAAAAAATTATTCAATTCAGCTATTTCAACAGATAAACATTCATTTCAGTTTCCCACGTTTCCGGAAAGTTTTTTTTCCTCTCTAACTTCTTTAATTTTTCTTCAAGCCTATCTGAAATAAATGAACCTCTATTGAATTGAATAACTTTCTCCACTCCTAATCTCCCCAAATAACTTCTCCCAACAACTTTCGATTATCCAACTCCATTCACTCGACATCACTCAGCTAATCCCAGCAGGCAAACATGGGCCACTCAGGTCGGACGTCAAAGAATGCCATAAAAAAGCAAAAGGTGCGACGGCGACGCAATTGACCAAGTCAATAGGAGCCCCAGAAAACAATCGCATCGTATTGCACAGTTCCAAGTGACTTGCGCAACTCTTTTTGGGAGTATCATGTTGCCGAAATAACTTTGGCCTCTACAGTTCTCAGTCACCTTGATGAAAGTTCTTTTTTGTTTTGGAAGACTTGGAAAAGGTCAAAAATCGAATGCTATACGGTTTTGAAGGATTTTTGAAAACTTTGAAAACGCATTTGATTATGAACTGACAAGCTATTGGAAAGGTATATTAAATAACATTTTTTTGAAGGCCTAAAAAAACTATACATATAAAATTAAAGCTATCCTTGATTTGAAGGTTCCCTTAAACTAACATCAAAATCACTAATAAGTGATGAAAAAGTTCTGCAAAAGTTGAGAAAAAAATTCAACGATTTTTTTCCTATTTTTCTCATACACATTCATGTGAAACGCAGAAAATTTATTTTTACCAAAAAAAATTTTCTCCAAATTTTTTTAAGGAGAAAGTACTTGTAGAGCCCCTGCTGAGCTTCATTCTTTCAAAATTCCCCAAATAAATAAATATTTAAAAATTAAAATCTAAAGTCTTAACGAGTTCTGACCCTAATTATGCACTTTTTTCAACTTCTAGTCCAAATTTGCCACTTAAAAAAATCATTTTTTCAATCCTGATAAAATTCTCGAGGAACTGTACAACCAAGATTCCAAATCACGAATTTCCCACTTATATAAATTAATTTTTGAACTCCTAGAGCAAGAAAAATCCACGAACTCGTCGCATTTGCCTGGTTACTCAGTCGAAGTGGCACTGTGGAAACGGTGGGCGTTGAAAATGATAATGACCTGAAAAAAACTTCTTGGGGCTCTTTGAAAACTTTGGGATAATACCTAAAAGGAGACGGGGTTGCAAACATTTTATGAGATCTTCTAGTCGTTTTGGGCGTCCGCAACGGCAAAATCCTCGAATTACTACTCTCGTTCAGGATCGCCTAGAAAAAAACAAAGTAATAAGAGTGAAAAAAGACAGGTTTTATTTTTGAAATTGAGATTTTTAACATTAAATATACTCTGTGTGAAACGACTTGAAATTTCACCGAACGACGTTCCGCTACGTGCGGTAGAGAAGCGTCTTTGCCTTTGCGGATCTAGCTCAATCTTCCAGACTATTTTTATTGCTCATAGATGTATCGTTCCACTGCGAGTATTTAAATGGAAAAAAAAAATTGAAAGCGCGACCGAGATTCGCAAAGGCGCCCGGCGGAACAGCGGAATGTCGTTCGATGGGATTCCAAGTCGTGGTACATAGACTATATACTAACTTCACAAGTTTCTTTGTTTATATAAAATTATTTAAAACATTAAGTTTAAAAAAAAATTGATATATTCCAATCACATCCCACCCAATAATTATAAGGGTCCGATCTTCTGAGCTCAATATATTTGAATCAAAGAAAAAAACTGGACTACAAAAAAAACTGGTGAAAATCGAAGAATATAGGTTTTTTCCTCTTGCGGTTATAAAAAAATATTAAAAAAAGTAAATAAGGTAATAATTTTTCAATCTTTTTTTCATCTAAAAAAACCCTCGTTTTCGATTTTATATATAATTATCACACCAATCATACGTTTATAAACTCCAATAACCTTGTTTTATGAAAAGTTCATAAAGAAAAATCGAGGAAAACTATGGCGATAATGATTTCGCTTTAAAGGCGCATAGACAAATTTCACACGGAATCTCTACTTTGACCCTTGAAATACTCTGAACAGCTTACAAAGCTGAAAGACCTTAAATAAGCAAAAATGGGTTTTCAAATCCAATCTGACAAACTTCAAAATATTCCAAAGGTCGAAAAATGTAATGACATCGATCTTGCGAAAATATATTCTATAAAAAAATATTTCGTAGGTTCATAAATATTAGAATAGTAACATCATTGGCTCGTTTATTAGTATTGGAATAATTAAAGTTTGGAACTCCGTTCCCGATGTTGTGTTTGATCTATGTAAAGATTCTATGCGATTCAAAATCTATTTAGAAAACTTCTCGCTGAACTTTTTAAAATATCTTCTAATTTTTACACGGTTTGTTGCTGTTTTCAATGTTTAAATTCCCCTTTTTGAAAATTGGTTCGGTTAGAGATCTTTTCGGCCCTTGAACTGTATTACTATTCGTATTGAGAAAATGATGATGATGATGATATACAAAATTCCCTTAAAATACTCTGAACAGCTTACAAGGCAAAGAACGACTAAAAAACAAGAAGTCAAATATTAAATTCAATCAGACCAATTTCAAGAGATTCATGCTCCCTCTGATAATCACCTTGTTACTAATCGGCGGCGAATAAAAGGACATGTCCAGGGATTCGTCGGGCTTCTCTTCGCTCTCCAAAACGACATTCTCTTCGTCGTTCTTCGGCTCCAAGGGCGGCGGAATCGGGACGACTTTTCCGATGGCTCGCCGCGTTGGAGGCGTCACGATCCTCGGCCATTTCGTCGGCGGCGAGTATTCCTGATCCTCGGAGCTGGGAGCTGGACGAGGGCCAGTGGAACTCGAGGGAGGACTTTGGTCGAAGCTCGCGAGACTCTCCTCGTTGATGTCAAAGCTGCTGGCGGAGATCAGGGACTCGTTTTGCTGAAAAAAATGTGATAGAAACTGGAAAACCATATTTGACAGTTCTACTGACTTTTTTTTTTGAAACAGCCTTTGAGATTAAAAAAACGCAAGACACTGGAAAATCATTTTTTTCAGTTCTAACACATGTTTGTTTATTTAGACCCCCTTTTTGTCGTTATAAAAAAATGTCAGAAACAGAAAAATCCATTTTTACAGTTCTAATAAATTCTTTTCATTTGATACAGCTTTTAAGATTAAAAAAAAAGAAAGATACTGAAAAAAATCAATTTTAACAGTTTTAATGCATGTTTGCACATTCAGAACAACTTTTTTTGGAGCTTTCTAAAAAAATAAAAAAATGAGGATAACCCAAATTGAGAGGGATGCTATAAAGTACGGGCATTTACAAAATGCGACCATTTTTTGTGCTCCATTGCAAATTATTAAATTACGGGCGTTTTTTTGAACTTTTATAAACTTTTTTTGAAATAAAAAAATTTTTTTTTTTTAAATTTTTTTCTAATCAGGATAGTGGTGCCTTTTTTTCTATTTTTCGACAATATTGTTTTTTAAACAATTTTTCAAGATTTATTCTGTCCCATCTTCAATTTTTTTTCCACCTGATTTCTTGTTTATTACAGAATTACGAACTAAAATCGTTTTAAAAATTCTTCATGAGAAGCCTTATTTTTTCAACCAATCAAAAAAAACTTATCGAAATGAATTCATTAATTTTGCCGTAGTACGTTATTGAATCTATTTTCCAAAGGGGAAGATAGAAAAAAAAAAGTTTGAAAAATTCCCAGAATTGGTTAAGAAACGCCCGTATTTCATAAATTTGAAGTGGAGCAAACAAAAAAAGCGGTCGCATTTTAGGAACGTCCGCACTTTATAGCATGCCAAATTAAAAGAATGTTATGACAAGACCATTGAAGTCGAAACTCACACTTAAAACACTGTCATTGAAACCGGAGATTCCACTATCGAGTGAATATCGTCCGTGGGACTGGGCTGTCGAAGACGTCGCCTGGCTTGAGCGGTACCCGTAGACGCCGTCCAAAGTTCGAACTATCTCATCTGGAGTTTCCTTTTTTTTTATTTGAGACTAATTGGACAATTCTTTTGATGTTTTTTGCCTTTATTTTTCATTTTTCTTCAAAAAAGCTGAACAGATAGTTAGAAAAAAAATGAATTTTTTCGTTCTTCTTATAATTTCCACCTTTTTTAATTTTCATGCTTGTCTTTTCATGACTAATCTCAAGCAGAAAACTCGAAAATAATCGTTTTTCATACAAAATAGTTTCGAAAAGTGCACAAAAGAGCTTGAAAATAGCTTTAAAGTGAGCAAGGTTACTAATAAGTACCTAGGGACCTCAGAGTGATCTCTATAGTGGCATCCTTAGTGTCCCCTCTAAAGACCATTTTTCCAACCCCTGTAGGGGTCACTAAAGATTTCAAAAGCGGTCCCTGGAAGGGTTTTAATTAGTGGCCCCTATAGGGGGCATGCTAGTCGACCATTAATATGAACTCTAAGCGAAGAAGCATTTCCATGGAAAAAACTGAATAAATTAGCGTTTTTGAAGGAAGTTGAAAGACCCCTCTAGGCTTTTTTTTTTTGAGTTTTAGGGACTAAGAGGTCCGACATTAATTCGCTCTAGGAACCCCCTAAGGGACCACTTTAGGGGCTAAGGGGCCGGACCCTAAACCCCTTCCAGGACCACCTTAATTTTACCCCTATAGGGACCAATTTTTCGGCTCCTATGAAAGTTGTTTTACATCCTAACCCCTATAGGGAACACTCTGATATTTCTAAGATAAATAATGAAAAAAACGAATTTTACAGTCAAAAGGCCAGAATTTTCCACCAGTACCAAGTAATCACAACATTATGAAATTCAAAAAAAAATTCCCCTAATTTTCAATGAATCATTAAAACTCCTATAGAACCTGGATCATGATTGGAGGCGGACGGCCACATCGCCTGGCGGTTCCTCGTTGGAAAAAGAAAGACCCCCGCCCCGCGAGCTGTTCGTCGCCGCGCCCTTCGCCCAAATCGTCCTTCTGAAGAACGGAATCGATACAAAGATGTTGCAAAAATTATCACGAGCAGCTGATAAGTGACAATGTGATAACAAAAGAAAATGACCGTTGGCCGGTGGAACGAGGAAGAAAACGGTAGAAAACGAAGAAATTTCTACGTACTAAGCTTGTGGAGTTGGTCCTACTAGTTTGACAAGGTAAAGTTTCACAGGTAAGCCACGCCTATTTTGTGAAGCTTCAAGAAGGACTAGAAAAGACCATTGGCCGGTGGAATGAGGAAGAAAATGGTGGAAAACGAGGCACTTTCAAGGTTCATATTTTTTTTGCTCACCTTGTCAAACTAGTGGAGTTGGTCCTACTAGTTTGACAAGATAAAGTTCCACCGGTAAGCCACGCCCATTTTCGTGTGGCTTCAAGAAGGAGTAAAAAAGACCATTGGCCGGTGGAAAGATGAAGAAAAGAGTGGAAAAAGAGGCACTTTAAGGTCCATACAGTCCCCTCATCTTTATCCTGTCAAGCTTGTGAAGTTGGTTTTAAAGGCCAATAATGTCTGACTGGCTAGCCACGCCCATTTTGTCAAAGAAAAAGTAAGAAGAACACTGGTAGGTGAAACGAAGAAAAAAAGAGTGGAAAAAGAGGCACTTTCAAGGTTCATATGCTCACTTTGTCAAACTATTGGAGTTGGTCCTATTAGTTTGACAAGGTGAAGTTCCACCGGTTAGCCACGCCCGTTTTTGTGTTGCTTCAAGAAGGAGTAAAAAACCATTGGCCGGTGTAACGAATGAGAAGAAATTGGAAAACTAAGAAATTTCCAAGTTCACATAGTTTTTTTCAAAGTTTTCAACACTCATGGAAACGTTCCCAACGACTGATATCTCTGACTAGCCACGCCCCTTTTTGGTGTTTCAAAAAAAAGAGATAAAACAGGTTAAATCTATAAATGAACTATATTTAGGCCACCCAAGCAAAAATTATAGGAATTTACTTCTTAAAATGGCTCCAACAAATAATTTCTTTTTTTCGGCTAGCCACGCTCCTTCGAACAACTTCAAAAAGAAGACATTTATTTTCCAAAGAAACTAATGATAACAGCCAAACAAGAACGTTAAAGATTTTTTTAAGAAAGACACTAAACCTCGACAAAAAAATCACAACTCGAATAAAAAAATTTTTAACAATTATTTTTTTCCCACGACTCAAACTTCTACGGAAGGTACTTCTGAACCATTAATTGCCACGCAAACGTGAGAATTTTCGAAACAAATGACCGAGATGCGTAAATATCCCCGTGAACAAACATCCTTTCGTTCTTATGAGCCACATAAAATCCTCCATGCTTGTGAAAATGGTAAGGTAAACGACGAGAATAATGAGACTAGTGGGAAACTGTAAAATTCTCGGTTTTCTCACTACTTATGAGAGCTTAAAAGTCTGCCATAGCACTAGTGACCTACTTCGATCAAAAAAAAAATGTAGGTCTACAAAACGAAAAATATTCCGCTCATACTGCTTTCCCCATTCTTTTTGATAGACTTCAAAATATGTTGCTGATCCGGTGTATGATCTAAAAGATCTGGAGATTTTTAATAGATTTCCTATGCCTAGGGTCGAGCTTGACCTTCTACTGGTTCGATCAAGGAGGTACGACTGATAAAAACATGAGAAATAATCATATTTGGTTAAGAACTGATTTTTCCAATTATTCTTTTAATCAAAAAAGATGGCATCATGTTTCTTTTTTCGATTTCATGAACCGTTAGACTCCCCAATTTCAAAGAAAAAAGATATAATTTCCAAACCAAACCAAATGATAAAAAAAGTAATGATAATAACAGGGAAAAATTTGAAAAAAATTTCCGGTTTTTTTCATGGGAATCCCCAGGAGAAGTTTGAGAGAATTTTTTTGTCAATAGAAAGTCTTCGGTTTTTTTCTTTTTAGAATAAATATTTCATTAAGTCTGAATCTACGCTTGTGAGGATGAACTTCGGAAAAAAAAAATCAGAAATTATTACTTGTCGATCAGGTTATTTTTTTAGATCAAATTTGAGAATCTGAAGACTCAAAAAAAAAAATCAAAAAATCTTCAACAAGCTTCTCGGCGCAACAAAGGGGCCAAAAAAGGAAACAACAGAAAAACAAGAGGAAAAAAGAGCCATAGATGGGTGAGGTCGGCGTGCGTTGACCTTGCGTACGGACGCCAAGGCGTTTGGCCTCGTGGCCTGCTGCGTTTTTGGTGTTGGCGAGCTCTCGTCACCCCTCTGCCAGACACTAATTGCCGCTCTGCCGAATGGCAGCCATGCCTCCTTTCCCCCTCCCACAGTCTGTCATATATCCAACCGTCAGGCTAAACCGTCTCCAGCCGAGAAAATCGGTCATCCGCCACGCGCACCACGCTTCTTCATAGATTGATGGGCGTGCGACATCACGGCTTCATTCGCCCAAGAAAGCTCACAGAAGGAAGTGCAAAAGGTAGGGACCGCAAAGCCACGCCCCTTTTCGCGATAGAAAAAGTGGCTTTTTTTTGGTGTTCAACTTTCATTTTGCTGTAGTTGCAAAATATGTGGAACTGGATAATAAATTTTGGCACACATGTACAAAAAAGCTTCCTCTTTCGTTTAAAAAATATTTCACGCTTTTTTGATGCGTTCGCGCGGAATGTCGTACAAAAACGTGAATGGAACTAAAAAATTTTGTCGTTTTTTGCTTTTTCATGTGTTTTCAGGTCGAACGCACTCTTTCTTTTTTTAAATAATGATTTTTGATTCAAGTAACGGTAATTTTAAAACAATAAAATAAAAAAATTCGTCTTTGCCAAAAATTTTTAGGGAGTGCCGAAAGTCATAATTCAAAAATATCGTTAATAAGCGAATATAATCGAGTTTTTTTGTTTTTTTCAAAATTTAGACCATGGGCTTACTTAAATTTTTCTCCACAGCATATGTGCTTGAAAAAGTTGTTTGATACGCAAAAATGCTCTTGAAACTAGATAATAAAATCAGCGGCGTTTATCACACCGAAAGCGGTCGAACGCAGGTTTTTTAAACGATTATATAAATTTATTAGTAAAAAATCTTTCAATTAAAAGAATAAAATAAAAAATTCGTCTTTGCCAAAAATTTACGGGGCCGTTTTAAGGCAGCGATCGTTAAACGAGGCCAAAAGCACTAAAAAAACAGTTTTTCCGAAGTGAATATCCACGGAAAGATTGAGTAAAGATTTGCGAATATATTCTGATAAAAATAGCTAAATTACTTCAAGTTTTTCTTTTTGAAATAGGCAATCTGTGCTATTCAAACGGCTCAAGGGTATGGCGGATGGAAGCTCCCTTCGCTAGACCTAACAGCTTGGCGCAGCGCGTGCGCTGCGATTTTTCATTTTGAGGTCGCGAGTTCGATGCCCGCAAGCGTCAGTTTTTTGTTTTCTGGAAAATACCGACTTTTTCGGCAAACTAGCTGATTAGCATTATTTTAGCACTCTATTATGATTTGTTACATCATAATAGACCAGTATCAAAAACTTTTTTTCTGGAAGAAAAAAATCGAGAAAAAAATGTCAAAAAAATGGATAATACCAAAAATTTCAGTACTAAAAAAATGGTGCGCGGCGCGCCACATTTTTCGTCATAACTTTTTTTCATCCTCAATCTTTTTTTGAAAAAAACTAAACGGTTCTGAGTTTTGAATCGAAACAGCTATCAAACCATACAAAGCTCAATGCTGAAAAATTTTTTTTGAAAATTCGTCTGCGGTCCCTAGCAAAAGGGTTCCGGTTAAGAAAATCTGGAGGATCCGTTTATTACAAGGGAAGCAAAAAAGAGAAATCTCGAGATGATTTGCCGTACTTTACAGGAGAGACATGATTAAAGCTATACATTTTTTTTGATTCACCGACGTTTTTCAATCTGAACTCTCCCCGTCTTAACACCGGTGCAGTACATTGCATAATTCGGAAAGTCATACCTTGATAAAAACGTGAAATTTTAAGGTGAGGAAAGGTGGAATTTTAGAGAAGTCTACCTTTTAGTAGAGTTAAAGCCTCTCAAATTTAAAATTTTTGCATTTCCTTCAAGAAAAATGAGTTTTTTTTCGTGTTCTCGATGCTAAAACTCTACTCAAAATCAAAATCAGCAGTTTTTATCAAGTTATTAGGAATCCGGATGACTACAAATATCTCTCAGTGAAGATCCATCCATTTCTCACCCGAAAACCTTTTGAACATGCTTATTTTTGAAATTTCTTAGCTTTCTTGCAAAGTTCTCGGTGTGGAACAGAAAAAAAAACACAAGGAAGGTCATTCTGAGGCCTTGATGTACTAGATAAGGATCCTAAAAGTCTCAACCTGCACAAATTCTTCGTTTTCGAGAGCGGGCGTCTTTTGAACTAAAAAAAATAGATTGGCTCTTTTTTTTTATATTACGTTAGACCCTTCAATACCAACTTTTTCAAGGAAAATTATTTTTTTTTTCAATTAGAAGTAGTCCAGAGAAATTATTGACTACCTTTAAAAAAATGGTAAGGAAAAAAGATGAATGCAAAAAAAGCCGTTCTCTTCAGTCAAAAAGAAAAAAAAAAGTTAAAGCTGTTCTGCCTACGTTTCAACGTTTAGTAATCAAGAAAGGAAAATTAATGAATTGTTTTTTTTTGATCGCTGAAATTTCTATGCCAACTTTTAAAATAATTTGAAAAAAAAAAGTAAAAATGTCGAATTCATGCATGAATCACAAAAATATCAGCACATTTTTGAAATCGGGGATCGAAAGAAAATAATTAGACTCTGAAAAAATTTTGAGCCGTCGTCTGTTTTTCGATTCGACTGCTTTCCTATAGTCTGTTCGTATTTTAAATGTCAAGCAGCTAACTCCGCCCATGCTGCCACAGTACTTTTCGCGTCGATGTTTTAACGCTCGGGACGATTTTTGATCTTTTTCGTTCTAAAAGATAGAAAAAAAGTCAAAAATGGAGCCATATTAAAGGTTCATCATCAGCCTTGGGGACGGAGTAAGCGGCTTGAGATTCAAAATCTGAACAGACTATATTCAAGAGCCCATCTTTTTGCCCATTCATTAAAAGACGTAGGAATCGCGGCTGTTGATCTCACTTGACCCCTACCACTCGAAAAATGGATAGAAAAGTCCTCTTTTCACCTTTACATTCACCTCTAAAGGTAAAAATAATCATAATACAAAAGGAAAAAAAATGTTATTCGTTTTTTAAAAATTATCCTGAATTACTGAATCGAGTTTTCATGAGACCCAAGTGATTGAAAAAAGGTGTTCATGAATAGAGAAAAAAGGATATATTCTCTGAGTTAGGGCAACAATTTCAGAAAAAAAGCTCGTATGGTACAGTTCCTTCAAAAAAGATACGTAAAAAACCCTTTTTAATGAACTTTCTTTCGATTTTGATTTTTCTGAAGATTTGATAACTGTTATTTTCAACTTTCTGGTGAAACTTGTGTTCGCAGGAAATAAAAAAGGCAGCTTGTTTCAAAAATATTAAGCCCCATACGAAAAAGGTGTAAGCAAAAAATAGTTTTTGTAGTTTTTTTACGGCACTGAAGGAGATTTCGAAAAAACGATTCTTTTTAAACATCGATCATTTTATTATAAATTTAAAAGAGACTTGATGAATAACTATCTTCAATATTTCCCAATCAAAAGAGCCAAAACCACTCGTAACACCTCCACTCAAAGAAATCAGAAGCAATTGTGAACGATCGATCTTCTTCAACCTGCCACAGAAAGAAGAAGTGAGCCGGACAAAAGAACCATTCTGATGCAACAGTTGCGCGACAAGTCACTCAACCAATCTGTTGATGGACTACTGAGAGGGTACTCTCGAAGAACAAGAGCTCTCAAAAATCAATCGATGGTATTTTTCAAGTCAGGAAACGTTTGAGATCTGAAATTTGGAAGTAGACGTTTTTATTTACTATGAGAAAAAATAAGACTGGAAAAATCAGACAATACTACCGTATACAGTCCTTCTTAACTTGATAAGAGAAAAAACAAATTGATTAAAAATAAGTTTAGAGCTATTTCGAGCCGAATCTCGGCTTTAACTGATGAGTTTCGACTCCAAAAGTGACAAAAGAACCCTCTCCCCCTCAAAACTGGAGTTGGGCAGAAATCTCAAGATAGAACGAACAAATTGAGACTTTCTTGAGATGAAAGCAATCAATAAATCAGATCAAACTTCAGGTTTACAATAGAGAAACTCAGATGAAGCTGAAGATTAAAAAGCTATTAACCGAAGTGTCCTTAGCCGGCTCAAAGGCTTGAATTTGACAGTTAATGGAAAAACTAAAAATTTCAGATGAGCCTATCCACCAATCAGAAACTTCAAAAGCCTTCTCTAATGTGAAATACAGACAGACTAGGCTGAAAAACTGATTTGAACCTTTGAAAAAAAAATATTGCCAAGAATTGAAAACTGTCAAAAAAAAAAACGAAGTCACTTTAATCATTCGTTGGTAGCTTCGGATCATTGAGAGATATGAAAGAGCTGGATTTCAATGAGCAAAAGAAAAAACACCAGAAATCTTTCTTTAAATGTCAAATATACCATAAGGGGAAGCTGAAACTCGACGAAGTAAGACTAAATTTTTGAACAACAAACTGAATTTCAAATCAATTCAATCAAAATTCGATAAGCATGATGAACATTGGGCCAAAAGGTTATCTCTCCAAGATAAAAGTTAGTTTTCATGGAAGATGAATGAATGAAACAGCTTGTTAACTCACGCCTACGAGAAATTTCTTGACTAGCAGATCTACCCTCTTGATTTCAACACATAGATGAAGCTTAAACTCTTTTATTTCGAGTGAAATCGACAGATCAAGATCGAAAACTTTCTCAAAGGTAACAGTCAAGCCGGATCAAAAACTCAAATCTAAAGAAAATACTCTGAGCCGGATAGATTCAATCTCGATAGCAGACGGAAAAAACTTAATCAGAAACTTCGAAGCCTCGTCTCAAGAACAGGAAAAAAACTTTTAAAAAAAAACGTAGATCATACAAAGTTTGATGAGAATGGTAGAAAAAGAAAAACGGGTTTTTCAAGACGTTTGAACGGATTAGGTTGGCAAATCAGCATATATATAAGTCATTACTTTCTCTCCAAAGCTCAAAAGGACCCTTCAAATGTCAAAAAATAGACAAGAAACTCGTTCATTTCAAGCGAAATCAACTAAGGAAGATTCAAATTCCAACTAATCAAGATTTGTACTTCTAATAGTAACTTATAACGCCAAAAACGGACGGATCTCCAGCTCATATCGAGAAAAATTACTGATTGAGATCAACTTCCGAGAAGGCAACAGTCAAGCCGTTTCGAAGACTGAAATCGGAACCAGACGGCTTTGGCAAGCACAGGCCACCCGGAGAAGACGGAACAAAAGCGCCTGATGGTGCAACTGTTGCGCCGGACTCTTCGACAAGACATCGGTGTCACTTGGCCGCCGCCGCCGACGGTTAACGGTCTCTCCGGCAGCGGCAAAAAGGGAGGAGGCAGCGGCGAAGGAGGAGGAGGAGGACGAGAAGAAGGAGGTAGAAGAGGAGGACCGCAGACCATCGATCGATCTCTCCGTTTTGGCGCCAAAACGACAACGGCACCGAGCAATCACTTCTTACATGTCGCCCGACACACCGGAACCTATCAAGGGGTCAACTAATCCGCGGATCTCGGCGTTGATTGGCAGGTCTAACATGGATACATCTTGTTGTGTCAACAAAGGCGATCTTAATCCTTACTTGAAATTTAAGGAAAGGCCAATAAGATCAAGAAAGGTCAAACCTTTAATGGAAGCTTGGGTCAAAAAAAAATTTAAAGCCTTGTTAAATGGACAGCTTGAGATTTTCAAGAAAAAAATTAAGGTTTCTGGTTATTTCGATGTAGGTGATATCTTACGAGCAACAAATGGAACGCGAACGTAAAATTATTTCCTAATACAATTTTAAAACTTGATGAAACGTATATCAAAAAAGTAGAGCTACAGATCAAAAAAGAAAACCAAACCATTTGCACCTTTAAGAGATGTTCTTCTTCAAAAATAAAAGATTTAGCCAAGTTGAGATTTTCAGGATCTTCATCAGATATCTGGTACATCTAGAAGTATTCCGGCCAAAATCCCAAACAAAAAAATCTAAAATAAACTTAAAATAACCTCCAAGTCAAATTTTTTTAAACGATATAGATGAAAGATATTTCAAGAAAGTGGGACTGAAAGTAAAAAAAATCATATAAACTCGAAGAAAGTCATTTTTCAAGCCTTTTCCTCGAAAATTAAAGATTTAGCCAAGTTGAGACCTTCAGGATCTTCAGCTGGTACAACTAAAAAGTATTCCGGCCAAATTTTCAAGTACAGTCAAAATCTTAATGAGCTCCTACTGTTTTGCTAATTTCATATAATCTCGTGTAACGTATTCCGATTTACTTAAATATACTTTACTCTCAATAGCCGCTGGGTTGCGAAAAAGTTTTCGTGGAGAAAAGTCTTTTTTCAGTGTAAATTTAGGCCTTGAGTAACCCAGCAAGCTGTTTTCATTTTATTCTGGAACAAACAAAAGGAAGAAATTTATGAAAGAAAATATATTTTATCGATTTTGAATCAAAATTGCCCTCTGAGGTGTTCTTCGAACTCTATTACCCGATGAAAAAGTAAAATAAAATAAATGATACAATTTTCAAAATTAAAAATTCCGAATCAATAAGCTGGGAATTTTTTTCCGTCTGGCTTGCAGAAAAAATTGATAATCGGAAAAATAATGAACTTTTTGGTGGTATGAAAAAGACCAGCGAAAATTCGAACGGTGACTTTTTCCGATTTTTTTCATATCGCTAGGGAACTTTCCGACGGCCACTTTTTCCGCCGAATCTTTTTCCGACTTTTTTTCACTTATATTTTTTTCGGTTTATAAAATATCGATTAACATTTTTTTCTTATTTCTTTGTGTTTTTAATCATGAATAAACTATCTAAATCATATAGAAAGGTTCAAAACGAAAAGTTCATCGAGAAAAAAAGTCGGAAAAAGATTCGGCGGAAAAGTGGCCGTCGGAAAGTCCCCTAGCGATATGAAAAAAACGGAAAAGTCGCCGTTTGAATTTTCGCTGGTGTTTTTTCATACCACCAAACTTTTTCATGGCAAGGGAGATACTGTATAGAACACAAAAATTGAGAGTCTATTTCAGGTCGATGAAATCCAGTTATTAGAAAGGTCTTAGAATTGAATAGATGCACCTCCTATTCTAAAAAGTTTAAAAACAAGAAACTTTGTCTCATAATAAAATATAGTCGGAAAGTTTTGAGGCATAGCTGAAATCATCGTAAAGACCTTGAAAATATCGAAGTTTTACTTTTTTTTCTATCAGTCTCGAAATTCTTTTTACTGTTCGCTTAAGAAAGGCTGTAGGTGAAACTAGCTATTTTCAAAAATTTTCAAGCCACTTTGATTCGTAAAACGACAAAAACCACATGTTGATCAACGCTTTCATCTCACATTCACAACTTCTTCGACTCTTTTCAGATCCAAACAAAAGCTCAACGTAAACAGTGGAACCTAGACAGTTGCGACCGCATCTGTCGGAGAACAAAAGCTGCGCAGCAAAAGAGGATTCGTTTTGTCAAAGTTGGCGCATTCTTCACAAAAGATCTTCTAAACATAACAAAGAAGCAGCCGACTTTTTGGTGTTTTGTTCTCATCTCCTATTCTACTTTGTTGATCTTAAGCGCCAGATGCTTCGAAAATAAAATGTCTATCCATTGCTTGTAATATCTGACAAAGATTGGTTGAAAATAGTTTTTTAAACGTTAAACGGGATTATACTCGGCTCATCTTCTCGGGCAAAGTCGGAACAGTAGATAATGACCGCTGGCAGCAAAAGGCAGCAAATAGAGTCCCTTTATCGAGTCTTGCATTTTTCTAGGATTTTAAAAGCTCGAGAAATGATGGAGAAAGGGAGAGGAAGCAAAAATGGCGCATAAGGGCTGAGAAAATGGCGCAAGAAAGGGAGCCTTCATCGCCCTAAAAGGAATATTTCTATGGAGTCTTCCAGCAGCCTTCATGACCCTCCGAGGGTCTTGCCTATGTTACAAAACTCCATTTTACGCAGTGGATTATCACGAGATTTAGAGTGACGTGTCAAAAAATTAGACCCTCGGAGCTATGAGCAGTTTAGCAAACATCTTCGTATTTACTTGAATAATTCCATCTTCCAATGCGATTATTTTTTATAGAAAACGAAACAGCCATTTAAATCCCAGAAGTTTTAGCTGCTCAGGAAAACTAAAGGTTAGATACAAAAAAAGACATCAATGATCGTAGCTTATCTGGATGAAAAAAATAAAACCTGGGAGACTACACGAAGATGTGACAATTATCCAAAATTGAAAAATCCCTGAAAAATTTGCATGATAGATATTTTTTTATCTAAAACTAATAGTTTATAAATTTTTTTATATCTTGGTTACTCTATGAAAAAAATTTGTGACAGGAATAATTGACAGTTAGAGAAAAAAATATGAGTTCGATCTATATTTGATATTCTGACTGCCGAAAAGAATCTTAAATTTACAAAAATTGCCAAAAAAAATAATAATCTGCTGAGCTCCACAAGATACCGCGAAAAATGATGGTCACAAATGTACAGGAAATGCTTGAGCTGCTATTCTTCCGAATTTAAAATCCGAAAACAACTCCTCTGAACAGCCCATATCATAATCAACAAGAGAAAAAATTTATTTGCTCTGAAAAACGGATGGAAACGTTTTTTTTTTAGTTTCGAAATGAAAAAGGAGTGGTTTAAAATCTGAGACTCATGGGACCCTATAGCTTAGCAGATAATCCTTTCGAAAACTACCCGGCACAAAAGTTTGGAGCAGATTGGCGAAGTTCATTTCAGACAGCTCCATTGTAAGATTGGCTGTATCTAACACTCAAGAAAGGATAATTAAATGCTCAAACACAAGAACGAACCCCATACGAAAAAGTTCCGTTCCAACTTTAAAAGACCTGAGCTTGATGCTCGAAGTATCCGAGTAGTTTTCAATATTCGTGAAAAAGGTCAAATATATTTCTGCGCATACGATTTTGTTGTTGAAACAAGCAACACACTATGAGATCCGATAACAATTTATTTAAACAACAATAACAAATCACAAATTATTGGGCCGGGATTTCGATTTCACCGCTGGCGATTTGCTCAATAATGTCGTGCGGGTGGTTTCCATCGATAGTGCATCCAACAGATTGGGCAGTTCCTGTAAAAAATAGAATAAATCTTCGATCGCATTCTCAAAATAGTTACCGAGAATCTCCTTGACAGTTCCTTCAAGCTTCTTGGCCATTGAGCGCGGTCTCATGATTCTGGCGATCTTAATGATGGTGTCGAGCGTGAGGTCACCATTGTGCTTCACTAAAATCAAAATTGACAGTGAAATGTTAGGTGGGTGAAGTGAGGATAACAAAACGTTTGTAGTAAAACCTCTGGCCAAAAAGGTTACAGACAACACCAATATCCAAATATAAATAACTCACAAAAAACGAAAATCACCAGAGAGGTTACCAGTCTCTTATTATAGAAACAAAAGACTGGGGGATGAGAGCATATTGACTCCCGACCCACCGCATAAGGTGCGTACCGTTCTTCACTTTTTTGCGATCACGAGGAGGCTCCTTGAGCTCCTTAACGATGAGCGAAGCTGCGGAGGGGACAACGTCGATCTTGGCTTGACGGTTCTGGATGGTCAGCTTGCATGTGACCTTCAGGCCTTTCCAGTCAGCGGTGGCCTTGGCGATGTCTTCTCCGACCTTCTTGGGCGAAAGACCAAGAGGTCCGACTTTTGGAGCGAGAGCCGAGGTGGCTCCGATTTCTCCTCCGACGCAACGGAGGTAGACTGAAATAAATAATAAGAAAAATATTACGAAATATCGTATTTTGCTCAAAAATATCAATTGAAGATAGAAACTAGCAATTAATTTTGATCTTTTACAAGTGATAAACTTTACTCATTCACCGAAATTTGTTCATAAGAGTTAAGTAGCAATGGAAACTCGATAAAATATAAATAAACTTTTTTGCATCATTTAAAAAAAATCAATCATATCTTTTGATATTCATTATCAATAATATATTTGAATAATCACATACCGATCTTAATCTCATTGGGATCGAACTTTGGCGGCATTCTGGATATAGGCTGTCAGGAAGGGACTGCAAAAAATAGTGAAAATCGCTGGCAAAATGTAGGTGACTTCACTGCGTATCCAATCGAGTTGATGCGCAGCAAATCGATGTGGCGCGCTTTTCAAAACGTGATTTTCAGCAAGGTGCGCACGGCAGTTTTTGAACTTTTTTTTGAATACTTTTTAAATGATCTAATAAAACTTTGGTTTTTTAAGAATATATGCTCAAAATGATTCCGTGAAACTCGAACTAGCAAAGTTAGACGAATTTTGGAGAGTCGGTTGTATCCGAATTTCGCGGAAATTATTTTGAACAAGGAATACAGAGTTTTTAAGTGTTTGAAATAGTCTCAGGCGTTCGTTTTCAGAAAGAAACATATGGCTTGTTTGTTTTTTTCGATTAGTCAGTAGAAATTCTGTTTTTCGATTAAAATTGCATTTAATTCGCATTATAATCATGGAAATAATCAGCGAATCTGTTATGTTTTTCAATATGTTCCAATTTCTATAGACTTTTTTTCTCAGGCAACAGCATGAACGGTGAATTAGTTGAGCATGAACCAGACGAAGAACAAATGGTAAGGGAAATATAATATTTTTTTTCTATTTCCTAGTTTTAGGTTTATTCTCATGTCGATAGCGAGGGAAATTTCGTAGAAGCGGATGATGTATATGAAGAGTATGGCGGTGCGGACGAATATATCGAGATAAATGGTCAATTCATCGCGCATCGTCCACAGTCGGTCAGATTTGTTTTTTTGTTTATTAAAATTAAAAAAATTTTTCAGATGGTTCTTCCAAGGAATAATGTAATGGCCAGCACGAGTCAAGCCCAATATTCACAAATACCTCGTCAACCTCGCCCTATATCTTTACCTCCGAGAGAGCCTCACGTTTTTGCCATGCGCGGCAGCAATGTAAGTTTTTCTGAATTAAATAGAACAGCTAGTCAAAGCATTAAGATGCTCAGAATAGGCTTTAAATCTCAATCATGTTAATTAATTGTTGCGTGCTGTTTTAAACAAAGGTTTTGCTGAAAATGCATGATTTTTCGTTTTAGATGTTCCGATTAGAACGGCAACAAGGAACTCCGGCTAGCCAAAGCGGTTCAGTATCACCACAGTTACAACAGTCCAGTTCTACCGGAGAACTTCTATCCAGCATCAAGGTTAGATTCGCCTTCACTGAATTATTTTACAAAGTTTTTTTTTGTTTAGACTGAACCGGATATACCCACAAACGGTTACGCATCGGCTGCAGCGGCAGAATTTATGTCCCGACGACAAGAACTGTACGCCAAAAAAGCGCCTGGGAATAAAATGAAAAAGTCAGTTGAAAAAAAAACGGAAAAATATACATTTTTTTCTTGTTCCAGAAGATCGCTGCCAGGACAAAGGAAGCCCTGTAATTGTACAAAATCGATGTGCCTGAAGTTGTACTGTGATTGCTTCGCAAACGGCGAATTTTGTCGAGATTGCAACTGCAAAGATTGTCACAATAACATCCAGTACGAGGATGACAGATCTCGGGCCATTAAGCAGTCCCTTGAGCGAAATCCCAACGCTTTCAAGCCGAAAATTGGTTAGTTTTCCTATCATTTCTCAAAAATTTTGTTTAATATTTTAGGAATCGCTCGTTCGGGTAATACGGATATAGAGAGATTACATCAAAAAGGCTGTCATTGCAAGAAAAGTGGATGCCTCAAGAATTACTGCGAGTGTTATGAAGTATGCTTTTTGGAATTGTTTTAGATTGATTTTCAATTTTCAGGCAAAAGTGCCTTGTACGGACCGATGTAAGTGTAAAGGCTGTCAAAATACGGAAATGGACCGGGCCGGGAAGTACAAAGATAGCACGTAAGACTATAATCTATAATTCATTTTGAGTTTATTGGGTTAAATGTTTTCCTCTTTCTTTATCAAATAGAGAAAAGAATTCCTCGGTTTTGGTTTGATAAAGAGCAAAAAATTGTAAAATAACGCGAATAGACTATTTCAAAGTTTGGAAATAAAAATAGTACGTTTAGTTTTTCCTTTTTTTACCAGTATTTTTATTTTTATAGAATTTTTCTTCAGATTACGTGGAGCATCCGCTCTATTATCTCTGGCAAATGCCGCGACGACGTCAATTTCTGATTCTCGACCAAGTTCAGGGCTATCAAATAATAGTGAAGATACTGATGAACGGGATTCGAACACTGAAAAGAATCCCAGAAGGTTCGTTCGTTTTTGAGAATTTTGAGCGGTCAGATTGGAACGAAAAGAGTTAAATTTTAATATATTCCTTTGAAACTGATTACTAAGAAAACCTTAATTATTCTTGTTGTTTTTTTTTCTTCGAGCTTTAAAGCTAACTAATTAACTGTTTGCTTAAAATAGCCGAAAATGAAATTTTTACGATTTTTTTCGCCGAGTGTTCAGTGCAAAAAAATTAGAAAGTAAGGAAATTATTCTTTGAAGAAAGTAAATAATTGTTTTCCAATCTTTCTTATAAAAAAATCCAACTGAAAAGAAATTATCTTAGAACGAGAGGAAAAAAATAAAAAAATGATTTTTAACGAACAATCGCAGGTGCACTCACTTTGGAATTTATATTTTTGAAATATCTCATTCAAGCTATATATATTTATGATTATGTTTAATTATAATTTTTTAATTGTCCTACCCATTTTTTCTCAGTTTTCCGTGGTTCTACATGACCGATGAAGTCGTTGAAGCTGCAACGTTGTGTATGGTCGCTCAAGCAGAAGAAGCGGTACTTTCCCATTTCCCTCTGGTATTCATGGATTCACTTTTTCAGTTATCATCAAAAGGCGCCAATCGACAGACCGAGGCTGAAGCCCTCGAGCAAATGGAAAAGTTAGTAATACGAGAGTTTGGCCATTGCCTTGATCAAATCATCGGAACCTCTTCTAGTAGTTCTACAGAATGATCACCTTTTTTTCATTATACATTTTCAATTTTCAAAATATTTTACATTGTACAATTTGCCTCTACTTTTCATTTCAACTGCACTTATTAACCTTTGAAGCCGGTGCTCGCAAAACTTAACATATATATTTCTCGTGGACCTGTATCATATGGAGCATTTTCTTTATACATATTTCCGTTCGGTAAGGGTTTTGGTGCTTATTCAGTATGATCCGGCTTGAAAATAGTATCTTATACAGTATGATCCGGCTTGAAAATAGTATATTATTTTTTATGAACTGCATTTTCCGATTCGAAATATTCCATTCTCCGCCGTGTCAAGAGAGATTCTATGTTTATTCTTGAATCTGTCTATTTCAGAGTGTATATTTTCATATGATCTCCTATTTCTTATTTTCTTTGAAATAAATCTTACAACTTTTAATTTTTTTACTACTTTTTCTTTCAATGGCTCAATGTCCGGTTCAGTATATTCTTGTGAAGAAATTCATGAATTCGAAAAATTTTGAAGATGTCAGAAATTTCTGAAGAAGATAGGCAACACTTGGAAAGGGCGTTTACTTTGGCTCAAGAGGCTTTAGATTGCGATGAAGTTCCAGTTGGATGCGTTTTTGTCCGAAATGGGGAAGAGGTAGGGAAGGACGTTCGGAAAATGCGGATATTTCCGGAAACTCATCTTTCTTTTTTGTTTTTCGATGAGAATTAATTTTTATTTTTCTTGATTGCAGAAGTTTTCTACATGATTCAGTGCTACCTGGAAGAAATCGCATCGGAGTGTTCAGAATACAGAGTGTTCAGAATACATGAAAATTCGTTAATATCTCAGGATTTAATTTTCTGTTCAACGCAAATTATTGCACCTACAAACGCTCCAGAAAACATTTATCCATTGAATCATGAAATAGGAGCCAAGAATACTGTATTCCAGGTAGGTTACGGTAGAAATGACGTGAATCGAACCCGAGATCCGACAGCCCACGCTGAAATGGTCGCTATCCGGAGAATGGAGGAGAATTTTGAAGATGTTGAATTGGTTTTCTAGTGATTTTATGCTTGAATTGATTGAATTTTTGAGATAAATTCGTAGATTTTACGCGAATGTGTACTTTATGTGACTCTGGAGCCTTGCGTCATGTGCGCCAGTGGACTTTATCAATTAGGTTCGTTTAAAAATGATTTATTCTCAAAAAAGCCTGTTTTTAAAAATATTAGCGGTGTTCCCTTGCTCCTATTATCCTATATAAGTTCATTCGAGTACGCTGAATTTTTTAGGAATCCGAAAAATGATATACGGGGCTGAAAATGCGAGGTTTGGAGGCGTTCGAAGCGTTGGCAACGCTGAAAAGTACAAAATGAAGGATGATATTGAGGTTTTTCTTGATTAAAATTCATAATGATTCTCAATTTTTCAGATTGTCAGTGGAATCGACGCCGAAAGATCCATCCAGATGCTGAAAGCCTTCTACGACAAGCAAAATCCCTTCGCGCCGCCCGAAAAACGAAAAATCAAGAAGAAAAATCTGGATGATACTGTTGATTGTGTTGTTGCCGATGAGAAATTGTGATAGTAATGAATTTTTCAAGAAAAGGGGATTTTTTTCTGTCAAAATTGAGTTTGCTTGTGGTTTGTGGACCATTGAATTTATTTTCCGAGAAAAAAAAATGTATTTTTTGCGTGAAATATTGTATTTTGAGCTGAAAAAGTTGCTCATTCTGGGAAAATTTCTAGCAGCCACTAAGGAGGCTCCCATAAGGACTACTTCGAGAGGACACTAAAGTGGCCACTATTATGTTTATTAGTGACAAATTTAGTAGTTTTAGTCATCTAGCAGTACCACTTAGACCTCTATAGTAGCCACTAGTTTTTAAGCCCTAAAGTGGCTACTAATTTGACTATTAAAATGGCCACTAAAACGTCAAAACCCTATAGTGGCCACTAAAACTTCAAAACCCTATAGAGGCCACTAAAAATTTTCCCAGAATTTTTAAAAAAATAATATATTTTCTTCAAAAACAGATGTCCCTGTCCAGAATAGCGAAATTCTGCTGTTTTACTCCAAACTCCACGGTGATCCTTGCCCCAAAAACAGCTCAAAGTCTGTCGAATGCCCTCCGACGCCTCAGCACAACGAATTATTGTTCAACTACACCGTCGTCCTCAAAAACGACACCTTCCATACGATGGCTGTCTTCTGGGGTGAAGAGTTGTTCCAATAATTGGAATCTGTTATTTTTGTTGAGCTAAACGTTGTGGAGAAAACTTATGAAGGGATGTTTTATAAAAAATGAGAGCATTTTCTAGTCATTTGAAGTAAAATCCAAGGATTACGTGTTCAAAAACGACTGGGAGCTTCAATTAACCATCTTTAGGCTTGAAAAGATGTTCCAGGGGAATTCCGGGGGGTTTTCAAGGCTTAAAAAGAAATGAATTTTCACTGTAGATGAGATTTCTCTTGTTTTAGTTATTGACTAGACGGTGAACAAGAACTTTCCACTCTACATCGAAAAATCTTGATTAAAATCTATTTTATGGCAATTTTCACGGAAATGACTTCAAGGGGATTGGCGGAAGATCCGGTAATTGGAATCTGAAGTTTTTATTTGAGCTAGACTGTGTTGAAAAAACGTTTGAAGTATAAAAAAATAAGTGCATTTTCTGGACTTTCAGTGATTTCGAAGCGAAATCCAAGGATTACTTGTTCAGAAACGACTAGGAGCTTTTATCAACTATCTTTAGGCTTAAAAAGATGTTCCAGGGGAATTTTGGGGGGTTTTCAAGGCTTAAACAGGAGTAAATTTTACTTTAAATGAGACGGTGAACAAGAACTTTCCACTCTACATCGAAAAATCTTGATCAAAATCGATCTTATGGCGATTTTCACGGAAATGACTTCAAGGGGATCGGCGGACGAGGGGCCAAACGGAAAAATCGCGACGCCATGTTCTACGTGGTGAGCATCGGCGTCGTCGCGATCGGCCTGACTTTCGCCGCGATTCCGGCCTACCGGATATTCTGCGAACAGACGTCGTTTGGTGGATTGACACAGGTTGATGCCATGAAAAAGTAAATCAAAAAAAAAAAAAATCGGAAAATTAGAAAATCCGGGAAAGAAAAGCATGCAACCTTTATTAGAACAACGATTTTTTGTGTTCATATTCAGAAAGTCAGAAATTGTATTGAAAAAAAGATTGGATTTTAATATATTCACCTTTTTTTGGTTTTTTTAAAGTTGACTTTCTATTAATATCACAAGAATTTTTTTGGTTTTAGAAAAATTTTTTTATGTTTTAGAAAACTTTTTTTACAAAGAGTTATTTTTATTTGAAAGTTTCCTATAACTCACTCGAAAATGAGCGGGATCTTCAAATATTTGAATTAATTTGAATTTTTACGCCGGAATGTTTAGTTTTTTTCGGAATAAGCTATTATGTATTGTGAAATCCAATCGATCAATTTTTTTATGAAAATAATTCAATATAATGGGAAAAAAATGATAATTGTTGATGGAAAATCGCGTAACCTTCATTAGAAAAAAACGATTTTTTTGGGTTCATATTCAGAAATCCAGAAATCGTATTGAAAAAAAGACTGGATTTTTAGGAAATTGTCCTTTTTTTGGTTTTTTTCAAGTTCACTTTCTATTAATATTACAAGAAATTTGTTTTTTTAGAAAAAGACTATTTTATTGAAAAAAATTTCCTATTACTCACTCGAAAATGAGCAGGGGTCGTCAAAAATTTGAATTTTTCGCGTCGGAATTTTTCAGTTTTTCTTGAAATTTGCTATTTTTTTGTTGAGAAAACAATTCAATATACCTTTTTTCCTGAATTTTTGAAGGTTAAAACTTCATCTTTGCGTTTGAAAAAAACCACTGAATCCAGAAAATTGAGCTTTTTATGGATTTTTTTCAAGAGTAAAACGGGAAAAAAATGAAGACAGCTAGAAATTTTCACGTTTTTGAAGACAATCATTTCAAATTCAGTAAGAAAATGGTCAAAAAAAAGTTATTTGTTATAAATTTCGAGTATTTTTCAACTAATTGAAGTTGGCGCATCGAATTTCTTGATTCCAGGTCGCCAAAGACTTTGAAAAAATCGCCCAGATGAAAAAAGTGGAAGATCGATTGATCCGAGTTCAGTTCAACTCGGACGTACCCTCCAGTATGAGATGGGAGTTCAAGCCTCTTCAGCATGAGGTTCATTTTTGACTGAAAAAATTGTGATTTTTCACAAAATGTTGTATTTTCCAGATTTATGTGCACCCTGGAGAAACGGCTCTCGCCTTTTATACGGCCAGAAATCCCACGGATCGGCCAATCGTCGGGATTTCCAGTTATAACTTGACGCCGTTCCAAGCCGCCTACTATTTCAATAAAATCCAGTGTTTCTGCTTCGAGGAGCAGATTTTGAACCCCGGCGAGCAGGTTTGTAAAGAAACTGCAGTGATAAAAAAGTAAAAAATGTGAAGGTTTTCAAAATTGTTCGACGTTTTCTTGCAACCGACTTTGAAACGATTTGATTAGTTGGTTTAGATTAAGGACTCCAATAAAACTTGTACCTCTGAGCCATTCTCAATGCGACCTTATGATTGTTTTATTTTAGAATTTATTAGTTATGTCTCACTGAAGAACTCTAAAGTGGTCCCTTAAGAGGCAACCTCAGGAGACCATGAAGAGACCAGCTTACCTCCCCTACAAGGGACACGAAAGTTTGCAGAAGTGGCCACTCTAGGGGTTTTGAAAAAATAATTGAATTAGATTAAGGACCGCAATAAAACTTGAACCTCTGAGCCATTCCCAATGCGACTTTATTATTGGTTCATTTACATACGTCATACTTAGAAACGCCAGAGTGATCCCTTAAGGGGCGGCCCCAGGGGTCCTTGAAAGATCCCCTTGACACGCCTAAGGGGACACCAAACTTTTCCAAAGGGACCACTCCAGGGACTAAAAAAAGTGGCCACTTTATGGAAGCATGCAGTGCTTCCTATACGTCTTGGTATCATTCCAATTAAAGCCAGTATTCAAAAACCCCTGTGGGGGCCGCTTCAAGGGAGTCAGACCCAAAAAGGGAGAAACATTTTGCCCCTAGAGGGCCAAATTGAAAGACCACTTTAGTGACCACTTGAGCTCTAGGGGTTTTTAGGGGTCAGAATGTGAACTGCTGTAGGAACCAATTATATTTTAGCCCTCTAGGGAGCACTTTTTCGCCCCTACAGGGACTTTTTTTTTGATTAACCCCTCTAGGGATCATCCTGCCGTTCTCAAGTATTTTGTAAAAAGTTTAAAATCAAGTTCAGGGAAATTATTCCGAAGAAAACTTCAATTTCAGGTCGATTTACCGGTATTCTTCTTCATTGACCCTGACTATGCGAACGATCCGGCCCTCGAATATCTTGACAATATTCTGCTCAGTTACACATTTTTCGAAGCCAAGAGTGGACTTCAGCTGCCTAGCCCCTTTGACCCGAATAACAGGCCTGCGGTGAGTTTTTGGGGTCCAAAAATAATTGTTTTTTGACGTCATTCGAAAGCGCTCTGTGGATGGCTCGCTCTCTGATTGGCTTATCGGGCCATTAGGGGCGGAGCTTTAGAAGCGACTTGACATTCAAAACCTGAACGGAATATATCACAGCGTTTTTGTAATGCCGTGTTCAAAGTAATTTCCGCGAAATGCAAAATGAACTCTGACTCTCCAAAATTTAGTGATCTTTTCCTTTCTCTAACGGGTATTTTGCATTTCGCGGAAATTACTTTGAACACGGCATAAGTGAAAGAAAATGCGAAACCGAAAACACGATGGGCGGAGCAAATATATCCACCGTTCCCACGTGACGTCATGGGAACGGCAGAGCGTAAATATCAGGGCATATCAAAGGCGCAGGCAGCCGTATTGCCAGAGGTCTTTAAGACGAATCAAAATTTCTCTACAAAAACGCAACTTTCTGCGCGAAAGCGGCGCAGTGCATGCACACGACACACGACACTTTACGGAGAAAAAGTGGCGTCGTCGAAAAAAAAACGCTTTTTTTCAAAGCGTTCTAGGATTGATTGGATAAAAAAAGACATCTTTTACAATCGAAAAATAATTTTTCCAGGTGGACCTTGGAAAAGTCTCAAAAACAGTGAAGGAAGAGCGGCACGTTCAGCCGATGCCTGCTTAAGAAAATTCGCTTAAAAATAATTCTGTTCATATTAGGATATTTCTTGTCTTTTTGTTATAATATTGTTAAATAGGTTTGCTCTTAATAAAGATTTTTGAAATTTTTGTGAATTTTTGATAGTTTTTGTGTTGAAAGTCATGCATACTTGTGAATATGAAAAAAAATTTTCTGTAATTTTTCTGCTCCAAAAGATGCCCGCTTGCAAACATGGCAAAAACTGTTACCGTAAGAACCTGGAGCACCTGAAAGAGTTCCATCCGGACCGGCATGACCAGATGACCGGTGGAACGGGTCTTGACAAGAAGGAGGAGGATACGGTAGGAGGCGGGGCCAAGTCTGAGGAGGCGATTGAGAAGGTGTGGTTTTGATAGAAAATTGGAGAAGCTTCGTAAGATTTTTCTAATTGAACCTCTAGGGGTAAAAAGTGGTCCCTATAGGGGTAAATCTTGAGTGATCCTTTTAGGGGCTTAAGGTCTGACCCCTAGTCACTGAAGCTCAAGTGGCCCCTATAGGGAACAAAAAGCGGTCTTTCGGGGGCCCTTAAAAACCTCTAGGGAGTAAAAAGCGGTCCCTATAGGGCCGCTAGGTTTGTCCCCTCAGCCCTTGTAGCTCAAGTGGTCCCTATAGGGCCCTTAAGCTTGACCCTATAGGAACCTGTCAGGAGTTCCTAAGCTCTGAAGAGGATTTTTTAAGCTTCGAAATTTTCCGAACCAACTTCTAGGAGTCAAAAATAAACTCAAGATATTTTAAAAAAATTTAATTTTTCTGATTTTTTTACCCTTCTTCTAAGTCTAGCTTCAATTTTTGAGCTAGAAACAGCTATAATTTTAATTATTAAGCCCTTTTTAGACTACAGATCTGAAAAAAATCAATTCAGATGGAATGATATAAAGGAAAAATTGAAAAAAACTGGTAAAAGTAACACTGAAAATATTAGTTACTGGTAAATAAAAAAATGTTTTTAATCAAGTTCATCCATGTAAAATGATAATTTGATTATTCGCCAAGTTCAGTGGTTCAAAGCGGCCCCGAAAAAGCGACAAAAGCCTTCGGCCAAGGCTCCAAAAAAAGAAGAGCGGGAAAATGACCCAAAGGTTCAAAATCTGATCGACGCCGTCACGGCTGAAAGTCCGTCGCCCAAGGCCAAAAAAGCGAAAATCGAGGAAAATCCAAAGTTTTTTTTAAGAAATAAAAAGAAAGATACATTTTTTGTTCAGTGAAGTCAACTCGGAATGGATTCCTGAAATTGCGAGGAGATTTTGGGAGGAGAGGGCGAAAATATTGAATCCTGAAGCGCCGTTGGGTTGGTTTTAGTGAAAAAATATGGGAAAAGACTGATTTTCGAGGAAAATTTCAAGCTTTTTTGAACTTTATATAGTAATTTTTGTATTGAACTTCTGGATCGAAGAGATTTTTTGAACAGAAAGGAACATAGGGGTTTTTTTAAAACTTTTTTTGACGGTGTTTTTTTAAAAAATTTTATCGGTTTATGCTCTGTATTTTTTTCAAATTTATTCCTCTTCTAACTGAAATCATAACGAGAATTTCATGACTGAACTCTAAATTTTTGGAAATTTTCACAAAAAAATCCAGTTATTCATAGTTATTTTTTTCATTTTAAAAAAAGTTAGAATACATTTTTTGAACAAAAACTGACTTATATTTGCTTCATAAATTTTTTTAATTATTTCGAAAACTTTTTTTGAAAAATTCAACCCATTTGTTCAGACTGTCTATCTTCCGTGAAAAGCGCTCGATTAGCCGGTCCTTTTCGGATTTTGAACGGTGAAAAAGGTAGCAATCCAAGGAATCTATTGATTTTTTGAGCCAAAAAAAATTTTTAGTGGAAGATCCAGTACTATTGGACCGTTTTCTGACGGATCTTCCCGAAATGCAGACTTTTTTGACTCATTCCGGTGGTCGATACGCTTTTTGGAGGTCCAAAAATAGTACTGCTTGAAAAAAATACTGAAAATCTTCAGAGACGACCCGAAAACTAAAGAACCTTTCATTGTTCATGCTGAATCGCGCGAATTTTTCCCGAAATTGGAGGTTTTTTTTTGATTTTTACTTTACAGCTGGTTTATAGAAGGAAGGGTCACGGTGTTTTGGTAAGTGGGGGAACCAAAAAAAAACAGTGGGCGGAGCCAAAATATCCGCTGTTCCCAAGTGACGTCATGGGAACGGCAGGGCGTAAATAACAGGGCATATTAAAGGCGCAGGCCGCCGTATTGCCAGAGGTCTTTTAAGACGAATCGAAATTTCTCTACAGAAAACTCAATTTTCTGCGCCAAAAGCGGCGCAGTGCATGCACACGACACACGACACTTTACGGAGAAAAAGTGGCGTCGTCGAAAAAACGCCGTGTCTTGGCACGAAGAAAAAAAGAACTTCCAGAATTTTTTTTTGGCAAGCGGATAAGAAGAGCTAAGGTGGGAAAAAATCGAAAAGGAGAGAAAAATTTTTCAAGACCATGTTTCTCAACTGAAAATTTCTGTATGGAAAATTCTTATATTTTAGTTTTTAATGTTAATTTTGATGGGAAAGGTGAAAAAAAGCTTCCGAGAAAAAAAAATTGTTTAAAATGAACTTTTCAGCCCAAAACTTCTTTGAGTTTTTTTCAAGGCCGGAATGTAAATTTGACCGCTGGAAAAAAATTGATTTCAAACCTAAGTTTGACGGAATTTTTAAAAATTAAAATCACAAAATTCGTTCTTTTTTAAATTTTAAATGTTCATAGTTCAAAGAAATATCAAAAAAATGATTTTTTTCTAATTTATCGATTTTTCTCATATTTTTTTCAATTTCCAGGTGGTCGGCGACCGCATAGAACACGCCATTGTACATCTATGTGGCCGGGAAAAAGCTTCTGAATTCCTTCCTTCAGAAGACGTCGGGAATATTCTGAAGGAAATGAAAGTCTTCAAGGCGAAAAGAAACAAAATAAAGGTTTTGTAGGCCTCAAAAATTGAGATGATATTGAATTTAGCTTGGAAGCTCTCATGACGTCGGAATTTGGGTTTCGGTGGTTGAGGATCGTGGCTACCGGCCGTTGGCTTACTGTAAGCTTTGTTTGTAGTTTGATAGAGGTCTGGTTTAAAGGAGCATACGGGCTGGTCTCAAGGCGAAGAGGCGTTTTAGTTTCATTTCGAGTTCCAGAAAGGCTTTATATGAAGACCATAGTCTGTTCAGATTTTGAATGTCAAGTGGTCCCTAAAGCTCCGCCTCCTAATAGCGCGATTAAACCAATCAGAGAGCGAGCCAGCCCATAGAGCGTTTTCTAATGACGTCATTGTATAGTCCGTTTTCCGCCTCTTGAAAGGATGCTACTTCTCTGCGCCCTCCTCGTATCTCGACAACCCTCTCATTTGTTGACGTGCTATTTTCATGTTTCTCTGGCCTCGCCGGTGAGGGAACAATGAGACGCAGACACTCGAAAAATGTCAAGTCGCGGCGAACGAACTAAACTTGACATTCAAAATCTTAACAGACTATATACTTCAATTTCGAAAAGAGCTTTTCCAGCCGCCAAGGAGATGAAGAAAATGCTCGAAACGATCAGAAAAACGGAGGACGAAGCACTGAAAAAGAAATTCATGCAGAATATCACCAGGGAACTCAATAATGTTCATGTGAGTTCATGAGGATTTGCTGGATTTTTCATGGAAAAAAGCTGGAACTATTTCATTGAATACGTTTCGTCCAAAATTAGAAAGACCGTATGGCTTTCATCGAAAAATGGGTCTTGACACGATTATAAAAGAAGACAGTGTAGAGTTCGAGGAGAGCGCAGACAGGCCACGCCCCCTTCACGTCCCAAGCTAACCCCTAATCGGTCATATTTACATAACGGGTTTATTACCTCGATTTGAAAGCCAAAAAGGCGGTAAACAAACAGAAAAAAAAATTTAGTGTTAGAGTGAAAATTCAAAGGATACAATAAAAAGTTCTGTTCTCGATGAAAAAAATTCCTTTTTTTGCTTCAGAAATAAGAATTTATCTCTTACTGGCTCAAGAACCTCCAAACTGAGAACGTACTAAAATTTCGAAAAAAAATCAAGAAAAAAATTTCTTTTGTTTAGACCGACTTTGCTCCACTAAAAAAAAAGTTTGGTTTTTAAGGATTTTTTTTCTTCAGTAATCCTGAACGTGGGCGGAGCTTAAAAAAGCCTGGTTCTAAATATTCAGGTGATTGTCCGCTATCTGTTATTGCAAGGAGAGCTCTTAGGAACGTGGGAGGAGTTTTTACACCAATGGTTTCTTGAAACTCTTAGGAAACGTGTTGATAATTTCATTTTTCATTATCTTTCTCAGATCGCCAACGATGAGATCGATTTCGGGACGGGAATCGAATTCGGCCATTGGCTCTTCCTCGCCAACATCCCTCAGGTCGGTATAGTTCGAAAAACAGTACCAAATTCCAATTAACGTTCTTTGAATCTCGTACATTTTACGGCGAAAAAGAAGTGGATTTGCAAAAAGTTTCGCAGAGAGAAAGATTAAGGGATCCTTTTTTTGGGAACTGGTAGGTTGGATAGGATTATCAAAAAAAAATCGGATAAATCTACTGTTTTATTGGGGGTGGCTTGAGCGCGGATCTTTTTTGCCCCCGACCTTGAAGTGGCTTGCGCGCGATCGCACTGGACAGCTTTTGACCATTGTTTTGACCATTTTGAGGTTATCTGAATAGGTGTAATGAAACAATTTTTGTCAAGTTGAAATCCCATTCTTGACTTTTGAATCGCTTCCGATTTTAAAACTTCACTTTAATCTTCACTCGACCTGCAGCGGCTTGCGCGCCATCGCACTGGACAGCTTTTGATTAAGATTTTTAATTTTTTTGAAACTTTAAGTCATTGAACAAAATGATGTAACGTAACGAATTCCTTTTCGAAATCTCATGGTTGACTTTTGGATCGCTTCCGACCTCAAAATTTTGCTTTATGCTTCACCCGACCTGAAACGGTTTGCGCGCGACTGCATAGTCACGAGTTTCTAGCTTAAAACCGCGACGCTTTGAGCCATTGCAAGTGCGACCAAGATGGTTCTTGATTTTTTTTAAACAAAAATTTCGGAATTCTGTCATTCTTATGGATATTTTTCCTTACAAATAACTTTTTTTTTGGGAAAAAAAATTTTCTACATTTCTATGATTTTTGTTGCAAATCTATTTACAAAAATTAGAAAAACTGACATTTTCCAAAATAAGCACTAGGAAAAAGGCTGTTGAACTTGAAGAATGGTCTGCCAATTCTTGAATCGTATAATCGAATTAACTAACTCGTGTTTTTTTACCCTCCAAAATTTTCAACCTTGACTTTTCTTGTGAGTTTTGTCTACGAATAAGCGCGTTAGGGACTAGTTTTTTCAGATAAATTGCGCGTGGTTTTGAAGTTTTCTAATCAATTAGGTGATAGTTGGGAAATGATGAGGAAGAAGAAAAAAGGAAAAAGTAAATCAAATATGAAAGGAAAATTGAATGAGAGGCTTGAAAATTGACCCAATTTGAATCGCGATTTGTTTTATTTTAAACTGCGCTCTTAGGAAGTCCAGAGCGGTCCCTATAGGGGCAATTTTAGGGACCACTTTACCAGGCCTGTAGTGACCACTAAAGCTAGCAAAAGTGGTCCCTATAGAGGTTTTAGTTAGTGACCCCTATTGTGGACATGCGTCGATAACTTTACGAACTCTTAGCGAATAAGCATTTCCAAAAACTGAAAGAATAACCTTTTTGAATGAAATTGAACGACCCTTATAGGGGCCACTTGAGATTAAGGGGCTAAAGGGTGAGACCCTACCTTGATTTTACCCCTATAGGGACCACTTTTTCGGTCAGTATAGGGGCTGATTTTCTCCCTAACCCCTATAGGGACCACTCTGCAATTCCTAAGTATCACTCGGCTAGACGGAAAATTTTTTAGGAATGCCAGAGTTTTCCCTAGAGGGGCAGTTTTAGAGGCCCACGAAAGCTATATTCTACACTAAGAATAACTGACGAGATAAACGCGAGGTCGGTGGCGGTACATTGACTAACTCGCAAAAATGTCGCTTTTTTCTAGGCGCGATCCCGCATTTCTCTCGGCGCGACCTCGCATTTTTCACGGCGCCATCTCGCATTTATCTTGCATTTCGGAAATTTTCAAATTGCGAGAGAAATGCGAGCTCGCGCATAGAAAAATGCGAGCTCGCGCCCAGAAAAATGCGAGACCGGCGCGAGAAAAAATGCGAGATGTTTGCGAGCTCGTCAATGTACCGCCAGTGTCTCGCGTTTATCTCGGCAGTTATTCTTAGTGTAGTGATTGACACCAGAGCTCGCCACCCCTCTAGGGAACACTATTTTGTTCCCTGTAGAAGCTGTTTCCCCCCTAACCCCTTCAGGGACCACTTTGGCGCTCCTAAGAGAGCAATCTCGACAAACTGATGTAAGAAAAAATGTAGTTTGTCCTCTGAATCATCAAAAAATCTGTTTTATAGGTTGAAAACATGTGCAAAGTTTCTCTAACAACCTCCTACAAGCTTCTCGGACGTCATTCTCACATCGAAACCCTGGAAAAGACCCTGAAATTACGAAAATCTGTCAGTTTGTAAATCACTGTGTATAAAAATGTCATTCTGCACGTTTTAAAATTTCTCGGCAAAGTTTTTTTTTTCCGTCCGACGGCGCGGAACTAACTGAATTACAGCCAATCAAGTACTAATCCTGCCCCTCTGTCGGGTGGTCTCAACGGCAAAGTTTTTTCGCGTCTCTGTAAAGTGCGGAGGGTATAAATTGGCGAGTTTCGGCCGGGTTCGATCAAATTTTCTGTCCTTCTACTGTTACATTTTTGAGTCCATTTTGGCCTTTGTTTGTCGATTTTTGATAATTTTTTGGACTACTGGAGCCGTTGAGTCATTACTGTAAGTTCAAAAATTGAAAAAAAGTTCAGGAAGATATTTTTGAAGGTTAGAAACAGTAGAAAAATCAGCAAATCTTGTTTTTTTTTTTGAAATGTGTCTGCTCTATAGAATACATGAAAGTTTCGAGTTTAATATACTAGCAGAGGACACTAAAGTGGCCACTAAACCCACCTCTATAGTGGCCACTAGTTTCCGTTTTAGTGGCCACTTCAGTAGTTTTTCATCCAGTATTCCTTCCAGTAACTCTGATAATTTTAAAACAAACAGATTGGACCAGTTATGTTGATCCATTGACCCCTAAAGGGGCCACTAAAATTTTTAGTGGTCTAGTAGTAGAACTTAGACCTCTATAGTGGCCACTAATTTTTAACCTCTTAAGTTGCCATTAATTTGACTACTGTAGTGGCCACTAAAAATTTTCCAAGTACAGCATACACCATCAGATTCAAAATATGTATCTCAAAAAATGAAAAAAATCATATTCTGTAAAAATCTTCAAGCTTCCAGGTTTTTTTTTCCAAGAAACAAGATGCTATTCGGTCCCTGAACGCTCAGAAATGTGTAGTGATTTTTTTTTTCAATTTTTTTATGACACTGGCCACTGCTCTCCGTTGTAAAATAGCCGTTCCAATAACTTTTATCGCCCCTGAGCATATCAGCCGTTCTCTTTAACGAAAAAAACTTTATTTTTTTACAGTTTTTTTGTTCTTATCAATAAACAAATATTCGATTTCAGTAGCCTTCTGTCAACAAATTCTCAATACAATGCATTATTTTTGGAAAATATTGAAGGTTTTATCAGGTTTTTAAGGTTCCTTTATAAAGAATAATGGGTTCTTAAGTTTCTACGGTATTAAAAAAAATACGTTCTGTGGAATTTTGTACGTATATTGTTCTTATAATGATATTTCTGATACTTTGAATTTCTGATTTTATTTGACAATTTTTAAAAATAAGTAAAAAATCTGTTTTGACCTCATTTTGACGTGGCCAACAATATTCATTTCTATTTTTTTAATATTCTGAAAGTGTTCATTATTCTTGAGACTTGTTTATTTTCGATCCAGATAAGAGTTGTGAATTTAAATTTTCAGAAACCTTGAAAAATGACGTTTCGTTTCGGCGGCAAGGTCGCAATCATCACTGGTAAGTCTGAAAATTTTGAAAAAATAACGACTTTTTTGAATTTTCTGACATAAGACAGTGTGTGTTCGATTCCCAGTCCAAATTTATATAAATTTTTGAATCCAATGCTAAAATGACTCCCTATGAGACTTAGACAAAGACGGGAAGGTGGATAATGGCCGCTAAAAAGCAGAGGCTCAAAAAAGGCTGCAGAAAGGCAGCAAAAAGAGTCCCTTTATTTTTTTCTAAGATTTTAAAGGCTTAAGGAATGATGGAAAAATGGAGAGGCTGGAAAAATGGTGCATAAAAGCCGATGAAATGGCGCAAAAAGGCAGCAAAAAGGCCCAAAAAGGAACTTTTCTATGGAGCTTTTTCCGACTTTGACTCTGGATTTTCATTAAATTTGGGTTTTAAGAAAATAAAAATCAAGAAAACCGATTTATTTTCAAACGTAACTCATATATTATGTTATTTGATATTTTTAATGTACCTGAGGAAGCTAAAACAATATCACCATCATCAATGAAAGTCAAGAAGACGAGCTTCAGGCTCGACGAGTGGAATCGGAAGAGCGACGGCGGTCTTGATGGCCAAAGAAGGCGCCAAAGTCGTCGTCACTGGAAGATCCGAAGAAGGTGCCAAGGTTCTGAAGACGTGGGAGTTTTCGAAGGCTCAATAGAGATCTTTAGGAAACCAAAAAGCAATGTACTGAAGCTGGAGCCTCAGCTCTCGATATTTTGGTGATTCTCGGCGATATCGGCGATGAGAAGTTCCAAAAACAACTCGTCGATCAGACCATTGAAAAATTCGGCAAGCTTAACATCTTGGTGAGGTTATCACTTGACTTCCCTCCCCAAAGAAGTTCAGAAAACCTTTTTTGCTCAAGAATCTCACTGAACCTTCGAATTCCTAGGTTAACAACGCTGGAGCTCTTCACGTTGACCCATCCGGAGCTCAAGGCTACGATATGGCCAATGAAATATTGGATAAATCGATGAACGACAATTTTAGATCGTTTGTTTTTTTGTATATATAAAATCAATTTTAGCTCCTGAGAACTTTCAAAAATTTTGAAAAACTTTTTTAAGCATCCAAGTAACCTTCATAGATCATAAAGAGCGAATTAAGAGTCTATTGAAGCGGTGATCAGATGAAAATTCAACAGGCGAGCTTCAAAATAAAATTTTGTGGGATACCGTACGCCGACTTTGTGTGCTCACAGCACTTCTATTGCACGACAAACATTAGATTTTACGAGAGTATCATTTTTGTCCCAAAATTTTTTTGACTTTACAAATAAAAAATTCTTTTTTAGTTTTATTTCTAACTTTCTTAGGTTTTCATAATTTCTCACTTTACAAAGTTTTCCTATCTGGGTGAACCTTTTCGTTATAAAGTTGGACTTTTTTTCAGACTTGTATTTTTCCGTGAAAAAAAAAAACTTTCGTTTCAAATCTCATTCTATTCATTTTTATTCTCGATTTTAGAGTATTTACTCTGACGAAAATCGCAATCCCGCATCTGGCCGCCGTCAAGGGGGATATCGTCAATGTTTCAACTTTTTTGAGCCTCGGACCCGCTGGGGTCAGTTTTTTTTCAATTATTATTCAACTTGATAGTAGAAAAATTGAAGAAATTCTGTGAGATGGGGAAAAATGCTTTCTATGTAAAGAAAAAAAAACGTTCAGATCAAATCGATGCCATACTATGCGATTTCAAAAGCGGCACTCGATCATTTGAGCCGTTCCATGGCTCACGAGTACATTTCCAAGGGCGTTCGAGTCAATAGCGTCAAGTTGGTGGATTTAGTCTTTTTTTGAATAAAAATTCGATAAGCGCTTTGAAAAAATGATTTATTCATTTTCAATGTTTTTTTGAAATGCTTCATTTTTTTTTTTAATTTGAACAAAATTCAATTCGGCTTTTTAAGGTCCTTGCAACTGCGAAAAATCTTAAACTCATTTATTTCAGCCCTGGCTTGGTCGGTACTTCATTCTTTGCGAGACTTGGTTTCGGCGAGGAAAGAGTCCGAAAAGTAAGTTTGAAAAAGGATGTTCGTTGCACGGCGTTCTTTTGACGACGCCCCTCCCACAATTTCCGTAATATTTAACGTCTTTGGTGCATACACAGAGCGACGCTAACTTGCATACTCATTAAATTCGAAAATAATTTTTTTTCCTCGAAAAATAGCGTTTTTCTCAAAATTACAGACTTGAAAAAAATCGATCCTTTCACAATTCCTTTTCTAGTTGACAAAAAAACATTTGGGTGAAAGTTTTTTTCTTATTTTTCTGAACACTTTTTATACCTTTCACCCTCAAAAATTAGTTATAGTCCTTTTTTTCAGTGAAAAACGTGAAATTTTGTGCCGAAAAGGACTTATTGTGGTTATGTGTCTTTCCGCACTTATTAAAAATTAAAAAAAAAGTTTTCTTCACAGATTTAGTTTAGTTCATCCACCTAGTGGTATTTTTTTCTCCTCTGCAACATCGCCATACCATTCTGATGTTGCGAAAATGAAGAGATTGATTGATCCGAATAAAAAATTTAATTTGACACTGAAAATGTGTATGAAAGGCTTTTTTTTTTGCTTTAAAGGGGAAATTTTGTCAAAACCCAGCAGTTAACATTGAAAATTGAAAAAAAAAAGTTCCTTCGCATTTTGATGTCGCAATAAAAAATAATTACCGTAAATCAGAACAAAACAGATAAAGACACAACTGAAATAAACATGAAAAATCACCTGAAGCACTTGAGCAACAAGAAGTTCAAATGTTCGCGCGCAAGCTGTCTACCGTAACTCTAGGTGGAGCAGCCTTTCAAAGCCGCTCCGCATTTTCAAAATTTTTACATTTTCTTCCACTACGCAGAACGCCGTGGTTGATTGAACACTTCCAGATGGAAGATTACATGGTGAAGCATCCGGAATGGATCCCGCTGGGACGGGTCGCCAGCAGTGAAGACGTAGCAAAGACGATTTGTTTCCTGGCGGACAGGTGCGTGTGGCTGATGGAGCCAAAAACCGATGAAAATCGGATGCGAGTTCATTTTGAAAAAAAATATATCTTCGAAGTTATAGCTGAGTTATATCAGCTTGCTGCGATTGGAAAAAAGGCTATGAAAAATTGTCGAGACTTTAGGCGTTTAGAATTTTTTTCCACCTGCTCCTTTGATTTTCGAACGTGATATTTTTGATCTGACGTTCAGAGTGTACGTGAAAACTTTCAAATCTAGAGAGCACCGTATAAGAAGAAAAAGTCTAGAGAAAAAAATCCCGCTCTCTCATTTTTGAACGATATAGGTTTCAAATGTTTGAAACTGGAACTGAAAAGAAAATTTAACAGTTTTCGCAAGTTTTGTAAGGGAGTTATCAATTTTATTTTTACGCTTCAGGAACTCGTCGGAGTGCATCATCGGCCAAAACATTGTGATCGACAGCGGCTCGCGGCTCGCCTTGGGAATCGATGTCTCCGATTTCAAGGATCATTTGTGAATATATTTTCTTGTGATAAATAGTTTTTGTTTCTTTTTTTCCCTGTTTTGCGGAAAATGATCTTTGATTTCATTGCACTATTGGATTTTTGAATTTATTTGATGCAGTTTTTTTTTTGATTGAAAAAAGTTGTGGATTGAAGTTGAAGCGAGGCCGATGTGGATCCAATTTTTTTGAAAAACGTTCGAATTTTTCGCGATGAGCTTTTTCAAGTTTTTTTAATTTCTGAAGAAGGTTAGTTTTTGAATTGAATTTTTTTTTTCGTGGTTGTGATGAGTTTTTAATGTTGAGAGTTTTCTCTGAGTATCTGATTGCAAAAAGGAGAATTTTTCGGCACAAAATTATTCTTTCGATTTTTTTTTCTTTGCGCATCAACCAGGCACTGTCTCTTTTTTTTATCGTGTCAGGACCCTTTTTCGATTTTCTCAACGCCGTATAGCGTGAAATGAAAGAAAAAAAAACTCACGTACTACAAAAAAAAAGTAACTGAATAAATTGAGCAGCGTAGATGGGCAAAGATAAGGAAATGCACGTGAGGGACTGGAAGGACAAACGGTATTACCTTTGCGCGTCGTCTCGAAGTAACAGCTTTTCGGGGGATGCGCCTGAAGCTTTTCCTTCTGTTGGTCGGGTGCTCCCTGGTCGTCGCGGACCTCAGAGAAGACCTCGAGGTATACTTTTTCTCGTTTGGATGGGTCTGCAGTTGAACGGTTTAAAAAAAGATATTTTATACGGGTGTACTGTAAATCATTAGAGCCTTAGGCGCGCCATTCCTAATGGTATGAGGGAAGGTGAGCGAGACGTCAAAGTTTCTGAATTAACAAAAAAAAATAAGTGCGCGCTCCGGATAAAATGCACTGAGTATCAAACGTTAATAACTTGTTTTTTCGATCGCCTTCGGCTCTGTACTCGAGATTTCAAATTTCGCGCCAAATTTTTTTTGACGTCTTCCCACCCCGTTTGGGAACACCGTGTTAGGGTGCTCACTTGAGGGCGCCTATTATCTTCGTCTGCACTGGAAAAAGCCGCTATAGCGGTTGATTTAAAGAAATTTCTATTGTTGAGTGGTCACTTAAGGCAGCAAAGTGCTTGCTTGAGATAGTATTTCACTTCTTGTCAGGGCAATTATTTTCGATGTACTGGAAGAATGAAATTTTCGGATTTTTAAAAGTTATTCAGAGGTTGCAGCGTTGTCTATTTAACCCGTTTCTGATTGTTTTCTTTAACTTCTAAGCTTTCTTCTCTCAAAAAATAGGAAGTTCGGAATTTTCTGGAATTCAATCTGGTACAAGAATTTTCTGTTCAGTTTTCTAGAAACTCCTAGCTGTTGAAGTGAATTTTTTCTCAAGAAAGGTTCTGTTTTTTATTAAGAATAACATTTTCAGCAACTGATAAAAAATGAAGCTGTCGACCTGAGTTCGAACGCCACGATCGGATCTCTTACGCCTGAAGAAGTTGGAAAATAGGCTTTTTCTTCTGATTTTTCGCTTTCAATTTTTAGGAAAATGATATAATTGCCGAGTTGGTGGTTAACGCTACCGGACAGTTGACCAAAAAAGAGATTGAGCGTGTGAACAAGGTTTGAAAACGTTGCCGTGTTGATTATTTGGACCCTTTTCAGGAACTCGACGCTCTTGCCCGGAAACAGGAGAAGGAATTTGCCAGTGGAGCTTTGGTCAGGGTGAGTGGACCGAGAAATTCATTTTTTTTTCAAAGGCACAGGGGCAGTAAAAAACGGGGTTTCAGATGAAACCAGTACCTTGTATAGTTTTTCTTTGCGGATCGAATGATGTACTTAAAAAAAATACTTATGTGCAACTTTAGAAGAAAAACGCGATTTTACTTTCCCGCCTTTAATTTTAAAAAAATGCTCTGGATCGGTATACGGACAACTGTTTACAGTAGCCGTGCACGCGATGTTGCGGACGTCTCCTTAGACTCGCGTTTTGTGAGTAATGTGCTTATGTGCTTCAAATAAAGGGTTTCTTTGCTGAAAAAACCATTTAGTCAAACAAAAACACAACGATAATAAAGGAAACACAAAATATCGCAATCCCAATCGAAACCTGTGTAAAATTATCATTTTTCACCAAAAAAGAATTTTGCGATCGAAGTGTGCAAATTATTTATGAATAGAAAGTTTTTGTGACCAAAAGAACTTTGGAGACAACATAAAAAATTAAAAATTGAAACTAACGAAGAAAAAAGCGAAAATCCGAAAAAATGGCGAAGCCTGTTGTCCATAGAGCAACTTTACTGCAAAATGCCTTTTTGGCGAGAACTCAAGCTTTCCTTTCTTCGACTTTGAATTCTTTTTTCTCCAAAATTAGGAAGTTTGGTACATTTCCAAGTTTACCCTTCGATTCGCAATGAAAAGCTCTACAAAGTACTGCTTTGAACTGAAACACCGTTTTTTACTGCCCCTATGCCTTTAAATAAATAAAAAAACTTGAATCAAGCTATGGAGCTTGTAGTGTATGAGTATATACAGGTGCGCAAAGTCTACGAAAGCAAATATAATTAACGGTAAATGTACAGTATTATTAACAAACTGATTTGAAGTTTTGAGGTATTTAGAAAAATAACAACAGAAGAGAAACAAATGTTTTCCCCAAGACCAACGCTATTGCGAATCCAGACCCGTAGACGCTTAAGAAGCGCGTTGACCGTGGAGGAGGGGTAGTCGTCGCCGATTTTGGCACATTCTCGCTCAGAAAAGTTTAAGAGACTCGATCTTCTGATGAGGGGTAACACAGGCTTACAACTGTAGAGCGCCCCATACGGAGTAGCCCGTTTTGAGATATGGCAAATGGAGCAGCCTTTCTAAAAAATCGATAAATTCATGAACCATCTTTTTGCACGACTCCAAGTCCTGTTTGGCTGCTTTTCAAAGCGTCCCTTGGCCCATGGGAGCAGTGCCTTTTGCAAAACGTTTCTTTCATAATTGTACGCGTTAATCTTTAAAAGTTACTAAATTTCGTATCAAAGCATGTTCTGATGACTTTGAAAATTGCAGAGAAAACGTCTTTTAACCTTTTAATAATAATTTTATTTATTTACAGGCAGAACAAAATAACATGTACAAAAAATGAAGGAAAAAATTGGCATTTAAGCCTGAAATAGATAAATAAAAGGCACTTGAGGCCCTCACGAGCCTCTGAGCCAGTAATGAAATATGATGAGGAAAGAATAAGAAGCGAGAATTGCACGAAGGTAAAAAAAAAAGTAAATAGGAAAGAAAACATTATAAGTTATGACACAGTGTAGCACACGTAAAAGGGGAATTAATTGGTTGTAATGATATAGACACGCATTAAATGGATTAGAGTACGGATGAAGCACGGGTGCCTGGTTTAACGGAGTCTGCTGGGAATAGATCCAAAAAGGAAATTGTTGTCGAGGGATAGTAACAATGAGCTGAAACGATCTGGAAAAACATAGAGGATTCCCAGTGTAGCCAGTTTATTCCAAAGAGGGATGAACGTCTCAAAGAAATTGTCGAAACGCATCTCTACTCTGATATGATGGAGCACGTACTGAATTTGATCTCCTGAAAACACTGTGAGCAACTGGCACATGACTCTCCTTTTTATGTAGGGACTGAACAACTCACAACAGTAGTCCATATAGGGAGCAAAGTAAGTAAGAAAAATCCGACTCATTAGAGCGGGAGACAAGGCGCGGAACGCTCTAATGATTTTTTTTACTTTTTAGTTTGCATAAGGCTATAACCTTCACCCTTTTCGGAGGAGTGTTTTCTTTTAAACTCGGTTTTTTCGTTTTTTCTCTTTGAGAAATTAAAAAGGATTTTGTCATTCTTTAGCTAAAAAGGCTCCTTTCAGGACTATTTCCCTGATGTTGCTTCTGCTCCAGCTCCGCCGCCTCCTGCTCCTGGACAGAGTCCTCCCAAACCTTCTTCTGGTCCAGCAAAGCCTCCTAGAGCTCCCGCCACCACTGAAGCTCCGAAGCCTCCTGTTGTACCGAACAAGCCAACTGTTGGCCCGGTGAATCCTCCTAGTGCTCCCGTAACCACTGAAGCTCCGAAGCCTGGTGTACCGAACAAGCCAACCGTTGGCCCGGTAAAGCCTCTTAGTGCTGCTGCCACCACTGAAGCTCCGAAGCCTCCGGTTGTACCGAACAAGCCACCTGTCGGCCCGGTTATTCCTCCTAGTGCTGCCGCCACCACTGAAGCTCCGAAGCCAACCGTTGGCCCGGTAAAGCCTCTTAGTGCTGCTGCCACCACTGAAGCTCCGAAGCCTCCGGTTGTACCGAACAAGCCACCTGTCGGCCCGGTTATTCCTCCTAGTGCTGCCGCCACCACTGAAGCTCCGAAGCCAACCGTTGGCCCGGTAAAGCCTCTTAGTGCTGCTGCCACCACTGAAGCTCCGAAGCCTCCTGTTGTACCGAACAAGCCACCTGTCGGCCCGGTTATTCCTCCTAGTGCTGCCGCCACCACTGAAGCTCCGAAGCCTGGTGTACCGAACAAGCCAACTGTCGGCCCGGTAAAGCCTATCGGTCTCGCCACCACTGAATCTCCGAAGCCTCCTGTAGTACCGAACAAGCCAGCTGTTGGTCTGGTAAAACCTCCTGGTGCTCCCGCCACCACTGAAGCTGCGAAGCCACAAGACGCTCCTGCTTCCACTGCGGCTCCTGTTCTTCCTTCCAGACGTACTCGTAGACCTCGTCTTCAGCCGCCTCAAGCCGAAACTACTATTGCTGCGAAGCTTCCGAGCGTTCCTGGACAGAGTCCTCCCGGTCCTGGTCAACTGCCTCCGAAACTGCTGGGCGGAGATGCCACCACTGCTGCTGCTCGCAGGCGTAGAACTCGGGTTCCTTCCTTTGGGCATCATTTGGTTGAAGAATTCGACGATGTCGATGATTCTCCTCTTGTCGGCGACTCGGTTCTCGACGACTTTGAGGAGGTAATTTTTCATTTTAAAGAAATAACGAAGTTCGTTGTAAGAAAAACAAATAACTTGAAGTTGCAAAAATATGGAAACAGACGTTTTTGAAACTTGAAAAATTAGTTGAATTAACTCTCTTCAGGATATAACATAAACTTATAAACTTGGTAGGGCTTAATCTAAATATTGAAAGTTATAGCGGACTATGCAAATTGAGCCTTCAGAGAACAAAAAAATTACAGTTTTTTTGTGAGTCCTGAGAATGTCCTTCACTGATAAGGAATGAGCAAAGAATTAAAAAGTAAACTTTATTTTTGTTGTAAAAATGTGTTTTTTTCGGCTAGAATTTTTTTACTAACCATGAAAAATGATCTCGAGAATATTCTATCGAACAGTAGCAAAAAGAAGCTTGCAGAGTCACTAACCGATTTTCTTCGTTTGCGGCCACAAAACCCACGGAAACTGTTGCCGATCGCCATTTTTCTCTTCTTTGGCAATAAAAGGTTTCCTGTGGGCCTGAAAGCGCTTAAAAGAAGCAATAAATGAAAAATACACGTTCACGGGCGGATCTAGAAAATCGTACACGATGATCGTGTGGAATAACACTGGAAAAATTGATACAAGAACAATCTAAAATACCTCCACTTTCCGAACTGAATAGACTAAGAAAAATGAATACTGAAAGTTTTACCAATTTAGCCAATCGACCTGTCTATCGAAAACTCGATGAGTATCCCTGCCTTGACCTTGACAACCACCTTTTTGAACTGAAAAAGCCGGAAGATCTAGAAATTAGGCGTGTCGAAGCTGAAACTGCCAAGTTATCTCTGTTCAGAAGGAAGATGCAAAATAATATATTTATGCTAAACTGCCAAAGTCGAAAGTGCGGGAAACGGGAGTTACTGCAAAATGGCCGCAAAAATGGTTCCGTTTTGCGGCCTTTATTGAGCCTTTCTTTCTTGGTGAGCTAAAAAAAAGCCTCGAACAAGGGGGAAAAAGGTGCTGAAAGTATCGGCCATTGATGATTATTTTATTACTGAAGCACATTTTGGTTCATAAAAAAATCATCGGTAAAGATTATTCTCAATTTGAAAAATGTTGTGTTTCTCAGAAGGGCCCAAAAAGGGTGGATAAAGGCCGATAAAAGGACGGAAAAAGGCAGTGAAAAGGAAACCGTTGCCACCCTTTTAGGAACAATTTATGGAAACGGACGCTCAAAGGGTCCTTCCGACTTTGCCTGTGTAACTTCTTGATTTTCGAAACCGAAAGAATTTCACTCATTTGCGGCTCGAAAACAGGTCTCTCAAAAACGAGTCATAAACCATAAAAATAACTGATAATTGATGCAGTCGTTGAAATTCACGGATAACTTTTGGTCCTCCCCGCTCTTTTTTTGTTATCTTCTTCTCACTGACGGAAACCTTGTAATGAAATTTTGTGGCGACCGGTTCTAGTGTACCCGAACTGTGTACTTGAGATGTGGTTTCTCCGTGATTTCCAAAAATTGACCGAAAAGTCGTGACGTCACGCGTTCGTCGTCTTGGTCAAAGAGAGAGAAAAAAAATGTTTTTATCATTTTATCGCTTTCCGTCGTTCTTCTCCACTGTTTCTTGTCGATTTCTTTCTGATCATTAGGAGAATTGGACGTTTTTGCGAAATATGTTGTTCGAATATTGTAATAGAATGTTTAGAAAAGCGAGGTTAAAAAAATGATGTGATTTTGTTTTGCTAGAAATATTATTTTATCGCTCATCTTCACTTCTTTGTCTGTTTATTGGCACGTTTTTCTCAGTTCCAGAAAAATATGTAGTTTGAACGCTTCAATAGGAAGTTTTCAAGGCAATAAATGACCATAAATGTAGTTTGAGCCGATTTTTACTCGCAAAATTTGGTCCGCATCGTTAATTTTCAAGATTTCATGAATATAATTATTCGATGTTGACACGGCTCCTATTTTTGGTTGGTTTTTCTAGCGTTTGGTTTTTTTGAGCTTTTAGCATTGCAATTTTTCTCTCATCGTTGCTCACCAAAAGGTTTTTTGGGTAAATATGGATATTTTTTTGGGTTTCTACATTTTGCATTTTTTCGAGATTTTTTTATACCTCCCTACTATTTTTCAAAAAAATTGGCTTCCGCCAGTTTTTTTCTGTTGCGGAGTTCTACGTAGAAAGTAGGATTTTTACAACGAGCAGTTCAGTTTTTTAAATTTCAGTTTGATAAAATTCTGAATTTTGTTTCTAAAGTTCTTAATAGGCACATTAAAAGACCCTTACGCTGATTTCGACTTTCTATTTTGGATGTTTTCTTCTAGAATTAGAATTTAGGAACATTGAAATAGTTTTTTTGGGAGTATAAGTTTAAAAAAACTAAAAAAAGAAAAGAAAATCCCAAAGATCTTCTGAACCTTCTCCGTCCAAAAAATGCATGTAGACAAAGAAAGAAACTCGTAAAATTGAGAGACGGCACCAAAAAAGGGAAAAAGTAAGATTCTCCCGTTCAAAAACCACAAACAGAGAACGGGAGGAAGTTACCTTCTGTGTAAACCTTGACAAACAGCTTTTTGGCTTTTTTACTGGTGAACTTTGCTTTTTATTTATTCTTGTCTTTTTTAAATTATTTTTGATCGGAATCTGTTTTTCTTCAGTTTTTTAATTCTAGTTTTTTCCACGTTTTTCAATCTTCTAGTGGATCTTTGTAAGCTGTGGGCGAAGATGGAGTAAAAAGGGTATATTTTCAAAGTTTTCAACTTGTTTTTCGAATATTTCAGGTCAAGTGTGAAATATTTCTTTTTCAAATTTCATTTAAGTCTTCGAAATCGTTGTTGAAGACCTAGGGCCCATTTTTCGTAATTTTTTTCTAGGTAAATTTTTTTAGTGGCCACTGTAGAGGCTCGCCAAGGACTACTTGGAGATGACACTAAAGTGGCCACTAAAACCACCTCTATAGTGGTCACGATTTTCCGTTTTAGTGGCCACTAAAAATTTTTCCAGTTACGCCCTGTTTTGAAGGCCATTTGATTTCTTATTTCAAAAGTTTGGAACTGAGCATAATTACTTGATTTTTACAATATCAACAAACCGGAATCTCGAAATAAGTTGTATATTTATTTATTTTCTCCTTTCCGTTCATTTTGCCTTATATTTGTGGCTCTCAAAATATTGCTTTCAACTCCAAAAATTGAAAAAAAAAAATCCAGTTTTGAACTCCTTTTCTGATATCACCCTCCCAATTTTTCGAATTCCTCAACACTACATAACTTGTACTTCCTACTGTAATTCAGATATGACTCGTGTTTTTTTTTTTGTCAAAGTTGAACCTTCGAGGCGAAATAACCGAGAAAAATATCGTTAAAAATATGGCCTCATAAATATTTCTCAACTCGAAAGGTCTCAGTTTCTCTCACGCGTTTCCCTTTTCGACGTCATTTCTGAAGAGGTTTAGGTTGAATTTTTGAAGTCCGGTAGCTTTTTTTTCGTTTTCAGGACTAAAAAAATGAATCAATAAGTACTCATAAACAAGATGTGACGAAGTTGTCGTAAATAATCGGTTTTCGAGAAAATTATGAGTTTTCGGAAATTCGGAAAGTACTTTTGAATTGTAGGTTTCAGAACTTATCGTTGAGTATGTAACAATTTTCAACTAGAAGTCAGAGTTTCTTTTTTCAGTCCACTTTTCAGAAAGCGAAAACTTGGAAAGACTATTTTTTTTGGCTTTGGGTACTATTCTGGAAACAATTTTAGTGGCCACTTCAGTAGTTTTTCATCCAGTATTTCTTCCAGTAACACTGATAATTTTAAAACAAACAGATTGGACCAGTTATGATGGTCCATTCGCCCTTAAAGTGGCCACTTAAATTCAGTAGTAGCACTGAGACCTCTATAGTGGCCACTAACTTTCAACCCCTCAAGTGGCCACTAGTTTGACTACTATAGTGGCCACGACAAACGTCAAAACCTATAGAGGCTACTCGAAACTTTCGCAGTTTGAAATTTTATTCTGACAGAAATGTAGATTAACTACCCATAAATTAATTTCGAAATTTTTTCATCACACTCAGGAATTTTACAGTGATCCTACATAGGCCGAAAAAGTGGTCCTTAGAAGGGTAAAATCAAGGTGTTCCCTATAGGGCTTTGAGGACTGATCCCTCAGCCTCTAAAGCTTAAGTGGTCCCTATAGGGGTCATTCAAAAACGCTTAGTTTTTCTCATGGAAATGCTTCTTCGCGCTACTAACTGAAAGCCCTATAGGGACCACTTTTTCAAACGTTAGGGATCACTATAGGAGTCTATCCAAGGCCCCTAAGGTTGCTCCTATAGAGACCACTCTGGAGTCCTTAAGCATTTCACTGTTTTTCCTGTTTTTAAAAAAAAGAGCTTATGAAGAAAAGATCTTTTTGGTTGTTTGGATATCCTGAGTGTTCTCTCACCTTTTTTTGACCCAAAGTTTTCTCACGGAGATTTTTTTTAATGTTCAGTGAACCTTGTGAGGAATGAGTCCTACTTTATTTTCTTTTTCTTCTTCACAGCTTGGAGTTCAAAGCTTTATTTTCAGTTTATGGTTTTTTAAAGAATCTGTGAATAGACTTTAAAAAGGTTAAGAAAAGTTCCGTAAGCTCTCTTTTCAATTTCTGTCCCAATAGTCAACTCTCCTTGATTCAACAAAGTTTTAAGAAGTAGTAAAATTATGTACTTCTGAAAAAATCAATTAACACGTAATCGCACCTTCCTAACCTTTCATTAGAAGAAGAACGAAAATAACTTTTTTTAACTTCTGAAAAGGTGCAAAACCTTATTCTTGCCACCTTTTCAAGAGAAAGAGTTTTTCTCAGCTTTCTTTTGAGATTTTTTGGTTTTCCCCAATAAGACCTTTGCTCTGAAAAGTCATAAAAAGTCGCTAGAAAGGTCTCGAAAAGACCTTTTTTCAGAAAGCGTGAGAAAATTAAGTTTATCCCTAGTTTCTATAGAAAGCAATGCCTATTTACTTCTTTTTTTTTCAGAACATGTCGAAACGGCAACACAATGACGTCATCGAAGGAGTTCCGGCACCAAAAAAGACTACGACCACCGAGAAGAAGGAGGACGAACCTGGTACGCCTTGAAAAAATCTTTTTCCGGGTTTTCTACACTTTACATGCAAGTGAAGGTGTTGAAAAAGAAAAATTTGGAAATTTGGAAATTTGAAAAAATAAGTGAGGACAGGCTTTATCTGTAAAAAAGAATTACAGCTCAGAAATTTATGGTGAAATGGTAGATTGAGGGGGAATCAAAAAAATTGGCAAACATTAACGGCTGAAAAAAAAGACTCAGATGGACTTTGAATACATTTCCTTTGAACTTTTATTGTTCAAACCGTTGAAGGACTTTTTTGTAAAGTGAAGGTTCCAAAATTTTGAGGAGGCCGTGTATTTTCTTCACTCGAATCTGAATAAAATAACCAATAAATATTGATTGATTGAAGTCGGGTTTTTTTCACAAATACTGCTTATGTGACAGTTTTTCATGGACTTCAATTGATTTTTGGAAACTTTTAGTTTTTCACGAGCTCTATCCGTTCAATTATTATACCTTTTGTCGCAAGGACGTTTACTACGGAAAGTCATAAAAGTTCGTTTGGTCTTTTTTTTTTCTTGCATCTAAAGGGCTATATTCAGATAATTTGTAAGGCTTGTTTTATTGATTCAATAGGAAGTATGTTAATTTTTCAAAGTTTCCAGGAGCTTTGAAATTTTAAATACCTTATGTTTGGACTTTTTAAATGGATTTTTTTAGAGATTTGTCGATTTTTTTCAGATATAATGGAGTTTTTTTAATGGAAACATTGAATGTTTTAAAGAGCCTAACGACTTCATTTTTCGACCAAATTTTTTTTCATCATGTTTGGGCTTTTTTTGAACTGCTGTTTGCGATTTCAAGGCTTGGAAGGTTGAATTAAGCTTCATAATGTTGTCATTCTTAAGGATTTTTCGTTATGATCGTTTTTAGCATTTCAGTGAAATATTTCCATATTTTCATTTCTGACAAGGGAGGTCATTTTACTTTGCGGTTGGGATTTTCCTGAAAATTGGCTGAAACACTCCTTGATGTACCAGAAGACGATTCTGGAAGCCTCAACCTGCACAACTTTCCACTTTTCCAGAAAAGATGCTGAAAGTTTGAAGAAAACGCTTGAAGTCTATTAAAATAAGCTATTTTGGAACTTTAGGCCTTTATTTCTGGAGAACTGGGAAGTTTTTCAAGTTGAGGCTTCCAGAATCTTCTTCTGGTACATCAAGGGGTGTCCTGGTAATTTTCAAGAAGTTTCCAAAGTAAAATGACCTTCCCTGTGAGCTTGAAACTTTTCAATTCATCCAAGAAAAAATATATTTTATGGAGTTCGGCTTTGTTGATTGATTTCATGAGAACTATAGTTTCAAGGTCTTCAAAACCACTCAGATCGGGAAACCCAAAAAACTGTCTGGATCCCTCTGCTTTTTCAATTTTCTGTTCTCTGGATTTGACGTTCTTCGAAAATCACCAAAACACGGGAGATAACACTCTATCACGAATGTTTATTCTGCCAATGATAACATTGGGTCAGCTTTTACACATTTATTTATGTTTACAACGGCGCGAATTTGCGGTTAACACAATATTTGTGTGTCCGAACAAGTGTTTCTTTTTTTTTTATTTTTTCGATGTTTTTGTTCATTTATCCGGCAAAGATCCCCGTTTCTAAAGGCTCCACTCTATTTTTACACTTTGTCTAGAGGTCCGCAAGAAACACGGCGAATCAATCTTCATTCCGGAACTTTTCCTTCTCATTTTAAACATCCCAGAGAAAAATAAAGTGGCAGGTGTCCTTGGCTATCGTGGATATTTTACTAAAAATGAATCACTTTTAAACTTTTGAAGGAAAAAAAGGCTAGAAAAAGTGTTATTTTTAGGTAACTTCGATAATGAATCATTCAACTGTTTTAGGGAAATTTTTTCGAGGTGAGGAGTTATTTTGGGGTGAAAATTCTGGCTGGTTTCCAGTAACTGTGTAAGTAAAAAAAAAATGGAATATATTGAGTAGTATATAGAAGGTTGCTGTTAGACGGTCATTTTGCCCAAATTCGACTTTTTCAGATTTTCAGCCGTTAAAAAAAATTTTTGAAATGAAAATTTGTCAAAGCTCATCGAAAGTCAGTCACTTTGAAAAAAAGGACTGGACGTAGCTCTGACCTTCTTGCCCACTTTTAATTTTTGCCCAAGGTTAGTGAAATTTTGAATATTTTAGTTTTTATTAAAAGACTACTCCTAATCTTCGAAAAAGACCTGGAAGTGCTACACAACATTGATCTCTTAAACTTTGTAAAAAATTAAAAATCAGCGACTGGTGTTTTTATGAGAGATATTTATACACTCTTCACAATTCAGAAATAACAGTCAGAAAAAAAAATTATCTATGCCCATTTTATCTTCATTCACAGTAATCAGTAAAGGAAGATGATCAAAGAAAAAATGGCGAAAATAAGCGAGACATCGTCCTTGGAGCCTTTATTTGGCTCGACGATGTCGATACACGGTGTCGAAGGATCGCCACAGACTTCGCAGTATTTCGGGCAAATCACCGTCCTGTCGATTATGTACGGCATCCTCTCCTGTTGGAAACAGAGAAAAGTAACTTTCTCTCACGAAAGGCAGAAATTTTTCAAAGATGAACTGACTAGTCAGACATCATGTGGGAAATCGTTCAAGGTCTTCTGTGGCCATTCAGTGATCACTGAAGTGGCTTTTAAGCCTATCCAGTGATCACTTAAAGAAGCTAGGAAAATTGTCATGTTCTGGCGAGGTTCTGAACCATTCAGTGGTTGCTGAAGTGTTATTACCATTAGAGCCTACTTACCAGGGAATGGTCTCCGGTCGCAGGGGGAGCTCTCAATGAGATCAAGTTTTCTAGATGTAGTTTTTTACGCTGATCTCAAATCTGGTTTCAAAAACTGCCAAGGAGCTCTGTGAAAAAAGTTATGGACCCTCAAAAGTCGAAAAAGGAGCTCTTAAACGGAAGTATAGGAAAAAGAAAAACTGCAAAAAAAGTTTTGCATACGGTGGGGACCGAACTTATGACCTCGCTAGTACCGTTCCGCCGCCTTACCACTGCTACTCTCTGCCGTTGCTTCGACAGCCGTCGGATCGCAATAGGACACGCAAAACTTTTTTTGCAGTTTTTTCTTTTTTCTATACTTCCGTTTAAGAGCTCCTTTTTCGACTTTTGAGGGTCTATAACTTTTTTCACAGAACCCCTCGGCAGTTTTTGAATACAGATTTGAGATCAGCGTAAAAAACTACATCTAGAAAACTTGGTCTCATTGAGAGCTCCCCCTGCGACCAGAGACCATTCCCTGGCTAGCAAAGATTCAATGTTTACGAAAAAGCTTCATAACTGAATGGAAGTTTGTAGAGATTCCCTTTGAGGTCGGATTTTTTATATAGAGGAAAGAAACTCACCAATTAGAGGAAAGAAACTCACCAATTTTTTTCTGAGTCCTTTCAATGAGTGCACAGCAACCGTGTGATAGTGATGATACCTGCCGTATTTCTGAAATTTCTCCTATTCGGAAAAAAGAGATTCGACCCAAAACCTCATGAAGTTTAATTGTTTCGCCCGGGCGATCGCATGTGTACGTTTTCCCTCTTGAAACGAAGGAAACTTTGCCGTCGTTGCACTTGATCTGAAACATCTTGGAGATGACCAAAAATAAAAAAGCTTTTTCGAGTGCCTGGTAACACTGTGGCGCCATTATTCCTGGTGCATCAAACCAGCGTTTCCGAATATCCTGAACGCGTACTTTGAACTTCTCATGTTCCAGGCAACGCCAGCTCTAGAAAATGAACAGTTGAGAAATTGTTACCCTAAAAAAAAATTTTAAAAAGCAAACCTCGCCATTATTCACGTTTTTCCCGCACACAGTGAACTTAAAAATTGCTTTTATTCATTAAAAAAATCGTCAAGTTTAGTCATACATATGGTGTGTGACATCTGTCGTTTTCATAACGGATTCTCGACGGACCGTAGTGAGATTTTCGGCCCTCATGACATTTGTCGAAAAAATCCCTGTAGCCGGATTATTATGAAATTCATCAGAGGTCGGTAAAATTCACATTTGAGGAAATAAACGACACAGGGGCATAGAAAAAAGACACATTTTGAGATTTTGCTGCTACTTTCAGAAAATGATTTTCAAAGAACCCTCATCGGAGAGTAGAAGATGAATTTTTCGATCCATTCTGAAAGGGAGGGGGTCATTCTGAAATGGGAGAGGGGCTTGTTCGAATGAGCTGTGGGGGGACTATTTCAAAGCCGTGCGGGGGGCAAATATGAAAGTATTGCCAAGGCGTTTCAGAATCGGCCCCCGTTTTATACTGCGGGGGGCCATTCTAGAATACAGATTAACCCCCCGCGTTTGATTTTACATAAAGTCCTCTGATTTGAACCCCCCCCCCCCCACATCGGAACTTGGCTTGGTGGGGGGCTGGTTAGAATGCGGGGGGCGATTCTGGAATTTTCCCACTGTTTGCTCCAAGGAACATCTCAGAAAAGGCTCTAAAATTCTCAAGCTGTGGCTTTTTTTCTTTTCATCCAAGTTGACAAAACTCGTAACTCTTAGTAATGCACGAAAAAATTATAAAAAAAAAAAATTCACAATTGGCCGGAATAGTCGCCCAGTTTACAATTCTTCGCGCGTGGACAAGATTTTTCTTCGTACAGCAGGGGAAGCGGATCGGCTATTCTGAAAATGATGATTTTGAAGTTTTTGAAGCATTCCAAGGGTGGCCATTTTTCTCGTTAAAAAAAAACTGACGAATAGTCGACCTTGTACCATCCCGAATCTTCCATCAAAGCCAAAGCAATCGAGGTGCCAAACTGTTTCTCTATGCGTTCCACCTGTGATTTGACTGAGAACGGTCTTTTTCCCTATTAAAGTGCAAACCTGCAAGAAATCAGTTGCGAAATTATCTGAAGACTTGTCCAACTCGACGAATTTCAAGTCGGGACACTTGAAGTAGTGACGGACCTGGGCGAGACTTTTCGGGAACGAAATTCCATAAAATGCATCGTCTAGCATGTCTTTGATTTTTGCCTCGGGATAAACCGTGTAACGAGTTGAGTTTACATGATGTTTTCTGAATAGAACTGCGATTATTGGAGAAAATTGTATACTTCCATCGCCAACGACTTGAAACTGTCTGACTTCATAGGCAAAGTCGGAAAGGGTGGAAAAAGGCTTCATAGAAATGTCCCTTTTAGGATGACAAAGGTTCCTTTTTTGCTGCCTTTCAGCGGCCATTTTTCTGTCTTTTTGCTGCCGTTTTGCGGCCTTTTCTGAGCCTCCCCCTTTTTGCGGCCATTATCCACCCTCCGACTTCGCCCGAGTTGTCTGGTCATCGAAGATTTTTTTCGAACTAACGTCGAGTCAAAAAAAGGTGAGACAGTGGAATCACGAGTATTTGAGAAGTAATAATCAATAGAATAAATGTATAAATCACCATCATGCAGAGAAAAGTCAAAAAAAAAGCTACAAAAAGCAGAAAATCGCCACGGTTCATTCAAACGGGTGCTAGCCTTATTAGAAATAAATTTTCTGATTTCTAACTTCCATCTGCGGTTTGATCATAACAAACTTTTAGCGATAAAAAATTCTCATTTTAAAGTTTTTTCCGCGAATCTATTCCCCACGACATGACTTTACAAGTGATCAGAGAGAGGAGAGCGCAGACACGCTAGACAGTTTCTTGAAGTCGCGCGGCGATTGGAGCATAGTCTCGAACTGACGCGTAATCCGGATATGTGACGAAATGGTGCGGTCCAAAATATAAGAACTGTGCCAGTAAGTGTCGCATATACTCAAATAGTTCGTCATCATTCTCAAATTCCAAAATTCTGTCCCACCGACTTTTCAAAGTCCCCCATCTAACTACTGTGGGGGACAAAAAGACAAACCGGATGATTTTCCAAAACGAATTGAACTTCACCTATACCCTCCAGGATTAGTGCCGAAGTGGGTCTGAAACACGATAAAATGCTCTTTTTCTCCAAACTCCTCAACCTATCCGTGTGTTCGTCCGCGGTGCACCAATCTATCGAAGGATTCACAACGTTGAATGCTACCATCAAAATGAAATCGGCCTGAGGATGTGTCGATAGTTATGTGGAACAAGTTGTAAAGGCATAAATTTTGGTGCTACGACAAAAGCGAGTTTTCCATTTGCGGGGAGTACTGTATGCGGAAATGCGCATTGCGTGCATACACTTTCGTTGCATGACGTCACCGGGTAGGACATCTCCGGGTTTTTTGTTTCCGAGTTCTTTTTTTCGGTGGTATGAAAAAAAGACCAGCGAAAATTCAAACGGCGACTTTTCCGTTTTTTTCGTATCGCTAGGGAACTTTCCGACGGCCACCTTTCCGACGAAACTTTTCCGACTTTTTTCCCTTATAGTTTTCAATTTTTAAAACATCTATAAACTTTTTTCCCATTTTTTTGTGTTTTAATCATGAACCAACCACCTACTTTATATAGGAAGATTTAAAACGAAGAGTTCATCGAGAAAAAACGTCGGAAAAAGATTCGTCGGAAAGGTGGCCGTCGGAAAGTTCCCTAGCGATATGAAAAAATTGGAAAAGTTGCCGTTTGAATTTTTGCTGGTGTTTTTTTCATACCACCTTTTTTTCGAATATTTTTCAACTTTTTTTTTGCTTTTTTCAAGGTTTGCATTTTTCTCGTTGATATTTGCACGATAAAAACAGCATCAAGAAAAAAAAAATTGAAAAAAATTCGAAAAAAAACCCGGAAACAAAAAACCCGGAGATGTCCTACCCGGTGACGTCCCGCAAGGAAAGTGTAAACACGCAAAGTGTATGCACTCAATGCGCATTTCCGCATACAGTACTCCCCGCAAATGGAAAACTCGCTCTCTTGTCGTAGCACCTAAATATTACAAAAATATTGACACCCGCAAATTACCGCCTTTTTTTCCATTAACAAGGGAGATCATTCCACTTTCGAGTTGGGGATTACTGTGAATCGACCAGATTACTGCGAATCGACCAGATTACTGTTATTTTGAGAGATCCTGAAAGTCTCAACCTGCACAACTTTCTAATTTTCGAGAATTGCTGAAATTCCTTCATTTCTTGAAAATTAAAAAGTTGTGCAGGTTTCAGGTTCTTCTTTCTGATCAATTTTCAAGAAATTCCCAACCGCAAATTAAAATGACCTTCCTTGTAAGTGAATATAGCAAAGTAGTTGAAACATAAAAATAAATAAAAAGTAACTAGACAAATCACCTGAATTGGCTTCTCCACACAATCCGCTTCTTTGTTGCACTGAAAAAAAGAACTTTTTGCGAAAAAAACGGAATATTTGAAGAAAACCTTGAAAAATAATGTGTCGTTTGGAAATAAAAACTTCTGATTGCAAATCGACTTTGTTGCGTTTCTAAAATAACAGAAAATTGCGGAAAAAAATATCACTTTGATGTTGTTTTTGGGGTGAATTTTAGACTGCTTTATAACTTCCAAGGTTAGAAAAAAACTTTGTATTGCTCAGTAGCTTTTAAACTATCTCCGATTTTTAAAGATTTTGAAAAAGATTAGCGAGAACGTCCTGTTCAAAGTAGTTTCCGCGAAACTCGAAATAATCTCTGACTCTCCAAAATTCAGTTGTCTTTCTCACTCTCTGATCGCTATTTCGAATTTTGCGATCAAATTCGAGGTTCTGCTTGGAAACTCCAGAGTGGTCTCTACAGGGGCATCCTTAGGGCCCTAGGAGGGTCCCCTGAAGGGATCACTTTACCGGGCCACTAAAGCTTGAAAAAGTGGTCCCTATAGGGAGCATGCTAGTCGATTGTTGTTATGAACTCTAAGCGGAGAAGCATTTCTATGCGACAAACTAAAAAAAAACCTTTTTTGAATAAAATTGAAATAGAGACCACTTAACCTTTAGTGGCTAAGGGGTCAGACCTTCAACCCCTATAGGGATCACCCTGATTTCACCCCCATAAGGACGACTTTTTGGCCCTATAGAGTCTGTTTTCCCCCTAAACCCTATAAGGACCACTCTAAAATTCCTAGGTAAAAACATAATTGTGAAAAACTGTCCGAAAAACATACAACAATGGCAAGAGTAGGCCAGTCCGTTCTCGTAGAACTTTGACTCCCCCTTCGTACCATTTTACAGCTAAATCAACCTTTTTTCCCACTAAATTGAAAGAAAAATGACCTCTTTCCAAGGCAGTTTTATAGCGTCGCGTTTTATTTTCTGAAAATCTGAAAAATGATTCTTGAAAACGTAATTTGAGAAGAAAAAACTTGTCAACAGACGGATGATAATGAATGTGGAATCGAATAGGCTTCCAACGGAATCCGGCCAAATTTCGTCCTCTCAAGGCTTCTTTAGTAGGGGTGTCCATGCGATCTTCGAACTGAAAATATATCCAAATTAATTGAGGTTTATTTGCATTTTCTGAAGCTTCCAGCATCTCGGACATTGGTAACGCGAAACTGACGTTTCTGGGCGATTTTAGGGATCGCTTAAGAGAGCTGACGCTACTAAAGTGGTCACTAGAAATGTCTAGAAACTTCCGTTTCATGTTACCAATGTCCGAGATTACCGGAACAAGAACTCAAAAATAAACCAACCTTTCCATTTGATATACAGACCCATAAAATAAAGAGCAACTGGAGTTTGAGAAGCATTTGTCGGTAAATAATCAATTTCTATCCACGTGAGGCGTTGCATTATTTTTTCTTCCTACACTTTTTGAAAAAAGTTTATTCGATAAAAGCTTCATTGAAACAGTGAAGATGAAAAGTTGAAAGTTGACAAATAATTCATTTTCCCCCTTTTTTTTGATAAAGCTCTGAGAATTAAGCGAATTTATAGTGCAATCTAACACCAGAATGGCTATGACAGTAAAAAAAAATTTGCACCCGACCTTGAATCAGTTTTCGCCAGGTGTCTTCTGAGATCGTTTAAGTGAAGAATTTCGAAAACCGTGGGTTTCAGAAGTTTATAGTCCGCCCGCTTGACAGTTGCAAGTGTCTGCGTCTCTCTGTTCCCTCACCGGCGAGATCAGAGAAACGCAAAAATAGCGCATCAACAAGAGAGGGCCGTCGAGAGACGAGGAGGGCGCAGAGAAGCCCCGCTCTTTCAAGTCGCGAAAAACGTACTATATTGTTCTCGACCAACGCGTTAGGTCATATAGTCTGTTTTTCGCGACTTGAAAGGGCGGGACTTCTCTGCGCCCTCCTCGTCTCTCGACGACCCTCTCTTGTTGACGCGCTATTTTCGTGTTTCTGCGACCTCGCCGGTGAGGGAACAGAGAGACGCAGACACGTGAAAACTGTCGGACTATACCAACTGAAACAAGAAATGGAGAAATAAAGTTCTAAATATTTATTATAATCGAACAAAATTAAAACAAAGGATAGTAAAAATTGGAAGCAAAATCGAGGTTTTTGAGGAATCTTCATTGGATTTCGTTTCGGGCGAACATCTCATTGAATCTCTTTCTGCGCAGACTTCGCAGTAGGCCGGGCAAACCACATTTCTTTCGATCGTATAGGGGTATCCTTCCTGGAACTTTAGGCTAGAAGAGAATAATTCTGATTTTTGAGAGGAAATGAAAATTTCTGGCTGAGAAGAGCCATACACGGGCAAGGTCCAAACGTGGTAGATCAGAGAAAAAGGCTGATTTAGAGAAATTTTCTAGAACGAAGGGGAATTTCGGTCTGCCCATGTATAAAAAATCATGAATTTCGGTCTGCCCATGTATGAAAATAGCCCTTTCAAGCACAGAAATATATGGTTGATTTAACGCTCTGTACATTTTGACTAGTTCATGTCCTCAACTGATTTAAAAACCAACGTATTCTTTGGCGAATGAAGTCATCTTGTGAGCGCGGAGTGTGTGGTAGATGGTAGTTTTGTAGGTCTGAGATGTTTTTTAAAGTCCATTTAAATTTTTAGGCAAAAGTTGTGAGAAGAAGCCTCAAAAAGTCATCTGTTCCGGGCTTGGATCAGTGACAGTTCAAATACTCCGACAGTCCCGATAGCAATACTATAGTCTGTGTGCCACGACTTGAAATTTCACCGAACGACATTTCGCTGTTCCGCTGCGGGCGTTCGCGAAGCGTCTTTCGAATCTTGGTCACGCTTCCAATTGATTGTTATTGCTGTGGGATCACATGAAAGTAGAGTAACTTGATAGAAGAAAAAATGAATTAAAGCTCGACCAAGGTTCGCAAAGGCGCGCAGCGGTGTCGTTTGGTGAAATTCCAAGTTGTGGTACACAGACCTCGAAAAATTTGGTATAGGTGACTCTGAATTTTCGAATAAACCACTGCCAGGTGTTTTAGGACTGTCTTCAGTATTGCTCTTGGAACTACCAGAGTTTCCAGGACTGGCACTCTTCCAATTTGAGAATTTCCCAAATCACCTCCGTAAGCGTGACCAACTGTCCGCTGGTATAGCACTCGTAAATCTTCTTTTCGGAGACAAACGCCAGCCTGCCGTTGTTGCACTTGATCTGAAACAAGTTGTCGATGATGATTTTTTAAGAAAAAGAACTTCGTAACATTGAGCGGCGGAAACTTTCTCGGGAAATGAGAAGTCTCCAAACGCCCCAAGGAACTTGATGTCATACGGACCTTCGTGCTCCAGACATCGCCAATTCTTTAATAGTTTACATTTTTTTTTTCTCATTTAAGTAGCCTCGAAATGACTCAAAACACATGAGCTCAGTTGAAAAAACTCCTATTTTGATGTTATAAAAGCTCTTAGAGGCAGAATAAAAGCGGTTTTCCAAACCATACATGGACTAACCAACTACTTTTTGTGACGTCATCACGTACTTTCAAGTTGAGACGCTTTAAAAGCTTGAAATAGCGCCTTTTCTTTGTTATAGTTTCCGTATTTTGCGGGCTTTCAAGCTTCATAACTCGAAAAGAGATCTATCACGAGAATTTTTTTGCTTCTTCTGCAATCAGGAGATCTTAAAGTACAGCGAAGTTTTATCGAAAGGTCAACCGGGGGTTAAAAACGTCCCCTGATCAGTTGAAAATTAATCAAAGAAAAAACCTGGCTCTGAAAAATTTTCCCACACGTTGTGACCTGAAAGCTTCCAAACTTCCTCATTTAAACAAAAATATTTGCTGACCTTTGGAATTTTGCATCGATTGTATCCTTTGAATGATTTAGAAAAAGGACCGTAGTGTGATTTTCGGCCAGGATGGCATTTCGTGAAATAATCCCTGAGCGTTTTTTCTTCACATGTTGAACACAGAAAAAAAACTACATTTGTCCATGGTATTCGCTGAATTTGCACGACTTTGCATAGAGACATGGATGCTTCTCCTCAATGAGTTGGGGAACTGGCTCGGCAACTCTGAAAGTTGGAGAAATTTTTATTGGTTCAGTTGAAAGGTCACATAAGCATGGCTAGCTTATTAACTTTTTGAAGTCTCGGAGCGGTTTCAGGCGAAGAATCAAATTCAAATATGACCGTAGAAAAAAAAGTGGAGAAGATGCTGGGAAAATTCCAATATTGCAACCCCCTCCCCCCTTCTAAAAGTCTAATCAAAAAGGCTTCAAATCGGGGTCGTTTAGACGGGGCTGTGGAGGGCTATCTCCTACACCATTGAAGGCCATTCTGGAATCATCTCTATATGACTACTTGAACAGAATATTGAAAATTGGAAGGAAAACGAACGAATAGTCCACTTTGTACCAGCCAGAATCTTCCATAAGAGCCAAAGAAATATTTGTGAAATAACTGCTGTCGCTGCCAGCATGCGTTTCCAAGTATTCAAACTGTAAACTGTTTTCTTTCCACTTGTTAATTCAAAAAAAGCCAAACCGGCAAAAAGTCGGATTCGAAATGTGAGCCTGGCGTCTCCAAAGAGTTTTCGAGCTCAACATACTTGAGGCTGGGGCATTTGAACCTGCGCCGAGCCTCGGCCAATGATTTTGGGAAAGAGACTCCAATGAAAGCCTCGTCCTTTTCTTCGACCAACTTAGTTTCCGGATAGACGGTGAAGCGAGTTGACTCGATGTAGTTTTCCCTTGAAATTGAGGGTTAATCGGTTTTTTCACAGAACTTGATTTAAATGTCAAGGTTTGGGGCTATGAAAATGTTTTGAAGCCGTTTCAGGTTTTTTTTTAGTTGAACTCACTTATAATTTGAATATCCTTTCAACAAAGTACTCGATAGGAACAATCCGAGGGCCATTGCGGCTCTCAAAGTGTCGATTAAATTCTCAGTGCCCTGTAAAATGTATATAAGAGAAACTATAGCTTCTTACAAAGGTATTCCAAAAGGTTTGATGGGTCCTTTTGAACGCTCGGATTACAAATTAGTCGAAAAACCAGTTTGCTTTGCTTTTCGGTAGAGTCATGACGTCTTAAAGACGCGATACTTTTTTTTTCTCTACGGAGCTTTTACGAGCTGCAGCATCATTACTCTTCTAAAAGACAAGCTTAGGAATTTCAGAGTGCTCCCTATAGGGATTAAGGAAGAAAACAACTCCTATAGGGGCCGAAAAAATGGTCCTTATAAGGGTAAAATTAAGGTGGCCTTAGAGGGCTTTAGGTTCCGACCCCTTAGCCCTATAGGGATCTCTCAATTTCATTCAATAAACACTTGTTTATTAAGTTTTTCCAATGAAAATACTTCTTCGCTAAGAGTTCATTAAAGATATCGACTAGCATGTCCCCTATAGGGATCGCTTTTGCAAGCTTTAGTGGTCCCTATAGGGGTTAGTTAAGTAGTCACCCCTCTGAGGGCCCCTAAGTTTGCCCCTATAGGGGCCACTCTGAAGTTCCTAGGAGAGGCGCAATTTTTCAGAATAATTTCTAGGCGACGTTTCAGTGAACCGGAAAATCTGGACAACCAACCCCATTAGTTTTAAGTTTGAGTGCTTCTTTCAAATAACTCCTTATCACTTGAATATGGCCTGCCGTCGGTCTGAAAAATCTCTCTTTTTATTGGACTAGAAATAATTTCATACCTTTTACTATTGATATCATAATTGCATGGTTTTGTTCTTACGGTCGTGTCACTTTCCTCATTCTTGATGCTTACCATCCAGACATAATCGGCCTAGAAAGTATAGATCAACGTTAATTTGAAGAGACGCCAGGAATAGGAGAGCGCTCTCTTTCTCTTTCTCTGTGCTCTCTAATTTTCGCCTACTATCAAAAAAAAAATCAGAGTTGAGAAATCTCATTGTCTTCGTTTCAACGAAGCTTTGATCGCATTTTGAACATATCACGGAGATTTTTCGACGACGCCCCGCCCATATTTTTTTTTCCCCGTAAAGTGTAGTGTGTCGTGTGCATGCACGGCGGCGCTCTCGTACATGCCGCGTTGTAAATAATTTTTGCGAAAAAAAAGTCTCTCTGGCGGTTATTTTGAACTTCGCGGACTCGATCGAGTCATTCCACGTGGCTAGGAGCAATATGGTTTTCAAACTAAGTTTTTAAAGATCCCATAAAGAAATAAAACCTGAAAAAACTACTGAAAAACCTACATCTAGTGGCTTCTCCACACAGCCCTTCTCGTTGCCGCACTGAAAATAAGTAAAAAGAAAAATTTTGCAACTTTTCTGTATACTTTGAAAAAATTGACGTCCTTCGGAAAATGTATTTTCTCATCGCACACCGCTTTAACACTCTTATTGCCCCTGAAATTTCAAATTAGGCTTGAAAAGTTGCCAATTTTATCTTTTTTTTTGCTTTGGAATCACAGCATATCTTTCAAAAATTTTGAAACCTACAATAAAGGGAACAAAAGTCCATTCTCGTCCCTTTGAACCTTGACACCTCTATACCATCTCAGTCCCTCTTCGACGGCCTTTTTCAGAATTTCTATTTCGTCCCTTGAGCTTCTGAGAAAATTCGTTATGCTGGAATATCCGCATTCGAACAAACTTGAGAACAGTGCTATGATATTGGATATGGAATCGAATCGGTTCCCAGGGTACTTCGGATAAACTTTTTCGTCTTACTTTTCCTGTTGGCTGGAACATTCCAGGATCCTGAACTTTCGAAGTCGGTGGTCGCTTTTGGAAGTGGTATTCAATGAAGGCCTAAGATTAGTTACCTGTTCACTGGCTGTAACATGGTACACGAGAACTGGAAAGAATAAGAGCAGCTTTAATAGACGAAGCATTGCATTAGAAATGGCTTTTTTCCAAGTTCAGGATCTATAGTTTTCGTTAAATCGCAAACCGCTACTCCCTGACGTCATTTCATGACACCATTCGTAACACAAGAAATAAGCGTAATCGAAATATTTATTTTATTCACGTGAACATGATTCAGCAGATTATTATTATCTCATTTCATCACGTCGACTGGTCGGTCTCTTTGCCGCTCTCTCATGGGATAATATTCCGACGCCCGTCAGCCCTGGACAAGCTGGGCGCTGTACTGTTCCAACATGGTGAAGCAGTTTATTCGCTGGTACTACCAACGGGCCAACATTATTTCCCAACGCTAGCTGTCACTCCGGGACGTATTGGACAACGATTGTGGACTGTCACCCGCGCCGACGACTAACTCTTCGATTATACCATGATTCAGCAGAGATTTTCTTCATCTTACTCTGAAGACTGAATAAATTGATATGAATTGAAATTGAGATTGAAAAAAATTGAAAGAAATGGGAGGAGCCTGAATTGCGCCTTTGCATTAAAAACTGCGCCTACAGGTTCATGCATTACTTAAGAAAATAGGCTTAGTTTTTAAGGCTTCACACGGAGGCGGAGCGCGCATAGCGCGAAGCCGACTGTGGCTCGCTTCGAAAAAACTGAGCCACAGTAAAAAATTCGTCAAATAAATGAAATACTTGACATAAAAGGCATTTAGTTTCAAAAAGTGGACACTAATAACACTATCAGGTCGCTCTAAACGATTTGCAAACTTGATACGCGTAGCGAAAAAATCTGCGAAATGTATTTCCCAAAAAAAAAAAAAAATTAAAGGAGCACACTGTGCGTAGGCGTGGGCCTCGACGCCTCGGATTATTCCAAACCTTTAAAAAGGTTTCTAAAAAAAGTAAGAAAATAAAAAGAATAAAAAAAGTTTCGAATCAAAAAGGGGATTTTTCAAATGTGTTATCTTTCTGTTTCTCATGTGACCGGAAAAAGTTTTTCACGTCGAATCTAATTTTTATAAATTGGAACGTAAAAAATGAATAAAATGATATGGCTGCGTGCGCAAGTTTTGCAAATGAAGATGATGTCATAGGGATGACGTCAGGGAGTAGCGGTTTGCGATTTAACGGGAAGTAGAATCTATTACGTTTTTTTTTGCTCGATTTTCATTTATCAGAAACATCGAGTCAATCTCCATTCCATTCTTCTTTTCCTTCAGCGTTTGTCCCGACCGGTTACGGGGTCCGCATTTTGAAAATGTACTTCTTGGGGGATGGTGAGGTAGTTCGCATCCCGGGGTTGGATCCAGCCGACGTATGGCCCGCTCTTCCGAATTCATCACGCCATTTCGCCCTGTCTACCGCCTGGTCTGAATGAAGACCAGTGTAGCCATTCCCGACGCGACCAATTTCAACAAGCTTCCAACTTTTTATACGATAAATACACATTTATTTTGCGTAAAATCTAGAAAGCGAAAACAGTTGGGAAGAAAATGAAGGCAGATCAAGCGGCTGCAGAAGCCACTTTGGGAGGACAAGTTATTGAATCTTTTTCGTCGCACACCTCGCAATATTCAGGACAAATTACAGTCCTCTCGACCGAGTAGGGCAAATCGCCCTGAAAAAGGATAGAATTCGAAAGTACGGAACTCTCACATTTATCTTTGAGAACCGGGTGGCGTTGTGAGCGGCCAGCGTGTGGTAGTGATGACCGTCTTGGAAAGTCTGGAAATAATTCTGGAGCTTTATGAGTTCTCAGCAGGTCTTAGCTTTAAAAGAGAATTTGGGATTGTCAAGTTAACTTTCTGAGAATTTCAGAGTGGTCGCTCTAGAGTTTAGGAAAACAAATCTCCTAGCATGTCCCGTGTGGGGACCGCTTTTGCAAGCTTCCAAGGGCCCTCAAGGCTGTCCTTATAGGGACCACTCTGGACTTCTATTTAAAGACTTTTCCAGAAAAAATTTCACTTCACTAAGCTTGATTCGTTGCCCGGGATTGTCACAAAAGTAGTGTTTCCCTTCAGAAACAAAAGCCACTTTGCCCCCGTTGCACTTTATCTGGAACAAAATGTAGTTGATCAATTTTTCTACCTATTCTTGTAAACCATGTAACATTGTGGCGCAGTTACCGGTTCTTTCATGGTAGTAACCCCAGAGTCTCCAATCAACTGAATGTTGAAAAGGCCGTCGTGTTCCAAGCACCGGTAGTCCTTGAACTGTATTTATAGGGAAAAAGTAGCATAGATTTTTGATTTATAGTTTGATTTATAGAGGAATTCATATAAGTTTCGTTTATGAGGAAAAAAAAATTTTTTTTCTTCACCTCATTTCTCGGGTACTTTCGGCACGTTGTAATCTGAATTATTCAAATACCCATCAGAACTTCATTTCTTTTGACAAACCCAGGGCATTCTGCACCTGCTGTAAGTCACTTTTTTGTATCCCAATGGCCCGTAGTGAGATTTTCGGCCTGGATGACATTTTGTGAAGAAACTACTGAAAGAGTTCTTCTTTTTTTAATCTCCCAGAAACTCGAATTTACAAGCTGTCTCCCTTATATTCTGCAAAACGGCACGACTTGGCGACGAAACAAGGATTTTTGTCTTCGAATAATGGAGGATAGGGTTCGGCTTTTCTGAATGATCAAACAGACTGTCCGAGGCAACGAGAGACCAAGAGACTCCAGAGAATCAAAGATTCTCCGTGTCTCTGGCGTCTCTTCAGGCTGCTAATGATCTCTAGTGTAGAGCTTTTATAATACTTATCAAAAAGTTGAATTGAAACCCACGAATAGTCCACCTTGTACCATCCAGAATCTTCCATCAAAGCCAAGGAAATTTTCGTTAAAAAACGACTATCTTCGCCGGGAAACGGTTTCATGTATTCGTACTGTAAAAATTGAAATTTCAGCGGATTTTTTGTAGTCATTTTTTCCCGACCTGAAAGGCGGCCACGTGTGCGTTCGCGGTTCTTGGCACGAATTCGCTTTAACCGCCATTGATCGTTTGGAGGCTCCATTATTGCTCTTTTCATTTCTTTTTTGGTTATCTATTGGCTTTTTTTTCATTTCTGCATTCAAAATTAGTAGAATAGATAAAAAAAAGAGCGGTGACCGAGCTTCTCAAATCGTTGGTGACGCTTGAATTGAACTCGTGCCAAGAACCGCGAGCGCACACGCAACGCGTCCCGCCCACTTCTCTGCCTCCCTCGCCTTTCAAGTCGGGAAAAATTGACTACATTTTTGTAGAAGCCTTCTTTGCCGAAAACCAACCGGCAAAAAATCGGCTTCATAATGACCCGTGACGCGTTTTTTATCGTTTTCCAGCTCGATATATTTTAGGTCGGGACAGTGGTAGTAGTGCCGAGCCGCTTCGAGAGATTTTGGAAATGAAATTCCCAAAAATAGCTCGTTTTTCGTTTTATTCGTTTTTATCTCTGGGTAAACTTCGAAACGAGTCGATGTGATGTGATTTTTCCTGAAAATTCAAGCTTTTCTTTGAATGTCTTCGAAAATTTCAAGAAAATAGGTTTCAAAATTAGTTACTTGTAATCTGGATATAATGTGAAAAGTTCGGCCTTCATGTATAATCCGTGGCCCATTTCATGCCGAAGCGTGTCGTACATCGCTTCCATGCCCTAAAAGGTCTCAAAAAATATGGTTAATATAGATAATAGATATAATTTTGTAGAAATTCGCGTTTTCATAGGCGGACTTCTACACTTTTTGAGCCATGGTTCAGAAATTTTGTAGTGAAAACCTTATTGCTCTTAGAATGGCTTGACCAGACCAAAAAAAAAACCGTTCAGCCATTCCAAATGCGGCCATTATTTTAATCACAAACCCCGTGTACTTGTGTTTGTAGCCCATGACGCAAAGCAGCACGTCCAATAGTGATTTCTCCAGAGGTTGGCCTAAAAACCGATTTCTTCGTCACCTATACTAAATTGAAGAGAAACCTATTGGTATTGATATCATAGGTGCAAGGTCTACACTGGGCCCGAACTCTGTCTGGAAGATCTCGGACTTTGATGTGAAAGACGTAATCCGCCTGAAAGTTACAAAAAATTTTAAAAAAAATTTTCGAAGTGTTTTACTCGTTGGAGCGGTTCCTCATAGCAGCCTTTCTCACCATCGCACTGTAGTTTTTTGAATTTGTTCAAAAATATTTTGGTTTCACCTTGAAGTAATTTTTATCTTCTGTAAAGAATGTGCCATTGTCGCAAATCGCCTTTTGACCGTTGCTGAAATTGAATTTTATGATTTTGGAACATGGTAAAAATAACAAATAGGGGTTGAAACTTAGATCGTTTGGTTGGAGTAAATAATTCTCACTGTTTTCTTTTTCTTCGCTACCTTTTATGGGTCTGCCAAAATTCTTTGGTCTTGCTCTTGGGACTGCAAAAAATTTTAGTACTGAATTTGGTGCTGCTCAACTATTTATCACTCGCCTTAGGGATGCTCTTGGAGCTGTCAGAGAACTGACTAAGGAGCGTTTCTGAGAACTGACTAAGGAGGGAGGGTAAAAAAACTCCCTAGCCAGCAAATATTCATTTAAGCTTACAAGCTGTGAGGTTTTCTGTTTTTTGATACCGGATCTATTTTTGCGAACGTAAACTTACATTCGTGGCAAAAGAATCCCCTTCGGATCACGCTGAACTTTGACACCCTCGTACGATTTAATTGCTACCACCACGGAGTCCATCACTCCACGTTTCTCATCTTCCGGCATGCTTCAAAACTCTGATATTATTTCCACCGAATCCTCAAAAACTCGAAATATTCCGGTTCAAAAGCAAAATCGAAACGGAGCGGCTCCCAGGGAACTTCGGCTGAACTCTTTTCTCTCAGAGACCCTGTCGGCTTGTACGTTTCCCAGTTTATGGCCTCAAATAAGGTCCGTTGAAATTGAAGGAAGAATGGAAAGAACTTCATCGCTGGCTGTCACTAGACTGAAGAGAAAATGAGACATCAGGAGCAACCTGAAGGCTTGGAGCATGGTGGTGAAATGGATGATTATTTTCACGTTACTTTTATGTTAGTCATTTTGGTCTTGAAAGTCACATACCTTTTTTCATCTTGCAAACTTCTTGAGCAAACTTCCTTTCTGAATTCAGTAGAAAACTCTGAACAAGAACTTGCTTTTCGAACTTCGAAAAAAAGAGAATACAGGTTTTTTAATTTTCCAAAAAAGACTTCTTGGACGGTCTATTAAGTGCTTCCAAAAATGGTCAAATCCTGTTGGTTTTTTGAATTTTCGAGTGATTTCTTCGCGACCAATTTCAACAAGCTCCCAACTTTTTATACGGAAAATTCTAACCATTAATAGAGAACACATTTATTGTTATCATGCGTAAAATCTAAAAAGCGAAAAGATTTTTGAAGAAAATGAAGGCAGATCAAACGGCTGCAGAAACCACTTTGGGAGGACAAGTTATTGAATCTTTTTCGTCGCACACCTCGCAATATTCAGGACAAATTACAGTCCTCTCGACCGAGTAAGGCGAATCACCCTGAAAAGGATAGAATGCAAAAATACACAAATACGGAAATCTCACATTTATTTTTGAGAACCGGGTGGCGTTGTGAGCGGCCAGCGTGTGGTAATGATGACCGTTTTGGAAAGTCTGGAAATAATTCTGGAGCTTTATGAGTTCTCACTAGGGAACTACTCGGACTCGGGTACGCGTTTCGAGTTGAAACTGTGGTGGCTTGTAGTTCCCTAGTCAGAATATCTTAGCTTTAAAAGAGAATTCGGGATTGTCAAGACTTTCAGGGACCTGAGCAGTCTCAGAGTGGTCCCTATAGGGTTTAGGGAAAAAATCTCCTAGCATGTCCCCAATAGGGGCCACTAACTAAAACCACTTCTACTAGGTTCAGTGATCACTAGAGGGGACCCTGCCCTTATAGGGACCCCTCTGGAGATCCTGTCTCTTGGGTCTTCTATTAAAAGACTTTTCGAGAAAAAAAGCTCACTTCAAAAAGCTTGATTCGTTGTCCGGGATAGTCACAAAAGTAGTTTTTCCCTTCAGAAACAAAAGCAACTTTGCCCCCGTTGCACTTTATCTGGAACAAAATGTAGTTGATCAATTGTCCTACCTACTCTTAGTAAACCTCGTAACACTGTGGCGCAGTTACCGGTTCTTTCATGGTAGTAACCCCAGAGTCTCCAATCAACTGAATGTTGAAAAGGCCGTCGTGTTCCAAGCACCGGTAGTCCTTGAAACTGTATTTTTTTAGGAGAAAAAAATAGCTTAGATTTTTTCGATTGATTATCTGATAAATTTATATACAAGTTTTTTTAATAGGAAAAAAATTCGTTTTTTTCACCTCATTTCTCGGGTACTTTCGGCACGTTGTAATCTGAATGATTCAAATTCCCATCAGAACTCCATTTCTGTTGACAAACCCAGGGCATTCTGCACTTGCTGTAGTGCGCTTTTTTGTATCCCAATGGCCCGTAGTGAGATTTTCGGCCCGGATGACATTTTGTGAAGAAACTCCTGGAAGTGTTCTTCTTTTTTAATCTCCTAGAAGTTCGAATTTACGAGTTGTTTCCCTTATATTCTGCGAAACGGCACGACTTGGCGACGAAACAAGGATTTTTGTCTTCGAATAATGGAGGATAGGGTTCGGCTTTTCTGAATGATCAAACAGACTGTCCGAGGCAACGAGAGACCAAGAGACTCCAGAGAATCAAAGATTCTCCGTGTCTCTGGCGTCTCTTCAGGCTGCTAATGATCTCTAGTGTAGAGCTTTTATAATACTTATCAAAAAGTTGAATTGAAACCCACGAATAGTCCACCTTGTACCATCCAGAATCTTCCATCAAAGCCAAGGAAATTTTCGTTAAAAAACGACTATCTTCGCCGGGAAACGGTTTCATGTATTCGTACTGTAAAAATTGAAATTTCAGCGGATTTTTTGTAGTCATTTTTTCCCGACCTGAAAGGCGGCCACGTGTGCGTTCGCGGTTCTTGGCACGAATTCGCTTTAACCGCCATTGATCGTTTGAGGCTCCATTATTGCTCTTTTTCATTTCTTTTTTTGGTTATCTATTGGCTTTTTCATTTCTGCATTCAAAAATTAGTAGAATAGATAAAAAGAGCGGTGACCGAGCTTCTCAAATCGTTGGTGACGCTTGAATTGAACTCGTGCCAAGAACCGCGAGCGCACACGCAACGCGTCCCGCCCACTTCTCTGCCTCCCTCGCCTTTCAAGTCGGGAAAAATTGACTACATTTTTGTAGAAGCCTTCTTTGCCGAAAACCAACCGGCAAAAAATCGGCTTCATAATGACCCGTGACGCGTTTTTTATCGTTTTCCAGCTCGATATATTTTAGGTCGGGACAGTGGTAGTAGTGCCGAGCCGCCTCGAGAGATTTTGGAAATGAAATTCCGAAAAATAGCTCGTTATTCGTGTTATTCGTTTTTATCTCTGGGTAAACTTCGAAACGAGTCGATGTGATGTGATTTTTCCTGAAAATTTCAAGCTTTTCTTTGAATGTCTTCGAAAATTTCAAGAAAATAGGTTTCAAAATTAGTTACTCGTAATCTGGATACAATGGGAAAAGTTCCGACTTCATGTATAATCCGTGGCTCATCTCATGCCGAAGTGTGTCGTACATCGCTTCCATGCCCTAAAAGGTCTCAAAAAAATGGTTAATATAGAAAATAAAAAAATCTAGTAGTAAAGACTCTAGTGCTCGAAATATAAATTTGTGTAAACTCACCGGAGAACTTTCTATTTCAATTTAATTTGGTGAAGATCATGCTGTATTTATAAAAGATCATGTCGAAAAAATATGCAAAGATAAAAAAATTTTCAGCCATGATTCGGAAATTTTGTGGTGAAAACCTTCTATCGCCATTAGAATGGCTCAACTGTGCGCCAGACCACAAACATTGCCAAAGTCGGAAGTGTGGAAAACGGGTGCAAAATGGCCACAAAAGGGTTTCGCGGCCTTTACTGACCCTTTCATTATTGGTGGGCTGAAAAGCCTCAGAAGGGATGCAAAAAGGGTGCTGAAAGACTCGGCCATTGATGATTTCCTATTTTTTTTTTACTGTAGCACATTTTGTTTCATACACAGTCACTGGTAAAGATTATTCTCAATTTGAAAAATTTTGTATTTCTGAAAAGGGTCCAAAAAGGGTGGATTAATGACGACGACAGGACGGAAAAAGGCAGTAAAATTGCCAACCGTTTAGGACGAATTAATAGAAACTTTTGCATCCATAACGGACGGCCAAAGAGTCCTTCCGACTTTGCCTATGAAAACCGTTCAGCCATTCCAAATCCGGCCATCCCGCGACGTAAACTGTATTTGACAAACCCCGTGTAATTGTGTTTGTAGCCCTTGGCGCAAAGCAGCACGTCCAATAGTGATATGTCCGGAGGTTGGTCTGAAAAGTCGATTTTATCTTTACCCATATTTGAAGAGAAACCTATTGGTATTGATATCATAGGTGCAAGGCCTACACTTGGCCCGAATTTTTTCTGGAAGATCTCGGACTTTGATGTGAAAGACGTAATCCGCCTGAAAGTTACGAAAAATTAAAAAAAAAAGTTTCCAAGTTTTATACCCTTAGGAGTGGTTCCTCGTTGCAGCCTTTCTCGCCATCGCACTGAAGTTTTTCATATTTATTCAAAAATATTTTGATTTCACCTTGAAGTAATTTTTATCTTCTGTAAAGATTGTTTTATCGTCGCAGATCGCCCTTTGACCGTTGCTGAAATTGGATTTTATGATTTTTGAGCATGGAAAATAACCACTTGGAACTTACTGGGAAACGTTTCTTGGTCCCTACTTTTCATGAAACTTTGCTGAAGTGTTCTTCAGGGTCTCCTGATTAAAGAACAAGAAGAAAACTTTCCGAAATAGATCACCTTTTCGAGTTATGAAGCTTCAAAGTCCTCAAAGTACGCAAATTATTACTAGAAAGCGCTATTTTGAGCTTTTGAAGCGGTTCAACTCAATCACTAAGAATAACTGCCGAGATAAACGCGAGACGCTGGCGGTACATTGACGAGCTCGCAAACATCTCGCTTTTTTTCTCGCGCCGGTCTCGCATTTTTCTGGGCGCCAGCTCGCATTTCTCTCGCATTTTGAAAATTTCCGAAATGCAAGATAAATGCGAGGTCGCGCCTAGAAAAAAGCGACATGTTTGCGAGTTCGTCAATGTACCGCCACCGACCTCGCTTTTATCTCGTCAGTTATTCTTAGTGATAATGAGATCTATTGCGAGAATTTTTCTTCTTGTTTTGCAATAAGAAGGTCCTAAAGTACACGGCTAAAAAACATTCCCTAGTTAGAAAGTTTGGTTGAGATAATTTAAAAAAAAAAGGATCTATGAAGCAAATAATTTTCAAGACTATTCTTTCTTGAACAATTCTTCTGCTTGCTGTCACAATTTTTGGTTATTTTTTTAGGTCTTGCTCTTGAGTCTTAGTAGTGCGTTTGGGGACACTCTTGGGGCTGTCAAAAAAAACTCCCTCCAAAATTTATTTTTGCAAACTTATTTTGTTGTGAACTAACATTCGTGGCAAAAGAATCCCCTTCGGATCACGCTGAACTTTGACACCCTCGTACGATTTAATTGCTACCACCACGGAGTCCATCACTCCACGTTTCTCATCTTCCGGCATGCTTCAAAACTCTGATATTATTTCCACCGAATCCTCAAAAACTCGAAATATTCCGGTTCAAAAGCAAAATCGAAACGGAGCGGCTCCCAGGGAACTTCGGCTGAACTCTTTTCTCTCAGAGACCCTGTCGGCTTGTACGTTTCCCAATTTATGGCCTCAAATAAGGTCCGTTGAAATTGAAGGAAGAATGGAAAGAACTTCATCGCTGGCTGTCACTAGACTGAAGAGAAAATGAGACATCAGAAGCAACCTGAAGGCTTGGAGCATGGTGGGGAAATGGATGATTATTTTCACGTTACTTTTATGTTAGTCATTTTTGGTCTTGAAAGTCACATACCTTTTTTCATCTTCCAAACTTCTTGAGCAAACTTACTTTTTTGAATTCAGTAGAAAACTCTGAGCAAGAACTTGCTCTTCGAACTTCGCAAAAAAGAGAATACAGGTTTTGTAATTTTCCAAAAAAGACTTCTTGGACCGTCTAACTATGTCCAAGGAAACGTCACCAAAATGTTTTTTATGCAGTTTGAAAATTTTTCTCCCCTTTCCTAGCCCCTTCCCTTCTAACTGATCAACGTTCAATTTTTTCTTTTTATTCTTTTTCTATTTTCGTGATTATACCCACGTTTTTTTTTCACTTTGTAGGGATCAACCCCCCAAAGAAACGTGTGAAAACAGATTAGCCCACTTCTTTCGTATTTTGTGGACATTTTTTATCTTCTCGGGATTTTCTTGACGCGAAAAAAAAATGTTTGCACCTGCTGCCTTTTCGATTAACTTTTTTTCCATTAAGTGCTCTCTGAAATCAGCTGCCCCTGATCTCGAGGTTTTTTTTCTTGGAATTCTGCTTTTCATTTCATTTCCGCGAAGGGAAGAGAGTAGAGATTATTGACCGGATTTTTAGACAAAAAAATGTAGTGATATGATTATTTCAGTTGAGTTCATTGAGAGATTATTTGGTGTGGATTTGTAGCTTGGTCATTAATATTCAGGGAAGATAGTCGCTGAGATAAATCAAGCATACATATCTCATTATTTTTATTAAAATCGTTTGAAAGAAAAACATCTGAAACTACTGGGAAAATTTTTAGTGGGCACTATAGAGGCTCGCCAAGGACTACTTGGAGAGGACACTGAAGTGGCCACTAAACCCACCTCTATAGTGGCCACTGTTTTCCGTTTTAGTGGCCACTTCAGTAGTTTTTCATCCAGTATTCCTTCCAGTTACTCTGATAATATTAAAACAATCAGATTGGACCAGTTATGTTGATGCATTGACCCCTAAAGTGGCCACTAAGATTCTTAGTGGTCTAGTAGTAGCACTTAGACCTCTATAGTGGCTACTAATTTTCAATTCCTTAAGTGGCCACTAATTTGACTACTATGGTGGCTACTAAAAATTTTCCCAGTACATAAAATTGTCAATAGAGCACAATAGCTTTTTTATTCAAATTTTTGTCCCCTCCGAGTCATTTCCCATTCCGCAAAAACTACACTTATTCCAAAGAAAAAGGTACCAATCACGCTCCAATGAACACTTCTATAATCTTCCTTTGTCCGAAACTTTTTCTTTGGACTTCCCCGTCTAGGAGCCTTGGTTTTGGCATAAAAAAAACGAGGAATGAAGAGCCAGAAATTGCATTTTCCGCATTGGCTGGCCCACAAGACAAAGGACTTGCCTTCTGCCTATAAATACATGGCGAAATTGGCTTTTCCACACAATTTACGGCTTTTTTTTGCTCAGTCTGTGTGTACCCTAGGTGAAGTAGGAAGTCTGAAAGGCAGCGAAGATTAGAGATCATTTCTCAAATCTAATGGTTTTTGGCAGGTTTTCCCCCTGGTGCTAGAGGAAAAGGAGATAAACAAAGAAAAAAAAATGAATGTAGTTTGGGATGAAAATATTTTCTCCATTCATTATCATTCCCACCGCGAAAAAAAATCTGAAACATTTTTTTTTGGTTCATTCTCACATCTAGTTTTCAATTTTTCATGAAGTTCAAGGACTTATTGAAAATCACAAATTTTAGATAAAAACCCACTGAAAAAGCATTTTCTCATGAAAAAAACATTCCAGCTTTTTTTCCCGGCTCACTAGATTAGGAATACGATGAGCCTGCTTTTTCGGCTTGCCCTTGGGGCTATTTATTAATAGACTCGAAGTTCTTTGTAAGAATAAAGATGTTTGGACGCTTTTTGAAGTCCTTTCGAACAAACGGCAGGAGAATGAGTGAAGCAATGCGGTCGCGTCGCGGTTTTCCATTATTATAGGTTTCTTCAACGCTGTTTAATCAATAATCAATCAATCAAATCATTTATTCTGTTGTCCAGTCAGATATAATCGACTAGGCGGTGAACAAGAACTTTAAAAGCTATAACGAACAACTGCGTTTGGCGAACTAGAAGTCCCAGAGTGAAGTCGAAAGAGTTGAAAGCCTGGTCCTACGGTCCGTCGCCTCGTTCTTCTGCGCGTAGTCCATCCAGTTGCGCCTTGACGAACTCAGAATGTAGTGTATGTTGTAGCTGGAGTCCGGAGTCCGAGCTCTATGTTGAAGTCTCGAAATGAGAGCGACCACTTCGAGTGAACGGAATGAGAAATTGAGATTTAGATTTGATTGAATCTGATTTTTCTTCTGCTTGACTTTTTTCTACAAGAAAAGACTAGATATTGAAAATTTTTGATTTTCCAGATTCCATATGAGGATACAGCCTTTTTAGACAACTTTTTTGGAACTCTATCTCGATAATATGTTTGATTTCACGATTTTCTACATCCTAACTTTTTTTTTTCACCTACTAGATCACTCTAGCCCTCTGGTGAAGTAACTTTGGAAACTCAGAAAATAAAATCTCCCTGAAGGGATATTGAATATGCTCTAGTGGACACTTGATAACTTCAAAAATGGTGACTGATCAATTTTGAAGCGAAAAATTTTTCCAAGAATTTTTAATCTTCAGAAAGACTGCACTTTTGTCACTTTCCTATCTTTCTTTCTTAATCCGCATTTAGATTGTTTTTTTCAACATTAATCACTTTTAAATGATCAAGCTTCATCCCTAGAAGCTTATCAAAGATCTGAAAGATTTGGAAAAGAAAATGGGAAAATTTTTGATTTCAAGTTCATGTTAACTAAAGATCAGCTCGTTTTCCAATTTTTCCATTTTGCTAGAAAGAATCTGACCGAATCCTCATACTAATCACAAAAAAACTCGCTGAGCTTTACTTCTTAACACCGGTTTAAAGGATTTTAAAACATCTCAATGAATCTATTTTGCGCCCGTGACATCCTCCGCATTTTGCAGATGATCCGACGTTCTCGACAGAGTTGGCGACGCGGCTCGCCGAGCTGATCCGAGCCCATCCCTGCGTCTGGGATTACTCCTCGGCCGACTTTGCCGACCGACGACTGTGTGACGCCGCTTGGAAGCAAGTCTGCTCCGACGCCAACGTTAACGGTATGAACTTGTTGATGATGACGTCATGAGTGGGATTAGAACATCGAAGGGTTATGATGAGTTCACTCGAAAAGCCATTGCCAAAATGAAAAGTCGCAGCGAAGGAACTAATGATGACGTCAATTTTGAGCCATTCCAAATGCGACCACACTTAAGCGATGATCGGCGGAACTCTCGGTGTACTGATAGATGATGGGAAAACTTGTAGAGTCATTAAAAATAAGATAACCGGTCACAAAAAATTTAAATTTCCTGCTGTCACTTCGGGAATCATTCCAAATGCGACATTAGGTGTTGCCGAAGCGATTTTTGGCCCCGTCACTGTTTGAGCCATTCCAAATGCGACATTAGGTGTTACCGAAGCGACTTTTGGCCACGTCATTGTTCAAGCCATTCCAAATGCGACATTAGGTATTACCGAAGCGATTTTTGACCACGTCATTGTTCAAGCCATTCCAAATGCTACGTTAGGTGTTAGCGAAGCGATTTTGGCCCCGTCACTGTTTAAGCCATTCCAAATGCGACAGTATGCGAATCAAATTCCAATAAAATCGCTTCAAGACCCAATCCAAATGCGACACCAAGTAAGATCAGATGTAGTTCGAGTGGCGTCATTGGCGCTCCAAATATTGAAGATTTTCCGATGACTCCATTCTCCCCTGAAGGCATATAGCACGTGGTGGTAATATGGTTCATACTTCTTGGTTTTTCTCACGATGACGTCAGCGTCATAAGCCATTCTGAACGCGGCAACATGAAGTTAATAAAGTATTGATGACGTCATCCTAACTTGATGGACTTCTTGTCAAACTTGGAACGGCTTTTTCCACTCCTTGGAAAGAGAGAAAAGAAAAAAAAGGGAACGGAGAATTTCTAAGTGCGAATGACGTCATCCGTTCCCATAAAGGTTCAAGTGGTCGTTATAGGGTATTTTTGTGCTTTCTGAATTGGGACAATTATTTTGCATGTTTATTTTCAAGGGGTCACTTGAGGGATTTTACAAGTGTGATTTGAGTATTCAGTTCTTCTTTTTTCAATTTGGATGAATTTTGGATTTACCTGGCTTATCAGTATTTTGGTACAAGCTGTCGCCAATATTTGAGAATTTTTCGAGAACCAAGTTTTCTTTTTTTTTTTCACTTATCCCTCAATTTTTTTTCAATCTTTTCTGTCCATTGAACACTCAGACCAATGCACAAAGAGCAAAGCCAGGAGACAAGGAGAGAAAAAAAAATTGTTTGAATATTCGATTGGACGAAGAAATTGCCGAAACTCGACCTCTTCTGGCGACTTGATTGCTCGGCATCGGCTTACTTCTTTTTTGCCGACTTTTTCTTGAGCCTTGAAGGTCAAAGAAAAGCAGGGAAAGTCTCGGTCGCACTTAGAATGGCTTGACGCGTTGCGATTAATATTTAACCTTCTGGAAGCTTTTTCACATTTTCCGATGCCCCAAGCGCAAGTCGGTTTGTGGTCAGGCGCAAAAAGAGGACACCTCGAGCTATTTTTAATAAGGAATATAGTTTTCTAAAGCTTCTAACTTGGAAGATTCAAAAAAAAGTGCAGATCGATTTGTATAAATGTTATCCCCCCCATCAAATTCTTTCTAAGGTTCTTTTTTTTCTGCGTGTAGCTTTCTACGGATGCCCCGAGGCACCAAAAAACGACTGAACCTACTTTTCTACCCCGTAAATAGCCAGCCAAAATGATAAATGCCCAGTTTTGATCTATCAACTATCAACTACCATTTTCCGCATTTTTGAGTGCTCCAAAGCTCGGAAACCCCCCCTATAAAAATTGACGTCGACTAGAACGTTTTTGAAATGCGAACGGGGCCATGAAAAAATAAATAGAGAGCCGGAACACGACATCACTTGATTGCCACAAAGTGGTTTTGGGTTTTTTGTTTCCTCTTTTTTTGGGTAATCCGAGTCGAAAAGAGAGCGAAAAGTTTGCTCCAAGTGCAATTTGAGACTTAGAAAAAAAAAATTATCCGTTTAAAGTTTGCATGGATTGAATCGAGTTTAGGAAAACTTTACCCAATGGATTTTTGAGTAAATTGAACGGAACAGGGATTTTTTTCTAAGGCAGAATGAACCCTTGGAAGCTTTCCATAAAACCAGGAATTTAAAAAAAAATATTAAAGCGGATTTTTCTGTGAACTGAGATGTGCAGGAATAAGAAAAATGCTATAAAAAAAGTGATTTTTTGACCCCCCCTGAGAAAAATTTTTATTTTAATTTAATTTGAAGAATGTCAGGAATTGATTGAAAAGAGAATATTGGTTTGAAATTTTCCACCTGGACTAGATTGGAATATATTGAAAATTCAGAAAATCATTGAGAAGTTTGAAATTTATCAGAATTAATGAAGCTACATGTTGAATCGAGTATTTGAAGAGCAAGAAAAATATTAACACGATTTTTGTTTCTAGTTCATCTCCCTTAGATAGTAATGCGCATAATATTTTACCTTTTACCTTTTTACTTACCTTTTTTACATTTTTTTACCTTTTTTCACTCGTCCATTTTTCAAATTTAACCTTTCCAAAAGTGCCTAGCAATAACCATTTTCCCAGATTTTGCACCTCAAAGCCTCCCCGCCCTGACGTCACTTTGATCCAGCAAAGCGAGAAAAAATGCATGCGAGAAAACCTCACGTGTTTTTTTTTGCCTTCAAGGCTTTTCCCCCTTCGAATACCTAAAAAAGGGGCCTCCAATTATTCCTTCACTTTCCCTTCACTAACCAGGAAAATCCGGCTGTTTGGAAGGAAGCCAAAAGAGCCAAAAATCAACTGGAAAACAGCCAACAGAACAATAAAATTAGCATCAGATTACCGAATTTAGAAGCAAAATACGCGAGGCCTAATGCTTTTGTTTCGTTGTGCGGAGCAAGTTTTTTAGAAAAATAGGTTTTTTTGTCCAGTCTTTTAGTTTTTTTTAAAGTTCAAACCGAGGTCTTGAGTTGAGTTGTACTTTTGAAAATTGGTCAGGCGTTTCCGGCGTTTCGAGCTGGACTTTAGAAGGTCTGAAAACTTCAAAATTGCTCATAGCAAAAAAATCCTTGAAAGTACGCTCTATTGTCAATTTGCATGGTGCCTGAATTCTTGAAGGGTAAACAGAAGTTAGAAAAAAAAACGATCTGAAAAAATTATACCCGATTTCTAAGCTTCAAGGCCGGATTCAGCTATTTTTGGCCCATCCGGAAACAAAAAGAAAGGAAGAAAAAATAGCCGCCAAGGCTCAATGTTTCTATGCTCCAAGGCTAAATTTAGCTGTATTTTCTTATTTCTCTTGACTGCAAAGTATTCCTCGGACGCTCTAGTGACCACCTTTAGTAGCGTTAGCACTCTTAAGTGATCCCTAGAAATGCTCAGAAACATTCGAAGTCCGATTTTTCGTTCACAACAAAAATGGAAGTGGAGCAGAAATCGGCTGGCGAACAGCCAAGTCGATCAAATTAGCATGAAATTACCGCATTTTCGGGCAACAAAGACATGGATCGCTGCCCTAATTTACTTGTTCCGTTGGAGCATTTTTTTGAGTTGTCTTTGAAGTTCTGAATGGCAATGATGTCAAAATTGAGGCTTGAAAAAAATAGCCGCGTTTGCACGGAAAATACTTGGCAGAAAGCTGATAAATGAACATTTTGAACGATTTCTCTATGATAATAAAAATTTTTCCCAGCTTTTTTTGTGAATAGGCGATGGGGCGCATAGTCTTTGGTTGATGCGGCGGTTTTTATCAGCGAATTTTTTTTTGGCTTCTTTTTCATTCATTTGCAACCTTTGAACCGAGACTAGTTTAACCATAGAGCATAAGGCCCAATTTCAAGCGGAATTATTTTCTCAGCTTTATTTTTTCCCTAATTTAGTAAACTTAAGGCTTTGAAAGAATTCATTTTTGCCCCGGAACGCAACTCCTCGATTTATTGAGGCTATTTTTAAGTCCCAAGAACCCAAAACTCCAGAAATAGTTTTCCAGACACTCTCGAGTTTAACTCAAATCGCCGGAAGTGCATGACCAATTCGAAAAAAAGTACAACTCGAGACACGAAAAACAACAATTTCGGGCCTCATCCAGTTCAAAGTTTTAGGACTGGACAATTTGAATCCGAATTTTAGCTTTTCCTTGCTCAGCACAACGAAACAAAAACATCAAGCTCCGTGTATTTCTTTCTAGAATCGGTGTCCTGATGCTAATTTTATTGTCCTGTTGGCTGTTTTCCACCTGATTTTTGGCTCTTTATTACTATAGTGGGGATGGGGGTGCCGCCAACTTTCTGAAAACCTTCTGATTTCAAGCATTTTAGCCAGGATATGGCAAATTTTCCCCTGATTTCATCATTTTTTTCATCATCAAGAGGGTTTCCCTTGAAAAGGGCACCAGGACTTTTTGACTCAGAGGGTTACTATTAAATTTAAACCATAAAAAACTATCGATTATCATATCATTTTCACCAAAAAATCCATGAAAAACATCATTTTTCGATGAATAAAAAGCAGCCCTCATTTCGGCTCTCTATGATTCTGCATTACAGGGGGCATCAATAAAATACTGAATTTTGAAGAATTTCAACATTAATAATTGGTGAGCTTCAAAAATGATTTACCAAGTCTAACAAATATTGATCTTGAAGAACCTGTCAATGGGTTGAAACTCGAAAACTTCCGCGGTGTTTTCATGTGAGATACTTTACCGGATATGATAAAAGATGAAAAAAAGCATCGTCATCAAGGATTTCTCATCACCTGTTCAATATTTGACAATTCTAAGATTCATTAACTGAACAACAATAAAAAACGGAATACGGAATCAATTCATTTGTTCTCACTCTGATTCTGCTTCCGCCGAATTCGGCCTATTAACCTCCAAAAATCATTCATTTCTGTAAGGACCAAATCCAGAAAGAGAGGTGTTGGAAGTTTTTGAGTTTCAACCCATTGACAGGTTCTTCAAGATCAAGATTTGTTAGACTTGGTAAATCATTTTTGAAGCTCACCATTTATTAATGTTGAAATTCTTCAAAATACAGTATTTTATTGATGCCCCCTGTAATGCAGAATCATAGAGAGCCGAAATGGGGGCTGCTTTTTATTCATCAAAAAATGATGTTTTTCATGGATTTTTTGGTGAAAATGATATGATAATCGATAGTTGTTTATGGTTTAAACTTATAGTAACCCTCTGAGTCAAAAAGTCCTGGTGCCCTTTTCAAGGGCAACCCTCTTGATGATGAAAAAAAGGATAAAATTGCGCGAAAATTTGCCATATCCTGGCAAAAATGCTTGAAATCAGCAGGTTTTCAGAAAGTTGGCGGCACCCCCCAGACCCACTATAGTAGTCTCTTTGGCTCCCTTCCAAACAGCCGATTTTTCCTGGTTCGGAAGATCTCCTTTTAGGTATTCGAATAAGCCTTTTTTGAAGAACACGTGGGAAATAAAAAGGCGCATGCGAGAAAAGCTTTTTTTTATGATGTTCGGATGATGTCAAAGCGTCTTTGCAGTGGAAAGTAGCTACGTTTTGCAGGACTTTTTATTTTTATGGAAAATATTAAGAGTGGCTGAAAAAAGCCGCTTTAGGAGGGGTCTTGTGTGCTCTATTGATAATAATTGGAAAAAAGGAAAATTCTGCGGGAATCTGTGGTTTTTCTCAATTAGCACTAGAGCGCAGATGTTTTTCTGATTTAGGCGGCTTTGATTTCTCAAAGACTTTTCTATTTCTTTCCAAAAAATGACGTGCCAGAAACAACTCTTTGGTTTTTTCAAGTATTGGCTTAAAAAAAGCTTCTTTCCCGTCCGTTTTTCAAAATAAATTATTCCTCTGTTTTTTTCGGACTACTTCCTGTACTCAATTATTACTCACTTGGAAACTAAAAATAGAATTTTTGAAAAAAATTTCCTCATTTGGTATGGAATTCGTATCACAGATTCTAGATTATCCATCCAAGGGTCGCTGGTTCGGATCCTGTCAAGGGCGAGCGTTTTTTTGCCATTTTTAGAGTCATTAAATCTCGTGATTTTGAAAGGTTTAAGTGTGAGACAAGGTCAGAAGGCGTTCAATTTTCATTATTTTAGTGGTGAAAGTTTTGGGCTATAAGTAGACGGCTTCTTGGTTCGACTCCAGTCGATGACAATATGTTTGCAATTTTCATTTTTTTTTTTCTTACCAAGTTCCCTTTTAAAATATATCCCCACAAGGTCCCCTAATGGTCTACATCCATAAGGAACAACCTCAAAAATCATCGGCAAACATGTGATTTTCTTTCTTTATTTAGAGAAAAGGGAAAGAAAGAACCTGAGACGCTTTATTGGACCCTCAGGATTTCTCTTATGGCGACAACAACCCTTATTTTATTTTTTTTTATTTTTGTTCTGCCTTGCGCACTCTGTTTATGTTTCCTTTCGGCTATTTATAGGCAGAATGGAGAAGAAAATGAGAATATAAATAAATGACGTGCGTGTTAGACAATGGTTTCCGGTTACAAGAGAGTCTGGGAAAATTGGATTATAATGCCCTTTTTTCCTTGTTTAATTGGCATTTTTGCAAGAATTCTATATTTAGAGCTTCTTCCTTACTGAAGAGCCAAATTTAGAAGTTCTGAAAAAATTGGAAACTTCAGAGCTACAGTAGCGGGAAGGTCATTTTACTTTGCGGTTGGGAATTTCCTGAAAATAAGCCGGAACACATTTTGATGTACCAGAAAAAAATTCTGAAAGTCTCAACCTGCAAAATTCCCTAGTTTTCGAAAAATAAGGGCCTAAAGTCTGCAAACAGAATCTACAGTAACCCTTAACTTTTTAAAAAAATTACAGTACACATCAGAAAAGCTCAAAATTCCGAGGTTTATTATCAGAAACCATACAAACTATACCAAAAAGTCAAAATTTGCAGAAAGAAATTAATTTTTTTATTGGTCTTCTTGGTTTTTTTAACGATTCCCTGACACGCAAAATGTCTATTAGACTGCAAAAGGCCTTTTATTAACTTTAGTATTTTTGGATTTTTCCATGATTTCTTGGTCAATCGAAAAAGTTTTTTTCGAAAAAGAACTATTTTTAAAAAATGGAAAAATCTTTAAGAATCCTTTTTGTTCTGAAAATTGGAATTTTCAATTTTTTTCGCCAAACTAGAGTGGATAAAAGCTCATCTTTTTTTCTTTTTTTATCGCCCGGAAAAAAACAATTAATTTTTTTATCCCATCCATTATAAATCCCCTCAACGGAAATTGTCATTGTGACACTTTAATTGAATATTTTTCTATACACAATGATGTCGATTTCAAGATTTATCATGATATTTTGACTTTTCTAGTTCCCTTTTTGCATGTTCCGGAGTAAGAGTAATCAGATTACTTACCTGGAATCGGTGCACCTGACTTTTTCATCCAATTTGGATGATTTCATTAGGAAACCGCGTGATTTAGCAGAAAAAACGAGGCGAAAATGCTCGCCCTTTGTAGTCTAGTGGTTAAAGATCTTGATTATCAGTTCAATAGTTTTTGGTTCGGATCCTTTTGAGAACATACTTTTTTTGCAATTTTTTTTTTGACTGCGCTTGAGAAACAAGACCAGGACTCGTTTTGCCCTGTAGTCGAGTGGCGAAAAATGTTGGTTATTGTCCCAGGGGTCGCTGGTTCGGATCCTAAGCAGGGAGAGCTTTTTTGCCATTTTAAATCTTGGTAATTTCGAAAATGCTCTGGAAAACGGGGCCTGATGTAACATTTCCTAGCTTTTTTCTAATGGTTTAAGTTCTTAGTTACTCCTTCAAAGGTCCTTGGATCGAATCCGGCCTAGGGAAAAGTTTTTTTTGCCATTTTCTCGTTTTTGACAATTTTTAGAGGTTTCCATGTCTTTTTTCCCATCTAACTATCATAGTGATAAGAGGGAGGCTATGATTTTTCATTTAGTCAACGGGTTTCAACTTTGACCCACCTATCTAACGGTCCCTGGATCGAATCCGGCCTAGGGAAAAATTTTTTGCCATTTTTACGACATCCTGTTTTTGCCAATTTTCAAAAGTTTTCATGTTTTTTCTTCATGCAATTATCGTAGTGATAAAATGAAGGGTCTGATTTTGCATTTAAAACTTTTACGTGCCAATCTAAAGGTCCCTGGATCGAATCCGGCCTAGGGAAAAGTTTTTCGCCATTTTTACGACTTTCCCGTTTTTGACAATTTTCAGAGGTTTTCATGTTTCTTTCTTCATGCAATTCTCGTAGTGATAAAATGAAGGCTCTGATTTTGCATTTAAAACTTTTACGTACTAATCTAAAGGTCCCTGGATCGAATCTAAAGGTCGTACGAATCTAAAGGTCCCTGAATCCACGGAAAATTTTTTTTTTGCCCCTTCTTCTCGTTCGAAGATTATTTGGCAATCAGCCAGAAGTGTCCGTCCGCAGTCAACGACCTCGTGCTAATACTTGTCCGATTGTGTACTACTTCGCCAAAAACTTGTTGAAAAGAAATGGGATTTTTGCCTCTTACCGTAATCGTTCGAGCCAAAAGAGCGTACTTGACGATGGGAACGAAGAGAATTTCCCTCGAGGCTTTTTATGATAAATATACGTCTTTTTTTGTTTACGACCCAATATTTTGTTGACAAAACGCGTGAGTAATCTTCGAAATTTTGAGAATCGAGTAAGGCTTTTGCGGACTTTGAACCTACAGTACTTTTTTTGAATTTCTCAAAGACTATAGTATCCATTGCGAAAGTTCAAATTTTTTTCGCATTGAACTACTTCCAACTTTTGCCAAAAAATTAATTTTTCATTAGTTTTCTGACTTTTAAGGACTTCATGTCATGCAAAATGGCGATTAGGCCAGGAGTTCAGCTTTTTTGCACCTCATAACCATAAAATTTTGGACTTTTATCAATTTTCAAGACCAGGAAAACATATTTTTCCCTTTTCTTGAAAAAAACGAACAAGTGAAGCGTGAAATTTCAAGAAAAACCTTGCATATCATGAGGAAGTCTTCCCTCTTTTGAAAAGGAAAGGAAGAAAAGTAAGGTTCCCATGAGACGATGGCTTCCGTCGTAGGGATCGCCACCTTCCGCGCGATTTATTCTCTCACACATTCTTTTTTGTTTTTTTCAGAGGTCCTTTTTATTCTCCTGCAAGTTTTGGAAGTAGGTATGAATGTGTGCAGCGAGATGATTTCTTTATAAAAGTGGAAAATTTTAGTTTTTTGAAGGTCTTTTTTGAAGGAATTTTTAAAAGGCCCGAAAAATTTTTCGCAATTTTTTGTAGCTTTGAAGTCGGGAACGAATCTGGATACTCAAAAATAGCAGAAAGATGCTAATCAAGAAAAAATAATTCAGCAAAAACAAATTTTATTCGTTGTGGGATCGAACCTCTGACCTTCTGAATGTGGTATAGCGCTTTTAGCCACTAGGTCAAACTTTCAACTTCTACTTTCCGTTCTTTGAGATCTCGAAAGGGGGAAAAAAGGCTCGATACAAATTTTCCTTTTTTGCTGCCTTTTTACGCCTTTTCATCGGCCCTTATGCACCATTTTTGCTGCCTCTCCCTTTTTCTACCATTTCTCGAGCCTTTAAAACCCCAGAAAAATAGAAGGCACGATAAAGGAACTCTTTTCGCTGCCTTTCTGCGGTCATTTTGCTGCCTTTTAAGGCCTTTTTGCTACCTTTTTGCTGCCCTTTGCTGCCTTTTTGCTGCCTTTCAGCAGCCTTTTTCTACCATTTTGTCCGAGCTTCTAACAATCTACCTGATTCAGCAGCAAGTGTTCGAATTTTAAAAAAAAAATTTTTCAGCTCTAAATCTAAATCTTATCGGCTTTCCAGTAACTACAAAGAACGAGAAAATTGTGGGCCAGATTAATTTATACAAAATAATTCTATACAAAATGACGTTAATCTTCCTTCTTAACATGACTTTTTCCCAATATTTGCTACAACCTCCCACACTTATCCTTCTTTCTCAATTTTTTGCAACTGGACAAAAATCTTGGAGGTCGTTGAACATTTTGGAAGGAAAAGCGCCTTAGGCGGAATTTTTACGTAATGTTTTTGGTTGTTCACAGACATTTTTGCTGTTGTAGTTGTTGTGTTCGTGTGGGAATCTGATCGTTGGGAGATTTTTCTTCTGGTCGTTTTTTTGGGTTGAAAAAATGAGGATTGAAGTTGTGGTGCTGGGAAAAATTCGTCAGAAAATCCGATTTCCAGGGTTTTACGAAGCTTTTTCGGCTCCTAGCAACTTTCAGATGTCATTTTCAATACCAATAACCATTTTGAACTCATTTACATGAAATTTCACTGAAAAATGACTGTTAAAAACTAGTTTTGAGACGTTAGATTGAATTGCAACGAGTTGAGCCATTCCAAATGCGACCAGAGGCTTAGAAAAGAACGCATGTGAATTTTTTTATTGGATTTATCGAATATAGGGAAGCACTGAAGTTTTAATTTCAAAAATCCAAGCTTTGAGAAATTTTTCGATACGCTCATTTTATTTTTTTCATGCTAGAGTTTAAAAAAAGTTAATATTTCTAATATTTCTCAGCCTCTGTACATTTTTTTGACGTATAAAATCATATTTTTGAGGGTTTTTTTGAGTTGTGATGAATTTTTCTACATTTATTTTTGAGCTACTGTGAAAATGCCACTTATAAAAAAATTAATTTTTCAAACTTCCAAATTTTTCCAAAAAAATTTCGGTTCCGATTTATCATTTTTGACTCATTTATAGTCTTTCAACCCTAATTGAAATCTGCTTTTTCCACATAAATTCGAGTGCAAGAAAGCTCAAAACATACCTTATTAGCCATAATAAGCAGTTGCCAAGTTCTTTTTTTCATTTTCGAATGACTAAGAAGAAAATATTGGGTTTCTATTGAAATAAGCTGTTATTTTCAGAATTTTCATGACTCAATTTCGAGCTTTCTTTGGAAAAATGGGTGGGAAAATGGAGGAATCAGGTTGAAGAGGAATTTTGAGAAATTTTGGACTTTTGTGAATAGTTTTAGGCTTCATTCAGGCCCTTTAAAGGAATGAAAAGTGAGATTCATTTGAAAACGTTGATTTTTCAGGCTTTCCTGACCTTTTTGAACGGTTTAGTCTACAAATATTTTATAGGAAAGAAAAAATGGATTTTTAAAAATGAAATTTTGATGTAAATTCAAAAATGTTGTCTATTTTTCCGACCCTTCTAGCGAATAAATTATGTAAATTTCTATTTTAGATTAATTTATCTATTTTTCATTGCCCTTTTCAAACTATTCAGTGCCTCTTACGTATGTTTTTTTAGCTTGAAAAGGCCTATTTTCGAAATTACGTAGTAGTGTAGTAACACATACTCATAACAAACCAAGTTATCATGGAAAAAACAAATCAAATTGGCCTTTCAAAAATAGAATTTTCCTCCCCACGCCGCCTCGTTTTTCCCAACTCGTTTTGCTCTTTACAACTCAAAAAAAAAAAGAAGAATATTGCAAAATCGAGCCGACGCGTCTGATTTGCATTATGCACGCGGGAAATAACTTGGTTTCCTGCCAGGATTCCATCTTTGGTCATCAAGTTTTGGAGGTTTTGGTCCGTGAGATTCGTCCATTATGCAGGTTAATAGTCGAGCACTGAGAGGTTTGCAGTTTTTGAGAATTTTCGGGTTCTAGGTGATTAATTACTAGGTAAGAGGACTCTTTAGGGATCTTCTGAAGAGTCTACAATTTATACAATGTTGAAAAAATATTCAAGTACACAGCCTGAAACGTCTCGACGAGTTTAGCATGAAAAATTGGTAGTGCGGAAAACGGGTGCAAAATGGCCGCTAAAAGGCTTCCGTTTTGCAGCCTTTATTGAGCCTCCCTTTCTTGGTTACTAAAAAGCCTCAAAAAGGGGTGAAAAAGGGCGCAAAAAGGGCGCTGAAAGACTCGGCCATTTCTCCGATTTTATTACTGTAACACATTTTGGTTCATAAAGATTATTTAAAAAATGTTGTGCTTCTCAAAAGGGTCCAAAAAGGGTTGATAAAGGCCGAAGGAAGGACGGAAAAAGGCAGTAAAAAGGCCACCCGTTTAGGGACAATTTTTGGAAAACTTTTTGATCCTTAACGGACGCTCAAAGGGTCCTTGTGACCTTGCCTATGATCAAGTAACCATTTGAAGTACTGATTAAAAAAAACTCATCAAGGGACCACTTCAGAGAAAAAAACATGAATTTTTAGTTTCTAGAATTTCTCAAGTTCCGATCACTTACCTCAAAAAATGTGTTTTTACCTGGAATTAACACTTTTATAAAGTTCATTCTTGGTATCCCTCGAGTGAGCATTGAATGGTGACTATAGAAGTAAGATTAACCTTTTTTGAAAAGATCGAATGGAAAGGTAATCCGGTCAGGTGAATAATACGTTATGAAACGAAGCTAAATTCTTTTCTTTTTCTCTTTTTGTGTTATTCCTTTAAGAAACTCGTTTTCAGAACTAGTGAAACGTTGGAAGTTTTCAGAGGCTACCTGAAAATATTGGGGCATCTTTAGGGGTCACTTGAAGCCGTCTATTGATTGAAAAGTCATTCAAAGCCACCGGAAACTCTACAAAGACTGCTTGAAAAAGAAATTAAAACTCCTTAGAGTTGTCTAAAAACTGTCGGATCTCTAGAAAAACGTGTTGAATTTAAAATAACTGTGTTTAGCTAGATGAACTACTAGAACTACCTCCAAAAATGAACTCGAGACTACGAATTTTCCGACTTTTGAGGGTCCATAAATTTTTTCACAGACCTCGGGGGCAGCTCTTGAGACCGGATTTGAAATCAGCATGAAAAATTATATCTAGAAAATATGGTCGGTGAGACTATTCCCTGGTAAGACGATCCGGAAATACTCTTTTTGAAAGCGAATAACTCTTCCCTAACCCTAAAGCGACCACTTGTAGCAATCAAAAGACAGTTTAACCCTTAAAAGATCACTTGAAGCTTACGAGCTAAAGCGTCACTTTGATAGCGACAAGTTGGTCAACTGCGTCATCTTAACTTTTACGTAGTTCTAAGGAGATCTCTCGAATCTCGGTAAGAAACTACGTCACTTCAAATGACCACTTCAAATAAATCACCAAAGAAATCATCAACTTGAGTGTTTACCCAAGGTCCTCCAAAAAAAAATCCGTTCGGAATCCGCTGGGTTCAAATCCGAAGATCAGCGTTTCCCACACGACACGCCACTAAGCTCCGCCCCCAAGCTCCGCCCCCTCCGAAAAGCCTTCGCCGAGCCAGCAGCCGTGCTCTCATTGTGAACAGCGGCGTCCGCCGAGCCCAGGTGGTGGTGTCTCTAAGCCACGCCCACCGTTTTTCTTCCGAGTACTCCACTTTTTGCACTTCCTGATTGCTGTTGGCTAGAGAATAGTAGTGATTTCTCCTATCATTCAAGGGGTCACTTCACGGTATTTTGATCAGAATTGTAGTGTGACACTCTGATAACTTTCTATCCCTCTGAAGTCTTGAAAAAGGTCATCCCTTAAGTGGCCCCTTACTTGTTCATTTTTCTTAAAATTGTCCCTTAAAGGGACATTTTTAACGACTTTTGGATGACTCTAAGGTTCTCAAAGCGAATATCAAGTTTTAAACCCTAGAGTGACCACTTAAATGGACGCTAAAAGGTTATTAATTACATTATATTGACAAAAATCCTTTTCGCACGGTTTCTAGTGGCTCTTTCCGAACAATTCTTCACACAAATTTCAAAAAAGTTCTCCTTTTTCGGTCGAGAACCCTTGAATGACCACTTAAGTGCATCTCCCATCCACCGAACAACTCTGTTCCTTCATTTTCCACTTGAGAGCACTCTCGTCCAAGATTCTTTTATCTCTTCATTTCTGATCACTATGACGTCACTCTCGAAACTACTTTCCCTAGAAGGCCTCAGGCTACATCTCCTCATCGGCTCGGAAGGGCATAATTTTGTTTTCCGAAACCTAAAATGAAGCTCTCAAGACTTTTAGTGCATGTAGGTTAAGTTGTTTTTCTCATATGTTGTTTTTCGTGTCCCAAAAAGTACTCAAATTCCTAATTTTTTGCGAGTAACGACCTCAAAATAACACAAGAAAGCGTCATAAATAAAGAGGCTAATCTTGCCGATCGCTTTGCGCTCCATTGAGAAGGACGTCATGCTGGATTTGACGTAAAATTTGAGATAAATTTAAGAAATTTCCTATAGAATGAGCAATAAACTCGAAGAAGACTTTGCCATTTTTGAAACGAAAATTCTGGGATCTTTCTTTCGTGATTTCATTGAATCAGAGTAGTATTAGCTAACATGAGCAACGCTGAGTTGAGACATGAAATCGTCTTCGTTTCTTTGAAATTTGTTCCCTAATATGAGCAATAAGGAGCTTTTCTAGCCGTTTCATTGAAAGTGTCTCCAATAAGAGAGACAATATGGTTACGATTTTGATTGGCAAGACTCCAATTTTTTCTTTCTGTAACATGAGCAAAGCTTAGCTTAGCAAAGCTAACATGAGCAAAGCGATAATGATTCATCGGACACCTATCTCTAACATGAGCAAAACTGTCACGTATTAATCACCTTCCCTCGTCAAATTAGCCTGATTAATCGACTTCCGCTCTCTCTCTCGCTAACATGAGCAACACAGTTCATCGAAACTAATATCAACTTCCATACGGCTCAGTTCCGCCTCATCATCCTTTTCCCTTCTCCCCGACGTCTTCATTTCGTGAGAACTCGTGCGAAAGTGACGTCATCTGGGAAAAGCCCAATTTTCCTGCCGCCGTCGCCCTTCCTTCTTCTTTTTTTTTGGAAGAAAATTTTCTCGCCACCGTTGAGAATAATGAATAGGGTGGAGCCGTCACGCCATTAGCTCTCCTGGCCTTCCTTTGTTTTCAGCGCCTCTTTTTGGTAGTAAATTGTTGAGGAATGACGAGTTCTCTTTGAAGTTTGAAGGCGCAGGGCGGAGCTTGAAATAATAGAGGACTTTTTTTAAATAACCAGATTATAGTTGACCAACCATTTGGCCACATGAAGGAGCAGCAAAGTTTTCAAGAGTAATTACTTCGGTTCAAAATGACGTCATAGAATTACTGTAGACTTCTGAAAGCCGTCTTCTTTTTGCACACTGTCTCGCTCATTTCTTAGAATTCCTGATTTTTAATATTTTTTGTGAGGGTTACTGTAGAGAGATAACCTCTCTAAACTCTCTCATTTTCTCATACTGTCTCTCCAGTCGCTTCGAGACCACTTTTCTTGGGAAAATATTCATCCGAAATTGCGAAAAATTGAAATTCTACTGTTCACTTTTCGAATCGCTTGTTTTCCAAGGTCCCGCCGTTCATTTTTGCAAGGAGAATTTTGGAGGACAACCTCATTTGCTGTGTGTGTGTCTTAGGATGGGCCACGAGGATGTGTCCTTCCCTTTTCCCACTGCGAAAACAAAACGTAATGACGTTTTTCCCCTAATTTGTCGGCTTTCCTGCAAATTTTCCCTTTTCCATGGAGATTTTTGAGGTCTTCATCTCAATTTTTTGCAGAAATTCACGTTAGAAGTCTCTGGAACACCCTGTGGAACCGGTTCAGTACAATGCAGGCCGCACACAGAAATCCGCTCTTTTTGCGACTCTCCGGGTGTGCTGAGAAGCTGGAAGTGCCCCTCGGATTGGCTGGGTTCGACGCCGATGAGGAAGCTCGATCCAGCTCCGATTCTTTGGACAACTCGCCGGCCAAGACAGTCTCTGATCTGGAGTCCGAACAGTCTAGATCAAGGTAAAAAATCATTTTTAGCGCTGGAGCGCAATTGAAGATCCAAAAATGGCTTCTAAGAGATTTTTTTTACTGCCGATAACATGTATCGTTTCGAATGAATCATAGGACATTTTTCTACCTAAAACCACCTCGATGCCGTTTTTTCGCTCTCACTTATGCTCCATTGATAATATGACGTCATAGATGACTCACAAAAATGTCCCCATTGCTCAGTAATCCCTTTCATATCTTAGAAGCTTTTTTTGAATTTTGAACTCTGCTCCATCGTAAATTTTAACAATAACTTTGAATTGCTATAGGGCTTTACAAATTATCAGGCGAAAATAGAATCCTTTTAGTATGGGAAAAAAGAAGCCATTTTCTCTCTTTTGATTGCGCTCTATTGATAAATGACATCATTTATTGGGATTACGTGAAGCCTTTCAACTGGAAAATACTCAATCGCGCTCTATTGATAATATGACGTTTGAATTTTCACATAGATTCCTTTAAAAGAGTGAAAATTGCCATCTTGCAAGTTTTAATTGCGCTCTATTGATAGCAATTTCTTGTTTTTCTCTCTTTGCTTTTTCTTAATAACGACCTTTCTTTTTGAAGATCTCTGCTCTAGACGCGATCGCGTGACTTTCAAGTTTCAAAATTGCATTTCTCATCCTTTCTTCTACTTCAAATTGAGTTCTCAAGAACTTCGCAAGATCCTTGATTTTTGCAGCACGCCGTCGACTCCTTCACGTTCGCCGAAAAAAGTTTCCTGGGCCCTTTTCGACCAGGTTTCCTTGTCCGGCGAGGAGTTCCTGCTCCCGCGACGATTCGAGGCGATCGAGCTGCTCACGGCGGGTCCCAGCACGAAAATCTCATGGTACTGTAGCTTTTTTCGAGCTTTTGGAAGATCTAGATGCTTAAAAATTCCACTGAAGTCAAATAGAATTAGTAAAAATGAATGATTCTCGCTTGGAATCGAACCTGTGACCTTTTCAGTTTAGTGTAACGTTGCTAGCCACAAGACTAAGCTGTCAACTTGTCCCTTTTGATCAAAATCGATGTAGCTTTTTAAAAAAAACTTGTAGAATTCAATTTATTCGTTTTCCAAGTGCTTTTTCATCTTTCTTTGTATGAGTTGAGAGAACAGAGAGCGCAGACAGGTCAGATTCTTTCCAATGACGAAAAACTAAAAAACTGTAAATCAAATTTTTTTTTTTCCAGCGTCGCCGCCGACCTTCACACCAGCGAAAATGTCACGATCCGGAAAGTTTCGCTTCGCGACGCCGCGACGATGCGACGCGAGTACAGGAATATCCTTCTCGGGCGACTCTTGCCCCATCCTAACGTAAGGATTGAGAATATTCAAGGAAGACTGTGCCGAAAAATGAGGCACATGTTTGCTCTATGGAGAATATTGCCCTTTTTGAGAAGACCTGGAGAAAAAGCTGCTTGAAAAGTTTTGATTTGAGCCGAAAATTTAGCGTCAAGGGTGCTCCACGGATAATATTCGCTTATCTGATGGGATATTTTGAAACTAGGGTATTTTCTCATCTAGGTGCACTTTGAAAGCTGAGAAAGAAATTTGAGCCGCTTGGTTGGAGGATAGTTCGCTCCAGGGTCAAAAGCAGTTTGAGAAAAAGCGCTAAAAAAGAAGCTTAGAGATTCTGAATCAGGGCTTTTTTGATGAGTGGAGCGCAGTACGTCCTTGAGTCGATTTCCGGTCGTAATCCTCTTTTTCGTCCGGAAAGTAAACGGTTCACTGTAACAGCCTTTTCTCAATTAGAACTCCTAGTCAATCAAGAACTACAGACATCACGACCTCTGAACTAAATGACCTATTTTTCAGATCCTCAACGCCTCGGAAGCCTACGAAGTCGCGTCGCAGTTGTACCTGGCCACGGAACAAATGGACGGACGACTCAGCGATATCGTTGAAGAGCGTCTGAACCATTTCGTTGTCGCGAAAATCGCTCATCAGATCCTCGCCGCCGTCGCCATGCTCCACTCCAACTGCATCTCCCATGGGGTTTATATAAACACAATCAGACCTCTTGATCATCTCCAACATTCCAGGATTTGACCCTCAACACCATCCTGGTCAACACCGACGCCGAGCTCAAGCTGGCCACCTATGGCAATGGCGATGATTCCACTGAATGCCTTGGCGAGAAATTCCGCGACGATTTACTGTCCGTTGGAGCGATCTTGTCGCGATTCCTGATGGAGGAAGACGAGATGTTCAAGTTCTCGAAGTCAAAGAACCACAAGGATATCGATTGGCGGGTGGTTCTGGAAGGCAACACGGATTCCGGGCTTCTTGGTCAGTTTTGAAGGAGATTTAGATCTTTAAGAAGGTACTTTTTAGACTATAATGCTCGCTCGTTGCTCTTCCAACTGTTGGATGGAAGGAAATCGGCCCGGGAGCTCCTCCAGCACCCTTATTTCAAGTCTTTCCGAGCTCCAGCTCATGCCACTTTGGAACGGAGACATACTGTCGTTGGCCAGAAAAATCCCACCGAACTTCTTGGTGAGTCATTCGAAATATGACAAAAAGTGGACAAGCTCTTGAAAATTTCGTCCTGATTTCGTAATGTAAAAGTGATTATTGAAAAAAACAGTTTAACAAAAAAAAATGGGCAACTGAGAACTTCTGTAAATAACTGCGAGTTTTCGCTGGTGTTTTTAAAGGCGCATAGACAAATTTCATAGAGTTCGCGAGACGAAGAGCCGTTTTTACTGCTATTTTAGGCCATGCGAAACTTTAGCATCTCAAAAAATCCTGCGATTTTAAACGGATTACAAAATGCATTAAATACTCGTATGCCTATAAAATATGCCTGGAATGGATAAAAAAATAGAACCAAGAAATTCATTAATAATCAACCTTTTTTTGCAGAAACCCTTCGCGAGGAACTCAACCGCTTCAATCCATTCAACATGTCCGAACTGCATTTGTAATTGATTATCATTTTGAAAATCATCATCCTTTTTTATTTATTGATACCCTACGACGTGTTAATTGTTCTCATTTCTTTTTTGCTCCATTTTTTGGTTATTTTAAGGGTCTACAATGTTGTGACTGATCGATTGTACATAATTTTTCGCGTAGAAGAGTTTTTGTCAGAATTTTCTCTGTGAATGTATATCAACGTTGAAATGTGATAATGAAACTTTTTTGGGCGAAATTTTTTTCCACGTGAAAACCTGGAGGACGCATTGTTGCCCTTTGCTTCCTGAAATAATTTATTCAAGTTAGGATATCTAAACCATGTGGAAAGAACTTACAAAGCAGACAAGGAAATAAAATTCTTTTTTTCTCTTAAAAAATTACATTTAAGGGCTTTTTCTGGCATTAAAGAAGGAATATTCGAAGAAAAACGCGTCTGTCTATCAATTTGGTGTTTTTTTGTTTTTTTACAAATATGTGAAATATTGAGTAGAATGCTTCACAAAGACAAGAAAAAGAAATTTAAAAATCGACAGCTGCAGACCTTTCCGCTTTTTCGCTTTGAGACCCCACGTCAAAGTTCAAGATGTGCCTATAATACGTGGCGCAAAATTGGCTTTCCTAATTTTTTCTTTGTTTTCTTTGTATTTCATTTACATTTCATTTTTAATTTGGCTTTAAACGCTTGCAAGTTTTAGAATGCCATCAAATAATATTAGGAACGCAACCCTGGTGAGAAACTGTAAAATAGCTAGTCTGAGCTGGATCAAAAGTTTTGACCTCATGACATCGGGTCAAACCGCCAAATCTCTGGAATATTCTTGCAATTGGCGCCAAACCTTTTGTCGTAAACAACCGGCGTCATTCTTGCCTTTTTCCTCCGTGCTGGGCGGTGTGTTGCTGTATTTCGTTTTAAAATTTTTTTAAACAGGGTTTCGTTTCGTATTTTCACCTTTTATCTGTAAATAAGTTTCAGTACTGCTAGTTCCTTGTTTACAGAATAAGTTTCGATTGGAAAACTTTGAAATTTAATTTAAAATTCACTTCTTTTAAACGTTTCTTCGTGTAAAAACTGTCTACTGCTGCTATCACCACAAAGTTTATTTCGTATATCAAGTTCATCGTGTTCATTCTAATATTTATTTAAACATGCAGAACTTCGAGATATCGAGATCTAGATCGTCATTGTTCACGTTTTTATTTGCGAATGATCCTCATTTCTTAAATTCAATCCTTTTTTCAGACGGCATTTGGCGCGATTCGTTGGTTCTGGCGGCTACTGATGATGACGACGACTTCAGCTCTTCAAAATTTTAAGAATATAAGTTGTTTTTTTTTGGTTGATTTTCAACTTTGGATTTTTATGATCACGCTCCAATAAATTTTCTTCCAGGAACTTATACCCATAAGAAGGTGTAGTCGCAGAGCCACAAGCCTGACAAGGACAGGAATCGAAGGTTGAGTTCGAGGTTCGTTTAATTCCACTCCGGGTCGTTCATAACTGAGCGACTGGGCGTCTTCTCTTCCAGTCAAAACTCTCGAAGTCATACAATTTTAGATACGAAATCTCCAAGTTTTGTGCCAGGAAGTTTGGATCCAACTTCTCATCGATTTTCAACAAAGAATCTCAATTTTCTGTCGCAAAACTTGATAAATGTCAAATTTTATTTTTTTTCATGTTTTCTTTCGGTAACCACTTGGAACTTTTCAAAATTTTTTTCAAAATCATTATTGGTTTCAGGAATTCATCTTGTTTGAAAGAAATTGCTGTGGTGTTCGAAGGCGCGGAAGCATTTCACGAACAAAAAAAAAACACGAAAACTTACTCTTCATCCAAATATCTGCCTTCGAACACCCCAGCATTTTTTTTTAATTTTTTAAATTTCATTCAGTCATCTGAAATTTCTAGTCAAGTATTTATTTACAGTTTTGCATTAATTTCTTTTCAAAGTTTCCCTTAAGATTTTTTTATCATCAAAAAAAACCATTTCGAACATTGTCTCCATGTGGTTTTTTTTTCAAATTTTTCACAGAAAAGAAATTGTTTGGCTTCGAGATTTTGGCTGGAAAAGGATGGCCCAGGGTCGATTTTTGTTTTTTTTGCGCGGCGCTTGGGGCGGTGGTCGACCACGGCTACAAGTATTCCGCCAATCGATCAAATTTTTTTGAATTTTTTTTTTGCAAGATTTTTAGGTTTTCAAGTTTCACTTCTAGTTCACTCATAAAGTTTTCAGGAAGGTTCGGAGGCGCAGGGTGAGTACGATGAAATTAAAGTCGGTAATTTTCGATCCAAATTCTTCGGACTCCTCCCTGCCCCTTCAATATTTCGGAAAGCTGAGGCCGTCATCATAAAAGATTACTGTCTGTTAATTGATTCAAGAGTAAAGTTAGCTTTTTTCATTCATCATCATTTTACATAAATAAATACGTTTTTTTTTTTTTTTGAGATGTCAATCTATTCACGGACGGCATAATTTTAGGTATGCGGCCTTCGACTTCTAGATTTACAGTTTATTCACGACTTGCTTGAGGAAAGGAGAAAAATGGATGTTTGAATCTCTAAAATTCAAGCTGACTTGTTCTATTTTCGAGTTTCTTTATGAAAATTCTTTTTTTTTTTTTGAACAAATTGACTCAAGCCGGCCGAGAATTTACAGTAGCTAGGGTAGGATAAAGATTCAGGATAACATTATACTAATGTTAGCAGCAAGTCTCATTTTTATTTTTCAGCCTTTCGAAAAGAAAAATTCAACCAAAGAAGTTTGCATTTCAGTTTTTTTGGCAACGTTTTTTTGTGTTCACTGTGATGAGATAAACCTAGAACGTTGGTATAATGCGATCGTTTTTTATGTCATCTTATAGAGCCGATAAAATAGTCAGGCATACATTTAGATCATTTGACAAGCTTAATATAGCCTTCCATCAAGTTAGCTGATGACCATTCAACGGTTTGCAAATATAAGTTTTTTTTTTTTCAAAGTAGTTGTTTGCCCTTTGCTTTCAAATTTCTTATAAATACTTTGAAAACTACAAAAAAAGTGTTTTAAAACCTGAAAATGACAAACTTGTACCCGCTACTGTACTGAGAGATTAGTGAGTCGATAGAATAGTTTAGACTGTACATGTAGAAAACTTTACTTGCTTTATTCTTGCGCTGAATCAGTTCAAAAACAACATGTGATCTGTTGGTGTAACATTTGTAGCCGTGGGGCTGGGGGCCTTTGAAACAAGGATCATTTTTTGCAAAGCTAAACGCAAAATCAAAGAAAAGTCTTTGACAAATGACAATGTCAGCCAAGAGGTCACTCCAGGAGTTGAACTTGTCAAGTGAGATTTTGGTTGAGGGGAAGTTAAGGGACTCTTGGAAAGTCATGAAAAAAGGACGAATCCTTCTTGTCTTTGAGCTTTTGTTGGTCTATTTTGAATGCAAGTACCTGATGGATTTCTTAGGATACTCACTTCAGTAGGGCTTTCAAGTGTTACCTCGCAACTTGATGATATTTAGAACTTTTTCGACAAAAGGAAAAATTTCAATTTGAAAACATTCATTCGGAATCTTTTCATTCTCACAATGTTTCAGAATGACTCATTCAAACTTGTACGAGTTTTTGTAAAGTTGCGAGTTGACCTTCGAAAGTCAGATTGTCTTTGACAAAAATGTTTGACCAACCCTAGAAACTTTTTTTTTTGAACTTTTTTTGAACGTACAATTTTGAAATTTAAATTCACAAAGTTACTTTTTTTCGAAATTTGAACTTTTTGAGGAAAAAAATATTTGAAAAAAAGACAGTTTGATTGGATCTTTCTATTGATGGCAAACTAAAGACTTGATTCATTGAACACTTCAAAAAGAGACTTTTAAAAAAATTTATTAATAAGACACTTGTGTAAAAATGGATCCAACATGACTTCATCGATGAAAGGGACTCGAGCTTTTGGTATGGCTTCTCCAGAGGACCTCAGCCTTCCACTTGGTCTTCAAGTTACTTGGCGTGCTCAGCTCTTGAAGTGGCCTCTTGGCTGACATTGTCATTTTGTCATAAGAATTTTCTTTAGTTTTGTATGAAGCTTTGCAAAAAAGATTGTTTTTTCGAAGGCCTTCAGCCTGAGTCAACCATCGGCCCAAGAGTCGGCAAGAAACAGAGATCGACTGTGGGTCATCTGGAGAAGACGCCCAGAAGAGCGAGGTTATGGACGGTTCGAAGACTAATGGGGAGGGGGTTTCAGGTCGAGCGATGTGACGGGATGGATGCCGGACGACGACGTACTCCGAAAGTCAGCATTGACCCGGACGCTCTGAATCTTGATTTGAAATAAAGAATTCTCCTTCCCCTTTTGTACTTGGTTTTGTCCGGCAGGGTCGGGGCCGCTGCCGGACGGTTTTTCTCGGTGCTGCCGTTGTCGATCGGACTCTCCGCGCCCGGCCTTCACAGCTCCCTATGGAGTCTGAGGCAAGTTCTACAACTCAGGCCTTATGGGCCCGAGCCAGAGACCTCGGCCTCAGACTCCACAGGCTGGCTGTGGAACCCGAGTCGGAGGCCTTGGCCTCAGGCTCCAGAGTGCAGTGTAGCCCAAGGCCAAGCCTTTGGTAGGTGGCTCTTGGCTCGGAGAAGGTCCTGTCAAGCAAGGCTTTCTTCTTCTCTCCAAGCTCGTCTAATGACAGTTCCTTGCAAGGTCTTCCAAGCCTCTCTTGTCTCTCCACAAAGTCCGAGTTTCATCCTGAGCTTCTTGAGCTTCAACTCTTTTAACTTGACCACAAGACCCTTGGAAAATGACATGAGACTCGAGTTTTATCGGAAGTGTCTGTTGAAGCCTTATACTTTTCTCTCTTTCAAGTCTTCTGAGCTTCAAGTATTTCATGAACACTTCAATTTTCGACATCTTCTTCAATCTACCTAAATCAATCACTTCATGTGAGCTTTGATTTGAAAAAATAATGAAAAGCCGGAAATCAAAGTTGCGAGAAAAAAGAATACGTTTTTTTTCCAAAAATTTTTGAAGCGATTGACTTTGGTGAAGTGGAAAAGACTTCAAAGTTCGAAGTATCAATTGAAACCTCAACTTGGAAGTTTTGCAGGTGAATTTCGAAAAAAAAAGTTTTAAGAAAAATTTCACTCAATTTTTCCTAGTTCATATACAAGGATTTTGAATAAATAGTTTTTTTTTCTGGTGAATCACTTATAGATTTTTTTTAGAAGCAAAATACGAGTTTTTGGAGCTTTCCAAAGGTTTTTAATTACTGACTTTGATGGAGAAATCTCAATTTGTTTTCAATGGTCCCAAGTTTAAAAAAGGCAAAACGAAAAATGAACTAATTTCAAATTCAACTACAAGTTTTACCTAAAGTTTCCTAAAAACTTGTTGCATAAATAAGTCGAAATGCAAAAAGTCTCCTGAAACCTCAAACTGAAATAAAAAGTATTAAAATAGCTCAGAAGCCTTGCAGATAAACTTTGAAAAATGAGTGAAAAATTCGATCTTCAACAGCACTTTTTCGATGCAACTCTAGGTGCATGTTTTTTCAACAGATCTTCCAATCAAGTTGAGAAGAATTGGAGCTCAAGAGGCTCAGGACGAATCCCAGACTTCGTGAAGAAGACCAGGAAGGCCTAAGTAACCCCACAAGGCACTGTCAGGTGGCGTCTCAACCCGTGCATTGAAATTGAAATCGCCTGTTGGTCCAATTTAGAACGGTTCTACTTATTTCTTTTTGGTGAAAAGCCGTGAGGAAATGCTGAATTGCCTGTTTTCGATTTTTCTGGTTTGAAAAGCTAAAAATTGGCCTGGAAACCACTAAACAAAGGTTCGAACAACGTCTGTTTATGATGAAAAACTATAAAATTCTAAGAAATTCACATTTTAGAAGAAAAATTTCGCGGAATCCAAGAACTTCGATACAAAAATGTGAGTAACTTCAAAAAGTTGAAAATCACGGAAAAAAAGGCTCTATTCACTAATTTCTCTAACCTTCGTCTCGTAATTCCCAAGCCAACTATTTTATCATTGAACCAACAAATAATTTCATTCTCTCTGCACACGTTGGATATCAGGTTGCGCACGAATAACTTCCGCTTTTATGGGAAAAGTTAAAAAAATTGTGAAGTAATGAAATAAAAAAAATGGGCAGAAGAATGTGATTTGAGCATTAGAAACAAGTTTTTACTTCCGAGTGTAAAATAAATCATACGATTCATCTGGTGTTTTGAGTCTGCAATGATATGAAAGACATCCTTTAAAAAACGGAGTAAAGAAAAATTGAACAAAAGGTTAAGAAAACTGTAAATTTCTATTTAAAAAAAACGCAATTATAATTATATTAGTGTAAAGTCTAAAAAAAAAGATTAAACTCATTTTTCAAACTAAAAAATTTTGGAGAAGTGAAGTAAAAAACGGTTTTTTCTTTCATACAATCACAGAACCAGAAAACCAATAAAGCGAAGAAAAATGCATAGACGAGTGCTGATCAGGTTCAAATCTTGGGGTCTCAAGTTTTCTTGCCACAACAGAATGATCGGCAAAAAAAATTTATTGAAGTCGGAACATCAAACGATTGCATACTAGAATCAAATATATTATCACATGTTATATGAAAAATTCTTCGGGTTTTTTTTTTCCAAATGTTCTCGTATTGGCCTTTTTTATCTTTTTGAGCGAAGTTTGAATAAGAAACCGCTCATTCTTGTCGTGACAAGAAAAATTTAATAGAAATGATTTGGAAAGAAAATATAATTCTTTAAATTCTGGTTAAATTCAATCATGAATATAGTTCGGACTGGAGGGGTTCGAAAACTGAAAGAAGCAAATGAAAAAACAAAAAAAAAAATGACTCGAGCTATAAAAATGATCAAATCTATCAACCCGCAATCAAAAACTAAATTTTGGAAATTCTAAACATCAACTAACACTCTCGAGAAGAATAAACACAGCTCTAAGCTGAAGCTCAAAAAAAAAGAAGGGAGAACTTTTTGCGTCTACCATAACTTTAATGTAAAAACCGCTCCAGTCCCAACTTTTCTACAAGTGAAGCCATTTCAGCACTTATCTACAAAATCACTACGATCCAAAGAGTCTGAAAAAAACTCGAAAGAAAGTAAAAGTTTATTCGCACACAACCCAACAATCGAAGCCACCTTCAGAGTGACGAGCCTGGAGTGGAGAAGAACGCCTCGCCCCACAGTACCTTCCCCTACAGAGAGAAAGACGCATGTATGCTCGGCTGAGAACCGGCGAGAGAGCATTGACTACGAGGAGACGCTAGGCTACAGCCCTCCTCATTTTGGGCGCTCTCTAACAGGAAAAAAGCCGAGGAACACAACCGTCTTTTTCTCTGCGCCGCCACCGACCAGAGGCCCGATCCGGCAACATTCACACCGAGAGGACAGGACAGGACAAACACGGAACAAAAAACGAAACGGAAAAATCATTTTCCTTCTCGAAAATCCATTTCAATTGAAGGCTATCATCGCATGAAGCCAACTTAAACGAAAAGAAGATCAGAAAAAAGGATAGAGAAAAGCTTGAATTTTTTTAAACTAACAAATCACAAAAAGGGGTTCTATTACAATAACTTGAACAAAATCGATTGAAAAGACGGAGGATGGAAAAAAAAACCAAAGGTATGCGACGCCGTCACGTAGCGGTTGCTTTAATTTTTTTTTTCTTTTTGAAGCATCTGCATTTTATAGATTTTATCGGTTCACGACCACTTTTTCAAGACACAAGCTGATATCCTAAAATTTGAAAAAAATTCTCACTTTTTGTAAAAACTTTTTTTGAATCGGAACAGTTCAGTTGCAAAATTACATTCAGAAAAATAACTTTAATGAGAAAAGAAGAATCAAAATTCTGCTGAAAATATTTAATTCGAAAATGACAAAAAGTCGTGGTCTCGAAATGAAAAGCCTATTTTAGACGTAAGCATGGCAGTTTGGTCGTGAATGTTTTATGATCTTATTGCACCAAAATCTGATGCCGATGTGAAATTCAAAATTTGTTCGAGAACCGCGACGTGACCGCTCCGCACGCCTCAAGAGATTTTATGATTGTTCTAGAACTTTTTTTAAAACTTTTTATGGTAAGAATGGCTACATCCGATGATACCCATGATCTGAACTCAGAAAGATTAAAATTAAGTTTTTTCGGAAGATTTGCGAGAAGAAAAATAAATTTTTAATTTTTTGCATTAAAAAAAACCACGAAATTTTTACGGTGAGAAACGTCTGTTAATTAAAATTTTTTGAAATCGTGAGGAACTTTTGAAAAATAAGAATGATATTGTTTTGGATTGAAAAAGATATTATACGTTTCTCACCGTAAAAAACACAATTTTTTCACATTTAGAATACCTGAAAAGCAGGATTGCCCGTCGCGCCCGCCGCCCCACCGTATGCCTGTCGAACCGCCCATCTTTTAAATGAAGGCGCCAGGATTCAATGAAAAAGATGAAATAATTTGGAAACCTAATCACGTAATCTTATCTTTTATTTTCTCTTTGTCTTTTGATCGTACGTCATCCACGCCACGTTACGCCAAAAGTTCCTGAAAAAGCAGCACTTTTCAAAAATTATTCGCCTAAAAACAGGGGTTTCAGGAAATAGTGAAAAAAAAAGAAAAAAAAAGCTCCAAATGCTAGAATTTTTTTGAATTTTCAGGATGATTTAATGCCGTGTTCAATTTGATTCCGCGAAATGCGAAATGATCTCTGACTCTCCAAAATTTAGTGATCTTTTGCTTCCTCTAACTGGTGTTTTGCATTTCGCAGAACAAAATTGAACAACGGCATAAGAGAAAGCACAGTCACTTAGAAAAAAAAATCTGATAAAAATCTCAACGCTAAAAATTCAAAAATTACCTCGAGCAACAGCAACACACCGCTCAGCACGGAGGAAAAAGGCAAGAATGACGCCGGTTGTTTACCACAAAAGGTTTGGCGCCAATGGTAAGAATATTCCAGAGATTTGGCGGTTTGACCCAATGACGCGAGGTCAAAACTTCGGACCCAGCTCAGACTCACCATTTTGGACGCTTTTTTTGTCGGGATTACGTTTAAAATATAAATTTTGGTTATTTTACAACTCAAAAAGCTCTCTTACTAGGACGGCAACGAAATTTAGGAAGTAAATAATAAAAATGAGAAAATCAGTTTTACAGCGTGTCATTAAAGGAGCGTTGTAAAAACTAGAAATGGGTCTCGAAACGAAGAGCGTGAATGAGCGACTAGTCCAATTTTTTCGCTGAATTTTCTTCTTTTTTTACAGATTCCAATTGAATATTCACGGAAAATTAAATTTTCGAACATAAATATACCATTTTCTTTTTTCTGATCTCCAAAAAACCATTGTCAATTTTTTTCGAAATATGGGTTTTTGCTATGAGTCAATTAGGAAGTAGAGAAGTGCTATAATAATGCGACAGCGAAATGGAAATGATTTTTGAGTGTTAAACTGAAGTTTTGCAGGGAATAATCTTCTTCTCAACTGTTACCCAATAATATACATGTATTTCATTCGAAAGTGGCAAAAACGTGAAGAAAAAAAATCTAGAACAGTACCAAATATACAATTCGAACAAAGTTACAAGCCGAAGCCCCCACGACAGGAAGGACTAGGTTCTGATACTTGGCCTTTCCACTGGCTCACTGGAATGGCGTCGATTCTCAAAGCATGGACTCCGTTTTGAAGGTCATCCGCAAGGCACTGATTCACTAGCCGATGTCTCTATAAAAATTTTTCCAGGATTCTTCTCATGCAGACCATGAAACTCTCTCTAAGGAAATTCACCTCAATTACTCGTAGTCCTTCGAATTTATCACTGACTATTTGAACACGGAAATGTTTCTCAGAACCTTTCGGAACGTTATGCATATGACTTTCGCATACAACTTCTAAATGCTTCGGCTAAAAATTGAGATTAATCTACGCCATTTATTGACGGAGCACCGAGAATGTATCTTGAAGTTTGCCACGTAGCCTCTGCGCAACAGGTCCTTCTACGATGGTGCTCATACTTCTGGCGAATCGCTTGAGCATCAACGGATAGATCTCAAAAATGAATCAAACCCTGCAATGAACTTTCTTTCGGTATTGGCGTGAACACCATGAGCAAATGCGTACGATAAACTGGTATAACATGTATTCAAAGACATAAATATAAACAACCATCTTATTTCGGCATGTGGCATAACAAAGAACGAACCAAAACAAAATAGATTTAACGCTTTCGGTGGAAGACGATGGTGTTCTTCCTCTTCCAGTTCTTGGCTTGGGAACCTCCACGAGTGGCTGAGAATCGCCAGCCTTTTCCAAGACCTCGGGATTTGCGTCCAGCAGAAGTAAGTCCTCGCTGTTCGCGGTGCTTGTGAACTGGCTTGGTGATCCATTGAGTGTCGGGGTTGCGGCGGATAGCCTTGTGGAAGGGATCGATCAGGATGATCTCGTAGAACTTGTAGGTGGAGTCTTCTCCAACCCAGTACGAGTTGAGAACGCGAAGGGATCCGAGGCGACGTCCAGCACGAGCCTAGAAGTTTTACACCCTTTATCATGTTGCAAAGTCATGAAACTGAAGTATTCATCTATGAATCGACAGGGATTACCTCTGCAAATATTATCTAGCCATCAGTGGATTAAGTTAGTGCTTCAACGTGAAGCCTACCTTGCCCAGACACTGTGGCAGTCTACACAGTTATGCACTGATCAAAACAATTTCGGCTAAATGAAATCTGACGCGCTTTTCGTTTAAAATGATTTTGCGGAATAGGCGGAACCAGATATCAATATATTTTTTGAAAAAAATTTGCCCTGCAATGATATATCGCGATGTGCGCCAATTGAGTGACTTTTACGGGCAAAAATCTCAATTTTGAAATTTTCTGTGCACTTTTAAAATGAATTTCAAGAGTGCGCTTAAAAGTCACTGTAAAAAAAAAATTTTAGCTTTAAGATTCAACTTTTCTTTTTTGTAATCACAGAACTTTTATTTCCCTAATCCGCGAAATGATTTTGAACAAATAAAGAATCAATTTTAAAATCACCGAAATCACTCTGAACACGGCATTTCATAATCCAAATAAATGTGAAAAATATATCTTAATACTACTTTTTTTCTCGAATATTCTAAGCGATCTAGAAGGCTGAAACTCAATTTATTCTCTCAACCAACTGAGAAAAAATATAAAATTTAATTTGCTTAAATATCTGTTTACATTGAAAACCTACAACAACAAAAAAACATGTTGAAGTAACCTTTTTTAAAATGTAACTCCGGGAATAAAAAAATATATATATAAGCCTCCGAAGAGCATTTATAAGTATTTTCAAAAAAACAAAAACAACTTTTTAAAAAATTTACCTCAGCAATAGCTTGCTTGGTTCGGGCGTTCTTGAGCTCGTTAACTCCATGGGTCTTGGGCTTTCCGTAAGTTTGTCCCTTGGTGACTGGGCGCTTGCGGTTACCTCTGCGGACACGGACACGGTAGATAACGTAACCTAAAAAAATATGCGTTCGATTGAACAAATAAATTTCAAAGTCAGGAATTCAAAAATTCAAAAAGCTCTGCTGAAACAGATTAGATTTTGCACCTAACCTGATATTTTGAATTTTAATGCCTTATTCAAAGTGAATCCGCAAATTATAGAATAACTGTCAGAGATAGAAAAGGATAACTAAATTTTGGAAAATCAAGGATCATTTTGTTTTCGCGGAAATTACTTTGAACACGACATAAGAAATTAATGATGCACAAGGCATGAGTATTCCGCTTTGAAATTAGTTCATTCCAGCATCGAACATTGTAGCTGTTCACTAGAATGAATATTATAAAAACAAAAAAAAATCTAAAGAAAGGACCAGCGACATGATGCTAAAATGGAAAGCACCAAACCCTCTTTGTTTTGTCTCTGAAAATTTTTTTCTGAGAAGTGGAAAGCATTCGTGAGGAGCCTTTTCCAAATAATATTTCAAATAATGCGAGATTATTGCTCCAAGATCTTATCAAGGATAATCATGCACATTTAAAAAAAAAATCGGCCTATTGAATAAAATTTTTGTGATTCATCGAAAAAAAAAACTGTCTGAAACGCAAGAAAACTCTTCTGAAAACGGTTTTTAGAGCAACTTTAGAGCGCCGATGAGCACGCCATAAATGTATAAAAGAAATAATTAATTGGAAATACCTTGCTTGGCACGGTATCCGAGACGACGAGCCTTTTCAGGTCTGGTCGGGCGGCTGACTCTGTGGACGGCCGAGAGTTGGCGGTACTGCCATGTCCGGATGCGGAGAATGTAGCGCATAGCCTCGGACTGCTTCTTGCGCCATATCTCTTGCATATACTTGTATGCACCCATGTTTCCTACAAAGATTCATTTAAATAAAATCAATTCAAGAAAACTTGAAACGAGAAATAAACGATTTATGAAAGAATTATACATATGAAAATTATTTGAAGAGTATTAAAAATATATGAAGTCAGAGAAAACTTTGATTCCAGCGAAATTATTTTTGAACACGGCATGAAAAGGATAAAATCAACAGAAAAAAAAATTTAAGTCTTCAAAAAGCGTCCAATCAACACATTACGAAAATTAATAAGATAACTTAGATCCATTCAACATATGGAAAGCCTAAATGAGCTGGATAAGAGGAGGAACAGTTGAAAAAAACCAAAAAAAAACTTTTTTAAAGAAAAAAAACTTAATTTTTCAACGATTTTTCGGTGGAATTTCGGAATTCAAATATCGCCAATACTTCAACCTACTCATTAATCCGTCGTAAACATCAATTTTTCTTACCGAAAAAAACAAAAAAATTTAATTAAAAAAAGAATTTAAATTAAAAAAATCTTTAGGCCTGACCCGCCAGGCCTCCTTCTTGCACACTCGCTGTACACTCCGCGCCATTTCACGCCATTACCGTAATCTGCGGTGTTTGGCTACTTTCCAACGGCTCCTGCGATTTACACTGTCATTTTTTTCTGTTTTGTTTATTTCGAAGAATTCATTGTATAATTTGCTTATAATTTTTGCTTTTTCATTTATATTTTTTTGATAACTAGACTTTTTTTAACTATCTAAAAAGAAGCCTATTTGTGAATTTTTCAACTAAAAAAAGGGAATTTTTTGAGAAAATTGAACATTATTATTTTTTTATCAAATTATATGAAAATCAAAAATGAGATATTTCATAAAAAAATTCCCGATCTATTATTTCAAAATGTCCTGATTTGAAATTTCTAAATAGTTCTGCTCTGAAAACTATTTCGCAATAGTGTTTCGCTAGGTTCCCTTGTTTGTTTGTTGTTTTGCATCATCTTGAAATTTCGTCCATCACGTGTAGTTCTTTCGCGAAAGCGCTCCCCATTGTCATTCTTTGTCTCATCTTGCCCATTAGCCGGTTTTACTTTGTTTTATTTTTGTCCATTTTTGATAAAACTTCAAGTTTTTCAGAAAATGATATCCCGATTTGCGCTTTCTGGAGCCTCCTTTGTCAATTTCAACAAGGGAATCCGTCATTTTGCCAACACGGCGACTCGTTCTGCGAGATTCCAAGGAGAACGCGGCGGTGGCTTCGGTTCAAGATTCAGTCAGCCATCCGTAAGTTGATGAAAGAAAAAAAAAATGGAAAAAGATATTTTCAGGGTTTCGGCGTCCGTACAGGACCAACTTTGAAGGAACGCCTGTTGGGTCCAACTACTGGAAAACGTTAGAGAACCTCCAAAATGATGAAAAAGTTATTGAATTCAGCATTTCTCTACGGAACGTATGCACTTGGAGGTGCAGCAGTTTTTGGCGTTGCTTCTTTGATGTACTACGGATTGATTTCTAAGGAACGGAGTATTTTGCAGAATAGCGCGTAAGTTCAATATATCACTAATTTGTGTGTTTTTCATGTAGTTTTTGTTATTCTGTTCAAAATTCCTTGTTAGAGAGAAAATTTTATCGTTTCCCCTTTTATATCTCTTTTTGAAAGTTTAGGCATTTTATCAACACATTTTATAAAGCTTTCAAGGCGTTTTAGCGTTGAAGCAAACTTGCAAGGATTATTGAAAAGTTTGTACATTTTTCGTATTTTCTTCTATTTTCTATAGAGCAACCTATGGGGGAATATTTCATCATCATTTTTTTTGAAGTTTTAGACAGTTTATTGATGAAAAGTGTTCAAAAACATTCAAAGAAGGCCCAAAAAAAAAAGTAATTCATCCCTTTTCCCACAAATTTATGAACCCCTCTCTCTAGGAACATGCAGTGATTATAAACTAGCGTCTTCAAAAATCTTTTCCTCACCTTTTCGTAGCTTCCTGGCTTAAAAATTCCGCAAAAAAAGTCCAAAAGGTGCAGTTTTCACCGATTTTTTTTTTTCCAGTCTCTGGCCCCAATACGTTCGCGACCGTTTGGCTTCAACTTACACTTATTTGGCCGCTGGTTTGGGAGTGACCGCCGCTAGTGGATATGCTTGCAGTAGAAGTCCTGCCATCATGAGATTGACCGCTGGTGGCGGAATGTTGGTAGGTATTCTTGGAAAAATTCTGTCAAATCTATGAAAAATAGGGATGAAATAGGAGTTTCAAAGTATTGTGTTATATTTTTGCACTGAAAATGATGAATTTCAAGATGGATGATGGATTTTTCTACTGAAAATGATGGATCGTCACAATTTTAAAGCAGTCCCAGACTCTTTTCTGGGTATTTAGAACAGTCTAGGCCGATTAGAAACCATGTCAAGCTACCAAATATCATCAGGAACCACGAAAACCTCAATTTTCAGTCGCTTTTCGCCACGATGGCCGTGATGATCGGCTCTGGAATGGTGGCCCGATCGATTGACTACGATAATACGCTTCCCAAGCACCTCGCCTGGCTTGTTCATTGTGGTCAGTTGAAAAATAATGACGATTCAGTGTTTTAAAATGAATCTTGCGAAAAATGAACCTTCTAGAAGCTTTTTCTTGAATTTCTGCCTTGAAGAAAAGCCGAAAAAAATCATGACTACGGAATTTTTTGTCTAGAAATCTGTTCAGAAAACAGAGAATCTCTAAGGAAGATTTTTAAAAAAGATTTTCATCAGCTTACTGAATCTTGAACCTTTTCACAACTTCCCTGGACTTTGTTGCTTTAAAAATATTCTCTAGGATCCCAGAAAAGATAATTTTAGGAATTACGTCCCGTAGAGAAACGCTGAATTCAATGACTTTTTCATCATTTTGGAGGTTCTCTAACGTTTTCCAGTAGTTGGACCCAACAGGCGTTCCTTCAAAGTCGGTCTTGTACGGACGCCGAAACTCTGAAAATATCTTTTTTCATTTTTTTTTTTCTTCATTTTACGGATGGAATCTTGAACCTTTTCACAACTTCCCTGGCCCTCTTGTTTTAAAAAAATTCTCTAGGATCCCAGAAAAGATGACTTTTAGGAATCATGGGAGCCGTTTTGGCGCCGCTTTGTTTCCTCGGCGGCCCGGTTCTGACGCGTGCCGCTTGGTACACTGCCGGTATTGTTGGAGGTGATATTTCCTCATACTTTCTCAATTTAAACCCAATTTTCCAGGCCTCTCCGCCACCGCCATCACGGCCCCGTCGGAGAAGTTCCTGATGATGGCCGGACCTTTGGCGATGGGCCTCGGCGTCGTTTTTGTCGCCAACATCGGGACCTTCTTCCTGCCTCCCGGATCTGCCCTTGGAGCTAGTGAGTTTCCCGATTTTCCTCTTCTTCAGAAGGAAAAATGACCAAAATTCATGGAAAAAGGAACAAATTTAGTGTACGATTTCCTACAAATAAAAGCTTTTTTTTCTTGTCCTGAATATATGATTCGAAAAAAAAGAAGAAGAAGTAAAAAAATGGATCGATTTCTCAAAACTCTACTTATCATACCCTACAAAAAAAGGTTCTTTAAAAAATATTTCATGTTTTTTTTAAACTGATAGGTTAACTTCAAACAAACTTTTGTACATTTAAAAATTTCAATATGCCCTTTAATTTCATAATTTCAAAAAAACCGACACCTGAAATTTTTACATAGTAATCCTTCCTCATGAAACTCCACATTTCGCCCTAATTTTTGAGATAAAAAGTGATTTTTCCGATGGAGTAGGTCATGTATTTCCTTATTTTAAGAGATACGAAAAGATGGGGTTTCGGCAGGAATCTTTCTGGAATTTTCAAAAAATGCGTCTGTTAACTGAAACTTCATCAGAGGTTAAAAAGTTTACAGAAAGTTTCAGAAAGATTTAATTCCTTACAAGAAAGTTGGGACCGAAACACTTTTTTTGGCTTGTTTTCAGACAATTTTTATCACAATACCAGGCTTCTTTTTGAACTGAAACAATCTTGAAACTGTTAAATTCTGATTAAAACCCACCGAGTCGACTTGCAGGCCTCATGTCGGTGGTGATGTACGGCGGCCTGATCCTCTTCTCGGCGTTCCTGTTGATGAACACTCAGAGAGTCGTCAAGATGGCCGAGACGCAGCCCCATCGGTCGCAGTTCTACGGCGCCGAACACGCCAGCCAGTCGCAGTTTTTCGGCACTGAACCCATGGCCGTCAAGTCTTTCGATCCGATCAATGCGTTGGTTTTTGATATCGGGGAAAATTCAGAGGGAAACTTCAAAAATCTGATCCAGTAGATGCAAACTCATTTTTCCTTGACAGTTTCTTTTGATCCGTTAGTTTTCAATTTAAGCATTCCCAATGGGGGGAGCGCAAAGTTTCTGAATTTACAAAAAAAAGTAAGTGCGCGCTCCGGACAAAATGACGTCATAATTACACTTTCTTCGACGACCGCCTTTGGCTGCGTACTTGATATTTCAAATTTCGCGCCAAATTTTTTTTTTTAGACGTCTCCCCACCTCGTTTTGTGACGAGGAAGAAGTGATTAGCTCCGAAAGAATCATGAGAAATAGAAATAGCTCAATTTTCAATAATTCAAGGGTTTCGAAATCATTTTTCCATCTGTTTTCTGATAGATTTGAGCTCAAAATGGTTCAATATTGGAATTTTCGGCTAGATCTACCCAATAAATTTGAAAGTAATGTCCATTTTCTTAAATTTGCGTAAAATTTGAGGGATTTCTAGCCTTTTCTCAACCTTAATTTTTGAAATTCCGTCTTTTTTCAGCCCTCTCAATTTTTACTCGTTTCTCTACACTTCAGTTAAATCTATACCAAATTCCAAGAATAATAAGTTTTTAATTGATAACAACAAAAAAGACCCCAGAAAACCTTGAAAAACCCCGCTTGAAAACTTGAAAAACGCAAGGTTGCCATTAACAGCGGCGCGATGAGTCATAGAGCGACGCGTAAACAGCGGCGGGTCGGTCGCACGCTGGCAGGAGTGGTACATAAACGAGTCGAATGACAGCGACTGCCGCCCGAATGAACCGTGGCGGTCTGCGGTGCAGACTTCAAATCTGTAGGCGGTTAGCCCCGCAGTGGTTCGACTCCACCTTTCGGGTGTCGGAGAAAAGGATTTTTTGTTGAACATCATTATCGATTTTACCAACTTTCGAGGATTATATATTTTTGTCGATTTAAAGTTCAAGGAAAGAACCAGTTTTTTAAGCCCTGGCGCAATAGAAAGGCTCTAAAATGTCTCAAAAAGGTATTTTTATTATTATATTTTTTTGCTGATTTAAAGTTCAGTCATTATCGATTTTTATAAACTTTTTGATGAAAGAACCAGTTTTTTTAAGACCTGGCGCAATAGAAAAGTTCTAAAATTCCTCAAAAAGGTTATTTTTATTATTTAAATTAGAGTTTTTTTGTTGAAATCAAGTTCAATCATTATCGATTTTACCAACTTTCGAGGAAAAAAATAATTTTTTTAAGACGTGGCGCAATAGAAAAGTTCAAATATCTAAAATTTCTCAAAAAGGCAATTTTATTATTTTAAATTTTTTTGTCCATTTTCGGCCAAATAAAAAAATCTTAAGATTCTTACGGAAGCTTAAAAAGCATAAAATATGAGATTTTTTTCATCATCAAATTTAAGTGCCATTTTTATTGAACAAGAAATAATTTTGAAAAAAATTCCTTTTTTTAAAAAGTTGACTTTAAGGTTCTTAAATTAAGAAAGTTCCAATTTATGAAAATCTTGGGGAAAATTTGGAAGAAATCCGAAACTAGAAAATTAAGACCATTGAGAAAATATACTTTTCAATGTTTTTTAGCTGATTATCTAAAATCCTAAAATTTCCAGCCAACTCTCAATCTACATGGACGTCCTGAACATTTTCATCCGCCTGGCGATGATTATGGGCGGAATGGGCGGAAACCGGCGAAAGTGAAGAAACGGCAATTTCAACTAGTCAAATCTCAAGATTCTCCTCGACTTCGTCTCTTATTTTGAACAGAGAAAGATAAATAAATTACTGATGCTTTATGGGTACTGATAAAGCCATCATTTTCTCTGTTTTTGTACAATTTTTTGAGTCCTGCTTTCCTAGACTAGTACTGGTATTTCTCGAAAATATTTCCCTTGTACATTTTTTCGGTGGATAAACGTTTATTGTTTGCGATTTGGGCAAGGTTCTGGTTTTCATCTGGTCATTGAGATAAGAACAAGTTGGTTCCTAGGGGGGTATAAAAACGATTGGCGATATCGTGGAGGACAATATACTGATTTTTCTGGTCTAGTGGTTTTTTCTTCATTCTTAAGAGGCTACTTAAACTTGAAAAGTGTTTTAATTCGTTCTTTCAGATTGCTTGACGTCTTCTAAGAATCCTGTAGACCTCCTAACGTCTCCTTAACCTCATCTAATTGTCTTCAAGTTTTCTTAACTTCGACTCGGGGCATTTCTAGTGACCACTACAGTAGCGTCAGCACCCTTAAGTGATCCCTAGAATCCCCTTAAGTGATCCCTAAAGCCCCTTAAGTGATCCTAGAATCGCCCAGAAACATTCGGAGCACTTCTGTTTCGCGTTACGAATGTCCTAGTAGTTCGAAAGGATTCTGAACGTCTTCTAGCTTCTTTAATCTTGCTTTGAACGTCTTCTATACCTTCTCAACTCGATTCATTCTTCGTGACGTCTTCTGAATCTCCCTTAAGGTAATAGTCAAGCCAGAAGATGTCCTCGCACCGAGTGATAATCGGCGCGGTGACGGTCGGCACAGCCGTGACCGTCGTGGCGACGTTGTGCCTCGCCGTCGGCCTCCTCTCCGACATCAACGACTTCTACGCCGACGTCACCAGCGACCTCGGCGAGTTCAAGGTTCGACGAGGTATTCTGAAGCTGAAGAAGAGAGCCTTCAGGGATACGCTGACGACGCCTGGCGTACGATGATGGTGTCAGAGGGCGGACGGTCGTCGTCGTTGTTCAGATCCAGAAGACAGGCCTACAACGAGCAAGCTCCGTCGGGGGCTGTTGACAGCGGCAGTGGAGGAGCTTCTAGCGGAGGCGGTGGCAGCGGCGGCGGACAGTGCAGTGAGTCTCTTTCAAACTATATCCAGCTAACCCTGTCAGAAGAGAAAACTGAACCTGTCATACTCAAAAACTGAAACTTTCTCGAAGAAGTACTCAACCAACTTTTTCAGACTGCGCCGCTCAAGCTTCCGGCTGCCCAGCTGGTCCACCAGGACCTCCAGGAACTCCAGGAGAGCCTGGCGAGCCAGGAACGGCGGGAGAAGACGGCAAGGCCGGCATGGATGGACTCGCTCAGATGGCGATGGAGGCGATGGGCGGCTGCGTCAAGTGTCCAGAAGGACCACCCGGACCTGCTGGACCAGACGGACCTCCAGGACCGGCGGGACCTGACGGAAACGCTGGACAAGCTGGCGAAGGAGGCGGCGAGGGAGAAGCCGGACCACCTGGACCACCGGGACCACCTGGACCAGATGGAAAGAACGGAAACGACGGTGCGCCAGGAGAGCCAGGAGCTGCAGGAATGAAGATGACGAACACGCCAGGACCAGAAGGACCAGCCGGAGCGCCAGGACCGGCTGGACCAGCTGGAGAGGACGGCGCGGCCGGAGCTGGAGCCGAAGGACCGGAAGGACCAGCCGGACCGGCTGGAAACCCAGGAACTGCCGGAGCGGACGGACCCGCTGGAGACGCCGGAGCTGACGGAGCTCCAGGAAGCGACGCCGCCTACTGTCCTTGCCCGCCGAGGTCTTCGATGTTGTCGGCGTCGGCCGGAGCGACGGATGCCGCTGCCGAGGCTGCACCAGCCGCTACTGCTGAAGCTGCTCCAGCTGAAGCTGCTGCAGCACCAGAAGCCGCTCCAGAAGCAGCGCCAGAAGGTGCTGCTGCTCCTCCACCAACCGAGGAGTACAAGTCGGCGGCTCCCGGTGAGAACAGCCTTTCTTACAAAGACGTCTAACTCTCTTCCTTTCGCACACTCTTTCTAAAACCTCTTTTTTCAGCAGAAGCCCCAGTGGAGCAGCCACCAGCCGAGACAGAAGCTGCTCCAGCTCCAGCCTACCCTACTAACAGCTACTACAAACACTAATTTATTTCATCAAAATAAATATTTCAGTCTGAAAGTCTAAAGGAACGCGTGTTCGTGAAAGGCAACTGCACTTGACATTTTTATCGAAAAAAAATTGAAACAAAAAAAACGTCATGACTCAAGAAGCACTCAAAAAGTGAGCGAATTGGACTTTAATATGCGGTTTTGAGTGTCTTTTTAGTAATTGGATATAGGTTTCAAGAATTTTTCAAGACATTGGACTTGAAATTAACTAAAAAAATGAGCATTGAATTTTTTTAAAATGTAGATGCCTCCCATAAATCATCGAAAAAGACTTGAAATTTTACAAAAAAATTGATTTTTAAGGCCTGAACTTTGGTCTACAGTCTGATGTGAATAAAAAAATCCCTTTTTTCAACTTTTTTAAAACTTTTTTACATGGATTTCAGTAGCTTCGTCTGTAATTTGACACCTTCTAATAAGTTTTCAAGTCTTACTTCAAATGAACAGGTCTAAAAACCTCAAATTTAAGCTTCAAACTTTGAAAATTCTCAAAAAGAGCCAGGAAAAATTGAAACGTCACATGACATAATCGCATAAATACAAAACGTTGCACAAATTGCAAAATATATTCCAAGAAAAATGTTTTTTTCTTTCTAATCTCAGCAACACTTCCGATGCGAATCACTTTATAAGACTTTAGTTAAACATTTAGAAAGTCCTGGGAACTTTTTGCATGAATCTTCTAACCAGGCGACTCAATAGATGTAGTTTTTTACGCTGATTCCGAATCTGTGCTCAATAGTTGCCTTCGAGGCTTGTGAAAAAAGTTAGGGGCTCTCAAATTCGATTGGTAAGCATCTAAAAAACCCAGGAAAAATTTTATCAGTGAAAACCTAGGAAAAAAAAGTTTAAGCCTTCAAAAGGTACAGAAAAAGTCAGGGTATCCTCAGTTTATTTTAAAAACATACATGGGATGAGCATGACTGACGACAGCCAAGACCCCCCCCGCCCCCCATGCTGGAAAAAAATAATATTTTTGCTAATTCATCGAAGTGACGCCAGAAAATGTGAAATTTCTCTTTTTTTCCGATCACTTTCAACTAAAAATCGCTTCAGCCAATCAACTGAACCTTGAAAAAAATGAGCAGTTTGTATCTTATTTTCGGATTCAGCACCATCAAACTAAACTAATTCAATGATGCTGAATCCGAAAATGAGAAGCGTTTTTTTCTCCGATCACTTTTAACTAAAAAAACCGCACAGAAATTTTTTTACAGCCCTCCCCCCCTTTTTTTCTCGTTTTATTGCCAAGTCCCCCCCCCCTTTTTTTCAGGTCCTCCCATGTATGTTAAGACTCTCCACTTAAAACTGGACTACGAGAATCTCAAAGAACTTTTCTCCCAAAACCTCCAAAAACCCCTCCACAGGAAACTCGAAAAGTCACTTAAAAGAGAAAATTATAATAGTAATTCGGTTTCCGTTTCAATTAGGAAATGGACTGGAAAAGGCGTTTCAGCCGAGGTCCGCCCACATATTTCCCCCTGGTGTACTCTCCGAGAGGGCTCCTCCTCATTTTCCAGTTCATTCGTATGCTTTTTCTTCTCATCTTGTTAATATTCCAGCTTCGACCCAGATAATCCATCTTTTCATTGGGTAAATTCTAGTGACACGCATTCCCACATCATTTGGTTGAGTTCTATTTGAAGCTACTTTTTGAAAGTTCCGACATAATTGAAGTTCAAGGGATGAGGTTCAAGATTCAGAAGTCTGACCAAAAAAATTTCACTCAAAAAAAAATTTCTAATGAAAAAAAACTGCTAAAAAAAATTCAATTTATCTCAAAGGCCTGTTTTTTTAACGTCAAATGTGCTCCACTGACATTTTTTTCCTTATTAGAAATACTCCTTTAATCTTTTGTAGTCATCAAACTAAACAAAAAAAACTACAAAATTTAATTTCTGCTCGATTTTCCAGGAAGATCTCTGAAATTTTCAGAAAAGCCTTATTTTCGGCGTCATTTGTGCTCCAATGACAATATTAGCCGAAAAAAATTAGCATTTTTGAATGAGACAATGTCCTCATAATGAGCCAAGTTGTCCTTTTTTCTATAGTTATGCAAATTCGAGAAAAAAATTTTTCTTTCTGTAAAAGATTCAGAAGCGATCTTTTCAATTGAATGTACGCTCCATTGATAAAAATTTTTTTCGAGAGCGATTTTCAAGATTTTTCATTTTCCAATGATAAGGCCTTTAATAATGGACTGAAAGAAAAATGAAAATTATTTTAAGAAGTCACTTTTATGAAAAAAGGCTATTATTAAGCTAGCTAACGCGCTCCATAGACAAAAACCATGTTATTTGGTTCTGGAAAGCGTAAATATTGTTCTAAATCGTCATTTTTTCATGAAATATCGCTCATTTCACGCCATTCTTTGCCATGTTAATAAGGGTCATCATTTTCTCACAATTATGGCACTTTTTTAATTGTTTGTGACTGAACTGACGGAGTCAGAAGCCTGATGGGAATTGTCTGGGCGGAAAAAAAACGTCTCCTGAGATTTATTTCAATATTACTCATTATGTCCTGATGAAAAGGTCATATCACCTTATATTCGTCATTTTTTATCATCATAATTGATAATTAAATTAATTTTTTCTGGAGATTTCTGGTAGGTTATTGAGCGTTGATGAGTGATATTTGAAAAAAATCAACTCTTAGGGAAAAATCTGATAAAAAAATACAGGAGTTTCCTGTTTCAAGCTTCGAGGTTATAAGGTTTTTAGAAAATCGAAAAAATGAATTTCTTGGTTAAATTTTTTTTGGAACCTGTCATCTCCTAACCTTAAATGACTAATCCATGGCTTGAAAAATCCCCTTTTTTTCAATTTTTCTAATTTTCTTGGAATATCCTGGATCATCCGGATAGCTTTGCTTTAAAGAAAATTCATCGAAAAGTTAAAAAATCGTCAGATTTTCGTGGAAAACCCTTGAAATCTTGACATTTCCAGAAAGTTGGATCAAAAAAATCTCAATCTTTATTTAATAAGTAGTTTGAAATGAAAGCGGGCGCATTTGGAATGGCTCAGCGGCTGCGAAGCGGTTTGTTAAAAATGCGCCGGACCCTATCCGACTTGCGCGCAGCAGCATCAGGACTTTTGAAGTCTTAAATTTTGGCCAAGTTCTAGATCTCTGTTAAACCTCACATATTACTGAACTAATAATCTCCTTTTTTCCGATCCAAAAAAACGTCCCATGAGAATTCGTATCGCAAGCTTTTCGGCGTAGAAAATCCCCGCCTCCAAAAGAACATTTAAGCTGCAAAATCTCCTGCCTCCACATTTTTTTTCTCTATTCTTAAAACAATCAAGTCGTTCTCGAGTCACCTGTCTTACTAATAAACTAATTTACCTTTTTTTTGAAGAAAGAAGATTTCAGGCGTGTTTTTTTCAGTCATCGGTGAATGGACTATAACTTTGAAAAATCCAAAACGTTAGGAAACATTCTTGGAAGGTTTCCAAATCAATGTAGTCATGAATTATTGCTCCAGGGGATGTTTTTTTCTTCCTTAAAAAAATTTTTTTGTCAAAAAAATTAGTCATAAAACTTCGGAAAAAGGTACAAAAAAATTCAGGGAAAAATTCTCATTCTATACAAATTTGTCCCGCCCTGGCCTATCCATTCAGTTATGACTAATCTTGAACATTTTTAAGATTTTCAAGCTCCTCCCAATGTCCACTCAATCGCTCGAAAAACAACTTTCGCCACTCTCCAAAAAAAATCCTTTCAAGAGCCGACAAAAAATAGAGACCTAGGGTTATTAGAAGAAATGTCCGTTCCTTCGCCTGAATGGACCCAACAGCTGGGACCTCTCTCCGCTTATTTGTAAAAAAAAAAGACCCTTTCATCACTAAAAACTCAATTTTCGAGCTCTTCAAAGTACATTATACTTTTTTTAAAGCCGTTTTAAGACCTTTCTGATACTTTTCTTAGGGTAAAATATCACTGAAATCCTTGGAATTTTGAAAAATGAGAAAGCTTTTAAAGATCCAGATTCCCTAGGAGACCGGATAAAAAAAGGTTTAGGGGCAATAAAATCAGAGTTATATTTAAAATAAATATCATTCCTTCAAAAAATCTTAGGAATTTAGTTCATACCTTCCATTTCAATGGAAAATCGGGTGTAGTAAAAAAATACAGGTATAAAATCCAGGTATTTTTACGGCTTCTCAGAATTTTCTGGCCGCATGTAGAATGGCTAAACGCGTCGCGGTTCAAGTAAGCTTTTTGAAACTTTTTTCCGCCCCTAATTTTGAAAATTTATGAATAAAAAGAAGTGCGCAAGCCGTTTTAAGTCGGGTGCACTTTCTAGCAAGCCGTACTGAGCCATTCCCAGTGCGACCAATTTGTTCCTAGTCAATCTCATTTGGTTATTTCTTAACATGAAGACTGCAGTATTAGAAAAAAAATAAATAAAAAAATTCAAATTTGAAAATTAACAAATTTGTTCTGGACCCTAACAGCTGAAAAACCCCTTTTCCGATTTTTTTTTTACCTCTACATTTTTTTTCTTTTCTCTTTTAGTACCTAATTACGTCATTTGCCTACCTCGTTAAAATTCGTAATTATTTTTTTCGCCGAATATCCCTTTTTCTGGGAAAACAATGTCTGCGTTTTCCTACATTTTCGCATATTCTCTTTTTTTTTCAAAACGTTCACGTTCAATGAAACAAAAATAACTAACAGAATGCAAACGGCGCTCATTTCTTGGCTCCTCCTCCTGTTGGCCGTCGCAGTCGCTTCTCAACCCCTGTTCGGCCTCGAAAAGCAGTTATTGTACTCGTTTCAGGACCCTGACGAGGTAAGAACATCATATGGAGCAAAATAAAGCAAGAGAAAAAATGGCAAAAAGGGAAGTAGGTTCCACCGAGATTCGAACTCGGGTCGCAGGATTCAAAGTCCTGAGTGCTAACCGCTACACCATGGAACCGGTGGGGGCGCGTCGCGCACTTTGGCGACAAATTCCTTGTCCTCGCGCACGGACTTTCCAATACAAACATTGAAAATTTCTAGTTTGAAGGAAGAACTTCGCTTTTATCATGATTACAGGTGATTAGAAAAAAATTTAAATGTCAATTTTATTGGCATTTTTTTACTTTTTATAGGAAAAGTTTTTTTCCTGATTTTTTTATTTGAAGTTACAGATAAAGAACAAGAGTTTTGTAGGAAAATTGAACTTTTCAGGAATCTATAAATTTTTCGTTGTGTTAATTATGTAAAGATTTGACGCCTCACGAAAAAATTTTCAAAAAAAAAAGAATAAATTTTCTTTTCCCGCTTGAAAAGTGAGGAAAATTTCAGAGTCCCAATATTTTTTCAAAAATTTGTGAATTTTCAGTTCGAAGTGATTCCACAAAAGCGAGTTCCATTGTTGAATCTTTTCGGCCCAAACAGCCGATTCACGGATCCTTTCCGCAACCGGATCTACAAGAAGAAAATTCGCTCCGTTCAGCCTAATGGTTCGTTTTGAGCTTTGTAAAAAGTGATTTGAAAAAAGTGAGCTCCTCTGATAGCGAGAAAATTATTAGAGTCGCTTCAAAACGGAATCAAAAATATTTAAAAAATTGGTGCATTTAGCCCTATTTTAGAGCAAATTCGCCCGACTGATAACAAAATTATCAGTAGAGCACATTTGAATCAAATCGAAAAAGCTCAAAAGCCAAATTTCAGACCCGATTCTACTACCATGCGGAAAGGAGGAGTGCCCCTACTTGTACAAATGAAATAAAGCAAAAAAATCACACGTATATAATCACTTTCTCAAGAATTTCAGATAGAAATCAACTTCGTTTTCAAAAAAAAAAACAATCGAATAAAAGTTGAAATTTACCACGTTTTATGCAGAAAAAATAAATACAAACGATTATGCATGCTATATGGGTAGAAGCTCAGGAAAAGGTTTACCTTGTATGTTTTTGGAAAAAACGACAATTTCAATAAGGAGGGAAAAAACACGTAGTTCAGGTTCTTGGCTGAATGAAACACGTCGGATGCTTGGCGAATAAATAAATGCTCATAAATCCCAGAAAAAAGAGCAAATTGGTTAGAAAACGGAACAAATATCGAAGGAAGAAGTATAGCACGAGAGTAGAAGAATCATGGCCGGCGGGAGAACATATTTCGAATAAAATGATGAAATTGGGGCTCAAAACTTGATGGAAAAGCCGAGTCGTTCGAGAATCGTGCCCATGAGCGTTGTACGGAGACCGCTTCTATAAAACGTATCATTTCATTATTTTTTCGAAGATAAGTGGTTTTTTTTCACGAAAATAGTAAATTTATCGACTTTATTAGTTTTTCTTTCGAAAATTTTCCTTCTAAAATCACGAGGAAGTTATTTTCTGACCAAAAATTGAAAATTTGGTTTTTGTAAATTTTTCTTGTGGCAAGAATCAACGAATTCCAGAGTTTTCTTCCAAAACTCACGAAAAATGTGCTGAAGACTATAATCTATTCTAATATCAACAGTTAGCGGAGATAAGAAGCTTTGCGAATTGTTTTGACGCAATTCGTGACCAACTTTTACGTCATTACTCTGATAAAATGATCAAGTTAACCAGGAACAAACTCCGAGGTTTTTAGTCGCTTCCAGCGCTTCAAAAATCATCCTCATCGAAAATTTTGTTTGATGCGAGTAAAAAGAAAGTAAGAATGCGAAAATACATATCTGAAATTTTTTAAAGTGGATTTTTAGAGTTCTTTGCAAACTAAAAAGAGGAAACCGAGGTTTGAGAAGCAATTTTGAACCATTTTTGAACTACTATACTCAAAATAACAGCTGAAACGGTTCATTCTGAAGAACTAGAACTTCTCCATTGAAATGAAAAATAAAAAGAACCTTTCGGCGAGGTTCGTCGTTTTATTAGCAACACCGCGAAGACGCAAAGACGCGTGGATCAGAACTAAAAGCACTGGGAACAAAATGCTGGAAAATAATCGGTTTAGATTAATTATCGAACGTGAAACTAACGCAAAAAGGACAACAAAAACAGAAGAAAGGACGCTGATGAATAAATAGGCGACGATGATGATTGCGCCGAGAGTGATCAACGGATGATCTTTCCTCATCTGGAAAAAAGGGTAATTCTTGAAAAATGACCAAGAACATTTCAAATATTCTCCTGTAGCTTGAAATCTATTTCCAAACTCCTGTATGATTTTTTCAATTCTTCTACAGGCCTTCATATTACGAAAATATTTCTGTTTTTTTCTTTTTTTGAGCTTGAAATTGACCTAAATACTATGACAGAAGTAAATGCGTTCTGAAAATCATCAGATCCATCGATTTCTGAAGAAATCTTTGATTTTCGAAAATAAGTAATAAAAAAATATTTCTTCACCTCTGCATCAAGTTATAATGAAAATATTCTTCTTAATTTCAAAATCAACCTTTTTAACAAAGAAATCCTCCAAGTGCTAGGTAAATATGTAATCCTTATTTTCGAAACCAAAAAGTACAAAAAAATCAACACAAACCGTGTGGATATTAGGATTAAGTGAGCTCGAGAAAATCGCAACGCCCATCGCCGCCACAAGGGCAATCAGGCCGATGAAAATGTCCTGAAAACATACACATAAGTAAAATTTCTCGGAAAAAAAAAACCTGAGCTGAGAAAAATGTGTGGAGGATGAACATAAAGGCCAACATGGCGAAGTAGTTGGTTTGGAAGTAGAGCAAATTCGACATTATTCGGTTGTTCCATTTGGGTAAATCGTTGAAGGGTGGTCGCTGAAAGGAAAAAATGAAAATAAAAGAAGAAAAATTTTGATTTTCATGAAAACCATAAGAAAAATCGTTCTAGAAAACTTAGAAAATTTTATTTATATATTCATTCATGACAAAAATGTGGGATACTCTTAAAAATCGTATTAAACCTGAGAAAATTCGATTTTCGACATATTTTCAGTGGGCCAGTGAAAGGGATATTACGATGGAAAATTTAAAAACTTATCTCACGATCTAGAAAACAATTTTTTCAGCCAAATTGGAACGATAAACTCATTTTCAAGTGATCCGCTTTTCCTACAGTACGGAAAAAATCGAAATTATTTTTATAACCAACTTCATATCGTTCCGTAGTGAACAGAAACTCGTTCAAATTCCTGAAAGGCGGAACCTCGACGCCATCCAAAATCCGGACGTTTCCACTCTGCGACATCTGCTAAAAAATGTCCGATTTCAAGAAAAAAAAAGAAAATGACAGTAGCGATACGAAAAACGATAATCACGCAGACAAACACCAGCAAATGATAAATGATTTGAGATGAAAAATATTTATTAGAGGGGGGAAAGAAAGGGACAAACAAATCGGGAGAACGTTGGTTATCTAGTGCTGCAGAAAGTTGCAGACGCTTTCGACAAACGCCCGCGGCTGATCACTGTGCACCCAGTGACGCGCGTTCGGGATCGTCTCGAACCGCACCTCCAAACGTGTTTTTTTTATCTTTTGTAGGAGAAAAGTTGATGAGAACGATTTATAGGGAACAAAAACTACATTTTTGCGAGGTTCAAGCATCGGTTTCGTAAGAAATAAACTTGGGAGTCTTCAATTTTCAGTCGTTTCTGGTTCAAAAAGAAAATTCAAAGTGTTCCTGCGGCCTTTTCAAGTCTCCTTAGTCTATTCCGCGTCAGCTTGTCAAGTTTTTCTTCCCACCAAAAAGACCGTATACCAAATTAGATCAAATTTCTGCTTTTATAACGGCGAGAAACAACGGTCTTGAAGCGAAAGTTGGTTAAATTTGACCTGGCCTTTTGGCGGAAAAAAAAAACGTCAAGCTAGCGCGGAATGGCCTATAGCACCCGAACTTCGCCAGAACTAGAGGAATTCTGAACAAGATATCGAAAAGTTTCCTTTTATGGAATCTATATACCTTTCTAAAGGGTGAAAATAAAAAGAAAATCGGAATTTTTAGTTACGCGATACTTCAAACCCGAGTTAACCGAATCTTCTCATATTTCACATCACTTTTTGCACAAAAACGCGTTGATTACTACATATATGAAAGTTTAGAAGAAACAAATTGATAGTTTCGCGTCAAAAATATTTAATTTTCACTAATAACTACCTTGGGGAACAGATTCCGGACGAGCGGCTCATCCTTATCGGTAAAGAAGTCGGAGAGCTCTCCACGAAGGAATAAAGTATCACCGGAAAAAGTCCCATCAGAACCCGTCAATCCTTCGCCAAGAATATCGCGAACATAGTGCTCGAGGGCGTCCAAATTGCACTTCCACTCCATTTTTGACGGGTCATCTTTGCTTTTCTGCAGATTAGTCAGGAAAAACTGTCGGAGAGGAAGGTCAGGAATGCCTGGGGCCAAGTCGTCGAGCAAGTTCTTTCGCGGCCGGTGCAAATCGAGCTTTTTTAGTGCTCGGATGTAGCCGATGAACCCAGAATCGTGGGTTTTATTGCCGCGCGGCGATGCGTCCTCAATAATGAGCCGGTCGATCAGTTCCTGGCCATCTGGTCGAAGTGCTAGCCGCATGGCTGTTTTGCCGCCCATCGAATGGCCCAGAACGTGGACCTTCTTCACGCCGGACTTCTCTTGAATCTGGAAAACTGGGTCCATCAATGATCATGAAAATATCATGAAAAGCCATTAAACATTTAGTCTTTCTTTCTTGGTGAACTGTTTCTATGGTAAAACGTTCCGAAAACTAGAATTATCGAAACGAAGTGCCTTTTCCGTGCTTTTCAAGTCAGGAGAGGTTAACGCGCCTTCGAAAACATATAAATCTTTTTTTTTTTAAATCGGAACACATAATAATTTGTTACGGAAGTTAATAAATAGCATTCCTTGCAAGAAAAATCTAAAAAGAAATACCTAAGAATTTTTAATAAAATTTGTTGAAGACCAGAACTGAATTTTGAGAGACCCAGAAAACCATTCAGAACAAAAAAGAAGCACGCACAGAGTATAAGCCCTGCCTTTCGAATGTATTGAATCAGATCGGTCGACAACTCCTCATAAGTCATTCCTGTGGCGTGCGGAGAATCTCCATGATTCCGCAAATCGACACAATGTACGGTGGCGCCAGTTTTTTCGTTTATATTCTTCGCAATCGTTCGAAAGTTTTGCTTTTGTCCAAAAAGACCGTGGGCCATGATTAACGGCGTCGTCGAGGATGACGGATCACCGTGGACCGTTGAAACAAGCGGAACAGTGGTGGACATCGCACGGCCACAGGCTTGGCGAGCCAAAGTCAACCGCCCCAGGGTATAAGATTGCATTCTACAACATGAAAGTAGCTTGTAGAGAATATGAATAGAATTTATCCCATAATTTAGCTGTTTAGCCAACAAAAGTTTTCCAAAAAGTAAGGATAGACGGACTTCATAAAGTTCTAAAAACCAAAAATCGTTTCCACTTAAATTTTCAATTTTTCTAGACATCTATCTTTCAAAAACCCAAGCAAAAAACTCAGAAACAAACTATATATTCTGGAAAATGGTTCAGGAGCAATTAAACAAAAATGAAAACAGTGAACGGGAAAAAAAATTTGAAAAATTGAAGGCTGCTTTTTTCTTCTAGATTCCAGATTTGATCGAGTTTTTTCAATGGAAAAACAGAACTGTCTAAAAATTAACAAAACGGTTGAATGAACTGGTAAACTTCTCGAAAATTGCACAATCAACGACTTTCGACCATTCTCCGCCTTTTGCTCAATCCATTTGCCGTTTCTTCATTGAAAAAGTATATAGTCAGTTCAATTTTGAAATTACTGAACACCATAAAAGTCAAGAAAACCTAATTAATGCAGTGTTCAAAGAAAAATCCGCGAAATTCGAAATTATCTTGCTAAGACTCTCCAAATTTTAGTTATCTTTTTCTTTTTTTTTTTTGGAAGTTATTCTCGATGTCGCGGAATCATTTGGAATATGGCATAATCGCGAAAAAATGAAAGAAAAAGAAAGAAAAGCGATTAAAAACAACTGTTTCTATTTTTGGCAGCCGTTCAAACGAGGTGCGCCTTTAATAGCGTCCCGCAACGAATAGCTGTCCTACGGTACTCTTTTGGCCCTTCGTTTTTTCGCCATTTTTCTCCCCGAATGTCCTACAATTCGGCAGTCGCCCTTTTCGAAATGTTTCGAAATGTTGCGAAAGTTTTCTTCCATTTTTCCATTAGCCATCGCTGTGCTTTTGGCACATTAAATTCGTTTTTGTGCATAGAAAATCGCATAGTTGAGGCTCATAATAGGGAATTTTTGCCGCTTCGGGATAAACTTTTTTCTTTTTCTTAGTGCTTCAAGAAAGTTTCGAATATGAATTTTTGCTCTGCCTTCGCTTGACGTTCCATTATGAATCCTTTCAGGTAACAAATGGCTACTGGAAATATCAGCGAAATGCTCCGCGAAGGAGGTTACGACCCGCACCACGATCTTCTTTCCAAGCTGCCCAACAACGTTAAGAAACGTATCAGTGCTCTCAAGTCTCTTCAGATTAAATCTATTGAGGTCAGTCAGGAATATTTTATTTCTCAAATGAGATCTCGAATGTCATTTTTAACATATTTGAAAAAAAAAATTGCCATAGTGTCTGGGCAAGGTAGGCTCTGTTATGGAGCACTAACTTAATCCACTTTTGGCTAAATAATTTGAGCAGAGATAATCCCTGTTGGTTTTTTCATGAACACTTCAGTTTCATGCCTTTGCTACAATATTTCTTTTACAGCTTGAAGCTGAGTTCTACTCCAGAGTTCACGCTTTGGAAAGGGAGTTCGAAGTCAAATTTGCGCCCCACTACGAAGAGGTATAAATATTATAAAGCGGCTGAATTTAAATTGTTTTGAAATTTCAGCGAAGAAAGATTGTTAACGGTGAGCGCGATCCTACCGAGGAGGAGGGAAACTACCCACTCCTTCATGGAGCGGATGAGCATGAAATTCAGGTTTTTATTCGAAAAATTCATAAATCTTCATCTTTAAAATTTTCTAGTCCTTGTACTCCAATTCGGATCCTGACACTGACGCCAAGGGAATCAAAGATTTCTGGCTGACGGTTCTCAAGAACCACGAAGCCCTCAATGACATGATCCAGGAGCATGACGAACCCATCCTCTCTTACCTCACTGATGTCACTTCCAACAGCACCGAAAACCCATCGGTATTCTTTTCGTTCATTAATCTTATCAATTTTCAATGTAATTACAGAAGTTTGTTCTCAACTTCCACTTTGCCAGCAACCCTTACTTCAAAAACTCCGTTCTCACCAAGGAATACATTTTGAACATCGCCATCGACAAGAACGATCCGTTCAACTTTGACGGACCACAAGTAGAGCGAATCAACGGGTAACTTTTTTGATTTTAATATTAAGTAGAATGGATTTCTTTAGAGCCAAGATCGAATGGGAAGATGGCAAAGACGTCACCAAGAAGGCTGTTAAGAAGAAGCAAAAGCGAGGAGCTAACGCTGGAAAGTACTTGACCAAGACTGTCAAGGCCGAAAGCTTCTTCAACTTCTTCGAGTCTCCTAAGAATGAAGACGAGAAGAACGAAGATGACGAGGAGGATCATGATGTGAGTTATTTTCTTGTTTTTTGTTTGTCGTTTGAACGCCACAGTGTCTGGGCAAAGTAGGCTTTTTTCGTCGAAGCACTAACTTAATCCACTGATGGCTAGATAATATTTGCAGAGGTAATCCCTGTCGATTCATTGATGAATACTTCAGTTTCATGACTTTGCAACAATCCTTAATATTTCAGAACATGGAAGACATCTTGATCGCTGACTACGAAGTCGGACAAATCATCCGGGACACCGTCATTTCAAGAGCTGTTCTTCTCTACACCGGAGAGTTGGCAACTGAAGACCCAGATATGTTCGATTTTGATGGGGAAGACGGCGAGGGCTCCGAAGATGAAGAGGATGAGGAATAAACCTTTTTGTTCCAATTTTATCTTCAAAAATTAATTTGCTAACACTGCATACTTCCATCATTACTTCGCTATCGCCTTGTTGCTTCATATTACTTTCTTTGTTATCTTCGCATCATTTCTTTTTCGCTTCCACCGATATATTCCGAACGTTGTTGTTGTTGAGTCTTATTGTTATCCTCCTTCCTGGTTGGCCTTCCAAACGAGTAGTAAGCAGTCCGTTTTAACTCTTTTTGGAAAATTTTAACTTTATAATGTCCCCAATAAACATGTTGGATATTCTTCTAGCCGTTGCTTCACCGTCATCAATCGGAAATGATAATTGGATATTGTGATAAGCTCTAATAATAGGAAAATTCTGCTTTGAGATGGATCCAGCCGATATCTTGGTCGAGCTGCAGAAGATTGAGACTTTAGAGGCTTTTGAATTGAATGACTGCGTCATAGAAGCTATTGAGAACAGTGGAGAAGACATAGATATTCGTATATGTGAGCGTCTTGCGTGCTTGATCATGCAAGACTCCTCTTTCGGGATCAGCAAAGTTCTCGAAGAGCCTCTTCGGAAAGCCTTGGAACTGATCAACAACAGATGCTTGGAGATAGTGAGAGGCAAGAAGTGTGTCGGAATAGGTAAGGAGTTTGAAAATAGAGAGGTAATCATTGATAATTAGGAAACGAGTGGTTTGGCGGTCGGACCAAAAATGGCAGCGGAAAGGATCGAACTCTGGAAAGGGCGATCTGCGGTGCAGTGATATCTGATTGCTTGTTGGGAGGTGCTCGAAAAATTCAGCCCCTTGAAATTTCGCACTTTTAGCGTCAAGTTCCTATCGCTCGATAGAGCATAACTTCGGGACGTCTTCTGAAATCGCTCAAGCGCTTCTGAACAACGATGAACGGTGTTTGATGACGTTGTGTGCGCTTCTGAAAATGATCGACCGCATCGAGTTGGTGTTGTCGAGAAACTTCCAGTTCTCTTGAATTATTTACAGCCCAATAGTGAAATTCGATCCTTGTTGCTTGTTCCTACACGTCATGGTCCACATCAAGTTTGACTATGAGGTTAAAAAATGATAAAATTGTTCGAAATTCCTTTTGAAGGTGATTCTGGACTGGCTGAGTTCTGAGCTGGTGGCGACTTCCTTATTTTTCCGAGTTCTCAAATCTCAAAGTCAGGAAAATTATCGGCAACGTTGGCTGGAGGCGGCGCAACGAGTTGATCGGTTTATATAAGCTTTTTTTTTCTTCAAATTAAATTTTCAAGTGAGAAATAGATTAATCAAAAAAGACTTCTAGCAGCGATTTTTGAACAAAAAAAAATCTCAGACAGAAATTATGAATAATTCACCTAGAAAAAAGCCGTTTTCTGAGAAAGGAAAGAGAAAATTTGTAGTTTGAAATATACCAGCCCTCAATATAAGAATTTCGGTTTAAAGTAGGAAAATTTCAAAAAAATTTCAAAATTGTACAGGTACAAGAAGCTAGAGACCGCAAAGCCCCGCCCCTTTTCGCGATGAAAAAAAGGCCATTTTTGGTATTCCGTCTTTGATTGTTTCGTACAACCGATAGAAACAATAAAAAATGATAAAAATTACATTTCCGTGGGATTCAAAGAGCACTGTAGGCTGTAGTTGTGCAATCACTTGGACGGAAGTGATGGTAAAAAAAAGCTCGTAAAATCTTCTCTTAGGCTCACGAAACCGTGCCGCCCTTGCAAATAATAGCGCGCGCAGATTGCATGAGAATTCGCAAATCAAAATTTTTCAGCGCAAAAAAATTTTTGCTTTCCGATTACTTTTTAAATATTGTTTCCTCCTCTTATTCTTAATATTTTTTTCGTTTTTTTCTTTTTCTGTTTTTTTGAATGATAAAATCATTATTTTTTTATAAAAAAAAACGAGAAGCTAGCTTGAGTTCGAAAAAAATAGGTCTGTGGTCCCTACCTGAAGCCGCTTCCTGCGCCTTTAAACTTTTCAAAAATCTTCTGTTAGTAAACTATACTCTTATAGTCGATTCACGGTTAGCTTGGGACGCTTAGGGGGCGTGGCCTGTCTGCGCTCTCTATTAAAAATTCGCTATCTCTGTCCTTATCGTGTCAGGACCCTTTTCTCGATGGCTTAAGCCAGCTATATAAAACTTAAGGTACTACTCAAAACGGCCCAAATTGCCCTCGGAGCCCAAAACGAACTACGAGTGGAAAGAATGCCCTGAAGCTCGAAGATCCTCGCCAAAAGTTGTCCTCCGAATCACTCAGCTCGAAGGAGACGTCCAAGTCACCAAGGAGTTCACATTTTTCGGTGAAATGGTGAGTTCAAAGGGAAAAATGGGGGGCTTTTCGGTGAGTTTGCTCTTTGTCTATTTGCTCTCGGACAAGGCTTGAATGTACTTTACTTGTATCTTATTTGTTTTACACCTACACGGAGACTGAAGTCTTTAAAAAGAGTGTAAAACCCTAAAGGAATCACTCGAAACTTCCTTGTCGATTTCAAAGGCCATTTTATAAGAATTGGAAGAATAAGGTACACAAAAAAATGTGTAAAAAAATGCTTTTTCAAGTGATTGAAATAAATTTCTAGTCAGGGAAAATGAGCTACGCATAGGAAATTATCCAAAAATTCGGGGGAAAAATTCGAGAAAAAATTCAATTTATTTATTCAAAAATAGTATATCTCGACATTTTTTTTTTTCATAAATTCATTTAAAATCAGTTCAAAATGATCCTTTAATATCTATAGTCTGATCAAATTTTGATTTTTCAACTCAATAACGTCATTAAAGTTGAAAATTCCCTTCTAAAGTGCTCCGCCTCTGATTGGCTTATAGCCGCATTCGGGGGCGGAGCCTGAAATTCTAAGAGAGATAAAGCAAAAAATCGTAGAAAAAGGCCGAAAGTACAGTCGGTTCACGGCTAGCCTGTCTGCGCTCTCTTTAAACAAGACACTGTCTCATTTCTCATCGTGTCAGAACCCTTTTTCAGATGGCTCAAGCCAGCATAACAAAGAGCTTTTTGGTTTTGTAATTTTGATTCTTTCGTTCTCAAAAATACCTCTCCGAATTCAGCCCCGAAAATGCGTCGTCGAGACGGATTCTGAAGGCGATTTGCATGCGGAAGAGGTGTGGGTGCAGTGGCGCGTCACTGTCGCAACTCTGCATAATCGGCTCGAGAGGCTCCTCCGTGCGAAACTCGTCGGAGCCCATCTCGAACCGATCTGCCGCGCCGCCGTCAACTTCCTCATCGTCCAGGGGTCATGATATATAAATAATTGTTTGTAAATTGTATTTTTTGTAAATAAATCATTCTCACATCAATTCGGAAAGATAAACGTTCAATTTTACTTCTTGCGCGTCGCTTTTCATGCATCGCGTGCACTGCGTACAACACATTTTGTTTCCCGACATTTTCACATAACTCGTTGGAAACCAAAATCTGTTCCGTTTTCCGTCAAGGAGGGTATTAGAACTAATCAGTTGACTTAATGAAAGAATAATATTAACCTATGAATTTAAAATTATCATTAGAAATAATTTAAAAAAACGCACATGCTAGGAGTTCCAAAAAGTACAAGGATTCCTCAATTTTTCCTAGATCTTTCGGGTTGAAATTGATGAAATTCTCTCTAAATTTAATAAATTGAGCTAGATTATGCAGATAGAGCCAAAAAAATCAAATTGAAATTATTATTTGAGCTCGGAATAATTCTTTTGTAACAAAAACTTGATTCAAAAAAAGCTCACTGGACGTTTTTTTAAAAAAAGGAATTTTTTTATATTTCAAAGACTTTTTTTCTTCTAAAAAAATCAAGCAAAAATACTCTAAAATTTATAAAAGTTTTTAAAGCTCATCAGTTTAAAAAAATCTGAAAAAGGGAGAAAATTTTTCGAAAATCCAACCTTATGAACTCTTTACCGCATCATCAATTTCAAAAAAAATTCAGAAAATTTTTTCCTGCTTTCTTTCTTTAAAAATCAGATTAATAAATTTATAACCCATCTCTTTTTTCAACTGAAAAATAAAATCAATGAGAACAAAACCCGGGGAAATTTGTAAGAGAAGGCGAAGAACGAACGGAAAAAATCAGTGAAAAAAATGGCCAGTTGCTGGGTTTCGCTCGGATCTGACTCTATAGGCCGACGTCGGGATGTATTTTCGGCCAGTGATCGACGGCGCGTTCGCTCGTTCCACACAAACATCGAAGAATCTGGAAAAATGATAGGGTGACTAACGAAATTTCGAAAAATGCAAAAATAACAAGAATCGATCTGAAAATTGCAAAATACAGTCGATGTGGCACAATTTGAAATTTCATGGAACGACACTCCGCTGTTTCGATTTGTGCGGTAGCGCGCATCGTGCGAATTTGCCAACCTTAGCCACACTGATTTTTTTGGTTTTAATTCTAATTTTGATCGTTTTTTAATTGTTTGATTTTTTTAAAATGTATTATTATCGTTGAAAAGGATTGCGTTGTACAAATGTAAACGAAAGAACACAGTAAATTTCATGATCTTTTTCGAAAAGAGCGATAAAAAAAGTTTGTTTTTTTGTTAAAGTTATGTTTTTAATGTTTTCATCGTTTTTTTTTTGTTTGTCGCAGTGGTTAATGGATTTTTTCAGAAAGTAAGTGGCTTATAAAATGAAGACGTGAACGCACTTTGAAATTGAGAGATCGGTTTCACTCAATATAAGGGTTTTCACTGCTTACAGTACCGCTCAAAAGTCTATTAAGTTTTTGGTTTTTTTGAGGATATCTCAGCGAGTACTCATCCGATTTATATATAACTTTCAGGAATAATGTAAAATATACTTTGAAACATATACGGTATACAAATACATGTCCGCAGTCACTGCGACGCGTTTTAGGAATTTTTTTCGAATTCAATTTTTTGTTTTTTTATGCTTTTTATTTTTTTATTTATTTCTATTAAATTTTTTTAAAAAGTAATAATGTTGCCATATATTTTTTTTCATGTTTTCAGACATGGGAAGAATCTCTGGAAAAAAGGATTTGACTGATAACGACAAAAGAGCCATCGTTGTGGGTCGTCAAAATGGACTGACCATGATGACGTTGGCAGGAATGTTCGGCGTGACAGAGGCGGGCATTTCTCAATTCCTAAAGCGTCAGAAAGCTCAAGATGGCTCTACTAAGAGCCAACGCACTGGAAGATCACGTGTCACTGATGGTAATGACGATAGAAACATTTTGAAGACGTCTAGAACCGATCCAAGACTCAGCGTCCCTGCGATCAGACGGGAAGTTTGCTTGAATTCGCCATCTCCGCCATCCGTCTCGACCGTGAAACAACGTCTGAATGCTGCTGGAATCATGGGAAGACGTCCAGTGAACAAACCGCTGATTTCTGAAAAGAATCGAGTCGCCAGGGTGAAGTGGGCGAAGGAGCATCTCAACTGGACCCGTCAAGACTGGAACAAGATTCTGTCGTCCGACGAAATAAAGTTCCTCCTCTTCGGAAGTGACGGAATTCAATGAGTTCGTAGACCAATTGGGTCCAGATATCATCCGAAATACCAATTACCCTTTGTGAAACATGGTGGAGGACCGTTTCGTCGGACGACAGAATCTTGTTCCAGTCTTGACGGGTCCAGTTGAGATGCTCCTTCGCCCACTTCACCCTGGCGACTCGATTCTTTTCAGAAATCAGCGGTTTCTTCACTGGACGTCTTCCCATGATTCCAGCAGCATTCAGACGTCGTTTCACGGTCGAGACGGATGGCGAAGATGGCGAATTCGAGAAAACTTCCCGTCTGATCGTAGGGGCGGTGTCTTGGATTGGTTCTAGACGTCTTCAAAATGTTTCTATCGTCATTACCATCAGTGACACGTGATCTTCCAGTGCGTTGGCTCTTAGTAGAGCCATCTTGAGCTTTCTGACGCTTTAGGAACTCAGAAATGCCCGCCTCTGTCACGCCGAACATTCCTGCCAACGTCATCATGGTCAGTCCATTTTGACGACCCACAACGATGGCTCTTTTGTCGTTATCAGTCAAATTCTTATTTCCAAAGGTTCTTCCCATGTCTGAAAACATGAAAAAAATCATATGGCAACATTATTAATTTTTAAAAAAATTTAATAAAAAAATAAATAAAAAAATAAAAAGCATAAAAACAAAAAAATGGAATTCAATAAAAAAATGCCTAAAAACGCGTCACAGTCATTGCGGACATGTCTTTGTATACCGTATATGTTTCAAAGTATATTTTTACATTATCCCTGAAAGTTATATATAAATCGGATAAGTACTCGCTGAGATATCCCCCAAAAAAACCAAAACTTAATAGACTTTTTGAGCGGTACTGTATTTATCCCCTGGTTAAATTATTGGTGTTGTATAGTGCGAATATATACAACTGTTAGTTACTAACTATTTACTTCAAATCAAAAGTAAAAACGAAGACAACACAATGTAGGAAGCAATCGCGGAACGCGATTGCGCAGAAGTGGAACTGTGAAGGTGGCCTGCACATCTTAATAATGCGCGGCAATTTGAAATGGTGTAGATTTACGAGGTGAAATCTAGACACTACAACACCTCCCCTTTTTGAAAAGAGGTGTGCACAGGTTAATAGAACAATACAAATTGCACAATGTTAGATGGGCGCCGGAAGATAGAACAATAATGAGCGAAATATTATGTTACGGTGAAGGATCGTAACGAGAAACAGGACTTCGCTGTCGTGTAGATCTTCGCGGTGCTGGCGGCACGTTGACTGACTGCGTTGGTGCGGCCGTAGTCGTTCGGTCTTGCTGCTGTGCTTGACTGTTCGGCTGACTTGTCGATGGATGTGCGGCTGCTGCAGGAGCGGCTGAGCACGGCTTTTGTTGACCAGACGTTGTCGGTGCACAAATTGGACTTCTGCTGCTGCTTGAGCTCGAGCTGGCTGGAGAAACATCGTAGGTGTCCAGCAACACGTCGAGGCAAGGATCAAAGGTATCGCTCGTTCCGGGATAAGGGTGTGAAAGATCACTTTTGAGTTGGTTGGTGTGGAAACGTCTGATGGATTCTCCCAAGTCCACCTCGTAGTTCACTTTACCAGCCTTTTTGAGGATTTGGCCGGGTCTCCAAATCCATGTGTTAGCCGTATGGCATTTAGCTAACACGGACTGGCCTGGGGAGAAGCTTCGGGTTTTCGCTCCATTGTGGTGGTCAAACCAATCCTTCATGTTTTGCTGGTGAATGGTCAAGGGAAGTGGGTTCACGGAATCTCGAGGTTTCAGAGCGTCGAGCTCTGTCCTGAGCTGTCGACCAAGATGGATTTGCGCGGCAGATTTGCCTTGCAAAACTGTGAGTGGGGTGCGTCGATATATCATTAGGAATTGGTTCAAGATATTTTCGGATATCTTCTCCTCCCCTTTTTGAAGCTTTTTGAGGGCTCTCTTGAGGGTATCGACAAACCTTTCGGCTTGACCATTGGACTGGGGACAGTAGGGAGCAGTTCTGATGTGTTGGATATGGCCATTCTGGCACATATCTGCGAATTGTTGGGAGGTGAACTGGGTTCCATTGTCCGAGACGATGGTTTCGGGGTAGCCATTTCTGGCAAAAATCTCCTTGAGGACTTTCACGGTATTGGCGGCGGAGATGGAGTGAACAATTTTTACCTCCGGGTATTTGCTCTTGGCATCTACCACTACCAAATACCATTGTCCTTGGTCGGGTCCGGCAAAGTCGATGTGAATCCTTTGCCAAACACGTTCGGGTGCGGGCCAAGGTTGTAAAGGGACTTTCCGGGGAGTTTTGCTGTGCAAACTGCATGCTTTGCAGTTTCGCACGAAGTTCTCGCAATCGGCATCGATTCCGGGCCAAAAAGCAACGGATCGGGCCAATCGCTTCATGTGATCCATTCCTGCGTGTGAAGCGTGGAGTTCTTGGAGAACTTCTCGCTGTAAGGTCTTGGGAATGACGATTCGTTCGCCGACCATGAGACAGCCTTCGACTACGTTCAATTCATCTCGTTTTGATGCAAATGAACGCAAATTCGGAGGGATGTTGGTAGGGAATTTTCCGGATCTCACGAACTTCATGAGGTGTTGGAGGTCTTTGTCCTGACGAGTAGCGGTTTGAACGTCCGCGTTGGTCAGGGGAAGTCTTCGAATGCTGGATCGAAGCACTTCTTGAACTTCTACTTCCACTTTCGCGATGACAAAGTCGTCTTGTTGAAGGGCCTCCTGATGTTGGATCATTCGGGACAAGGCATCGGCTTGCCCGAACTTATCGGTGTTGACGTATTCAATGTGGAAGTTGTATCCGAGCAGGATGATCGCCCATCGCACAAGCCGGTTTTGGGAGTGAACAGGAATTCCGTTCTTGTTTCCAAAGATGGATAAAGGGGCTTGTGGTCAGTGCGGAGAGTGAAGCGTCTTCCATAGATGAATTTGTGGAACTTCTTCACTCCAAAAATGAGAGCCAAGGCTTCCTTTTCGATTTGAGAGTACTTTTTTTCCGTTTCGGTAAGGGACCTTGCTGCATGCGCAATAGGCTTTTCGGTGCCATCGGGCATGATGTGGGAAATGACTGTGCCTATGCCATACTCGCTGGCGTCGGCGGCCAGTACAATTTGGTGCTTCGGATGAAAATGAACAAGGTTCAGATCGGAGGACAAGACGTCTTTGAGCTTTTGAAAGCAACGCTCTTCAATTCTAGTCCACCTCCAATCCTCATCTTGGACCAGAAGTCGATCCAAGGGTCCTCGCAATGCTTTGATGTTGGGGATGAATTGTCCGTAGTAGGAAATCATTCCGAGAAATGACCTTAAAACCTTCTGGTCTCTCGGAGGGGTCATGTTGTGGATAACCTTCACCTTTTCAGGATCCGGTCGGCGTCCAGAAGCATTGAGGATGAATCCCAGATACTTGATTTCGCTTTGTTCGAAAGCGCATTTATCAAGTTTAAAATGGAAACCGTATTCACGGATACGGGCGAAGACCTTCCGAACATTTTCGCGATGTTCGGCTTGGGAACGGCCAACTACGATGATGTCGTCCAAGTAAACGGCCACGCCATTCAATCCAGTAATCATTTTGTCCATGATTTTCTGGAAAATCGCCGGAGCCGTCTTGATTCCGAATGGTAGCCTTTTGTATTGAAAAAGGCCTTTGTGGGTGTTGATGACGGCGTAGGGCTGGGATTCAGGATCTAACTCAACTTGCAGATACGCGTCGCTGAGGTCGATTTGGGTAAAAACGGATCCTCCGTTCAAATTGGCGAAGATCTCTTCGGAAGTGGGCAAGGGATATTCTTCGTCTTCCAATGCTGAGTTGAGTCCTGTGCTGAAGTCAGAACAGACTCGGATCTTCCCTGAGGCCTTTTTAATGCACACGACGGGTGCGGCCCATTGGCTGTGGGTAACGGGTTCAATGACGCCTAGCTGCTGAAGACGATTCAGTTCGCCTTCGACTGCTGCCAGGGAGCCATAGGGGACGGGGCGCTTTTGCTTGAAGACTGGATTTGCAATGTCCTTCAAGATAAGCTTTGCTTGCTCTTTATTGCATTTCCCTAGACCTTCAGCAAACACTTCCGGAAATTCTTCCTTCAGCTGTTCACCGAACGGTCTACCGTTCTCGATGGAGTTGATCATTTGGTCAAGGTGGTAGTTCATGTGGTTGGATTTTTCAAGCCAGTCCAATCCGAGTAAGTTTCCGGAATTCCTCACGTAGGCATAGCCGCTGGCGTGAGAATCCTTCAACTGGAAGTTGCACTTGAAGCGGCCTTTGATGTCCATGTCGCTTCCGCTAGCATTCTTCACTCGGAAAGGGACGTTTTCCAAGGGCGGTTTGCCTAGTCGTTCCCACTCGGGGGTTCCGACCAGAGTCAAATCGCTGCCGGTGTCCATTTGGAATGGGATTTGGACGCCATCGACTTCGACATCGATAAAGCGTCGGACGGCTTGCACTTGGGGGGATTCTGCGTTGGCAACTGTGACAGCTTTGCACCGGGTCCAGGTGTTCGGCTTTGACGTAGTCGATTTCCTGGGGTTGGTGACGCGGGTGGACTTGCAGAATTTCGCCAAGTGTCCCTTTCGATGACACTTGTCGCAGGTGAATTTGGGATTGCGACAAACGTCTCTGCCGCAATTCCAACAGGTCATCCTGTTCATAGGATTTCCTTCTGAAGCTACCGGGGTTTTGGGGGAGGCTTTGGTCTTCAACTCGAGAACTCTCTTCTGTCCAAGTTCTTGGACTTCAGTTTTCTGCCGTTGAATCCTCAGCCATTCTTCGCAGAGGTCCATGATGGTGGTGGGTTGTTTGCTTTCTACTCTTCGTTCCATGAACTTGATGAAATGGGCACGGATCTGAGTGTCTCCTGCTGCGTCAAGGCCCTTAATCCAAAAGAATGTTTTCCATTCTTCTGGGGTGATGTCTTTCAACATGGCCTTTTCGCAGGTTTCATTGATACGGGACGCTGGATTTTCATCCAGACGACTTATTTGCGTGCATGCGTATCTCCAGGACAGCAGGGATCTTTTAACATCGAAGTAGTCGCTCAGCGTAGCGACTACGTCCGCATAAGATTCCGTGGAGGGGTTCTTGGGACAAATCTTTGCAGCAAATTGCTCATAGATTTCGTCGGGTAATTTGTTGAGTAGAAGCCTGACTTGCGTAGTCTCGTCGAGGGACTTTCCTTCAACCGTGATAACTTCTCCATATCGGTTAATCCATTTTGGAAAAGTTTTCCCGGCTTCCGGATCGTATTCGAACATGGGTATGCGTGCCGATAACGCTGCCACGACACAAGATGGGTCAGTCGGGGCGTTGGCAACAGTGGGGGCGGTTGTTTTCAGGGTAGCCTGGAGAAGGCTGAAAATAAGGTCGTTCTGGGCCTTCATTTCGTCCTGTTGCTTTTTTATCAAGCTGACAAGTTCATTCACGTCGGGGGTCTTGGACATCTTCAAATCAGTTCGAACAATCCGAGAAAGTTACGCAACTGATTGAGAGAAAGGAACGGGGATGTGAATGAACTGACTTTAGGTCGGGAAATGAGGGCCAATTGGGGTTGTGTTCGTGGCTCAAGACAATGAATCTCACTAAACTTGAGTGCTTACAGCGCGGGAGGACGCTGTTTTGTGCTGGGAATTGGGTGGAGGGACGGGTCTCTCTTCGGTCTTACCGAATGCACCAATAAAAACACACAACCTACTATATGTACAAACCTATCTAATGAAAACAACCTACAAGTGAAAACAAAAATAAATAATTTTTGTTAAAAACCCAATATTAATATTTTTGACCAAAATGATAATTAAGTTTTTAAAACTACAGTTAAAAACTATTGTAGACACGCGGAATACGTTCTACTACCTGATCGCCAATTGTTGTATAGTGCGAATATATACAACTGTTAGTTACTAACTATTTACTTCAAATCAAAAGTAAAAACGAAGACAACACAATGTAGGAAGCAATCGCGGAACGCGATTGCGCAGAAGTGGAACTGTGAAGGTGGCCTGCACATCTTAATAATGCGCGGCAATTTGAAATGGTGTAGATTTACGGGGTGAAATCTAGACACTACAACAATTGGCATTCCGAAAAATTGTATTCATCTATTGCACTGCCAAATAAAACTAAAGAATTACCGAAGAAAATGTATTTGAAAACGGCAAATTATGAAATGGGAAAGCGTGACCGAGATCCGCAAAGGCATTGATTCTTCACGGCCACAAGGCCACCGAGCGGAGTGTCGTTCCATGAAATTTCTACTCGTGGCACATCGACTATATCAAGCTTTAGTCCCGTCAGAAAACGAAAAAACGCTTTTAATCACAAACATTTTGTATGGAGCTTAATCTCGGGCAAAGTGGGAGCGGTGGACAACTTATGAATTTTAGAGTGGCCCCTATAGAGGCCGAAAAAGCGATCTCTATAAGGGTAAAATCAAGGTGGTCCCTGTAGAGATTCAGGGTCTGACGCCTAAAACTTAAGTTTTCACTATAGGGGCCTTTCAATTTCATTTAAAAACGGTTATTAATTCATTTTTTTTTGCATGGAAATGCTTCTTCGCATAGAGTACATAACCATTATCGATTAGCATGTCCCCTATAGGGACCAATTTCGCAATCTTTAGTAGCCCCTATAGGTGATAGAAAAGTCGTCCCTAGAGGGACCACTCTGGAGATCCCAGGCATTGGCCGCTAAAAGGGAGAGGTTCAAAAAAGGCCCCAAAAATGAGATTTTTATCACCTTAAAAGGAACATTTCTATGGAGCTTTTTTTCGGCCCTTCCCGACATTGCCTATGTGAAATCCTATATATAATAAAAACAAACCGAGCAAAATTAATATAATTCGGAGATCCGGACTGAATCTTGTTCCTCGTGTTAACGAAAACTCTGAAAAAAATACATATTATCAAACTAATAAATCGCCAAAATAAGCCAGTCGGGCTAAAAATCTCATCGGGTGTGCCCATATTAATCCCGTATGAGCCCAATGGGTACAACTCTTGGCATTTTTCACCCCAGCTGAGGCCCGTTTTCAGCCTAGTTTCTTCTTGCACCCGTTTTTCTCCCGTTCTAGAGCAACTGGCACTGAAGGAGCCTCGAAAACACGGGGGCTTAAAACGGGCGCACCCGTTGAGACACCTGGCTGTTCAGATTCGAAAAAGTGGTCACTATAGGGGTTTAGGGTCTGACCACTTCGCCCCTAAAGCCTGAGTGGTCCCTATAGGGGTCTTTCAACTTCATTAAAAAATTATTTGTTCAATTTTTCGCACGGAAGTACTAGAATGTCCCCTATAGGGACTGCTTTTGCATGCTTGAGTGGTCCCTGTAGGGGTAGGTAAAGTGGTCCCTAGAGGGGACCCGATCCCTGAGGTTTCCCATATAGGAAGCACTCAATGACGTCATTGAAAAATGCTCTGTGGGTGGCTAGCTCTCTGATTGGTTTATGGCTCGATTAGGGGCGGAGCTTGGGGGACGACTTGAGATTCAAAATCTGCACAGATCATACTACATATTGAAAGTTAATTGTTCAGTAGAATTTTTCGAATCCTCATTTTATTTACCTTTCATAGGTGTTGAGACTTCTCTGAGGCCTAATATCCACCTTGCAGCCAACGATCAGTACAGGTATCGGGCAGGATTCCAAATCGAGAAGTGGAGCTAAAAATCTATATTTTTGAATTCAAGGAGGAAAATAAGAATTATAGTCCATTTCTCGCGACTTCTCTGCGCCCTCCTCGTCTCTCTTGTTGACGTGCTATTTTCACGTTTCTCTGACCTCGGGAACAGAGACATTCAAAAACTGACAAGTCGCGGTGAATGGACTATAGTTCGATTTTTCTTAAAATTCACTCACTAGCTCCGCTGGCGGGCTTCCTCTGCTTCCCGTCCAACATGGTCATCCAGAAACCCATGTTCTGGAAAATAAATCAAACGAATCACTTGAAAAAAACTCGCGTAAGTTTAAAAAAATTCTCTTTTTTTCGAATAAAAATATGTTATATTTTTCTGTTTTTCAAGGTGATTCGCGGAATTTAAAACCTTATTTTTAACTGAAACTTAAGAAAACACCCCTAAATAAAGTCAATTTTCCCTTTTTTCTGTCATAACGGTTGGAAACTTTGAAAAAGTAGTACGATCCCAAAAATCAATAAATAACTCTGGAATTTTTCACTCTCTATTTCCCCTAAAAACTTGAAAAATCCTCTTTCTTCTCCTTTCGAAAAGCGTGAAAACGTCAAAACCTCTTCACTTCTCTTATTGCTCACATCGTAGACCAAGATCGCTCCATGGGCACCTTCGAAAAACACTTGAGCGGCCTGGAAAAAAAGAGAGCTGTATATTCATAAAAAAAATAAGCCTAGAAAATGCCCCTGCGCCTTCAAATTTCACCAAAAATGGGTCACGAATAATCTCTATTACTTTAAAGCTACTACAGAAAACTTTCATTAAAACCCATGGTTTTTCCAATCGTTCCAAGACCTTTTTCTTTAAATTTTTATGACCTTAAAAACCCTATGCGCCTTTAAACTTGAATAACTCATAGATAAACTCTATTTTTTTCCATTTTTTTAAAGATTTATGACGAAAAAGCCTGAAAAAAACCCTATGCGCCTTTAAGCTCGAATGAACTATAGTATGTTCAGATTTTGAATGCCAAGCTCCGCCCCTGAAAGCTTAAATAGCCAATTAGAGAGCTAGCCAGTAACAGAGACTTTCAGCATGACGTCATTATACTTGAAATTCAAAATCTGAGCAAACTATATACTTATTATAAAGCTAGCTTATCACAAAAACACTAAAAATAATTAGCTTTTCGCTTCGAGACCCATTTTTCAAACTTTCCATGCTCCTTTAAATTTTTTTCTCAGATATCATTTTACCTGATGATGGCTTCGAAAAACTCAAATGAACTATAGTCTGTTCAGATTTTGAATTTCAAGCCGTCCCTCAAGCTCCGCCCCTAACGGCACGAATAACCAATCAGAGAGCCTTTCCGAATGACGTCATTATACTTGAAATTCAAAATCTGAGAAAACTATATACTTATTACAAAGCTAGCTTATCACAAAATTGCCGTAACTACTATTTCGTTCCAGGACCCATTTTTCAAACTTTCCATGCTCCTTCAAATATTTTTTTCGCATAAAAATTCACCTGATGATGGCTCCTCTGGCCGTCGATGTCCCAAAGTTCGATCAGTTCCGATTTTTGTTCTGGGGTACCTAAAATTCGGAAAATCATCAAAAAGTTAGAAATGAGAAACAAAAACCGGCTCGATATTCATGCCAAGTCATGACGACCGCTGCGCCGACCGTTTCCGGAAAATTCGTGCCAGGACTGAAAAAATCAATTTTTCGTATCAAATTTGATGAAAATCGATAAAATCAATAAAAAACGAACGTTCCAGCAAGGGCATTACAAAGGGACGTTTTTTTCCGGTTCCCGTTTCGCCGAGAACAATCACTTTGGTGCTCATTTTTCAACTGAAAAATACTTTTTTTATTTTTTTGGAGAAAATTTTTCATTCAAAAAAATACACATTTTTTTGAACATTTTTAAGCAGAATGTCAAACTCTAAATATAACGTCTAGGGAGGTCCCTATAGGGAATAAGAGAAAAACAGCCCCTATAGGAGACAAAAAACACTCCTGGGAGGGTAAAGTTTAGATGGTTCCTATAGGCCTCTACATAAACTCAAGTGGCCCCTATAGGGATTAGGAAGAAAGCAGCCCCTGTAGGGGACAAAAAACACTCCTAGAAGGGTATAGTTTATATGACCCCTATGGGCCTTTGAAGCTCAAGGGGTCCCTATAGGGAATGAAAGAAAAACAGCCCCAAAAAAAAAAATCCCTAGAAGGCAAAAATTTAAATGGTTTCTATAGACCTCTAAAACTCGAGTGGTCCTTATAGGGACCCAGTTTTTTTTCTTCACACAACGACCGACTGCCATGCTCTCTTTTGGAAACCTATTACCTATAGGAAAAGCTAAAGTGATCCCTAGAGGGGCACCGTGAAGGGCTCTTAAGATGGCTCCTATAGGGACCACTCTGGCGTTTCCAAGTATTTCCAATAATTTCAATAAAAAAATTCATTCAATAATGATGAAATTTAAAGCCTGTGTAATTTTAAAATCAACCAAAACAACATCAAAAAAATGAAGATGCATAATTTCGAACAAAATTCAGTTTTCGAGACAAAAAAAGTATTTTTTTTTACATAAATATGAACCTAATAACAAGAAAAAAATCATAGAAACATGAACAAAATTATTAAATTTACCTAAATTTTTCTTGTTGATCCTCACGACCTCCAAGCAAAGGGAGCAACTGCCGCACTCGAAAATGCCTCGATCAATGATTTTCTTGATCTGAAATCGATAAAATCGAATAAAATACACTCGTCAATATCAAGAAAACATGAAAAAATGAGATTTTACCGAAAAAAAATTTGAAAAACCAACATCTTCAGGAGGAACTTGATATTCGTCGCCACAACGGCAGTATTCCTCAACTTCTGTTTCGTCCTGAATTTTAAAAACGCTTGAAAAAAGTCACTTAAGATCTCCAGAGTGGTCCCTATAGGGGTTACCTTAGAGCCCTTTAGTGATAACTTTACCAAACCCCCATAGGGACCCCTGAAGCTCCCAAAAGTGGTCTCATAGAGACCACAGATACTTCACCCCTATAGTGTGCCCTTTTTTGTCCCCTACTGGGGCTGTTTTTCGTTTATCCCCTTTAGGGACCACTCTATTGTTCCCGAGCTGAGGAAAACTTGGGAATGAAAAAAAAAGGAATTTCAGAGTGGTCCCTAAAAGGGTTAGGGGGAAAACAGTCCCTATATAGTCCGAAAAATGGTCCCTAAAGGGGTTTAGAGTCTGATCCGATAGCCCTTAAACCTTAAGTGGTCCCTATAGGGGTCCTGCAACTTCCTCTAAAAGACGCTATTAATTTAATTTTTCGCACGTAAATGCTTCTTCGCTGCACATAAAAATTATCAACCAACATGTCCCCTATAGGGGCCACTAACTAAAACCCCTATAGAGACCACTTTTGCAAGCTTTAGTTACCCCTATAGGGGTTGGTAAAATGGTCCCTGAGATTGCCCCTAGAGGGAACACTCTGGATTTCCTGGAAATCACACTTACAAAAAGCGTCCAAAAAATATAACCCTTTCCAAAATGACTATTTTCCAAGTTAACTTCGAAAATCTTCTAAAAATTGTGAAATTTTTCAGAATTTCAAGAAAGAAATCCCTTTTCAACTGTTGGAATCGACAGAATTTTCAAAAATTCCTCATTGAGAACTTTTTTTTTCGATAAAAACCTCGTAGATTTCGATTCTCTCGGCGATAGTTCCACGAGATTCGCGAAGTTTCTGCTCTCTTAGCCAATAATTGTACTCTTCTCGGCCTTCTTTCGTCTGAGAAAAAAACTTTAGTAAGTGATTTTAACAGATTTAGGAACGCCAGAGTGGTCCCTATAGTGGTTAGGGGGGGATATTACTCATATAGGGGTAAATATTAGGTAGTTAGTAAAGCGATTTAGGTACTAACCGCTTAACCTCTGAAGCTGAAGTGGTCCCTATAGGAGCCTTGTCCTTATAAGTGGCCCCTATAGGGGTCAGGGAGAAAATCTGCCACTATAGGGGACAAAAAGGTCCTCCTGAGTGAAATTTAGGTGGTCATTATAGGGTTAAGGTTCTAGATTCTGAGTCCCTGAAGCTGAAGTGGTCCCTATAGAGATCTTGCCCTTATAAGTGATCCCTATAGGGGTCAGGGAACTATAGGGGACAAAAAGGTCCTCCTGAGTGAAATTTAGGTGGTTTTTATAGGGTTTAGGGTGTGATCTCTGAGTCTCTGAAGCTGAAGTGGTCCCTATAGGAACCTTGTCCTTATAAGTGATCCCTGTAGGGGTCAGGGAAAAAACAGCCACTATAGGGTTTAGGGTGTGATCTCTGAGCCTCTAAAGCTGAAGTGGTCCCTATAGGAATCTTGTCCTTATACTTCTGCAAGCTTTAGTGCCCCTTGGAGAAGAATTCAAAGTGGTCCCTAGAGGGGAGCCTTCAAAGACCCCAAGGCGTTCCTAGGGAGAGGATTTTCATCATAAATGAGATTTTTTTGTTTTTTCTATTTTATATCCCATAAAATTTCCTTAAACACATCTTTTTCGATTCTAACTTTTGCTTTACAACTAAATTTCCAAATCAAAATAAAAAATGTTCGGTTAAAGCAAAGAAAAATAGGAAAATATATACTTTAACCCGATTCCAAATGACGGCCGCCGCGTTGAGCTGTTCGATGTCGGCAAGATCCTCGCCGACTTTATCAGGATGTGTCTGGAACAGAGGAAAGTACACTAAAAAAGTCTGTCCCGAAAGTTTGAAGTGAATAGTGATATTGAAAACTGGAGAAAATTGAAGAAAAACCACTAATTTGCTTGTAGAACAGATATAGCTCATTCCAAGCCAACTTGTCACGATTTTCCTTTTGGGAAGCTTCCCTTGGGAGCCTATATTTATGCGCCTTTAATAAAACCGAAATTTTCGGCCAAATTAAAGGCGCATCGAAGCGAAGGGTTCTGTAGATCGGAGGAAAATAAAAATTATGACAAGTTGCATGGAATGGACTATAAATGAACTGAAATTAAGCATAAAAAAGTCGAAAATTGCTCAAAAAATCCATTTTTCCGTTCCAAGTTTCAAAATGTAAGAACCAATATTTGAATGTTTTATCACAATTGATTCTTATAAAAAATTCAAAATTTTCCTATAAATGCGCTAGAATCAACTTTCTCCATGTCTGTAGTGCCCCAAAAATTTCGATTTCATTATTTTTGGACGAAAATGGTTTTCCATTAAAATGAGTATGCAAATTAGCGTCGTCCTGTGTATGCACCAAATACGTCATACTTTACGAAAAAAGGCGGCGTCAAGCCGTGCATCTCAAAAATCGAATTTCACAACATGATCGAAACTAACCCTTCTCAAGAAGTCGAAATAAGCTTTTTTCAATTCTTCACTCGACGATTCCTCACTGACGTTGACGATATCGTAGAAACTGTGCATTCCGCATCACAAAATCTATCAAAATCTTAACTTCTTCTTGTTTTCAACAATATCCGGTTCAAAACCTTGAAATTTCGATCCAAATTCAAAAATAAAGTGACATTTATTCAATACATTAAGAAAAGAGATCTAAAACGAAAGAAACTTTCAGGACAAAAAACTGATAAGGAAGCTCAAAAAGGACATAAAGCAAAGATATTTACACTTGTTCTCTACAGACCCATAGTCGAGAAATCAGTATATTTGATCCAAGAAAAGTCTAGAAAATTATGCAAAATATGAATACGCTAGGCGGGATCTACATGGAATACTTACAAATTTTCAGATTTTTTTCAAAAAGTTTCATGATTCTACTTTTTTTAGTACATTGAAAATAATGAAATCCTAATTTCAACCAAATCCGTCTCAATCAACTTTCCAGAGAGGGGGGTTCTTCAATCCGGCTCGGTCAGGCTGGACTTCCAAAAGTGTCCATACTCCGCTCTATAAGCCTTCAAGGCGTTGGCGACGTTGATTCCGGGCTCGTTGGGAGGCGTGGTCTCGCTGACGGCCGCCTTCTTCTTGTCGACTCGACTGCCTTGTCTGCACTCGTTGACCTCCCTGATCACCACCGGCGCGGCTTCTTGGGTCAACGCCACTTCCGTCTCCGTGTCCGGCCTCGTTTTCCGGACGCCGACCTTGTAGCTGACGTTGGCGTACTGTCGGAGGGGCGGGCAGGCCTCCAGGATGAAGGGACAGAACGGCTGGCGGAGGCCGAACCACCAGACGTTGGTGGAAGCCGTTCCGTTGGCGCTGGTTCCAGTGACGCCGATCGCCATGGCTGCCGACAGGCCCAGGGACAGCATCAGAGGCAGGAAGACCATCTGGAAAACGAGTTTCGATCAAAGTTCTATAAAAAACTGAGGAGGAAAGTCATCTTACTTTGAATTTAGGAACTTCCTGAAAATCGGTCCGAACACTCCTTGATGTATAAAAAGAAGATTCTGAGAGTCCCGAACTAGACTACTTCTCAGTTTTCAAGAAATATGGGCTCAGACTCCAGAATGAGCCCGTTTTTACAGACTTCGAGACGTTTATTTGACTTGTCATTTCTCGAAAACTTGAAAATTTTCCAGGCTCAAACTTTCAAAATCTTCTTCTGGTACATCAAGAAATGCCCTCGTAAGAAACTCCTAATCGCGAAATGAAATGAACTTCCTTATGAGACAGAATTTTCCAGAAAGATCTTGAACAAAAATAGCAAAAAAGCGCTAAAAAATGTTTTGAACAACTTTCCGACAACTTCAAAACCCTTAAGTAACCACATAAGTCTTGATTTCACTTTGAGAGACGGAATTTACGTTGCAAAAAATGTATTTTGAGGCAGTTGAGCTGAGAAAAAAACCGTATTGACAGTTAAACTAGAGGACCCATTATGTGCTAATTTTGACAATTTTTTTGCCTCTATTCTTGTCCAATTTTCTAGCCTTCAAAATCTTAGCTAAGATATCGAAGCTTGAACAGCCATAAAAGCGGAAAAACATACGGAAAAGCTGCAAAATTGAGGAAAAATACAAGAACGGCTTTTCTTTTGAAGATACCTCACAAGGAAGACCATTTTACTATGCAGTTGGTAAATCTCTCAAATTTGGTCAGAACAATCCTTGATTTACCAATTGAAAATTTTGAAAGCCTCAACCTGCACAAACTCCTATTTTTCGAGAAAAAGGGCTCAAAATGGGTTATTTTTAACGGATTTTAAGGGTTTCCTTTTTTCCTCAAAAAAAAAAGTTGTGGAGGTTGACACTTGCAGGATCTTTTTCTGGTCCAACAAAGGTGTTCTGGCCAAGTTTCAAGACCTTAAAGTGAAATAACCTTCCTTGTCAGAAACATTTGCAAAATACACAAGAAACGGTCCGAACCGTGTAAGGAATGTCCGCAGCGGGCTCCTTCTCGGTCCAATGAAGAGCGTCGAGTTTTCCGGTGAGTAAAACCAAGCAGATCAACGCCGGCACGACGAGCATCGTGTGCAGGAGGGCCGAATAAACGTGTTGTCTTCGGTGAGAGGGCAGGAAGTGACGGGACCTGAAAATGGGAGAATTTTGAGAACATTTCCTTTCTGGGAACTGTTCAAAAAATATTGATTACTTGAAAAAAAAAAGTCAAAAAATCGATAACTCTTCCATTTTCTTGATACCTTGGCCAACCTTCTTCTGTTCTCTAAAGAAAAATTGAATATTTAAAACCATTAAACGCTAAAAATCCTCTAGAATCAGGATTTCGGTTCAATAATTCAATTTCAAAACGAAAAATGAATTTTCGAAGCTTTTTACCGTATTCCTTCGCGTCACCGTATTTAAAAAATGATGATAGACGGTGCTTTTTTTAACGCCTAACCCTTATTTTTCCGTAAAATGTAATGTGTCGTCTGCATGCACCGCGGCGCTCTGGTACATGCCGGGTTAATTTTCGCGAAATTTCAGAAATTCAGTTACATTTTCCACTTTCTGACGGCTGGCTATTTTGCAATTCGCGGGATCACTTTGAACACGGTAACAGAAAAATTGCGTTTTTTCGAATCGTCTCATGACCCATTGAACATGCGCCTTTAATACTGATGTTTACTCCGAAATGCCACAACTCTTTTCTCTGACATACACTATTTCGTCGTTTTCTCGCTGTTAGATTGAGACGAAATAGTGTGTGTTAGAGAAAAGAGTTGTGGCGCTCCAGTACGCTTTTTTCTCATGACGTCACATGGGAACTTTTGGCTCCGCCCACTTCATTTTTGGTTTCGCATTTTCTAACACTAACAAAAACACTGTGGATATTCTGTTTTTTATTAAATTTTATGGGATTTAAAAAAAACCTGGCCAAGACGATCGACAAAACGAGGGCGTAAACGACTCCAACGGCAGAAAGGGACAGGACCACCCAAAGGGGAATAAAAACGACCGCCCAAGACCAGTCAACCTTTGAAAAAATTGCATTATCCTTCTAGGGAACCGAGAAAAATTACCTGTTTATCCAGCTTAAACGCGACAAAAACCATCTCGACAATGTTTATGGCGTAGAGGAACTCGAACTGGAAATATATTGTCATAAAAAAAATCGGAACTATAAGATTTTCTTTTAGAAAAGGGTGAAAATTCACGGAATTCTGGAAAAGACGGTCGCTTTTTTGAAATTGTTAAAGTGTCCAAAACGCGTAGAAGAAGCGAATATAGGGCATGCTGGAAAAGTCGGTCGGTCGATTTGGAAAACTAGGCCACGCCGTAATTTTGCTCCATGGAAAATCGAATTTCAGACTTTTTTCCCTTTTTCTATATTATTCCTTACTTTTATCAGTTTTCTAGGATATGCGACACGTGCTCCTTACTCCAAACTAAACTGTTCTTTATTTACAATTGTTTCCCTAGGTAATTTTTTTCACCTTTTGTTGTAGGTAATATTTTTTTCTTGCCTTTTTTTCGTGTGTATTTAACACATTATCTCATTTTCAGATCACATATGCTTTTTTTCATTTCGCTCATTTGGTTATCTGAAGATATTTTGGATTCAAGAAAAATTAATAAGAATTTTCAAAAATTGAATCAGTTTTTAATTTTGAATTTATCCATCGTATTTTACTCGCAAGAACTTTGAAACTTTGAAACTTTTATTCAGTCTTCAGAGAAGGTTTCTCTGCTGAATCATGGAATCATTGAAGAGCTGTTTGTCGGTTCGCGAAACTGTTGTTGATCAAGCGTAGACGGCGCGCGCGTAGAGCCTCTCGTCTCTCTTTTGATAGTAGTAGACGACTTTCGAGCGCTCCGGCGATCACTGCTTCTCCATGTAGGAACAGTACGGCGCCCAGCTTGTCCAGGGCTGGCGGGCGTCGGATTATATCTCAGGCGAGAGCGGAAATGAAGAGCGACCACTCGGAAGGTAGAAATGAGACTCGCAAGAACGATACAGTTAAATGAAAATAAGCGAAAACCTTCTTGGTAAAATTTAAAAAAAGGAAAAAAATTCAGAAAAGAAAAAAAAAGATTGGAATTCTAAGTGTTCCATGGAGCAATATTGCGGCGTGGCCTAGTTTTCCAAACTGACCGACCGACTTTTCCAGCCTGTCCAAATATAGGCGGCCCAAAATGGGAGATTTTGTGTTTCTTTAAATAATCTCATTTCAACGTTTTCAACTTTATCTGAAACCGCAAAATAGTGTTCATCAAGATTTTGAGATTGGCGAAAATAGAAAATTGGATTTTTGTAAATTTAATGACTACAATTTTCGAGAATTCTTTGAAGAAATGCGTACTTTAAAACCGTTGACACCTTGATATGGCCTAAAACTATTAAAAATTCGGAAAATCCAAAAATAGCACCATAAAAACCGACTTTTCCGGCATACTAAAATTCACGGTCTTTAAAAAGTGATTTCTGATTTTCATCACAATTTTTAGTCTTTTCAGATTTTTAATGTCAAGTGGAATGACCTCATTCAAAAACACTCTGTGGATGGCCCCGCTCTCTGATTGGTTTATCGCACCATTATGGGCGGAGCTTGAGCGACGACTTGACATTCAAAATCTGAACAGACTATAGCAAATTTCGAAGCTTAGGAACATAGAAATACTAAAATTTCATTTTGTGAGAAATAACCACCTCGAAGGGTTTATCATGTCGCATAGCCCAAATGGCGACGCCGACGGAAACGATGGCCAAGGTGAATAATGGACAAAAGACGATCGTCCATGGAATTTCGTGTTCGAAGGGAAGGAATGGCTCGAGTTCCAACTGAAAAAAGCTTCACTCTGGATTAATCCTCACTAAATCTCACAAGGAAGGTCATTTTCTAAGATTTTGCTCAAACACTCTCTGAACGTCTAGATAAAGATCCCTCATAGTCGCTACCTGCGCAAACTTCTAGTTTTTATGATTTTTCAAAGTTGCCAAAAATGGATTTCAACTTTTCAAACTTTAAAATTAATTATCTCAAAAAATAAAAGCTTGCGGGGGTTCCAACTTCCATTGATCTTCATATAAACCTTCAGAGATGGTTTGAGCAAATTTGTAGGAAAATCCAAGTCGCCGAGTGAAATGACCTCTTTTTGGGGTCTAGCCCGATTTTTGAAAAATAATATCTCAAGAACTAGAAATGTGTACAGGTAGCGACTACGAGGGATCTTCATCTAGACATTCAGAGAATTTTTGGGCGAATTTGTAGAAAATTCCAGGTCGCCGAGTGAAATGGCCTCCTATTGGGGTCTAACCCGAATTTTGAAAAATAATATCTCAAGAACTAGAAATGTGTACAGGTAGCGACTATGAGGGATCTTCATCTAGACCTTCAGAGATGGTTTGAGCAAATTGGTAGGAAAATCCAAGTCGCTGAGTGAAATGACCTCATTGTGGGATACCAAAAAACGTTTCAGAAACTTTGCAATCAGCAAAAAACTTAGTTTTCTGGGAAGCAAGGCTCAAAGTACAAAAATGGCCTATTTTGATGAAATTTTCAAAAAAGAGAAAGTTTTACAGGTTGAGACTCATCTCGTACATCAGAAAAAGTAACTGGCCAATTTTTTTAGATGAATTTGTTGGAGTTAAAAATATTTTTTTGAATGTTATTTATAGCCTTTTCTTTCACAAAATCAAACTCGAAATGATAAAAAAATAACCTTGACAAAAGCGAAAGTAACAAAAGCACAGAGAAAGACGTGTTCAACGGCAGTGAGAAGCATCGCTGCGAAGTCGACTCGTAGGGCGATTTCGTTTCTGGAAAACAAATGATTTCCTCCTTGAATCATCATAAAATGAAAAATTCAGATACACTGGGAAAAGCTGGGGTGATTGCTATTGGGAGAAAAAAAAAATGGCGGTTCTTCTCTTTTTTTTCTGGGGGCTGCAAATTGAAACCCTTCCAAACGACAAAGTGGTTTCAGGCCTTTCAAGGCGCAGGTTGAAAAGAAAATCATATAAATCTTTAAACACTAAAGACAGGTTTCAAAAACAAAAAAGCTTCAGAACGAACCGAGACGGCGGCTTGGCGCAAAAAGAGCAAGCCCCAATGATAGCTCCTGCGAAAACCAAAAGATTACAGGACCACAATGGGGCAAAAACGAAGGCGTAGCTGAAGCCGACGCGATTATCCAGTTTCAATGAAACCAGGATAACAAATAAGAGTAAACTCAAATAGAGTATACATTTCCTGAAATAAACTTCATTTTAAAAATCATTTTTTTCTCGATTTTTCAAATTTTTTTCAAATAAATTGAAAAAAATTTATTTTTATGAAGTTTTTTTCATTTTCTTCAAATCTTGGATCGATGAAGCAAACAGAAAATACTATACAGCTTTGCAAAAAAACGCATTATTGTGAAAGAAAAAAACTCACGAAACGTTAAATCCGCGAAATAAAATTCCCAAGCTCAACTCCATGTTTATTCACTTCATTCGCTCGATAAAACTTTAAAAAGTGTTCTGAAAAAAAAGAAAATTTTTAGATGTAAAAAAAAAGGAAAAAAAAAGAACTAACGAGAAAAAACGTATAAAATCATTCATTTGAAAACGTTATTGTAAGGCTCGTTTTCAAGTGAAATAGTGTATTTCTGATATCTCGAAAAATCCGAATATATAGTTGAAGACTCATGATGGTAAAATAAATCTAAAAGAATCAAGAAAACGTAAGAAATAAAATGGAAAAAAAATACGTAAAAATTTGCGCGTGAGCTTGGCGCATCGTCCGTGGCTCGTCCAAGAGAACTACAGAAACCCAAAAAAAATTCTCATATCATGCCGCGTTCAAAGTAATTTCGGCGATTTCAAAATAGACGCGTTATTCGTTTAAAATGAATTCACGAAATAGGCAGAATTGCTATTCCGAGAATAGCAAGAAACAATGAGTCTTACAACGATATATCGTTATATATGCTTTTTTACCGTAATTTCTTCGCGGGAACTCAAAATTTTGGAATTATTTGGGCATTTTCTACTGAAATTTCAAATTCGCGCGTAAAACTCACCGTAAAAATGCGTATCCAACGATATATCGTTGTAGGACTCACCTTCCCAGAATACCAATTTCGCCTGTTTCCCGAAATCATTTTAAACGAATAACGCGTTTATTTTGAAATCGCCGAAATTACTTTGAACACGGCATCAGCTTCAAAAATGAATAAATTGACCAGTTATTTAATAAAACGTGTTTAATTTTACGAGCACGTGAAAAAGAGCGTCAAATCGGCATTTCTGAAGATTAATGCCGTTGAGAGTTGATTCTCAGCTTGAAGCAGAGAATTACTTTCATGGGTTTCTGGATACGTGAGTTTTGAGGCTAATTTTTGTTAGAAAAGGCTGGAAAAAAGATCATTCCCCTCAAAGACTATAAGGAAAGGTGAAAGATTTTTCAAATTTCAGAGACGATGTCAATGAAATATTGCAAAAGTCGGGAGATTTTCTCGTTCGCTACACAGTCCCAATATCCCACGGCGCCGATTATAATTATGTTGTCAGCGTGGTCGCCAAGCCAACAACGAAGGAAAAGGTGCTGAGATTTATTGTTATAGATCTCTTTTCGTTAGAGGCGAATAGACAGTGAGAGGAGAAGAGCTGCTTTTATTGTTATCTAATAATGCCTTTAAAAGTCACAGAAATTACTTATTGAAAGTTATCTCATTCATATTTTCACTTTGAAAGTGCGCCATTTGCAATTTGACTGCAAATACTTTGCAAAGAAAACTTTTGGCACGAATTCGAAACTTCTGTTTTTTTTTCACGTTCCTGTTCATAAAACGCGTGTATTTACATGATTTACTTTTTGAAAAATGATCCTCAGTACATAAGAAGAAAAAGAAATGGAAAAAGAGCTGTAAAAAGCTTCATAATACGCGACGCGACCGCTCCGCAAGGATTTCAAAGTTTCAAAAAATGGCAGTCCCAAGAGCTGCAAAAATTTTGGCAGTCCCAAGAGCTGCGAAAATGTTGGCAGACCCAAGAGCTGCGAAAATGTTGGCAGACCCAAGAGCAGTCCCAAGAGCGTTGAAGATTTTGGCAGTCCCAGGAGCTGCAAAAGTTTTGGCAGTCCCAAGAGCAGTCCCAAAGGCAGCGTAAATTTTTGGCAGTCCCAAAATTAGTGAAAAATTTTGGCAGTCCCAAGAGCTGCAAGGATTTTGGCCGTCCCAAGAGCTGCGAAAATGTTGGCAGACCCAAGAGCAGTCCCAGAGCGTTGAAGATTTCGGCAGTCCCAGTCCCAGGAGCTGCAAAAGTTTTGGCAGTCCCAAGAGCAGTCCCAAAGGCAGCGTAAATTTTTGGCAGTCCCAAAATTAGTGAAAAATTTTGGCAGTCCCAGGAGCTGCAAAAGTTTTGGCAGTCCCAAGAGCAGTCCCAAAGGCAGCGTAAATTTTTGGCAGTCCCAAAATTAGTGAAAAATTTTGGCAGTCCCAAGAGCTGAAAAAGTTTTGGCAGTCCCAAGAGCAGTCCCAAAAGCAGTGAAAAATTTTGGCAGTCCCAAGAGCAGTACCAAAGTATCCCAAACTTTTTATAGTACCCCAACCGCCACGAAAGAATAGGAGCTTTGATAAATATATTTACACCAATTCATCAGCTTATTTAGGTGGTAAAGGACTTTGCAATAATGGAGAAGGACAAGGGGTTTATGTTCGAGGACGGCATTCCAATGTCTTCGGTTTTTGAGTTGATATCGAGATATAAGAACAGCAAGAAGCCGATCGCTGACGTGAGCACCACGTTTCGAATAATCTTACGTGGTTTTTCACGCTGATTTCTGCTTAAAAATATTCAAAAAGGCAGCTCAAATTGAACCATATTCAAAAATGCTTTTGAGCGGCCATAACTTAATTTCCAGGGCTCTCTGAAAATTTTTAAGCATATATTCGGAATCAGCGTGAAAAAGCACCATTGGAAAACCTGGAATGAGCTCTAACTTTCCAGGGAATAGCCTTGATTTCGCCAAAACGCCGTAAGAAGTGGGAGCTCCGGATGTCGAGCCTCGAGCTGGAGGCGACTCGCCTTAGTGAAGGTTTTCAGGAAAGTTGTAATTCAAGAATTGAAGCCTGCTGTAGGGAATTTCGGCCATGTGCTGAAAGGCTTTCTGAAATCGCCAACCGGCGAGAAAATCCCGGTCGCCGTTAAGCAACCCAAGACCAATCTGCCCCCGGATGGGAATTTGGCAAATGACTTGGTGGGTATTTTTTCTGGAAGACGGGCATGATCAATTCGGGAGAAGAAGCGTGAAGATTGTGATATAATTTTGAAATGAAACATGGTCGCATTTGGAATGGCTATACGCGTAGCGGTTGCTGTGCGGCTGAAGTCAGAAGTTTCAAGCTTTCGTTTTCTTACCAGCACTTTCCGAAGATCTCCCTGAAAAAATCCAATCCAACCCGCTCAACCTCATTCAGGTCAACCAAATGCTCTGTGAAGCGCGAGCCCTGCGACAAACCGCCAGTCACTTGAACGTGATCAGCCTTCAAGGGATTGTCACGGAACTCAATCCGCCACTCCTCGTCATGGATCTCGTCCGTCTTTTTTGTATTGAGCCGGACCACCTAATCGTTTTCAGGTCGAAGGTTCCGACCTGGCCAAGGCCCTGCGAAGCCAGATAGTCAGTGATCAGCACCGACTCCCGATAATTATCGGCGTCGCCAGCGGTCTTTCTCATATCCACCTCAATGGAATCGTTCATCGCGACATTTCGGCGCAGAACGTCCTTCTCAGCCACGACTTCACCAAAATCAAAATATGCGATTTTGGTTTGGCTAGAATTGGTCCGAGTTACACGGTGGGAAAACGATGCGGTCGCATTTGGAATGACTCAAAGCGTTGTGGTCGCGCTGGAGTTCACGTCGAACAGTCTGACCTTTTTCCTCTCACCGAAGAGGGAGAATAGGTCACAGAGAAGTCAGACCGTTTCGGGTGGAGTATGGCTGAGACTAAGAGACTAAGATGATCCTTCAAATCTAGTTCCTTTTTTATTTTCTGATGAGATACTGTCGGCTACACTCAGATTCAAACCCCAACGCTTTGAGTTATCCCTAGGAGTACGATAAAAAAAACTTTTCTAAAGGCCAAAAGCACGCGTCCGATCCCATACAAGTGGATGGCTCCAGAAACGTTGATGAAGCGCGTTTTTTCCTTCAAAACCGACGTCTGGTCTTTTGGGGTTCTGGGTAAGTTTTGGAAGATTTCAAAAATGTGCGAAGTCCAAATTTCAGTCTGGGAAGTTTACAACGACGGTGCCGATCCCTACACCTTTTTGAAGCCCCAAGAAACTCGAGTTTTTCTTCTGGAAAAGAGAGAAAAGCTCGGTTTCAACCACGCAGTGATTGAGTGTCCGCAAGGACGTGTGTTTCTGTCCAAAAAAAAAAAAATGAGAAAATAATTTTCAGTCGTCGATTTTATCACGAAGAGTATCTTCGAATTCAGTCCCGAAAAACGGTGCAATATTATAACCGTTTGCGAAAAGCTGAAGGAAATCTTGTCCGAGCAAGATCCGACTGTTCAACAAAGGTGCATCCCGATTCTGATGGTGAGGATTCTTGATGGGTTCTGGATTATTTTGGGAAGTCTTTAGGAGATGAATCGATCTAGACAGACTGCTGTGGCGAGTTCGAGAACCAGAAAGTCTCAGTCGCTTGATGACAATCGGAGGAAGACGAGTCGCGGGACCAAGCCCAAGTCGCCGCATGGTTATTTTTTTATAAATTTAGAACGAGACCAGCTTCTGGGATCAAGAAAGATTGTTCAGTTTTCTCCTTGCATTTGAAACTATTCACTGCTTTTTGAAGCCCTTTAGTGACATCTTCATCTTTTCTTTCTCTTCAAAATCTTTGAAAAATCACCTTTTCCTCTAGAGAGCTCCTTCAACAGTTGTAGCATATTTTCCAGCACTTTTTTTGACTTTTTCTAGTTTCAGTTCACCTAGAAGCTTCTGAAGCTAGGAGAGCATCTTTCCTGACTTTTCTACCTTTTTTAAAGCTTTTCTTCCTCTTTTTGAACTTTTTAGGCTCCCTCTCTTTTTTTTAGTCCCTTTTCAATCTACTAGGCCCATCAAGAAGCTTTTCCGAAACTCATAACGAAACTAACTCAGCTTTTCATCGTCCTAATGAACCTTCCCTTTCAAAATTTCAAGAGCTTACTACTTTCCTTTTTCTGAACCTTATCCAAAAAGAAAAAATTTTCAAAATATGTTTTTCAGTGCGAAGCGCGAGATCCAAAGAGAAGAAAAATTCGAAGCCGCGATCGCCGGACAGTTGAATGGAAGCCGACTAGAAAATCGCCATTTTTCATGTCATTTCAATGGCAAAAACAAGGCTTTCATTTTATTTTTTGCACACCCGGGGCTTTCTTTGAAAACAACCTGACAAGATTCGATTTCGATTTTGGGTTCAAACTAGACAGTGACGGCGTCCAAATTGGATAAATGCTTGGATTCGACGGAGAGAGCCGCGGTCAGATCATCGGCCGTCGGTTCGAAACCGAGGATTTTCTCCAGGAGTACGCCTGGCGGATGGCCGCCGCCGTGGGATTGGACCTGAAAAAATGGATTTTTTTCAAAAGTATATAAGAGCTTCTTGGACTTTTTAAACGTTTACAAAGTGATTTACATATTGAGCTATATAATCGGGATGGTGGACAGCTTAGGAGTTCCAGAGTGACCCCTATAGGGAGCGAACAAGTGACCCCTGAAGGGTTAAAATCAAGGTGGCCCCTATAAGGGTTCAGGGTCTGGCTTCTTTGCAAAGAGTTCATAAAATCGACTAGCATGTCCCCTATAGGGGCCACTAAAAAACCCTATAAAGACCACTTTTGCAAGCTTTAGTGGCCCCTATAGGGGCTGGTATAGTTGTACCTAGAGGAGACACTCCAAAGGCTCCTAAGGTTGCCTCTATAGGGACCACTCTGGAGATCCTAAGAATTGGCCGCTAGATTCAAAAAAGGCCGCAGAAAGGCAGCAAGTCCCTTCCATTTTTTTTCTGGGATTTTAAAGGCTCAAAAAAGGGTGGAAGAAGGGAGAGGCGGTAAAAAAGGTGTATAACAGCCGATGAAATGGTGCAAAAAGGCAGCAAAAAGGGAACATTGTTATAAAGCCTTTTTCCAACCTCTTGCCTATGTAGAAGCTTCTTCAGCTTTTCCTAACGTAATGGGAGCTTCTCTAGCTTCAAATTGAGGTAAAATTTCGATTTCTCCATGTAAAAAAATTTCGCGCCGCCTTTTTTATCATGTGATGAAGCTTGAGTAGATTTTGAGTGAAGATCTTCAAATTTAGATCAGTTTTCGGCGCTTTTAAGTAGCTAAAAAAATCAGAATATTCCGGTTCAAGTCAAAATTGGATAAACTATGAAAACTCAATACCTCGGCCCAACATTCGCCCCATCGCCTCGAGAACGGATCGTCGCGGAATCTTTGCTGCCAAATCAGCGACGCGGCCGCTTTCGCCACCAAATATGAGTAATATTTGGCGCCATATTGAACAGTGTGATGAAATCTGGAAACAAAACTCGATAATTTATTTCAAATAAAGCGGAAAAAACTGGAATTGTCGTCAGAGAAAGAAAAAGACAACTAAATTTTGGAGAGTCAGAGATAATTATGCGTTTCGCGGGAATTACTGTGAACACTGCATAAAGGTTGAACTAGATTAAAAAGACATTTTTTCTTCGAATTTTTCTTTTCCTTCGAATTGAAACACTTTTCTGTTGGATACGCAACGCAACCGCGACGCTTTGAGCCATTCCAAGTGCGACCAAGGAAAAAAGGACCGCGAAACTTGTTGTGTATGAATTAAGGCCCCTTTTTCCGGAAACAGACTGAATTTTACCGAGGATGGAGCACGTTTTTTTTTGAATACGCAACGCAACCGCGACGCTTCGAGCCATTCCAAGTGCGACCAAGGAAAAAATAACCGCAAACCTTGTTGTGTATGAAGTTAAGACCCCCTTTTCCGGAAACAAACTGAATTCTTACCGATGATGGAAAGCCGCCGTTGGGTTCCTCTCTAAATACGGCAACGATTTTTTCATAATCGAGTGGAAAAGTTCAGTTGTGGTCAGTCTTCCGGAAGCGATTAGAGGCGCCATTTCAGGTCCTAAATGGAGAAGAGAAGGTCTTGAAAAGGAAGGAAAACGATCCGGAAAATCAATGGAAGCATAGGCGAAGTCGGAAAGGGTGGAAAACGGCTCCATAGAAGGTCCTTTTTTGCAGCCTTTTTGCGCCATTTTATCGGCTTTCATGGACCATTCTTGCTGCCTCTCCCTTTTTCCGCCATGTCTAGTTTCCAGAAAAAATAAAAGGCTCTATAAAGGGACCCTTTTTGCTGCCTTTTTTGAGCCTCTCTCTCTTTTAACGGCCGTTATCCACCCATCCAACTTTGCCCGAGAGATTTTTTTTTTACGACCACGATGATCCAAAAAGTCTTTTTTGAAAAATCAATTCATAGAATGGAAAAGAGTAGGAGTTTTTGGTGAGAATGAGAAAGGTCGATACAATTTCTGAATCTAGTTCCCTAAAATGATCATAAAGTAGAGCTAGAAGATATGGTTTTCGAAAAAAGACGACAATTTTTTTGAAAGTGAACCCTAACCATGAAGCTCCAAATCATATAGACCGTATGCAGCCTGCTGAACGGTCTCAATGGCCGTGAAGGAACATCGGGACGCCAAAACCGTGGCCGTCGAGTCGACGGACAAAGACGCCGAGGAATCCGAACTTCTCATGATATCTCTCAGGACCTAGGAAAATCCTGGTTGGAGCAACTTCTGAAGCTTAAATATACATGCAGGTCGCTGAAGAAGTACTCCATGAGGTTGGACGGGATCTCGGAGAAGTCTTGAGGGCATCTGGTTCCTGGAAAATGGAGCTTTTCTCGAAGTTCAAGCTAGAAAACAAAAAATTGGAAAAAGAGCCGAAAAATTCAGGTTATCAAGTTCGCTCTAGAGAGAAAGTCTCTGATAAGCTCTTTAAATCATTTTTTGAGCTTCATCTAGCTCCATATTCATTCTCAATCCCTAAAAATTCACCAGCAACATGTTGATACCGGGTCCGGCCGAGGATACTGTGCATGGCGTGGCCCAACTCGTGGAACATCGTCTCGGCCGAATGAAGCCTCACGGGGACTCTTTGCCAGGGGATCCGGGCCAGGGGTTCTTGCAGAGACAGGGCCAAGACGACGATCGGCGACTGCCATCGTCCATCCGACAACTGAGAATCGCCCTTTTCAGAGGTTCTCAAGAGCTGCACCAACTAATTTGGAGCATCTGACAGTGTAGTGACAGTCGCTGTGAGCTTTCTCGGGTCGGATCGAGACGTCGAGGTAGATCGTGCCGAGGTCGTTGTTCTGCTCGTCTATTGCTTCCTGGAAGAAGTCTGTTCTTGGGTTTCCAAATATGGATATCGTGGTCGCATTTGGAATGGCTCGAAGGGTTGCTCAGCTTGGCTTTCAAAAGCTTACGACATCATTCAAAGCTTTTAGATGCGCCCTAGCGCAAACCGATGTGAGTCCGGCGCACTTTTGAATGATCGTTTCAGAAGTCCTACATACTGAGCCATTCCACATTCGACAATAGGCTTCAGAATAGAAATAGCATATAAAGCAAAGCTTCCTTCATTTGCTGAGTCGTGGTCGCATTTGGAATGGCTCAAAGGGTTGCGTTGTGGATTCAAGTGTCGACTTGGCTTTCAGAAGCTTCCGTCATTCTTCAATGCTTTTAGATGCTCCCTAGCGCAAAGTGGCGTGAGTCTGGCGCACTTTTTAACGATCCCTTCACAATTTTTCCATCTTGAGTCATTCCTCTTGCGACAATAAGCTTCAGAATAGAAAAGAGCATATAACGCAAAGCTTCCTTCATTCGCTGCGTCGTGGTCGCATTTGGAATGGCTCAAAGGGTTGCGTTGTGTATTCACGTGTTAAATTCAAAAGCTTCCGTCATTCTTCAATGCTTTTAGATGCACACTAGCGCAAACGGATGTGAGTCCGGCGCACTTTTGAATGATCGTTTCAGAAGTCCTACATACTGAGCCATTCCACATTCGACAATAGGCTTCACACGGGAAGTGCGAAAGGTCGAGGTATTGGAATTTAATGAAACTTGGTATATAGGTACTTCCGAACACCCTGAATCCAAAGCAGTTGAAAAAAAGTGCGCCTTTTTGGTTTTAGTCGAGTTATGGCGCCTCAAAATTTGCACGCAAAAAATGCATTGGAAGGGAAGAGGGAATCTGTTGCGGCGGCTAACTCTAGTTGCCAGCAGGCGGCGTGGTGTAGTGGCTAGAGGCCTTGCGCTGTGAAACCTATGATGCAGGTTCGGTCCCTTTTTGGTGAAATTTTTTTTTTGCCAATTTTTTTTTATTTGAAAAATGAGGAAGTTTTGATGAAGGAGTGAAAGAACAGCTCAAAATTTTGAAATTCACCATTTTATGCCCATCTGAGAAAGAGTTTCGACAAAAAAATTTTTTTGCTCCATTTTCCTTGCCTAACCATAAGGCTTATGGTCGACCCATTCCTTCAAAAAAATTTCTGATGAACCAATAAAATCAAAGTTTTATGAGATTTATTCTTCTTTCCTTCCTTTATGACGTTATGTGTTGAAAGCTGTGAATCAAATTCCAGCTTCACTTCATTTTCGCAATCGAGATGATATGGCGATGCTGCAGGGGAGGAAAAATACCAGGAAGTGGATTAACAAACCGCCACCTTTGAAGAAACAACTTTTTGATGAATGAGAAAAGAAGCATAGAACTACAATAAGTTGTTATTTATGACATAAAACTATGAACTCTTGCAAGAATAATCACGACGCCCAAATTTCCTGCACAGAGCATGACAAAAAAAGACTAAAAAAATTTTTTTGTTGAAATTCTTTCTCAAAACGACATAAAAATAGTGAATTTTTAACACTTTGAACGGTATTTTTCGTTCCATCTTCAAAAAATCATCAATTTTTTCGAAAAACTTCATGGCAAAAATAAATTTCACCAAAAAGGGACCGAACCTGCATCATAGGTTTCACAGCTCAAGGCCGCTAGCCACTACACCACGCCGCCTGCTGGCAACTAGAGTTAGCCGCCGCAACACATTCCCTCCTCCCTTCCAATGCATTTTTTGCGTGCAAACTTTGAGGCGCCCTAACTCGACTAGAACCAAAAAGGCGCACTTTTTTTCAACTGTTTTGGATTCAGGGTTTTCGGTAGTACCTATACCCCAAGTTTCATTAAATTCCAATACCTCGACCTTTCGCACTTCCCGTGTCAGAATAGAAATAGCATATAAAGCAAAGCTTCCTTCATTTGCTGAGTCGTGGTCGCATTTGGAATGGCTCGAAGGGTTGCTCAGCTTGGCTTTCAGAAGCTTCCGGCATCCTACATTGCTTTCCGATGCTCCATAGCGCAAGTCGATGTTAGTCTGGCGCACTTTTGAACGATCACTTCTCTAGTTTTACATATTGAGTCATTCCTCTTGCGACAACAGGATGAGTACCATCATTCAAAATTCAAATTTTAGGCCCTCCAAAAAGTTTTCTAATTTACTGTCAATTTTTTTTTTAAAAAGCGAGCGAGGTTATTGAAACAACATCATGGCCTCTTTTTTTAGGGAAAAAAATTAATCTTATTCAATTTATTGAAGGTCTTTAAACCACGAACTTTTTTTCAAAAAAAGCCAAGCCCCCCCCGCTCCTCAATGTTTCAAAAATCCCTAAAAAACCCACCAACTTGATCAAGGAATCGGCCTTCCAAAGTTCTCCACTTCTAATCTCCCTTTGCACCAAACGGATTCCATATAACCGTTCAGCCAACTTTGAAAAGCCGTTCAAAACCGTGGAAATCGTGAAAAATGGGGCGATTTCACGGGTCTGCTTGGCAATGTTGAATGCGCTCTCCTGAAAATTCTTTTTATTTTTTTTTATTGATAATCAGCTTTTCATGGTTTTGAAGTAGGCTCTGAGGACAGATTTAAGATTGTTTTTTTTCTTCAAAACGTTTTTTTTTGGTCTGAATATGTCATTTCCATGAATCCTTGTTAATTTTCGATATTATTTTGGTATGGAGTCTTCCTATAAACCAGAAAGCTAATAATTTCTTTTGTATAAAAATCCCTAACCCTGTACAAATGCATGAGGAAGGGCAAATCCCATTCGGCGACGGAAACTGAGGAAGTTGAGGCGTCTTCGTCGCTGTTTTGGGTCTGGCATTGGGTCTGGATGTCCGTTAGTACTGCCAGTTCCTTTTCTGAGGCTTTTCGGCAGTTCTAAAAATCATAACTTTGAAAGAACTTGAGAAGAAAGCTCGTGTGGTAAAGTTTATTTTTCGATAACTCTTGGAGATGGTAGGACGAAAAATTTGATCCGCAAAAATACGTCGCGTGAAAATTGCGACCACATAACCTATGAGCCACGAAAATTTTAAGCCTTTAAAATTTTGTCCCCTTAAATTAGAAATTACTTGCATATAAGGCTTTCAATTTCTGTATTTTCTGTTTTTCTTCGTTCTGGTCTTCTTTAAACTTCTGCTCTAGTACTGACTCTCATTTCTGCGTTGAGTTATCCCGGCGATCCCAGGATTTGATAACGTTTTGAAACCTAATTTCGATTTTTAACTCTTTTTCTTCTGTTTTCCCAATTAAGTTGTGCTATAAATCATTAAAGTTCAAAATCTGTCAACTAAATACGTTTTCCATGTTTATAACAAAAAATGACAGACTTCTTTTGAAATTTCTAGAAACCTACTGAAAACAGTGGCTCTAGCTCTGGAATTAATCAATATCAAGAATAAAAGGAAAAAAATTTAAAAAAAAAAGGAAAAGAAAGAAATTCAAAAAGTCATCATCTGAGCAATTTTAAAATTTACGAAAAAATTTTGAAGGCTTAAAATTTTCGTGGCTCATAGGTTATGTGGTCGCAGGATCAAATTTTTCGTCCTACTATCCTCTTGGAATCCCAAAAATGTTGTCTAGACCTCTAACCCAATAAAACTATAGAAGCTTCATCCTCAGCTTCAACTATCAAAATAGTGCGTTTGTATATAAATAGTGCATCCTCAGCTTCTACTATTAAAATAGTGTGAAATAATAAATTTAAAGAAAAGGTGAACAAAGTGGCACAAAAAGTTTTTCAATGAGCAGGGGAAAAAATTCTCGAATTTCGATTTTCGAAGTTGAAAGAGTGTGCAGGTCGAGAAACGCCAGGGGAACAAAATTTTAATTTTCTGAAACTCCTACGATTTTTTCGCATTATCAAACTTCAACACTTTGAGAACCTAAAAGCTCCGTTTTAAGCCATTGAAACTCACATCAATGATGCCCCAGAGGAACTGCCGGACCGATTCATAATTCTTCAGGAGGCTATTTCTCTGTGCTCGGTGAGCGAAAGACTCAAATCCGGTTAGCTGGGCCAGGGAATGACGTGATCCAACGATTCTTCGCAACTGGTTCTCCTGAGATGATTTATGGTCTTTTTTCCTGTTCAATATTCAATTTTTCTCTTCTACGTGTTTGAGTTTTAATATTTACATGAAACTTCTCTATTTCTTTTTTAGGAATCTCAAAACTTTCTCTGAAGACCTGAAAAATGACCCTAGAGTTTTTTACCTGTTCTTCATTGTGCGCATAGTAGGCGTTGTAGACGAATTCTCGTTTATTTCTTTCACTTGAATGTGAAACTGGGGAATATATCCGTGATGGGAGGCTGAATCGGACCTGATCGGGCCTGGAAAAGAACCTTTGCCAATAAATTATAATTATTTCGGACATAGAAAAAGTCTCTACAGCTGTCATAGCATATTTTGAATCAAAATAATTCAAGCCCTCACTTCTTAACGACGACTTCAGAATCGCATTTAGACTGGAATCTTGCGCACGCGTCGAAAATCTCTCCGGAAATGTTCACAAACTTCTCTCTCTGTAAATTGTTTTTTTACCATTACTTGTAGGACCGCTATGAAAAAAATAAGTGTTACATTTTTGGGACCAGAAAAAAATAAAAATAAAAATATTTACTGTCTAAAAAAAGTCATTCAAATCAAGATGCAGCTCTCAGAAACATCAGGCAAACCCAATCAAAATCTTCTATGTAATCTAATCAGACCAAAAAGTAGCTCTCAAAAAGTTAAGCAGACCAAAATGCAGATCTCAAAAGTTAAGCAGACCAAAATGCAGCTCTCAAAAAGTTAAGCAGACCAAAAAGTATCTCTCAAAAAGTTAAGCAGACCAAAATGCACCTCTCAAAAAGTTAAGCAGACCAAAATGCAGCTCTCAAAAAGTTAAGCAGACCAAAATGCAGATCTCAAAAGTTAAGCAGACCAAAATGCAGCTCTCAAAAAGTTAAGCAGACCAAAAAGTATCTCTCAAAAAGTTAAGCAGACCAAAATGCACCTCTCAAAAAGTTAAGCAGACCAAAATGCAGCTCTCAAAAAGTTTAGCAGACCAAAATGCAGATCTCAAAAAGTTTAGCAGACCAAAATGCAGCTCTCATAAAGTTAAGCAGACCAAAATCTAGAAGGCTCACTTCTTCCTGTGACAAATGAACGCCGGACTGCTCAAAGTCGTCCAAGAACAAAGTCAATGTTCGTTTATCAACTTCATCAAGGCGAGTCGCATCCGTTGTTTCCGACGACTTCAATCTTCCATATAAGGAGGTGTCGGTATTAAGACTGAAAATTCAAATCGAAATTTCAAAACGCACAAAACGAACCTTTCAACGAGGTCACAAAAATCGCGTGACGCGATTTCCGAGGCATTTCTGAACTCCTTGTCGTCATGCAGTTGTCGAACGCATTCCGTCTGAACTTTGAAGTTTTTTTTTTTCTCTTTTTGGAAAATTATAACACTCTCCACCTACTCCAAAAGACAATTTTCATTATCCTCCCATAAAAACCCACCAAATCAGCAGCCTTACAAATTTCATTGGAAATGTCGTCGACGATTTGTAATGCCGTCCGGCCTGGCTTATCTTTCGACCCTTCTGTCGTCAGTTCCTGAGTCAATTTCTCAAAACTGTCAAAAATTGTGAGTTAAACCGCTAAAAGACCACTAGTAGCCTTTCGGACCTCCTTGGGTAGTGCTAAAATGTCGGCTGGGCTTTTGAGTTTGGCTTCGTTGAAGAGGCCCTGAAAATATGGAAGAAAATTCCAAAAACGATAGTTTTTTCTGAACTACTTCTCTACAGGCAAGAACTCGAGACCGTGAAAACCTTTAAAATTTGAAAAACATCCTTTTTTTCAATTTTCGGGTGTTTCTATTTTCCTAAACTTCGCATGTTTCCCTCAATTTTTTTGAATTAAAAAAAGATATTTCATTGCTTATTCCATTTCGTAAATTATTCTTGCTTGAGTTCGCAAGCCCAAGCCACCCCAAATTCCTACCGTATCTTTCGTGGCAATCTCCTTTGACCGCCCACCAAAAAAGGTGCGCAAAAATGGGCGGAGACGAGCCGCTGCTTGGCTCCTGGCCAGCATTTCTTAAAGAAAAGTCAAAGAAACTTATCAGCCCGAGTTGAAGAAAACCGTTCTAAAAGTTCAAATTTAAACAAAAGTTCGGATAATCAAATATCAGGTTTCTGAAAGTCTTCTGAACAACATCAACCAGAACGAAAATGAGGACAAGTGAAATCGTTTATTTTTTCAATTACCGAGATTAAGACAAAATACCTGTACGAAATAATAAAATTAACAGAAATGAGGTGAGATATGCAAGGAGGGGCAAAATCGAGAGGAAGTATTGAGGTTTTGAGTCGTAAAAACTGATCAAGCAAGATACTTTTTGGGAAATTTTTTTTTATAAGCCTGAGGCCCTTCCGTGGCTTAGAAAAAGGGAAACTGACCGTTTTTCTGTAAGTCTAGTATTTTTGAACTTCGAGACGTTGAGAAATATCACTACTCTTTTTCTGTTCAAAATATTTCGAATCACTTGAAAATTAAAAAATATTGATTCAAGGTCGATACACACCTATAATCAGCCTCTTCCGCATACGATAATCTTGAAATTAACTGAATAAATAGGAATAAATTTCTCAAAACAAATTCTTCCGGCCTCGCAGATCCTTGAATCAAACTTGAAGCTTGAATTTTAAAACTTAAAATCCTCAAATTTTTCTATTCCCATCAGAAAATACGCCTTAAATAACCTCTCAATTTCACTTCTCAATGACAAATCCCACAAAAAGCACAGAATGACTGGATTTAAACATCGGAAGAAGTGGCAGCCGAGGAGGCGGAAGGCATCGGGGCGTCGGGGACGTCAGTCGCGGCGGCGGCCGCTGGAATCGCCGTCGGATCTTCTGAAGTCGGCGACGACGATGTCGCAGAGAGAAGATCTAGAGCTGGTGGAGGCGTGCGATCGGAGAGCGGCGGCGTCGTCGACGACGATATCGCCGGCGAATCCGCCGCGTGGATCTTGCGTCGCGGACCTCGTTCCGACTCCTCTTCTTCCTCCTCGTCGTCGTCCTCAGTCTGTCGGGAGGAAATCAGAATTATTTTCTGTTATAAGAGGTCGTATGCAATAAAGTGAGAAAATATCTTCCTTCATTTTTCTAAAACTTGGAAAAGGCAAAACTGTTCTTTCGTATACCTTTTTAAAACTTTCTTAAAAGGTAATTTAATTTTTGGGTAGTCCAGCGCTTCCCGAAGTTCCAGGAAAATGTCGGAAAATCACCTTTATCGTATACGACCTTTCTCTATTCACCACTATTTTGTCAAAAATTATAGAAAAGAAGTAAATTTAGAAGCGTAAAGGAATATGGTCAGTAGAAAATAATTCAATGCCCTAATGTAGATCTCTTCATTGTATTTTCCGAAATCTACTTGAAACTGCAAAATATCAACTTTCGGGCTCAACTTTGACGTTACTCAACTACCCAAAATCACTTCAAAAACCGTAAGCTGAAAATTTTGAAAGTAAGATTCCGTAGCCAAAATTTTCATAGTCACATTTTTTCCGTAAGCTTTCATGGCGGAGATTTTATACAGCAAAAAGAAAATTTTTAATCGGTTGAAAATGAAAAAAACCTTTCGCAACGTTTCCGCAAGAGTGGGATTTCAAAATTATTTTCAATTAAAAATCATATTTTTTTAAGAAAATTTCGTACAATCTCAAGTGAATCGTTAAAAAAATATAATGAAAAAAACTTTAAAATGTAGCCTTTTTTTCCTCAAAAATAATTTTTTTCTACTGACCATATGCCTTTAAAAAATTAATAGACGACACAGGAAACTTATTGACCCCAGGGAAAGCTACCATACGAGGCAATTGTTTGGCGAAAGCGTTGTAAGCCCCTCGAGGAGCCGAGATGCCAGCCGTCGGGTAAGTCGCTTCGTACCTGGCGATTGATAATTTGGCTCCGACCTGAAAAGAACATTGATAATTTTAATATTATCTGATTGCCCTGTATTTTTTGAAATGGCGTTTTTTCCTATAAAAACGATGATTATAAAGAGGTCCAGAAGGATTTTTCAATTTTCCAACATCTCCAAAGCTTATTCTGGCCTTGTCATAGGAAAAAGAGAGCTTTCTGAGTTCCGAATTTGCAAATTGCTATTTGGTCTGCTTATAACTTTTTGAGAGCTGCATTTTAAACCGACTTCACGGTTTTATTGGAATATTGGTCTGCTAAACTTTTTGAGAGCTGCATTTTGGTCTGCTTAAAATTTTGAGAGCTGCATTTTGGTCTGCTTAAATTTTTGAGAGCTGCATTTTGGTCTGCTTAAATTTTTGAGAGCTGCATTTTGGTCTGCTTAAATTTTTGAGAGCTGCATTTGGGTCTGCTTAACTTTTTGAGAGCTGCATTTGGGTCTGCTTAACTTTTTGAGAGCTGCATTTGGGTCTGCTCAACTTTTTGAGAGCTGCATTTTGGTCTGCTTCTTTATGAGAGCTGCATCTTGGTTTAACTAGCTTTCACGGTTTTATTAAAATTTTGGTCTTCTTGAAAATTTTGAGAGCTGTATTTTCGCCGGAATAACTTTTGTTATGCCGTGTTCAAAGTGATTCCGCCGATTTCAAAATAGCCGTCAGAATATATAAAGAATAACTGAATTTTGGAAAGGTAGAGATAATTCCATATTTTGCAGAAACTACTTTGAAAAAGGAAACATGTAAATCGATGAACACAAAGCTCAACATAGCCTATGGTCTGTTCAGATTTTGAATGTCAACCAGCTAACTCCGCCTCTGCTGAGACGGTACCTTTTCGCGTCGATGTTTCATCCCGCGGGACTAATTTTGATCTTTTTCGATCTAAAAGATAGAAAAAGAGGTCAAAAAAGCAGCCTTATTAAAGGGCCATTGGCATATGTAGATAAAACATTGACGCGAAAGATATTGTAGCCTTGGGGGTGGAGTCAGCTGCTTGACATTCAAAATCTGAACAGACTATAATAAATTTTATTGTTTCTGAAGGAGAAACTATTGCCTTAAATTTCGTCGCAAAAGACCTTAAAAAAACAAAAAAATTGTAAAACTACTGGAAACTTTTTGAATAAAAACTTCGTTCAAAAAAAATTTTTTTCCGATAAAGGTCCAATTTTTTTCCCAATCAATTATTTAAAATTTTTTTCTCCGTCTCCACGAAGCTGTTAGAAAAGTACGTTTGATTATTTTTCAATGTAAAAAAATTCATTTTTTTCAACACAAACCTGTGCATAAGCCCCCATCAGCGACGTGATTTTTGGCAAGAGCGAGTAGATCGTCAACTCTTTCTCCTCCTCAAAGTGAAAAAATAATTATTATAACTTATTTTTTTCAGAAAAAATCGGTTTTTTTACTTTTAAAATATGAAATTAATAAGAAAATAGCTTTCTTGGAGGCCATATAAATCATTTTACAACACTAGTTTTCGTTAAATGACCCTAAAGTACACGGAAACCATTATTAATTGTCATTTTCTCTTCCCAAACCTTATCAAACTCATTTTTGTACTCGGTCGCGTGTCGGACCATCATCCTCAGTCTTTGGGTGAGCAAATTTGCCTCTCTCAAAATCTCCAAATCAATCGGCAGCCGGCCGGCTTCAACTTCAGCCAGATAAGCCAAAATGAGCTGAAAATTCTCTTTTTATTTCTTTGTTTAACAGTTTTTCTGTACCTCAATCCGGCTGACCAGCATATCGATCGCAGATTTTTGGGACCTGTACTGTTTGGCGTTGGCGGAGCCTGTTTCTTGGCCGTCTTTGGTTGAGAGCCTTCAAAAATCGATTGAACATCAAAAAAGGTCTTTCGAATTTTTTTCGAATTTTAGCTGTCATGATTATCTTGATTTAACAATTCATTTCATTATTTCGAACTGGTTTTTTTCGAAAAATCTTTTTTTAAATTTAATTTCAAAGCAACTCTCGTCTCATCTCTTTCTTTCGCTTCACCCGAGTAAGAAAAATTTTTTTCGATAAATTATAATATATAAAATTATCGTAAAAGGCGGAAAAAAATTGTCCAATATATGAAAATGAATGTTCTGCAGATTTTTCAAAAAGAATAAAATTTGAAATTTGGCTATTTTTAACACCTTTTTTTCGGGCTAAAATTTTCTTCTGTGTTCTCTCTTTTCGACTCTTTTTTTAAAATTTATTTGCTGATCTAAAAAAAAACCTCATTCCTGTAAATCTTGTCATTGGAACTTGGAAAAATGGGTTTAATAAAGTGAAAAATTCCGCATTTCACGTCTCTCGGTCAAAAAAATGGAATGGTAAAGTCTTCACTAGAAAAAAATAAAAAGCAAAATTATTTGACAGAAAAAAACTGAAGAAGAGCAATTTAAAGCCTCTTTTTCTCTTTAGTTTTACTAAAAAAATTACTCGAATCAAAGTTTTTTTGGTGTTTTGAAAATGTCAAGGTTACATATTTTTTTGAACAGCTTGAATCAAAAATTTTTTTGAAGCTTTGAAAAAAACTTACGTTATCAGTATTTTTTTCCAAATATTCGAATCACAATTTTGGAAAAAAAAAATCAAAACCTTTTTTTTTAAACTACTCGAGTCAAGGATTTCTTAAAAGTTTTGATAAAATCAAGTTATAAATATGCTTTTTCCAGATCATTAATCAAAAAATAATTTTAATCCTTTTTCACGAACTTGGCGATATGATTCACTCCGACGCGTTCGCTATTCTCCAGAATCAGTTGCCATTCGGCAATCGCCAAATTGCCCGGTTTCTCTTCAGTAGCACTAGAATCGCCTTCGAAGACGTACAGCGGCAACTAAAATCTCAATCCTTTTTCCTTTTTCATTTCTTTTTGAAACCCTGCGATCATTCCCGCCGGTCGCCGTGTTCATCTTCAATAAAACCGGCGAATCCGTGGCTTTCAGCTGACTGAACGTCGTCAGGACGTTCCGATCGACTTCGATTAACTCCGCTTCGGAGCCGGTGCAATAAACGCCGACGACACTGATTTCGGGGAACACTTCGGCGTCTCAAAATGGTACGAAATTACTCATTTTGAGGCAATTTTTCGGATTACACTGCCTGGCGCGGGCTTCGAAATGAGCCAGATTGAAGGATTCCCGGCCGGTCGTCTCATCGGTGTACATTTTGAAGGCGAACGAGTTGATCATTTCGACCGTTCTGCCGCTCTGACGGCCTAGCACAGCGCCGTACACCTTTAAAATGCGGCTGTTTGGGGATTTTTGGGAATTTACTGGGACGAAATTGGCTTAGAAATTCGATTTTTCCTAGGGACACTATGAAAAGAAACGAATAATGTTATTTGATCAAAATTTTAGTTGAACACCTCGGAAAATTGTGGCCCTGTAGGGGCTTGGCAAGGAGAGGACATGGAGAGGACACTAAAGTGGCCACTATTTTTCGTTTTAGTGGCCACTTCAGTAGTTTTTCATTCAGTATTCCTTCCAGTAACTCTGATAATTTTAAAACAAACAGATGGGACCAGTTATGTTGATCCTTTGACCCCTATGGTGGCCACTAATTTGACTACTATAGTGGCCACTAAAAGTTTTCCCAGCTCAGTAGCTTTATACCCTTTCTAACCTTTGACAAGGTCCTTCAAAAAATTCAAGGCTTCAAAAAAAAAATATTTTCCCATCAATTTCAAAAAACTAATGCAACAGTTATACTTGGAGGGGATCTTTTATTAAAAATTCAAAATAAAAAACGTTTATTTATCAAAAAATGATGAGCTGATCAGAATTATAAGCTTTACTTCACTGAAAATTTTTTTTGAAGCCAAAAAAAAACAAACCAATATGATAATTATCATCTAAAACATAACTTTTCATTATTTCTTCCTACTTTTTCAAAAATAACAATAGTAAAAACACACCCTAAGGTCCTGAACCTTCTCCTGGACCCTGAGCCTCGAAAAATGCTCGGAAATCTGCATGACGACCAGCGGATGGATCAAAGCTTTCAAATTCGTCGGCACACATCCCGATTCTCCCTTGTTTTGGGACATCTTTCACCAACAAAAAAATATATAAGCGACCTTAAAAATAAAGAGAAAAAGGTACAATAATGGTCCATAACCGACATAAAAACAAAAAGGAAGAAAAAAAAGAAAAAAAAAACTTTACTCTATACACTCGGTACACGTAAGCGACTGCAAAAAAGCGACTATGATATGAAATAATTTCTATGGCATGAACTTCTATGTACATAAGTATGATGAGATCTAGTAAAAGTACATTTTTCCGAATAAAAAGGAATCTCGCGAGATTAGGACAGAAGAAAAATGCAAAAAAAGCGGCAAAATGGGTATTTTGAAGGCTTGGAAGGGCAGAGATTTGAAAAAAATGACTAATATTTATTTTTTTAATCTATTTCTAAGCCTAATTGAGCTTTAGAAAACCTTGAAAACTTTAGAATCTTGTTTTTTTAAAATTTACCTTCATTAATAAAAAAATGGCTTTAAGCTATCAACTACTGAAAAAAATTGCTAAAAAAATCCGTTTTTTTCTGGATTTCTTTCAGCCATTTTTTTCATTGATATTTAAACAAAATGAAGATTTTTCCATTTTTTTCAGAAGCCAGAGCACGTTGAAAACTTAAAAACCGCATTTCACTTCATTTTTTTATCTTATTGAGTTTTTTTCAAAGTTCTCTTTTGAGGCTAATGCAAGCTCAAAAATCAAAAAATGACTCAAGAAGTTGTCGGCTCCAAGCTTTTCCATACTAGACTCCCATTGAAAAATTGAAAAAACAGCCTTTTACTCCGGAAAAGAACTAGAAAATTCAATAAAAAGGCAGGGGACTGGCGTGGTAGGCTCTCTTGCTGCACTCGACGGCGGCGTCGACCAATCGGAACAGTCCAGTGTCCCTCGGCCGTTCCAGACCGCGACGCGTACGTCGACGCATCACCGAAATCATCTCCTCGTGGGAGAGACTTCCGTCCTGGAAAAGGACAGTTCCAACAAAGTTGAAGTTAGAAGATAATGCAGTCTAGTCTGTGTACTTGAAATTTCACGGAACGACATTCCGCTGTTCCGCTGCGTGCGTTCGCGAAGCGTCTTTCGAATCTAGCTTACGTTTTCACTTGATTGTTACTGCTGTGGGAGCACATGAAAGTAGAGTACCTTAATAAAAGAAAAAAAAAATTAAAAGCGCGAGAGGCGCGCAGCGGCACAGCGGAATGTCGTTCGGTGAAATTCCAAGTCGTTGTATACCATCCGAAAAAAAACGAAAAAAACGCGACGTTTTTGCAAAGAAACTAATCTTCCTGGAAGTTTCTGGAGCAACTTTTTTTTTTGAAACTTCATAAGAGTGTTAAAAATAACAGTCATCCCAACCCCAGAAAGATTGATTTCCTCACAAGGAACTTGTGGCCAAAACCCCTTTTTTTATATCTTTTCTGGCGGTACTCTCACTGGAATCGGCTTTAACTACGACTAAAAGTAAGATCAAAAATCATAAAATCTTCCACGAAAAATGAAAAAATAAAATGTCTACGCATTTTCAGAAGTTACTGAAAAATCAAGATTTCCAAATTACCCCTAATTTCTAGGAAACAGTAAATACGTAGTGAAAACAGGTGATTTACGGGCAAAATTCAACCGGTCAGAAATGAAAATTTGAATTGAATAGGGCTGGTTTTTCTGGAAAATCTACGAAAAAAATTGTTTTTAACGGGTATTTTTTTATAATTCTGTCACGATTCATAAGTTAAAAAAAGGCCCAAAATCAGCTTCTCCTTCAAGGGACAGAATAAATTTTAATTATTTTCTGATTTTTTCGCTTTTTTTCAAAACTGAAACAAACCATATTATCATCAAAAAGCGTGATGACGAGGTCCACAACATGGTCCGAAAGGGAAACTCCCGTGATTTTCAGCGCCACTCTAAAAAACTGCTATTTTTTCTCGAGGAAAAAAGGCACCTTTTCAACAAATTCGCATCCACCGGAATCCCGGCCATTTTGTGAAAATGCAAGGCGACGTCGACGTCATCGATATGATACAAAAAGTCGAAAAACGCCTTGGTCTGAAAGAAAAATTATCTTTTTTGAATATGGCTCAACTTTTTCTGTTGTATACTCTGCTCACAATAATCCCGCGAAATCCAAAAAGCCGTCAGAGAAAGAAAAAGATTGCTAAATTTTAGAGAGTCAGAGAAAAGTTCGAAATTCGCGAAATCACTATGAACACGGCATTAGGAATAACTTCACTGGACAAAATAACCGTCAGAGAGTGAAAAAGACAACTAAAATTAGGAGAGTCAGAGAAAAATCGAAAGTCGCGGAATCACTATGAACACGACATTAAGAATAACTTCACTGGACAAAATAACCGTCAGAGAAAGAAAAAGATAACTAAAATTAGGAGAGTCAGAGAAAAGTTCGAAATTCGCGAAATCACTATGAACACGGCATTAGGAATAACTTCACTGGACAAAATAACCGTCAGAGAGTGAAAAAGACAACTAAAATTAGGAGAGTCAGAGAAAAATCGAAAGTCGCGAAATCACTATGAACACGGCATTAGGAATAACTTCACTGGACAAAATAACCGTCAGAGAAAGAAAAAGATAACTAAAATTAGGAGAGTCAGAGAAAAATTCGAAATTCGCGGAATCACTATTAACACGGCATTAGGAATAACTTCACTGGACAAAATAACCGTCAGAGAAAGAAAAAGATAACTAAAATTAGGAGAGTCAGAGAAAAATTCGAAATTCGCGGAATCACTATGAACACGACATTAAGAAAAACTTTACTGGCCACAAAATAACCGTCAGAGAAAAAAAGGTAACTGAATTTTGGAGAGTCAGAGAAAATTTCGAAATTCGCGGAATCCCTATGAATAACTTTACTAGTCACACAAAAAAAAATTCAATTCCATTTTATTTTCAAAAAAAACCTCCTCAAAGCTGATTCCAGGCGCTTCTTGACCCTTAAACTTTCGTTTGACCCTTCGAAGCATTAATTTTTGTTTCTTATCAACGATCTGTGCGTGGAGAAGGAGTAGCTGGGCGAAGCTTTCCTGGAAAATATGATAATTTTTTTTTTTCTGGAAGGGCTGTAGATTTCGAAATTGTATGAATATAACAAAGCAGTTGGCCAGAAGAATCTTTAAAAATACAAAAAAAATTCGAAATTAACAAAATTTCCCGGCTGAAAACGGGAAATATAACTGACTTTTTGAGATAAAATGTACGTTTTTTCGAAAAATAACACTGAAAGGAAGAAAAAATGAATGTTTTTAACAAAAAAAAAACTGTATTGAAGAAAAATGTACATAAACTTAATTTTACGACAAAAATCGAAAAATTATTATTCCACCTCGGAAATCCTGCCCGGTTGGTCGTCCATGGCGTCGCGGCGATCGAACTCCATCTTCAAAAATGTCGCTTTGAAGTCGGGTCTGCAATATTTATTATTATTTTGATAGGTCGCAGCAAAATAAAGACCATTCCTTTTTTATGGTGTTATCCTATAAAATCCATTTTTGGGAGGTACTTGGTGGATAATGGCTGCAAAATTGGAGAGGCTCAGAAAAGGCCGCAGAAGGGCAGCAAAGAAAGTCCCTTTATAGAACTTTCCATTTTTTCAGGGATAAAGAAACGGTGAAAAAAAGGAGAGGTAGCAAAAATGGTGCATAACAGCCGATGAAATGGCGCAAAAAGGCAGCAAAAAGGAACCTTTTCACCCTAAAAGGAACTTTTATATGGAGCCTTTTTTCACCCTTCCGACCTTGCCTATAACTTTTTTTCAACTTTCTTGATAAATCCATTTTTGGAAGGGAAAGTCGGAAAACAAGTGCAAAATGGTCGCTAAAAGGGTTTATTATTGAACCTTTCTTTCTTGGAGGACTAAAAAACCTTAAGAAAGGGTGCAAAAAGGGTGCTGAAAGACTCGGCGATTGATGATTTCCGATTTTATTACTGTAGCCCATTTTGGTTCATAAAGATTATTCTTAACTTGAAAATTTTGTGTTTCTCAAAAGGGTCCAAAAAGGGTGAATATAGGCCGATGAAAGGACGTTAAAAGGCAGTGAAAAGGAGCCTTTGTAACTCTATAAGATATTTTTCCATGAAACCTCTTCCATCCTTTTCGACTTTCACTGCAAAAGTCTAAAAATGGGTGCAATATAGCCGCTAAAAGGGTTCCGTTTTGCGGCCATTATTGAGCATTTCTTTCTTAAATAGCCTCAAAAACGGGTGAAAAAAGGGTGCTGAAAGAGTCGGCGATTGATGATTTCCGATTTTATTACTGTAGCCCATTTTGGTTCATAAAGATTATTCTCAATTAAAAAAATTCCGTGATTCTTAAAAGGGTCCAAAAAGGGTGGATGAAGGCCGATGAAAGGACGGAAAGAGGCAGTGAAAAGGAGCCTTTGTAACTCTATAAGATATTTTTCCATGAAGCCTCTTTCCACCCTTTTCGACTTTCACTGCTAAAATCTGAAAACAGGTGCAAAATGGCCGCTAAAAGGGTTCCGTTTTGCGGCCTTTATTGAGCCTTTCTTTCTTGGAGGGCTGAAAAGCCTCAAAAAGGGTGCAAAAAGGGTGAAGAAAGATGATTTCCGATTTTATTACTGTAGCACATTTTGGTTCATAAAGATTATTCTCTATTAAAAAAATTCCGTGTTCCTTAAAAGGGCCCAAAAAGGGTGAATAAAGGCCGGTGATAGGACGGGAAAAGGCAGTGAAAAGGGAACAATCAATGGAAGTTTGATCCATAAAGGACTTTCAAAGGGCTCGACTATGTAAAAAGGTGAGAAAAGCCTTATAAAAACGCCTTTAAGATGGACGGTAGTCAAGCTAGGTTTTTCAATAATAAAATGAAATCTTGTGTACTTTTTGTGACGTAACTTACCTTGTAACCTCGAGAAATAGGTCCTTAACAAATTGCAAGAAAGAAAGAAAATTTAAAAAAAGTTTTGGCTCCGAAACTGATGACGAAATATTGACCGTAGTACTGTCTCAAACATGCGTGTAAATATTGAATATTTTCATCCATTTCCAAGCAAAAAACTACAAAACTCGCATGAAACTCGATGAATTTATCGGCGCACAGCCTCAAATCGCCGTTTTTCCCAAAGAAATATTCCTCGAGAGCCGAATTTTTGACGACCCGGAAGGAAGAATTAGGGGTCACGTGGTCCCGATGTCGTTGGCCGACGGTCGTTTGGGACATGATCAATTGCTGGAAAAAAAAGTACATAGTTTCTGAAGGAAAATATCATGAAAAATGAACCTGAACTTTCTGAAACTCTTCCTTATCCAAGGCGCCATCCCCGTTCACATCGAAAATTTGGAAAGCCAGAGCGAAATCGGCCAAGGAAGCTGGAAAATGTCTTTTTTTCCAGTTAGTGTTAGAAAATGAACAAACTGGAAAGGAGGGTCATGAGAAAGAGATAATCGCTGAAGCTGATCAGGCCATTTTCGCCAAGCTTGTAGAAAATGCTATTCGGGTCGGAGAATTTGTGCTTTTGGTGCTTCTGGAAGTGGAAATTTGAATGGAAAATGAAAAGGAATATATTTTTTCATTGTTTGATGAATTTTTAGGAGCAAAATATGTCATATTGCTGAAAAAAATTTGGAAAGAAAGAATCAGAAAAAAATATTTTTTTCGTGAAGACTGGAAACAACATGAAACCCATCAAAAAAACTAAATTAGTGTGAAAAATAAATGAATTTAGTGATGGGAAAAAGGTAAAAAAATAGATATAATGCAAATTTCTTAAAAAAATTAGGTTATTGAAAAAGCTAAGTTCAATAAATGAATGAAGAAAAAAACAAAAAAATAAGAAATTTGTGATTTTTTTGTGCTTCTGGGAAAGGAATATATTTGATTTTTTTCATTGTTTGAAGACTTTTTTATGAGGAAAATCTGTCATTTTGCTGGAAAATTTTTTTTCATGAAGACTGGAAACAACATGGAACTCATCAAAAAGCAAATTATTGTGAGAGTAAATGAAGTTAGTTATGAAAGGAGGTGAAAAATAATATATGAAGCAAATTCCATAAGATCAAGATTACTAAGTTCCATAAATAAATGAAAAAACAAAAAAAAATAAGAAACCAGTGAAGATTCTGTCAATTTTAACAGCAAAAAAACGGAAAAATTCCTTCTTTTTTCTCCCAAAAGCCTTCCGAAACTTCCCCGGACCTCAGGCTGATAAACTTTGAAGCTATCCAAGCCCCATCGCCGTGGCTGCATGACGCCAGGCGTGAAAGATCGCAGGAAATCTTCCGGGGTCATGAAAACTTCGAAACTACGGCCGGAATCGTCATTCGGGTCCATTACCTTGAAAAAAACATACTTGAGTACGGAAAAATATAATAAATTTGAACCAAAAACTCTCCAAAAAAATGCTTTTAAAAGCTTTGAAAAAAAGGATCTTAAAGATCTAGAGCTCAAAATTAATTTTTCAAAGATTATTTTTTTAAAGTTGCTGCGCCTTTAAAAAAAACAAACAAGGTTTTTTTGAGCTTCATATAATTTCAAGATAAATAGGGCTTTCTAAAGGGATTTATTTTAGGCCTTCTGCGCCTTTAAACCGCAAAAAGGTTCCAAAACGAACTTTTAAAGTCGCGAAATAGCGGAATATTTTATCAGGAGTCGAATACATCCTCAGCCGATCCTCATACTCAATAATTCGCCTTTCCCGGAACCCGATTTTCTTCTTTTTCGGCTTCTCTTTCATTTCCTTCAGATCGTTTTCACTGTCCGACTCGGTTTCGGCTTCAGATTCTGATGAACTCGCCTAAAAACCACTTTTTACTCTTAATTTTTGAAGAAAACTAACCAGAGAGCCTTCAGACTCGGCTTCTTTCAATTGTGAAGCATTCGGCTTGAAATTCTTCGAGGATTCGTTGATTTTGCCCAAAATCCTGAATTTTACATCAGGTTTAAAAGAAGTAAACTATGATTTCACCATTCATAATCCAACATCAAAATAGACATGATGAAAATAATGGCAGCAAAGTTCCAGTTGAAGAGTTTCCGGAGTGGAGGCCAAATATAAGGTCTGTGGTTGTAAATTGACGATGAATAATCGGAATATCCTTTTCCGCTCTCTCTAAAACTTTCAAAAACCATGGAAAACAAAAAATCATTATCGACCTATCAGTGTAATGAAAAACGTCTTTCTTCTGCTTTCTGATGTTTCCAAAAGCGGTGTAGGCGTTTAAAGGATCAACAGCCGCTTCTTTGGTTTTTGCTACTTCTTTGGAAATCGAGTAGCAAAATGGAGAAGATGAAATCGGTCTTGTATTGAAGGCCATCAATTTGAAGGTTTTCAAAGGCCCAGGCGGCAGACGCAGTAAATGCATCCTAAAAGTGACTATACAGTCATAACTAGTTAATTTAAATAAAAAAACGGAATAAAAAAAGAAAAAAATGAAGCGGAGCGAAAAAAACAATTTTTTTCAATAATAGGAGGCAAGTCTGCTCCACTGCGCAATCTCCAGGCGAGTCTCTGAAAATTCTTTAAAAGCGTTTTTCTTGTGAAAAACAGAATTTTGAGTGCATTTCATTAATAAATATCGAATAAAGAATACTTGAAAATAGTTCTCAAAAAAAATTATAGAGAAATCGAAAGATATATGGAAATATAAAGCAAAACAGAAAAAAGTAATTATATAAATTGCAAACTTCACTAATTCCAAATTTGTTCATTCAAACTTCAAAAATAAAAACTTGAACACGCCCTCAGGATTCGAGAAAAAATAAATTTTCCAGTTTCTCTATTTTTTTCTTCAAGCTTCAGCGTTTTTTTCTAAGCGCATGCGTCAAACAAAAAAATCAGTCGAAAAGGGAAGGGCAAAATGCACAAAAAAAAAATCTTGTTTGTCTTTTTCATAATTAAAAAAGAATTTTTGAATCATTAATGATTCTTGCATCACATATCACAAGATTCTCTTTTTCCTAGTACTTGAAAAAAAAGAAGTTGTTGACATCAGTCTGATGCAACGCCGGGCGGTCTTTTTTTTTGTTTTCCGAAATTAGAACATGAATCTTCCCTGTTCTACTTCATTCTTTAAAAAGCTGATGGCTCTCGAGTTGAGATTTTTTTTTTATTGGTACGGTAGGAATTTTGTGAGAACTGTTGTGTGCGACTTCATGTCGTGGCGTTTTTTTGTAAATTTTACAAAAATTTTTTTTTCAATCAAATCATTTTTTTCATATCTTATTAAACAGTTCAAAGTAAGAATTTCGTTTTTCTCACTCGTCTACAGGATCTACGGGAGTTTTTACGTATCAATTTTATGAGGTTTAATTTTTTTGATGGTCAAAAAAATTCAAACGAAAATTGTCTTAATATTTTTTATGCTTTTTCAGAGACCCTTTATCTTATCTTAATGTCTAAAGATGCAGTATTAAAAGGTGATTATTGTCTCGTGATAAGCGCATTTGGCGCCTTTCGGACTCCTTTTCGAGGAATCATTCTTCGATTTTCTCTTTCTCATCTTTTTTTTTAGAAATTCCATGGGTTTTATTCCAATCCACGCACTATACGAAATTGAAAAGAAACTGTCGGAAAAATTCCCGAAAAAAATTTCTCACGACAAAAAAAGTGATTTATATGCCCCGAGGGCCGCCATTTGCACTATAGTCGGGGAAAAAACGTATCACGCGAGCTTTTCTGCAGTCCCGATGATTTTTAAATTGCTCCGCGTGACCTTCTGCTGGTTTCAAGTGATAAGAAGTGTATGTTCATCAGTTTGTTTGGTTGAGAAGTTGATATTTTGGATAGGATTTGAGTTAACATAGTTTTTGTCTTGAAGTTTCAACGTAGACGTTTATTTTATACCTTTTTTGAGCCTTTTAAGTTAGGGTTTCTTTGTTCAGTTGAATTTTGAATATTCATATGATCACTGGAAGCAAGGAATCAACTCAAAACTGAACTTTTTGGTCTTTTTTAGAGTTTTCCAGTTTTTGAATCCTTTCCAAGCCCTCAAACTCAAAAAATAGACATTTGTTTGATGATAATTTGGAGATTGAAGCTTCTTTCTTCATTATAGAGAAGAAAAGATAAGAATTTTTTGTTCCGTGTCTATTAAAATTTCGTGATTTATCAATTTGATCAGATTTCCGTAATGCAGTTGCAACTTGTCAATAAGTGACTCATTACTGTTTTTCAGTTTTGATTGGGATTTTTTTAATTCTTCTGCATTGAAATATAAGCAGTACAATATTTAAATAAAAAAAGCATTTTTTTCGAATTTTTCACTTTTTTTCCATAGGAAAAAGTCAATTTCAACGTAACAAGACTCAAAATTATCTAGTTTTTTGCAACTTTTTCGGCTTTTTAAAGCAAAGAATGAGAATTTCAGCGTGAGAGAGTACGAAATTGAAATCTTTTCCAAGTCAGACTGAGCTTTCGTGAATTTTAACAGATTCCTAGTCATTTGAGGACAAATAAGTTAATTTTAGCGGTACAATTTTGAAGTTTAAGCTGTCCGAAAGATTTTTGAGGCCTATTTTTGATACATATCAGCTTCGAGTCGTTTTTGAGAATTCTTTTTTGCTTTTTTATCCGAAAACTAAAAAATGTCTGCGTGGGTGTGCTCAAAATTGGGCTCATTTTTTCTTTGTATGGTTTTTTGGAGCCCTAATGAGGCATTAGCAATCAAAAAAGAATGGGTTTTACGGTCAGAAGACCTAAAATTGGACTCATTTCCTCTTGATCTGGTTTTTTGAGCATTTTGAAGGATTTTCTTGTGGAAGAAGTCTCAATAGATCTAAATAAGACTCATTTTCTTCAAATCTGAACGTCTGGGGGTTTTTTTGAAATATTTTTTGCCAAAAAAGAGTGAACTTTACAGTCACAAGACCGAAAATTGGGCTCGTTGTCTCTTGATCTGAATTTTTGGATCCTTTTTAGGCGTTTTCAGTCGAAACTGAGTTAGCTTTACGATCACAAGAACCAAAATTGGGCTTATTTCCTATCAGATCTGGTTTTTTGGAACATTACAGGCCTTTTTCTTTGAAAAATTAGTGAATTTAACGGTCACATGACCCAAAATTGGACTCATTTCCCCTTGATCTGATTTTTTGAAACATTTTAGGCCATTTTTAGTCAAAAATAAATGAATTATAGACATAGGCAAAGTCGGAAGGACCCTCCGAGGGTCCATAAAGGACCATAGAAATGTTCCTTTTAGGGTGACGAAGGCTCTCTTTTTGCTGCCTTTTTGCTCCATTTTCTCAGCCCTTATGCACCATTTTTGCTGCCTCTCCCTTTCTCCACCATTTCTCGAGCCTTTAAAATCCCAGAAAAATGGAAGGCTCGATAAAGGGAGTCTTTTTGCTCCATTTCGCTGTCTTTTTGCTGCCTTTCGCTGCCTTTTTGCTGCCTTTCTGCGGCCTTTTTTGAGCCTCTCCCTTTTAGCGGCCATTATCCACCATTCCGACTTTGCCCGAGGAGCCCCAAAACCCTTTTTTTCTGGTTTTTTTGGAACCTATTCAAACCGTTTTCAGACAAGTTCAAGCTCAAGCCATTTTCAGGCCATTCAGTCAAAATCTAGTGTATTTTACGATCACAAGGCCCAAAATTGGGCTCATTTTCTCTAGATCTATTTTTTGAAATATTTTAGGCCATTTTCTTTGAAAAATGAGTGAATATAACAATCTCAATGCCCAAAAATAGGCGTTTTTTCCTTATCTGATTTTTTGGAACTTTTGAAGTCATTTTTAGTCAAAAATGAGGTAATTCTAGCATCAAAAGACCCAAAAATTGGGCTCATTTTCTCTTGATCTGATTTTTTGGAACATATACAGCTCAAAATTAATCAATTTAACGATCAAAGGACCCAAGATTGGGCTCATTTCCACTTGATATGATTTTTTGAAATCTTTTTAGGCGTTTTAAGTCAGAAAGGAGTTATTTTACGATAGAAAGAACGCAAATTGGGCTCAAAAAAAAAAAAATGGATTTTACGATCACAAGACCAAAAATTGGGCTCATTCTCTCTTTATATGGTCTTTCGAAACATTCTGGACCGTTTTCAGTCAAAAATGAGTGAACTTTACGATCACAAGGCCCAAAAATTGGTCTCATTTCCTCTTGATCTGGTTTTTTTTGTTGGAACGTTTCCAGGCTGGTGCCAACCCAGCTGACAATGAGTTTCAGGCGGCGCACACGTGATCCTCCCCCCTGTTGTCTCGTTTTTTTTCCCATTCGTCTGCATTTTGTCTGCTTTCTCTGCTTTCTCACTTGACTCGTTCCAACCGCATGACGACATTTTGGCACCGTCTGTCATGTGGCCCGGCCTCTTCAACTCTGTATGTATCGAAATCAACCCCTTTTAACACTGGGAAAATTGTCTCGGAGGCGTTTTTCTGTTGTATAAAACTGCGGTTCTTTGGTTCAGGGCTCTTTTTTATTTGCTTTTTAGTTTTTAGCTTAATTTTCATGAAATTTCAATCTGAAGTAGGTCTCTTTGATATGATCTAACCTCTCTTAAAATTTGAAAAATTGGAAAGAGTCAAAAAAGGCTCCAAAAATGTTCCTATTTTGCCACTTTTTTGCGCCATTTCATGGGCTCTCCCTCTTTTCCACCATGTCTTGATCCCAGAAAAAAATGGAAGGCTTGATAAAGGGACCCTTTTTGCTGCCTTTTTTGAACCTCTTCTCTTTAGCGGGGGATCTTCAGAGTGGTCACTGTAGGGACAAGCACTTGGAAGGTCCCCTCTAGGGACAACTTTACCAAATGTCAATTTTTCGACTCTCAGAAGTTTTTGGATCCTTTTAGCTTTGGCAGCTTTGATCTACAGCTAGTTTGAGAAAGAAATCTTGACTCTTTTTCGAAAATTCAAGGCTTTTGATCAGTTTAAAGTGATTTTTTCATTTTCGGGCTGTTCCCAGGTCTGTATTTGGGAACTTAGGAACCTGATTTTGAGCCTTTTACTTCAAAATTACTAAATAAGAATTTTTTTAATGTGAAACTCAAGGTTCCTCGACTCGAATTTAACATTTTTTGAGACAAGGAATTCGGAATATTTGCCTTCCTCCTCAATTTTTTTTTTCGCGGGCGGCTGTTCTTGAGAATCATGCAAGTTCAATGAGATCAGCTTTTTGATGATTTTCAAAATCAGGTGCTTGGAAATTTTTAAGTGTTCACTTTTGGCAACTTTCATGAGTTTCAAATTGGATCTTTCCAATTTGAAGGAAATTTTCTTCAATTTGAAAAAGGCGAGGAAATTTCCTTCCGTTGCAGATGTGTTCGACAAATCGAGTTTAGCTTCTCAGGAGTTCAAAAATAGATCATTCTTCTTGATTTTTATCCTCTAGGGATCACTTTACCAACCCCTATAGGGGTCATTAAAG